GAGGCCCCATTACGATTGCAATCTGGTCTAGGGTCGAAAGGATTTGCCTGAGCTACCCTAGGTCTGACCACCTCAACCGGGACTTCTTCGCCAAGAGAATCTCGCAAACGCTGACGTTTGCGAGAGCCAGGATCTTCATTTGAAGTAGCAAAATGAGAAGTACAAGAGCCTGTCTGATGTGTGGGGGAGTTGACTAAGGGCCTGCTACATTCTTCCTCCAACAGAGATAAGATAGCAGCATCTAAGTCTGAGCAGAGGATCATTTTCTCCTGGTAGTGGTTGTTGTCGTTAAGGAGCTCATCAAGAAGCGGGTTGGAATCATCAGCGTTCTGCTGGTGCGTGTTGGCCAGGAGTGTGTCTTGGTCCAGGAGCGACTCATCGTCAGCTTCACTTGGGGCGGGGTAGATTGTATTGGCCAGGAGCGGACCCTCCTCCGCTTCACCCTGGTCATCAGGGAATGCCTCGTTGATTTTGAGAGTCAGGTCCTGAGCAGTGTCTTGGGAGTTGCAGAGGTACCGGGCATGAGTGGAGCTGTAAACAGAGGCCTGGCTGGAGTTGCCGGGATGGTGAGCGAGCTCATAGGAAGATTCGCAATCGGAGTTATGGCTGCGGCTGGGAGTGGAGACGCGACCACTGCAGTCGTGAGCAGCCTCGCAAGCAGCTTCCTGAGAGGAGCTGTGAGCAGAGTTGCGACCGGGGTCTTGAGCTGAGCGATGAGCTGCCTCATGGATAGAGCCGCAACCTGGGTCGCGACTAGGGGTTCCGTGAGCGTCGTCGTAGATGGAGTCAGGATTGGAGGCCTGAGCAGAGTCGTGGATTGGGTCGCGAGCGCGATTGGGAGCAGAGTTGTGAGCGCGATTCGGAGTGAAGCCGTGAGTGCGATTGGGAGCGAAGTCGGGAGCGCGATTGGGAGTGAAGCTGTGAGCGCGATTGGGAGCAGAGTCGGGAGTGCAATTGGGAGCAGAGCCGGGAGCGCGATTGGGAGCGAAGTCGCCACCAAGGTCTTCTTCCACCTCAGAGCCAGCTCCATAGCCAGCACTGGAAGCTGGGGAAGAAGGTCTTGAAAAGCTCTGAAAAACTTAGATTAGCAGTTACTCGAGGCAATCAAGAATGTTTCATGTACCTCTAGAGCCAAGGCTGGGTCTTCCACCTGAGTTCCTACCTCACAGGTGGCCCTAGGCTGTGAAAAGAGCCAAGGAGGCCTAAGTCTAGCTCTAGCTAGAGAAATACTGCCAGTCCTAGGTAGTTTCTCTGGGGAAAGAGAAGGTGTAGGAAAAGAAGGAGCAGAGGAATTGAGGGCTAATTGAGCTTGAAGGGAGGCAGGCAGAGACTTCAGGTCATCAGGAAGGTTGGAGCCATGAAGAAGAAGAAGGGAGTGAAGAGCCTGCAGTTGAGTTACAGAAAGACTGAGGTCAGCCATAATTAGCCTGTGAATATTGAGCGAAGCAGGTGGAGGCCAAAAAAGGCAAACCTGTCTGAAATCCCTGCTTTGCCTAATTGAGCGTCCACTCACAAAGCTGTGCAGCTATAAGCGCCAGATAAACACGCGCCTAACCCAACAAATGCGTACTACGAGCTGCTGCCAAAATTGAATCAGAAGTTCACTACAGAGGTTAAATCTAATCGGACTGCTCTTCCTGCACCAGTCACAGCTCCCCCATCGTATGACGCATGTTACTCTTTCCCACTCACAAAGAACGGATACTCTGGTGTGGCCACTTACACTCGCCGACCTTCCGCAGAAAATTCTGGTGTGACGGCTCTCAAAGCTGAAGAAGGACTTACGGGAAAACTTCGAGATGTTATGTCATGCCCTACCCCAGATAAACTGGACAGAGAACCTCCGAGATTAGCAACGAGATTTTGGGATGAGTATTCGGGGAAGCAGCGCCTTCTGGTGAGTTTCTTCAATACCGGTTCCACGGGGGACAAGATAAAATCAAAAGTTGTTGCCAAAGCTGTAAGTATTCTGAAACAAGATACATCATCTTCTGAACTGACTGGAAATCTTCATAGACACCAACAACCAACTCTGATAATTCTGATGTCACAATGTTAATGACTTCCTGCGAAACCACGTTGCACGATACGACTATCCCTCAGCCTGTATCCGCGTCCTCCTCGATGTCATCGATCGCGTCCATATCTTCATCCCCTACATCTTCCGGCACTTCCACTCCGACTTTCACATCCTCACCACCAAAGAAGAGGAAGACACCGCCTCCTTCCACCTCTTCATCGACTACAGGCACCTCATCCTCATCGTCTACTATTCAAACCAAACCGAAGAAACCGAAAGGGGATGTTCAAAATGTGAAGGACCTGAAGAAACCCGGACAGTCAAAACTCTCTAGCTTCTTCATCGCTCCGCCTACGACCCGAGCAATTCGAAACCAAGAAATTCAACAACGTCGAAGATAAAACCTAGGCGGAGCAAATCAATAACTAACCTCGCTGATACAGGAACTCAAGCTATAGTGGACCTCACAGCGAGCGATGATAAAGACGACGAATACCCCGTGGCTCAAACAGTACAAGAGGTTGAGGAGGAAGATATTGACAAGGACTTACGACAAGCTATCCAACTTTCGCTATCGCAAACATCTTCCTCTTCAATGCCGTTGCAATCATCGCCTATATCATCATCTTATGAAGCTTGGAAGTCTCTCCTCAAACCTCGAGAGCCCCCAAAGTGCTTGGTGCATAACGAAGTCGCGAAAGAGTTTCGAGTAAACAAGCCTGGGGTCAATAAAGGTAGATCGTTTTGGGTCTGTTCAAGGTGAGTTCGCTATTGTATTGTGTTTGTTTTTTCTATCTGGTCACACACTACTGAAATTTCAGGCCGGTGGGACCCGGATATGATAAAGGTTGTTCAAAGCGACCTTGTGAAGAAGTCAATTCGAAATGGAAGTGCAATTACTTCGTATGGAGTAGTGATATTGGAGTCAACCGTACGACAAATCCATCTGGAAAATAGAGTTTTCTCAAAACTTTGTTTCGTCTGTGAGCTGGTCTACCTGAGGACTGAGTACTGAGGCCTGAGTGGCATATTGACCGACCGGTTTAGTCCACCTTTTTCCTCGATCAATTAGTATTTCCGAAGTATACCTCTGATATATTGATTTTGTCAAGAAAATCCGGTTGCAGGAGGTCAAATTAAGAGATCGGAACAGTCTTCTGTATGCCCACAATTTGCTGAAAAACTCAAGAAGTCAAAGAGTATTGGAAAAGCTGCCCCTGCCCTATCATCAAATGTGTTTCAGAGTACGGACTCAAAAATGCTGACACAGAAGAAACGTATGTGGTCCCAGATATTACTAGCTGTCCTTTCTAATTCTGCCTATTCCGTTCTTAGGTCCCACTTGGCCAATCATTATGATATCTTCATTTCCGACTGCCTTGACGACAACGTATAACGTCAAAAAGTTCCTGCAAGAGTCCAGGTATCCTGACGTAGCCTAGACTTAGAGCCATGGTCAGGTTTGAACTTTCTGAAAATGCTTGAGGCCATGTACAGCCGGACAATGTCGTAATCATAATCATGGACTCATCAACTAAGTTGACTCATTCATGTTGTACTTGCTGTGTAGGTAGCTTTTTGTAGCCATAATACTTAGCAGGCCTGCTCAACAAATGTTTACTGTCTTCTTCGGCTGGATATACCACTTTAAGCAGGAAGCTTCTCCTAAAATATGTATTTACAGTTGAAGATCCTGATAATCTTTATCGCGACACAAATTTAGGGCTAGGAGTACTGAGTACGGAATATATAGTTCAAACTTCAGCTAGAAGTAAATCAACGGTGATCAGAAGAAGGGCTTGAAGTACCAAGGGGTTTACCCACCGTTCTCTGGAGCTGGACCTCTTCTAGGGACGTGGTATATGTCCTCAATTGAACCCACCGCTTCTTCCAACAGTTCCTTCATACCAGGATAATCGCTTTTCCTTGATAACCAATTCAACATGCGTGCTTTGCAAGACGGATTTACTTTGGGGAAATCTGTGTTTTGTAGTACTTGAAGAAGCTCCCTGTAGGTGAGAGGCTTCTGGAAGTAAAGGAGAAGATAGCCAATGTTCTCTTTCCAAACCGATTTCCAGGCCTTTTGACATTCTTTATGGGTTAAACAAAGATCAGCTTCTTCTTGCTGGTCCTTATCTGCGAGTTTGAGAGCAAACGACCTCTGAGATACTTGGGTGAGTAAACGCTGGATGTTCTCCCGGGTTCTAGCTATGGTCGGATAGGCAGCTGCTATCTGCTGAGCCTCAGAGTTTGTTATCTCACCAAGAGGCCTCTGAATAGGATCCTTGACTGCTGGACCAACCCAACAATGAACCTCTGGAAGGTGATGAAAATCACCAACCAGTTGTAACATCCTAGCAGAAGGTAAACGTAAACTTTCCAGACCACTGACAGCGTAAGAAATCCCATCATCGGCCTTCAAGGTTGAAGAGACCCTCAGAAGATCCACCAGACTTTCTTCCGTTATCTTGAAAGGTCGCCACTCTCTACCGTAACGTAATTAAAGATAATAATTGTGGAAGGAAAAAAAGTTACCTATCATGAATCCAATCAAGGAAACAAGTGAATTCTCGAGTTGTGAAAGGCAAGATCACTGGATTTTCTTCCGTCCCTTCAACACTCTCTAACGCCTGGGTCAAGAAGTTGGCCAAAACAGGAGCGTGAAGCTCCAGCGAAGACAAATGGAGTTTGAATCGAGAATAAATGACCTTTCCTGTCTGAGATCCAGTCAGTGATTTTACAAGTTTATTTGAATATGTCTTGAAATTGTACTTTGTCGATCTCGATCTCTTGGGTCTCAATAACCACCATGCAATTGTTATGATAGAAATCCACAACATTCACAGAAATTTTACACTCTGCTTTGTCAACCAACATTTGGTTCTCGATATCCTCTGTGGATCTGGGCGCAAGCTTGGGATGGTCAGCCATCTGATTGAGCAGTAGTAGGTGAAGCTCTGACTTTCCCGTCACAGTGACAGTCACACCTTTCTTTCTGGACTCTCACCTTCTACCGACAGAATTTTTCTCTAACAGCCACATCAGTTTGCAAATAGTACAAATCAGCTTCCCATGTCTACTGCTCAGCCAAAATCCACCCCTCTATCTTCGAAACCCTCTGTTGTTACAGATAAAAGTCAGGAAAACCAGCAGCTCCTTCAGGTGGCTCAATCTTCAGTTTATCGCACATGCAACATCAAACAAGGCAGTAAGTCTCTGGCCTTATCTCCATTCTGGTTTCTTATCTCAAGTCTTTCTGTGCTCTGCTATACAGATGTCAAGGTTGAGCAATTTTGGAAGAATTTTACCAAGGAAGCCACCGAACAAGCCAGTGAGCTACCCATATTTTTACTACGAGATTCGGCAGTATTCAGCTGCCTTTTGTAGGTATTTAGAGAGTCAACATCTGAAAAGTCTTAGTTTTCTGATCTACCGCAGTGAGTAAATTCCATTGTGACGTATAGTGTATAGACAACTCATAGATTCTCTTTGGGGCTAGTGAATCATCTCCAATTTTCCTTAGTTCCATTACCCCTTTTCCAGTTATTTGTCGCTATAGTCATTGCCATAGTCATCACTGTAAATTAAAAAGGTTTCACTGAGGAGTAAGGTTCCTGGTGAGGGAGCACAACGTTATGTAGGTACAGCTTGGACACTTCCCATTTGAGAGATGTTATTACCGTAAACTATACAGTTATACCTACATACCAAGCTGACAGTGTATTAAGCTCCCTCAGTGGCTTCGCAGACGTCATAGCAAGATACTTATAAGCTATACTGTATAGCTTAGGATACTCTGACAATACAATAGCGATGAAAACTGTATATTATAGTGTCATACCTATTGGAAATTTGTTAGAGGCTATAAATGTTTTCTGAGGAGGACAGTTTTTCGGGAACAAGTTCTCTACTACAAAAGCAAGAAAAGCAAGTTTTCTGCTAGTTTGAATAAGTGCCGGAATCCAAATTATATTTTCTGTGGCAAACTGTTCTTTTGTGCTGAACAAAAAGAATTTGCGCTGACAAGAAAAAGTCGGGCGCACCACGAACAAGTCGAGCTCATGTGAAAAAGTCGGGCTACCGGGGAAAAATTCCCGCGGATTTTTTCGCCACTTGGACTAGCATACTCATCCCAGCGCAACCGTTCCACCGCAAGCTGGTGATTACCAGTCACAATGTGGATCAGTGCTTTCCGATGTGAACCTGTTGGGACATTCAAATAGTGTCGAAAAGTCAGAGGTTTAAAGACCATCTTTTTCTGTTTCCGGTCATACTCCTTTCGTTCTTTCAGAGTGTCCATTGTTCTGGGACAAGATATCACAGCCTTTTGCAGAGTCTTCTCCATGGAATTTTGAATGCCAGTGATTAGATCATTCAGGTATGCAGTAGTGATATCCTCAAACTCTGGAATGTTCCAAGTGAATGGTATTGGCAGGTTGTCAAGTACTCTGCATGCCTCCAAAATTATTGATGTGTGTCCATTTTGAGCCAAAGAGTAAGCTTCTCTGAATGCTTTCCATGCGAGATGATGATGTAGTAAATTGACCAGGTACTGCATGTTCTTGAAGAAAAGAATGATTCTTCGATAGCGGATTGGCATCACTCCCGTTTCGGTGAACAGAATCTGGGTTGATGATCGTTTTTGTAAAGAAAGAACCCTCCGTAAGAAATAATGTTGTACTTCCTCTAATTGGTCTCTATGAGATGCAACCACATCCATACTGAACTCGGCACCACTTTTCAAATATGGGTCAATTCTAGCCCAGTACATAGTAATCATATCCTTTATTGGCATGTCACTGCCTACAAAAGCCTTAGCATGAAGGACTGCACCTGCAGCATTTTTAGCCTTATCTGCGAGTACCTGATAGTTGTCTTTGTATATGCTTCCTCGACCAGTCTGATGATGTACCCCAATATATTTCAGTTTCTTCTTCTTTTGCAAAGGTTTGTCATGTAGCATGAAAACAGTGTCAGTGACAACTTCCTTTCCAAATACTGCAATCATACATTTAGGCACAGATACTTCAAAACCTGTGAAGGATGCATATGCTTCAAATTGTCTAAGCTTAGATTGAATGCTAGATGGTGTTGTCCCAGCCATTCCTGTGTCATCTGCTTGCAACATGTGGTTGACATACATATCATGAAGAACCACATCTGTTGGGTGTTCCGTCACTTTAAAATCTGCAACAACCAGATTAAACAAGTTTGGTGAGTCCGGACTGCCTGTAATGACCCCCATATCACCGCCAAAAGGTTCAGAGTGAGAGCCACAAACTCTGACAACATAAGCAATTTTTGCATAGAGCATCCGTATCCAGTCAATCATTGGGCCTTTCACTCCCATTGAGAATAATTTAATCCACATTACAGATCTATCAGTGGAGGGAAATGCATTTGTCCAGTCCATATATGCAAAATATAGTGGGTTGCCCAGAGATTCAGCCTTATCCACCATAGTCCTCAAAATTAGTGGGTTGTTAGTTGTTCGGTATGTAGGTCTGAAGCCATTTTGAGAATCAGGTATTAATTGCTTTAGATCTGAATAAGACCTTATCCTACGGTCAATAATGTAGGCCAACAATTTTGCAAAACAACATTCTAATACAATGAGGCGGTAGCCACTTGGGTCTGAAGCATTCTTTCCTGGCTTTAGAATACCAATCACTATTGCATAAAGCCATTGCGAGGGTGCAGTCTTGTTTACAACACAGTGATTGAGAAATGAGACTATATTCTCATTGGGGATGTCCATAATTTCCTTGTATGATATGCCATCGGAGCCCATGGCACTGTTCAGGTTGCATTGAAGTATGTGTTCCTTGGCTTCAGCTACTTCATCTTCTTGAATTGGGCAGCTAAAAAACCCCTGCTCTGTTGGGTCCAAGTTGTTTTCTGGTAGCATTGCTTCTAGGTGCTTTAGATATGACAGGTGATTGTGATTCAACTGCAATGATGGGACCATAGGTGAATTCAACCTTGTCTTAAACTCTGTATATAGGTGATTGAGTGAAAGCTCAAAGTCTTTTGCTTTTGGATCTAGCCATGACTTATATAACATCCAGAATTGAGCATTAGTCTTGCAATTACGCAATTTGACAAGGTTTTCATGACGGATTTTTCCAACTTTTGACCTTCCACGATGACCACTTTCCACTGTTAAGATTGTCGGAGTAGCATTCATTGCTCCTGGTTCAGCATGCTCTGGTAGGTCAGTGGAGACTTTCTGAACATCAATTGCTAACTTGTTTCCTGGGTTACACTCCCATGGTGCAGACATTAGGCAGGTATAATCCCTTGGAATCCTTTTTGTGCAACCTGTTTTTGCCAATTCATCTGCCAGTTCATTTTGCGGAATGCCACTATGTCCTTTAACCCATATAAAGCGGGTGAGAGCCAGACGATATTTTAGTAATAAGCAAATGTCTTTCAATAGGTCTCCATTTGACATCTTCCATCCTGTAGATAGATGGCGGCCTGCCCAATAGCAGCATTCTCGGATGACATATGTTGAATCACAGTAGATGTTCAGTGCACGTTTAGGGTCAACATTTAACAATAACATCAGGACAGCATATGCTTTGGCTCTATTATTTGTGGGGTCTCCCGGGCCTGGTACTCTGAGGCTAATGTTCTGGTTGGACCGTAGCCCAAAGCATATTCCTGATCCAGCTCTTGCACTTTCTTTCCCATTATCCAAGCATGAACCATCAGTATACACAGAGATTGGATTTTTGTCATAGTAAACCGGACCATAAAAATCACGGAGCAACTGGTGTGGAGGTTTTGCACTCTGCAGCACCTCGTTATAGATGATGTCAGTCCTTTCATCATGTACTGGAATTGAAAGCGGATTCTTTTGTTGAGTGGATTGATTTGCCGTCATGATGCAAATCTCTCGTGAAATCACCAATGAGAGTTTCGAGTGGTCTGACCATTGGTCTGTCTTTGACACTGGTCGGACCTCAATGCTCAGATTTTTGATCAACGTGCACAGTGCTTGTGATACTAGAATGTAGTCTACCACAGCTTTGCCATTGTGTTGGTGGGATGTGTAAGACCCCCGATGTGGAGATTCCAATTCTGTGCCATTCACAATTGCCAAGTTCATCTCATCGCATAATTGTAAGATACGCAGACCCCTTGCATTGGTTTCCTTGTCTTGTGATATTCGTGTCAGGTGTGTATCAGTAGGCACCCTCGAAGAAGTCCGCCCATTTGCATCAGTAGCCACGACAGTCTTTTTTGACATGTCCACCAATGCACATAATCGTATTTTCTCAAATAACTTTTCTTCAGGAGATACATCTGTGAAATGTATATATCGAGATAGTGCAGGCAAAATGTATGCATTAATAACCCATAGTCTACCAAAATCAAGCACGAGAATGTCCGCCGATGAAAGCTTCGACTTCGACACTGCTATTCCTTTCCGAACAAAAGCACAGACCCCCCCATGCTGCTTCTCCCACTTCCTGGCAGTGGTACGTGATTGTACAAAGAAATTAAAACCATCGAGTTTGAGTAATGCTTCTTCTTCCTCAGTACATAAGTGTGTTTCTTGAATGAGTACTATATCATATTGTGAAAGCATGTTTCGAAATTCTGGGCTGAGCATTTTAACAGAGAAATCACCATGAACATTCCAAGAAAGGATTCTAATAACATTTTCGTCGTATACATCATCATTCGTTATCGTAGAATCGGAACTGTGGCTACTCTCCCTGACATGCTTTTGATCCTCAGCCCTGTTCAAAAATCCCCCTGCCTGATGTGGATACCGTGATAAGTCCTCAGCTCAGATTTCGAGAAGTTCGCAGGTATTCGAAAATGATGGACTCAACCCAAGTGTTCTTTCTCGAAATGCCCAGGCCCGGTCCCCCTCTAGGAAGAAAGTGCATGTTATATTACCCTCTGTCAGGCTGGAATGGCGACCATCACATCTACCAGGGATAGACAATTATCCGAAGTATGCAAAAGAAAGAATCACGGAAATGATTCAAGCTCAATACGGCCCAGATACAAAGGTAGATTTTGCAAAGAACCGACATGCTGAATATTACACGTGTCCCTTCAAGCTGGAAGTTTCTGAACAAAATGCGTTTTGGAGGCCTGTGTCAAAGGTGACAGGTTATTTCGAGATGAAAGAAGTGCAGAATCCAAAGTCCATAAAAGTGACAGGTTGGTTGAAACAAGATGGAAAAACAATTTCGGAATATGAATATCCAGTTCGTGCTCTTTTGTATCCATGCACTTACTCATATCCTAACACGCTGCATCAACCTTCAGAATCATCTTCCTCGCATTGATCCTCCACCTCCCATCAACCTGGAAGAAATTCTTCGTCCGAGTCCCGGTCCTAAACCTACAGCTACAGGATGATGACCCCTTGCGTATATTTCATATTACAGCTTGAATGTTACATGTTCAGTATTTATGACGCTGTTCCGATTCGTTGACATGTACTTAGACCTCCAACCCCATCAAATCATGTTTCTTTGAAATGGGCGTAAAGTAGACAAGATGACAACAGTAAAGCTTCTGTTGCTGAGCAGGTTGTCACACCCCTTAAAGTTTGTACTCCTTCGGACCTCATATTCTGCTTTTGTTGACAGCAAGAGTCAGCAAGAAGGAGCGATAAGAACGATGCCGTGACTCGTACGACAGAAATTGGCCTTTATTTAACTTGTGGCCCCCTCTGGGAATGCTAACCTTGCTCACGGTTATGCCCTCCACCTCATTAGTACGACAGTGGATGATTTCCCGTGAGAAACAACCTTTTTGTTGTACGACGCCGTCTGATCGCACGGGCGCTTGAAATCGTTTGTGGCCGCACGGGCCAAGGCGGCGCCAGGGCCCGGACCTCCATGGCAGTCCTCCATCGGATCGATCGTATACTTTCTCTATTTCTCCATCGCTGGTCGGTCGGTCACCTATATCGTTGTTTTTGCTGAGCACAGAGACCAACTGTTATTCAAAAAAAAATCCGTATTCTCCCCTTCACCCTTTGTCCATGCTTTACTCTACATGCTTTACTTCCAAATCCCTTCGCGTCCTGATATTCGTCCTCCTACTTCCCGTTGTATGTATAATAGCCGTCCCTCATGTGAGTCAACGACATTCAAATTTTCACTGGGTTCTGAAGATATTGTAGGGACCCCTTGTCGACATAAGCAATGAAAGCTCTGTGAACACGCGAGACTTAATCCACCAAAGATCCCGCTTGTTTCCAAAGCCATAATACGCTTCCACACTTCACCCGGGAGCCAAACTACTCGTAACAAAGACACTGCAAGGAGAGCAGTAGTTCATTCTGCAGTCCAGCGTTTCTTCGATAAAGCTTCACCTGGACTGTATGGGACAGAGAACATGTCAATTCAGGTGAAATCATGGGGGAAGAAAAACATCAACGTGGAAGGGAATGAACATTTTTTTGTTCCTCAAATCGAAGTGCGCCCTCCTGGAGCGATAAAGCGGATGATCACTTACTAAGGATGGGTTTCCTGGACCAATCATGAAGTTTCTGGGTACCTCAAAACTGACGATGACGCGGAGACGATTGTTGTTGAAGTTCAAAAAATGTGTTGGTACCATCCGGTCAGTGTATCCAACTCTCACTCTGACCTACAAACTGACAAAATTACAGACCAGAGAGAGCAAGCCTGATATGCGTAGGTAATTGGGAATAAAGTATGTATGAAAGTAATTATGTATCTTGGTCATATGCATAACCTCTAAATCATTTCCATATTCTTCTTGTCGTACGACAGGCTTCAGGAATAACATATTGCGGAGGTCGTTTCCCACAAAGAATTAATGACGAATTTCATGTATACTGACGACAGATGAGGCTTAAGACCTTGAATCAAGGAGTCCTGGGTGAATGACTTACAACAACACTCAGCTTTTTACCCTTTGGTGGTATGACTAGGTAGCCTCCAGGGTTGGATACGTATGCACGACCACCTACAACGGCATAGGCAGGAGCAACCGCAAGAGGAGAGCCTAATTTGGAAGAAGGGCGTGGAGTGGATTGTGATCGTGAATGATGTTGATGATGGTGGTTGGATCTGTTAGATGAAGAGGGACGATGCGTGCTATGTCTATGATGTGAATCAGGAGGAGTGGTGCTTCTTCTAGGAGAATCGAGTTTATGTGGCCGAGATGCATGAGCTGCGGATTGTGAAGGTGTATTATGATGGTGGTGATGAGCACGATGTCGGGATTGGGGTTGAGATGGCGGCGAGGAGAGAGACTGCGCTCGCCGAGATTGCGTCGGAGCAGCATACGCGGTTCTGGTAGCTGTGTAACTCTCCTGAGGGGCAGGAGAGTACGGATACGAATGCCTCACTTGAGATGTATGCGCAGGTGAGCGTTGCGTATGGAAATCAACATTCGACGCGCCACTTGCACCCTGCCTAAATGTCGTCGCTGACATGCTATGCCTCCTTTCTCTATCGTCCATTCCTCTTCCTCGCTCTATAATATTCCTGTCTCCATGAGGCTTGGAGCTTACGGTAGACGTCCGAGTTCTGCTACTAGATGATTCCTCGGAGACTCTGATTGGGTTGAAGGTTCCGAACGGCGAGCGGAATTCAGACGCGTGAGCATTAGTATTTTGCACCCACTTTGAGATTCTCCTTTGGGTATCGAGATAGCGTTGATATCCTTCAGGAGAGTAATCATATTCGGTCATTTAGAGCAAATGACGAAGACGGCTAGGCCGACAAAGTCGAGGCTATAGGAAGAGGAGCGTAAGGTGGCGGGCCTCTAAAGAGCTACAGAGAAGGTCTTTTAAATCAAAGAACGATTAATATAAGGTTTATGCGTACCAAGGAGTTGGAGTTAAAGAATACCAATCGCGGAGAGTCAGCGGAGAGCTCATAAATAAGCAAACGGGGAGCTGCCTCAAACCTGGCGTTAGCAATGAACGTCATCTGTGTACTTATAGTTATGAGTTATGCGAGACCCATCGCGGACATCGTTGGTTGCCAGGAAACGTACATATGCACACCTAATCACATAATTGAGTCTATTCTGAGAGTGCGTGATTGGACGCAGCTGTCTTCCGATTTTCAACGAATACAGAGCTATACAAAGAGGATAAGAGGGAACGAGATGAGATCATATGTATCTCTGGAAATGGCTCAAAACGGTGAGTAGTGAGCGGATTATTCAAGTACGAGGGTGAACTCGCTAATCGTGACTAGAAAATCGAATGTGCTTCATACGCCACCTTCGGAATTATCAACGGTCAACGTCCTCTATATTTCGATTTCCCGATGCTTCTGAGTCGGAGGTTATACGCAGAAGGTCATGAATCCGGTGTTGACGGCCCACTGATTGAAAAAGCTATGGCACTTATCAGCCGATTGTCAATATGTTTGCGCCTAATTCCAACGCGCGCGGATATATTTCGCAGATGTAGCTAGATATATCCTCAAAGACGAGGTCCCACGAGGTAAAAAATCACAATCCACATGAAAGGAGGGCGTGCTTTTAGGTACTGCTCAATGTTAAAATTCAAGAGAAAGAAGAAAATGAGAGACATTGTAGTGCAGATGAGTATGCTACAGATCGCACAACACACAAAGCCTATCACATCGCCGATATCGAAGGTGAAATGCCAGGGAAAATGGAAAGATAAAGTTTTCCAGTTTCACCATAAAGGAGGGGAAACTCTGATCACGGCGGTGTGCGTTTTACGCTTGCCAGTCTTTCGGCTGTATCCGGTCAGCTTCCCATTTTACAAAGAGATAACATGAAAAACTCACTTTGACTTCCGGCCCCACTGTCTTGATCCAAACTTGAGGCCTCTCTCGCTCCACTCGTGCACCTTGTTCTCCTTCGTCCCAGGTGTAACATGACGCGATGGCAAGTTTCGTGCCATCACAATTGAACGCAACACTGGATACTGGATTGTTGAATTTATGATATTGACGCAAGCGTTTCTTGATTTTGTGGTCCCATACAGAAACAGTCCCATCCGAGCCAGCAGATGCGAACGTGTTGTAACTGACGAAGAAAAAATAAGGACACGATCGGCATTACATAGATCGATAGTTACAAAGCATGCGACATACATCGGATGGAAAGCAAGAGCGTTGACAGGCCAAACGTGATCCACACCGTCAATAGTCTGGCGATGACATTTGAAAGCATATTTCTTTTCTTGTGCTTCCGGTGATGGATCGAAATATTCGACAGCGATTCGTCCCTCTACAGATGCAGTCGCGTAGCCTAGAACGACCCAGATTTATTCAGCTATATTCGTAAAAGAAGATATGGCGAGCAGTACCTTCACCGTTAACCATACACGCCAACGACCTCGTCATATACTTCAAGCTACTTTCTCTCCGTTGCGATGGCTCCTGCATGTTTCGGATATCATATATATGGAAAAGACGGCTTGCCATCGCGACTACGAGGGTGTTATTGACTAGGTCAATGTGGTATATTCGCTCGGGATTTTCATGGGAAGATTGTTCAGGCGTTGGCGCTCGTGGGTCGAATATTCGTATCGTACGGTCCCAGGAAGCTGAAATCAGGGCATCTAAAGCAACGTTCAAGCATGATCTCACGAGACAAAAAAAGTTACGGACTAAGGTCTTTGGCATATACCATACTCGACACGGCATCAGAATGCGATCCTACGACATTGGTCTTTTCGCTTCCGAAGTCGAGACTGAATAATTACAGACAAATCAGTGCTGGTTAAGAAGAGAGAATTATCTTGCTTACTATCGAACCGTAGTATCCAGCCCGCCACTAAATCCATGCTCAGCATCCGAGAAACAACAAGCTAAAACAGCAGCTCGATGATCAAACTTGCATTTTTGTTCGCTAGTTTTGCTGCCTGAAGCGTCATCGCCGACGTCGTAGAGTTTGACAGTCTACGGAGCGCATTGTAAGCGACTTAATCCTTAATGAGTTGGTGGAAGACGTACCGTATCCCATGAAGAAACGAGCAACTGATTTGGATTTGTGGGGGAATATTGGACTTTAGAGATGCTATCAAAAGGTGGTGAAGGAAGGGCAAATTGGGATTCTATGCGCGAGTACAGTTGAGCGTCCAGCGACCAAGAAATGATACAGAAACCATACCAGCCATATTATTGGTTTGGGGACTTTGAACCAAGTCAACTTTGAGAAAATGCACGTGAGATGCTGGTAGACTTAGGTAATTGTCCGTAAGAAGATTCAACGCGCGCTCAACGTACTCTCATCGGAGTCTCAACGTCAACTTACGCGTAACGCAATCAATGACAAGACGTCTCGAGACGTTCTTCTTTTTATTCAGATGCCTTGAACATTTTTCTACTCGGGCGACTTTTCTCGACAATCGTCCAACTTCTCGCAGGCTCACTATTGGCTGCTATTGGCTACATGTATATATATATGTGATCCAAGTGATTGTAATTGGAACGACAGCGATAATGGACCGATAGTTTCCGTTACCTTCCTGAGGGAGAAGCTGGGGGAAGCCAGGGAGAAGCCAGAAGAGAAGCTGAACAAGGTGCTCAGGAACAGGTGAGATGTCGAAGAGGCTTTCGGTTGGCGTCTTTTTCCATTCGGTTAATCTTTTTCTGTCTTTTCCTTGGGAAATGGCAAGAAATAGCTACCGTACCCGTACTCGAACTGACAGTAAGGCAGGGTTTCAATTTCGTGCACATTTCCTAGAAGTCTCAGAAGGTCATACGTACTACAAAGAGCCAAATTTTCGTTCATATTCGATGACTTTTTCTCCAGTCATTTGGCAGTGTCCAGGCATCTTGCGCCACGTTGCATTAAGGCAGCTCCCGCTTGCATCAATCATCTCGAGATGGTATATAGATTTGCCTGCAGGACTTGTGACAATTTTGAATTTATGATGAGTTCCTTCAGTATATAAACTCGTCCATTCGAGATATATGTATAGATTCCCTCCTTGAATACACACCAACAGGTGAATATCATGGCCCCCTCCCAAAAAAGTAGCAGCTCTGGATCACTCCGATCCTCCAATGTACCTCGACGACCCAAATCACCAGTCTCAATGTATCAGATGGAATATAATATCGGCGCACCCAAGCCACCTCGACCTCTAGTGAGGAAGGAACCCAAAGTGGCAAAGTCAGATCGTAATTCCACCCTCGACAATTATTCTCCATCCCTCTCGATGAGTTCATCTTTTGCGTCTTCCAGCTCAAGTTTTGCTACTAGCAGTACTAGTAGTACCAAGAGCAGACCATCATCCGCTATATCATTCCTTCGGTTATTTAGCAAGCGAAAAGCTTCCACAGCACCACCAACGATCTTCGAGCCGCTCGGCACTCCAGTCCAGCCTTACTTTCGCTCACCCGAGTCCGAGGTTCTAGCCAATACTACCCCGCTTGGCAAGCCAATTCAGAGTGTGGATGAACCCTCCTCTGTCAAACTGACAGATCACAATGAAATTCTGGAAGTTTTACGCGAGACTCACCCGGGTCATGTTTCCTCCCAGACGTATTCACGTCGTGCCAGCCTCACACTGCCGCCGACTCATTCACACAATGGAGGACCAGAACAACTTCCGGTGCTGTCCCATGGGACTGAGTACTCTCATCTCCCACATCGACCAAATCGCAATCCAAAGAGACCGAAGACAGCCCCATCCTCCCAATCTAATAGACGCCCACTCCCGCATATCCCCATGAATAGAACCCCTTCCATTGCTACGTTCAACCCAGAGGTAATCTCTCCTTCGAAACAGACGACGGTTCCTGGACCATCGCGGACCGAAAACCTCGACACGAGGAGGATAGAATCACCTTCTCTATCCTTGACACGCTCAAAATCCATTTCTCACTCCATGATGATGGTAGCACCACGACCGGATTCTCCGTTCATCGACTGCCATGTTTCTGGTCCCATGCAGTCTTATTTTGCCACTGCTTTGGGAACGAATCAACTGGGAGCTTCCTCCACTGCTGGGACAAACGAGAGACCTCAAGGATGGACCGGAGAATGGAATATCGACGATATGCAGGACGTCATTCAGAAGCTGCGGGAGCTGAGATGATTGGTACCCGATTGGTATCGATTGCCCTGGCGCATTCCTTCGTTCGCGCGAGGAATAGGATCTTTCAGTAAGGCTCCAATCTGCCATTTCCCGTGTGCGCCCTTAACAACCCATTAACAATCCATCTCGGGGCATCAGTTGCCAATCACAAGGATTGCATTTTGATGGATACAGCTGAGCATTCAAGCCATATAGCCATTGAGAGCGACAAACCCAAGGGCAGTAACTCATGGTGCCGCGGATGTAAAGTACACATATATATTCATCAAGCAATAAACCTGTGTGATGTATGTGAATGGTGGAACTTTTCCTTATCCCACCTATGTAGACGACGTACCTCTTGCATCTTGGGTTGACCAATGGATGTGTACTAGTGATGTAAGTTGTAACGTATGTAAAACCGGTGACCTGTGTGCCATATCATTATATGAACAAGCTATGATTGGGGAACTGGCAGTTATCTGACCTCAGTAATCACATACTGTGCGCAATTCTTCCCAAGTTCCCATTTCGAAGAAGGCTGGTAGGCATTTCCATACCTCTTGTCGTCCTTTCGAATGCTGCTTCTTGGCATTTGCCACACATTCGCTACACACATTCAATGCATTCCATCTATTATACGGACGTAGAGGATGTGGATGCCTTGACGCTTCCATGAGATGCCACTCGGTATGAGGGCTTCGAGCCATGGCACACAACACGTTAGTGCATGTCGGCGCCCGTTGAAAACCCAGTAAAAATGAATGCGAAAGGCTCATTTCAGCATAACGAAGTCTTTCTCTGCCTACAAGACAGACAGTCTTTTGTTGCCATGTCATATCATCTGGTTGATCTTCGAGAATACGCCGAGAAGGTAGTCGAGCGACGCAGTAATATGCAAAAGGAAGGACAATTGTAACGTTCGTTTCCTGAGCTAAACGGATCGCTCGCATGACTACGTCGCTTTTGAGGTGTTTAGAGGTCGATTTACCACGAGACGTTCGGGAATCGTAGTCCTCCAGCGTAGCAGGTAGAGTCCGGGTTAAGACAGCGATACACTTTCGGCGCAGAGAATGTATCATATATTTCGAGCTCAGACGCAAGACTCCGGAGATGAAATCGAGAATATCTTCAAGTGTGGAATCAGAGGGGAAATCATCGAAATGGCTAAATAACACCGGATGAGATAAAGCGACAGCAAAGTAAAGTAGAAGGCGTACGATGGGTGATAAAGAGAACTAAGAAGGTCTGATATGTCTTTAGCGAGGTCTTGTAGTTGAACAACTGGGCATCCTTCTATACAATTTTGGGTGTCGTTATCAGATTGAGGTAAAGAAAACAGTGTAGAAAATATTTCAGAGCTGTTGGAAAGCACAGTTTGATGAACACGGAAGAGTGTGTTCTCAGCCTGAACTACTATAGAGCCATCGTAAAGCCAGAACCTTTCGTCTCTTTCCGGTTCCATAGTTTGGCATAACTTACGATCGTGATATGATGCCACGTTCCCCACGTCGTTCAAATTTACTCACGAGTCCAAGCGTCGCTTATCTTAGTAGTAAGATAAGAACCTTCATCAGTGTATTATAAGGCAGTATGTATGTGGTATCTGGATGTTTTAATCGACGAAAAAGACGTTATGTGGATCATTGCTCTGAAAAGCATGGTTTAATCATACTAGTTGACCAAAGCGGACAAAATATCAATGTCCATACGAGGCGAAATCTCGCACTTGAATGGATGAAGGTGGCTAATAGGAACCATTTATATTACATATCAGGTTAGTGGGTTCTCTGACGCACCTCACAATTCCACTCTTATTCTTCAAGGACAAGGGTGGCTCTCCATCACAAGGAGCTATATCAAACGCCGCTAGACTCATTGCCAGCGTGATGAATACAGAGGCATCCCCAAGTAAACGACCTAAATTAGGGTAAGCTCGTTGGGAATCAGACCAAGGGAAGTTCCTATGGCGCACCTGGACAAATTCTATCAAGCCATTCCAGATCTCAGCACGTAGGACTCAAAAGGGAAGAACGAACAACCAACCTGCGCCCAAAGCCGAAGACCATGTCTTTCGGATCCTGTTCTGGGGATTCACCAAGAAATCTCTCTGGATTGAATTCCATTGGATTTTTATAGACCTCTGGATCGTGTGTCATGTTCCTGTGTAATAACAGAACTCAATGTATTGTTAGTGCAATCCATATAAGTTAGTCCTCACCAGATGTTGGCAAAAATGATAGCGCCCTTGGGAATAAACATTCCATCATGAATATCGTCCGCAGCCGTGCAATGAGGAAGACCTGTATAATGTGCGCATGTCGTCAGTCCAATTTGTGGTACACTTGAACAATGAAAACACTCACCATTGGGAACAACAGCATGATACCTCATCACCTCTTTGCACACCGCTTCAACGTACGTCAAACGGTCTCTATCTTCAAATGAGGGCAGCCGATCCTTTCCAATGACTGACTCCAGTTCGTTCTGCGCTTTTCTTTGAACCTCAGGGAACATTGCCATCAACAAGAAGAAGACGTGAACAGTGACCGCAGTCTGAGGGGACGACAAGGTTAATTAAACTTCGACATCGGAAGAGAAGAAACGTACAGTTTCCGCTCCAGCTAGGATGAAATGATCAACATTTGAAGAACGGAAAGAACCTCGGAAAAACGTACCACCGAACATAGAGCTAGAAGCAAATTTGAGATCGAGCTCTTCCTGGGGTGTAAGTTTTTGCTTGAGCCATTTTGCAGTGAAGGAATCTTCTGCGGTTCCTTCCGCCTTGGAATTTTATTAATCGACATCAATAGTTTGTACAGAGCGCACACTTACTAGTTGCTTCTTGACAAAGTTAAATGGTACATCGACCATTGCCCAATAATCTTTTGCCCATGCTCGGCCAATGCGTTTCCATTCCGTGCCCGGGAACCAGTCGGGAACTTTCAGAAGAATCGGCATTTGGTTAACGAGGAATGCTCCTGGGGCAGTAGCACGATTAAAATTATCCATGGCAGTATTCGCAATATTGACGAAAGGATCGTTGGATTCCTCTGCCTCGTAACCGTAAGCAACCCGGAGAATGATAGCACCTGCGTGTCTAGAGCGGTGACCATCTCAATGATTTGCATGCAATTAATACAATAGGAAAGACACTTACTGAAAGCAGTGGTCCAAAAGACCATCCGGATTGCGCAAAACCCGTCTAACAAACTTTTTACCTAATTGTTCTTCTTGCGGGAAGAAACCTTGGACGGCAGAGTTACTGCCAAGTTCCTGATGAAAGAGACGTCTGGATGATTTGAATCGCTTGTCGTATGGAAGGAATCCCATAGAGTCCTTGTGCGTTTGGTCTATGAGTATGACGCACGATGTAGCATTTTCATGGCATAAATCGTACCCTCATCTCGATGAGTTCCATTGCCATTGGGACGTAGGGCCTATCAGAATACACATTGCTTTTCTTGTCGAGCATCTCTTGGCACCGCTTATACGAGTTAATGACAACAACGGTAGTACCTAAACCAGGTATTAGACCGATTCTGGCGCGCAACATCCGAAATGCATACCGAATATTGAGACCGAGAGGAGATCACCTGCAAAGTATGCATAAACAGTCTGCTTTCGGAATCCTGAATTCGGAAAGCACGGCTTTTACACGCACCCCATCGTTCCCCCCACTTGGCGAAAATTTCCCACTCGTAGGCCGTTGGTAAGTCCAGTAAATTCCCAATCAGAGGCCAACCTTGAGGCCCCGGAGGCATGGAAGGTCGCCTTCGCCGTGTCAACAGACCTCCTACACTTATGGCAGCAACAACCAAAAGAAATTTTGCCCACATTCAGATTCCAGTACTCAAGTAAAGTAAGGTAACGTGTAACCTGCAATGATGGAAGAGGGAAGGTGCCACTTGGTGGCTTTCGGGGGAAAGTCGAACGGAATGTGACTTTACGGATTTCACCATTTAGCTAAGGCTAGGCTGGGCGTCAACTTCGGATTTCTGATGACAGGTGTGCGTTGGAAACTGAATAAGACTGAATTACACACTTGGAGTATGTATCCCTACATGCAGGGTTGTTTGATTCTGTCAGTTTGGTTCATCTGATATTATCGGGTTCAATATTCAATATAGTTAATTACAAGGTCGGTCTGGGAGGGTCTGGCTTGACCGAAAAATCGTGAAAAAAATCTCGCATGGCTCCGTACCGCAAAATCTCGGCAACTTGCTAGCACTGTGCACTAAAGGTGAGCACTCGCGAAGGTGCACTGCGAAAAAGATTACATTTGCATACAATAAGAGAGACCGCCTCCATGAGAAATGTTCGTCGGTCTTCATATTAATTCACGGCAGGTCCAGAGAGTCTCCTCGTCGATGCTACATATTTATTCCTTCGCATCAGTACAGTGACGAAAAAACGCGATTTTCTAGGCGCTACGCCGTCGTCGCACCTTTGCACTACTGGTATGAATATCTCTGTCAACTCTGATACTTATACCGTCCGTTGTTGAGTTAGTTCCTGCGAACTAGGTTATTTAAATAATCTGGGATTAGGAGGTAAGTGCGACGGGAATTATTTTTCATCTTACCTCCAGCCTGGATTCTAGCGCGTTATTGGGAATGGACAGGGCATAATTCTCATTGGTGGACGTGAGGTCGGAGTTGAGACCTTGACGGATGTAATCCCTCGAGTTCAACGTCACAAGCAAACAGTTGGTGTAAACTGTTCAGAACTGGAATGTCAAGTGTTGACCCTCGAGTGCAAAGAAAGGATACTACGTACATCGACCCACTAAAGATGATCAAAGAGTTAGTATGTATTCGAGTACCTTTTGTCCGGGTGAAAGCTTACTGGAGACATAAACAAAGATATAGATAAATGTTCCAGGCACGCCTTCGAGCTTCATGAACGTCAGCACGGGCGTGAATAACTTGACTCAAACCTACCAGAATTAAAGTCACGATGGAGCATAGTGAAGTCGGTATGCCTGGACCAATATTTAAACGATCCAGTTTCGTTTGATATAAAGAAAACTAGGTGGGACCGACCAGTGTTGAACGTAAACACGATCTATGAGAAGGAGTGAGGAAAGTATCTATCTAAAAGATGGCGGAATTTCCGCTTACTAGTCTATTGAGAACATCAGTCGTATTTTTGAAGCCCGTTTTCGACCTTTGTAGAAGGAATATCATAAGGAAAGTGATGGCGAGATCGGACACAATCCCGAGTACATTGGTGACGATAGAGACATTCTGTGCATAGGTCAACTTGATGAAGTAGAAAGTAAAGCCAAGTCTCACGTCCAACAAAGCTAACTGGGCTAACTCTGTATATTGACTAAGTCTGCACATAGAAAATGAAGACGATAAGGATGAAAGAATTTCAATAAACAGAGTATCACTCACACAACGCCGATGAAGTCTGACACCATAGACAATGATGATCAGTCCAGTGGGAATTAAGTATCGTGGATTCGAGCACTTACAATAGAGCGTTACTAGGACGCTCTACTCAGTCCGCTTGTCTGAAAAAATTTGACATAATGATAATCATACCTAAAGAGCCTAAACTAGTCAAAGACTAGATTATTATTGAGCTTGATGTTTCCAGCAGTCAACAAGATAACCACGAACCACGAAACCCGAAAGCAACCGGCTTTTGCTCACTATGCGCAAAGTAATCAAGTAATCAATGCCATGGCCAAGATCAGGATGAAACAAAACATACGTGCGTAAATGCGATAACAGTAAAAACTAAAAATTCATGCAGTCTGTTACCAATATTGTAAGATCATTTTAATGAGCTTACTGCTGTACTAGAAACGCAATCATTCCACTAAATATCAGCTCGATGATTAGATTGCTGAGGACAAGGTTCAGCTTCACAAATTTGTGAAAAAGACAAGTTCGTGAACTTACGGATCTAGCTTTGCCAGTGCCAGGGGGTTTCCTTGATCTTTGAGGACGAAAGTGTTATTGAGCTCCGAGCACTTATATATGACACTCACTGGTCACAGTGTAGTTATAAACAGCAGCTGAAAATGGATGAGCGAATGAGGTGTCCTTCCAAGGGAGCACGCTAACCGTAGAGAAATCCAATCTGACATGTGTCGCATATGATGACTGCCGCCACCTAAACACCATTAATGTGAGCAAGATATTAGCGAATAGGAATGAACAATTATCGCACCAAAGTTTGAACAGTCCAGCTATCCCTTTTACTATATTTGCGATAGTAAAACCATGCCTGCATGCATCCCGCTACCACGGGCTATGAAATTTTTACTCTTCTCGGACACAAATCACGAACCTCCGTATAATCTACTCCGTAAAGAAGAAAGGGAAGAGGTTAATTTGAGTGATTGCAAAGTCTGCTTTAATTTTAGGACTTACATACAGCAAAGTACAACTGCATGAGACAGGAACCCCAACCTAAAGTGCTATTAGTGAATTTCTTACCAAGATGAAGAAGAACGATAAATAATACGTTGTGTCAACGTTTATCGGTACTGCCATCGTGGAGCCGAGCAAAGGAAACAAGCAGAAATTCGTAGAGGACTGTAAGCTCGTCCTAGAGTCGTCAGCTTTTTTAAGGGGGGGAGGTAGGTACCGAAAGCGAAACCATCGTGTTTGTGATCCTTCTACTTATCAACTACCCAACAATCTAACCTCCCCGTTAGTGAATACTATGATACGTAAGGGTTGGCGAAATGGCACCTGTATACTTCCTACTCTTTTTCTGCAAGAAAGCGGCGAACGCTAACGAACCAGCCCGAATTTCTTATGTAAATGTAACTGTTACTGTGATCATGCCGTTCTTTTGAATTTGCATGAGATCATAGAATTGCGAACAATGGAGGTGGACGGGATCGGACTTGGATTTCGGAGAACTGCCTACTACACCCTCCATCATGATTAGGCGGCCTTGTTTTCAGAAGGTGAACATGGATAGGTACATGCATGACTGCATGAAAACTATGAAACCCCTCGATGAAGAGAACCCTAGCCCAACTTAGCCCGCGGGGCCTGCGGGGGCGCGAGCACACGCAGGTACACGCCTAAGATCCGATATCCGGGAAAGGTGATTTGGGGTGATCCAGGGATCAGAATTGATCTGAACCTTTGCGTCAGGATATCCCTGAGCCTGCGTAGGCCTGCATCTCACTCCGAGAGCTGCTCCAAAGTCTTCCAAAGTTTAGTCAATCTCGGAAGACCAACCAAAGACTACTCAGGGTGTAATCATTCACGGTATGAGTGGCATCTTCCTGGTCTTATAGCTTGAATAAAATAATGGAACCTTCGAAAAGGTATACTTGAGAACACAGTGAAATACGAGCTGATGGTGAATGATAGAATAATGCCTCGTATGTAGCATTGCGGAAACCATCCCACGGCATGATCGCACTTTTCGTCAATGTGGGTGCAGTGAGTTGCAGTGATGTGTTTGATTTGTGGATGATTAAAAAACCGCAGGAGTTTGTGGGCGTGAACGGTGCACCCGGAATGCACTTCCCTGAAAAACGGCGTTATATATTGTATACAGATATCTAGGATGGGTTCAGGAATGCATTCACTGTGGAAAAAGAAAAAAAAAGTGTCTGACCGGTAACCTCCGGTAACTGACGAGGTAACAGATATGGTTGAAACTCTGAAGGACCGTCGTTATCAACTGAAATACGCTAATTCAGTTTTCAGTTTGGGCCGAGACGTTATGAACTACAACCTTCCCTCAATACTCTTTCGACCTGGTCCGAACATACTACCTCCCGGCACCGACAAAATTTAAACCAGACGTTGCATGCGTGCGTGATATTTTGCAGATTCAGGAGACTCAAGGAAGTCCAACGCGCCGGACTCGACAAGTAATCTGGCTCTATATGGAGAAGGTTCAGAAGTCCACCGGCGGGACGGTACGTGCGAAACAGCCTACATGTGAAACGGTCCGTACCGTTACCTTGGCCGGTCGTAGCCGGTCGTCATTGATTCATTTACTCATTCGGTGGTTCATCATCTTAATCTTCTTGAATCTTGATTATGAGTTGGAACCGGGTTACATAGAACTAGTGCTGTCTTTGAAAATGGTGCAACAGGTGAACAATTGTCTTACAAGGATTGGCCCAAGTGTTTACCGTATGCGCACAAAAGTTAAATAGATTGCTGTAGATTGACTATTGAGCCTCGCGTGGATTTGTCTTGACAACATTGCAGTTCAATTTTCTGCTTTATGATCACTGAGTATTATCCCTGGAAATCCTATATACTAAAAAGCGACGGGTTAGGCACTCAAGTAATTTACATAAGCAGCTCTAGGATCCTGCCACAGAGCGGTGGCACAGAGTGCCCGCAATATTTGCCGCGAAGCGGCACAGTGTCCACTATACTCACTCAGCCTTACTGTATAAGATGGACCCGATGATAACACTGACATTTATTGTTACTAATAGTGTCATTATCCTCAATGTATCTGATAGTGTGGTGTGTTGTACATATATGAAATGATACAGTGTATATCCACAACTTCATCTGCAAAACCTGGATATTCGGCTAAAGTCTGAGAGCAGATCCCAGCAGATCCCAGTGCTGAAAGCACTGAAAGCAGTATGCTCTGAGTGCTTTCACTGCTGGGAAGTGCTCCCAACTGCTTTCGGACCCTTAGCCAAAAATACAGGTTTTGCAGATGATGTTGGAATGCCTGGATTCAATGTCTAGAGAAAGTCATGCTTCATCTTCAAAACCTGGATGTTCGCGAGAGCAAGGGTACTAGCTGGAGAGTGCTGTCCAGTGCTGAAAGCACTCCCAGCAGTTTTTCACTACTGTTGGGAGCACTTTCCCAGCTGGGACGTGCTGTCGGCTGCTGTCAAGTCCATGCCTCGGGGCTCCATTCCGCCGCTCGGTATTCCGAAGATCCACCTTTATTGTAATCTCTCCTTATTGTTCTTTCTTGCTACACATACCCTTTCGTTCTAGTCCCTCCTTATTGTCTTTTACTTTACCCTGCAGGTACTACACGTATAGCTCCTAGTAGTTAGTCTAGCGCTCCGCACCGATGCGCCGCTCCGTAGATATAAATACTGCCTGTACGCTACTGTAGTTCCTCAGTTTAATTATTGACTTAGATTTCCTCCTTAACTCTGTACCCCTCTAAGTCTTCAGGCTCAACACCTTGAAGTATGTTCTACTCTACCTTAGGACTTAGACATCCTCTGGTTCGCTCCTCGTCACCGGCAATACCGCCGCTCCGACTTGGCTGCTACTTAGCTCCTCCCTTCTATACTCTCGATCTCCGGGGACTAACGGCGTAACAGCGGTGTTGTTAATAACTTCACTACTGTTCCACTCGACCTCCCGCACTTAGACACCTTGTGGCCTCTGGCACGGTTACACGGTGTACATGATCTTAACAGCTGCTTTTGAGCTCTTAGCCAAAAATACCACAACTCTGACAATGCTCATGCCAGTGATTTTCAGTATCTCAACAGTATCAATGGCTCTGGACTTCCTGTTTAAAATTGAAAATGATACCCAGGAATCTGGATCCAACTGCCAGCCTCTGCAATAACACTTGGGCATTAATTTGAAGCAATAACTAATAATAAGTGTGGAGGAGCAAAGCAAGCCACCACGGTGAAGGCACAAGTGCTCTCCATCCAGCATCTGCAAAACATGGATATCTGAGTGCTTTCAGACCCCTAGCCAAAAATACAGGTTTTGCAGATTAGTACCCTTGGTCAGGCAAATGTACAGATGTGAAGTACAATGAAGGCTGCATCTGCAAAACCTGGATGTTTGTGAGAGCAAGGATACTAGCTGGAGAGTGCTTTTGAGCTCCATTTAGTAAAGGTAAGTCTCTGAACATGCCTTACTACAAATAGTGTGTACCCAAAGTTCTTCTAGAAATGAAAAGTATATTGTTTTCAATGAAAATAGCTTAGAATACTACATAATGAATCTGAAAGTATGGAGGCGCAAGGCGTCAACTGAGGGGGGTTTGGGGGCTTGCCCCCAACAAGCTGTGAACCCTGCTGTAGCACATGGTGCAAGCAAAGCAAGCCACCATGGCAAAGGCATGGGTTCTAAAGCTTGTGTATGTATGATATATGGCCATAGATCATGGAGCCTGGGTTTCTTAGTAAGTATATAGGTGTGTTGAAGTTGGTTGAAGAAGGTGATACTTTATAGATATACAGTATATCTCGAGGATTGATGTTGTTGAAGAGAAGGAAATAGATAAGGAACTCCACAAGAGTCTTTCACCTTGTATCAAATCCTCGATGCCAGTGGGTGCATAACAGATTTTTTGGTGGCAGTTTCCACAAGAGATTATATATGTACGCAACAACAATAAAAGTCAGTCCAACAGCATCTTCATGTTGCTGGTTAATGGGTTGATTGACTACTTTCATGTCCCAGAGATCTTCTCATTCAAAGTTGAGAAGTTTATCGTTTCAAGGAGTAGACACAAAATGCAAATTTTGAGGACCAAACCTTGGTACGTCTCAAAGTACTAGCACTTTTCATATGTAGCTTACCGTAAAAAAAACTGCATTTTCCAGGGAGGGAAATTGTCACGGATAGGAGATGATGAATGCGATATGCCTTGAGAGGGAAATTTGCAGATTGAGGATTGTGCAGGAATCAGCTTGAGGAATTCAAGGGGCGGCGGGCGAATAGAAAAGAAATGAAGAAGAGAAGGGCCTCATGCAAAGTGTACGGCTGTGCCTTCTGACTAAAATACAGCCTATCTCGGTTTTCACCTTGCATTTGAGCATCCTAAATTCGACGGCCTCGTTTCGTGGTGGTAGTTCATACTAGGAAAGCGCTTTAGCTAAGATCCAAGTCACGATTACTGTATAAGTCCCATGACTTCCACGTGCTGTCAAGTCCTTGGCGCTCGTTTCTGAGATTTGAAGTCACCTTGTTTTTGAACGACCATGAACGAAGTAGAGGATGAAAAGAAGCCTTTCGCAGTCGGCGCTCAAGAAGATGACTTTTTGCCGGATCCAGACGAAACGCTCATGCTCAACCAAGGACATGGTAAAGTATGGATGGTCAAGGTAATCCATGCTAATCTCAATTCCCGCGAGCGGTACATTTTACTGCAGCCCAGATTCCCAAATTCTTATTGGAGCGCTGGGTCGCTGTAAATGCTGAAGATGTTCACCTCGCTTCTTTACGAATATACACCGACCCTGGACCTGGTCAGAAAACCCGAATTATCTTATTTCTTCCACAACAAAATGACTCGACCACTTCGCCAAATCCGAATTGGCCTGTATTTGGACCTAACGCATTGCAGAGCTCTTCCGATGCTGAACCTGATTGCTACGAGCTCGAAATGGTTAACGACAACGTAGACAATCACATCGTGGTCGCAGAGCGACCCAAGGATGCTTCCTTCGGTTTATCGTCGAATCCTTCTGCTCCTCCGAATCCTCGCGCTAGGACGACTATCCTCACTGGGCGCATCAAACACGACTGCTCTCTTCGCCCTTCATTCAGTGCACGATACCGCAAGCAAATGCGAGAACGTCACCAAAAATACAACACACCTCTTAGGCAAATCAAGATGATTGAGAATGCTGGGGTTGCAGGCGGCAGAGGTGGAATCAATAGGCTTAGTAGTGGAGTTGGTGTGGGTGCCGGTGGTGCGTTCAGGGACCTCGTCGTACGTCTGATGCCTTGGTCTTCCTGTCACAGATCTCTAACCAATCCATCAACACAGGCGACGAACAAGAAACCGGCAAAAGGCACTTTCGAGCGCATGGCTCGTATGCCGAGAAATCAACTTCTCGATGCTCTCTTTGCCTTGTTCCGAGATACTCCTCGGTGGGGTATCAAACCTTTGCGAGAGAAGACCCAACAGCCCGAGGCTTATCTGAAAGAAGTCTTATCGGAAATTGCGTATCTCCATCGGAGCGGAGAATACAATGGTCTATGGGAAGTCAAGGACACATTCAAGGAGGAAGGCGTATGTCTATCGCTCAACCATAAAATGAAACGTTACTGAAAAATCATTGCGTCTGTACAGATTAAAGGCGAAATTTTTGCCGGGCCAAGCTCTTTCGAAGGTGATGTTAAGATGGAGGACGCTAATGGTTTCGAGGATGATGAAGAGGATGAAGATATGGAGGAGGTCTCATAGGACTGTATTCCGCTCTGTATCTGCCAGGTATTTTGTTGTATTTTTATAATGTTGTATCTTAAGATATTGGATTATCATCTTGCTTTGTTTGTCCGCGGAATTGCAATTCCTTTTGATCCCCCCCTTTGGTCTTCTACCCTTCTTCGCGTCTCACTGCCACGATTGAAGCTGACTTGTTCGACACAATGCAATCTGTAAGTAAGTACCATAATCTATGTTGTCTTTTGTTCTTCTTAGAAAGCTTCTCCATCCGATTGACTCATCTATAGGCTTGATTCTTACGTCTTGACAAACGGCCACTCAAAGATCGGCCCGTCCCGAGGGAAAGAAGCCTTCCATCTCTAAACGTAGTGTATTCAACCTCCACGCCTTTCCTCTTTTTGTTCTTTGCACTCTCCATCACCTAGTTGCTATCCTCCGGAAACAAACGTCTTTTGTACAACCAACGCCCGACACCTTTTGTTGTTTTGTTGCAGCTCAATCCCGCCTTTGGCAACTTCTCCAGACTATAGCTAGGGTGGCGGAAGACTAATCGTAACCGTTCTCGTCACCTGCCCCCCAAAAACTCCGTTGAACGACCGTTCTTACCAGTCTTTTTCCCTTTCTATCCTCAACAACAGTTCGGTCTCCTTGTTCTCCCGTCATACGTTGTGTGCCGCTCACACCAACAATGTCTCTCTTTCTCTTAAGACCAGCTGTTTTTCTTCTCGCTACAATCTATGCTTGTCCTAGTCCGGCCCACGCAGAAGTCGCTTCGCACAGCGGAATGGTGTTCGGGCCTGACTCAAATGGTGTATGTTACGAAGGGTACACTGATTTACTGTCTTCGAGTGCTTGATTGAACACATATCACCTTCCAGGTCCTTCCAAGGCTCAGCTACGCCGTGTCCTACACAGATTTACCCCCATCTACCAAAAACTGTTGTTGCTGCGATTGTGATCGCTGTCGTTTTCGGTGTGTCTACCCCTCTCAGAAACGGTCTTGCTGGGCCTAAACCCTGATACTGCAACTTGCGTGAACTTGTTTTTAGTAATTGCCCTATGTGTAGTTCTTCTCTTATGGCGCAGACAGGTTCGAGCCACCACAGATGACAGTGCCAGCTCGCTGTTCGACTTTGTATCCGGAGAAAGGAGGCTGAGCACCTCGAACTCATCGCTATCACCCAGTTGGCCAAACTCGCCTCGTTTATCTGTCAAGACAATGATTGACTCACAATCAATCTTGAACGAAAAGGAATTGCACGAATCCGAGTCATACTTTCACCATTTTTCGCATGGACCAGAAGCTGATGTCGAAGGTTCAGTTGAAACACTTACTGCAGTAAGTCTTATCGTTGCACCGATACGACGTAAACTTGATATCGTATACCATATGATCTAGTAACACTCGACTGCGCTCTTTGCTAGCCCCGATACGGTGGACTTCTTTATTTTCTTGCTTCACCCTGACCCTGCCATGAACCGTTATTCCCTCCACGTTCCTTTCCTTTGTGCAACTACTATGTCGTATTCTATACACAGTATCTCTTTCTTTCAGCAGTACGTACCAGTAATTTACTGCTCTTGTTTGAATGGACTTGATGTTCATTGGCCAAGAGACAAAAGCACCTTTTCATTGAAGATATACTGCGGAAATTTACTTATGTACATGTGAGATAGATACAGATATGCATGTACGTCGGCGGCAGAGTGATGCAATGTAAAATACCAAAAGAAAAGGATGAGGATACGTTATAAATGCGTCAGGTCAATGACTTCATATGAAGTGGGGACTACACCAGCTGGCTTTCTGAAGGAAGTTGAGTCAAGGGGCTCCAGTTTGACAGCTCTCGATGTACTAGCGTAAGCCAAGGGTGGTTCTAACTTTTCCCGTTTCACAGCTCTTGACGGGGCTGAACTCGCAGAAGTCGAGAGTGTGTCGAACTTTTCTCTTTTCACTGGTATCGCAGGAGAACCAGCGAGAGTCACAGAGCTTCCCTAGAGACAAATAAGACATTAGTCAACATTTTTAATAGATAGGATCTGCGAGCTTACTCTACTACTGGCCGGAATGACGGAAACATTTCTAGAATTAGAACTATTGACGAGAGTTGAGGCTGAAGAAGCAGACTAGTGGTACACGAATCAGAAAAGTTCCGCCTGCCCATTCCGAAGCAATGAATTTACCCGTATTGGAGCTAGATCATTCGTTGTAAGGTCAATAGGGAAGTGAGGTTTAAGCTCTTCTTCGTCGACTTGAAGACGGCCTTTGCGGGGTGGGTATGGTGCTATATCCTTTGCTCGAAGTAAATCTGAATGAATGTCAAAAGGCGACGGTCAGAACCAAAGAAACATCATTCGGACCTATTGGCATATATCGAAAACGAAAGCGGGCGATAGGATCACCGTACGGTTCCGTCTCATGCTCTAAAACACTCCTACTATCGACGACAGGCTTCCCGAACCTGAAGAATAACGCCGACTCAGACCGAGATATTTCGCATCAGAGAGGAAAATCCACAATACGCTACGTTGTGTTATGCGCGGAGCCTTTGACATCTTTCTCGTTGAACTCCAAAGTTTCAGGTGCAGTATGCGACTTGTCATATAGTTTCCTGCTTCGTAACCTGACGCGTATGATAATCAAGTCTATTTCTCCAGGACTTTCTGTAGACAAACTGACTGCATCCTCGATGTCTTCCGGAGCACTAGATAAGAGATCCCGACAGTTCACATAAGAAGGGCACCACAACTCACCGGTGAGCTTTAATTTCGAAAACACAAAGGGCATTCTCGTATTCCCTGCAGTTCTGAATCCCTTCTTGATTACACTCCGGTTAACTGTCCTTCCAGATATGATCTTTCCTCCCATAGCTCGTCCGTCTATATATATCCGGCCCCTTGTGGGACACTCAAAGGACCTATCGCACCAATGAACTTGGAAACTTTTGCCTTCTTCCGAAGCAATGTAGCAGGTTACTGTTTTCTCTCTATCGTCGAAGTCCACACCATGTTCTTCGAGGTGCCCATTACCATCGATGGTGATCCACGCGCCGATGTTTCCGTAGAAAAGCATTGGCAGCAATGGTGGCTGAGGAGGTGTGTCAAAGGTGTGTACATTAAGAAAAGTCACCAGAAACGTGACGTGATTTCGCGCGCTCAATTTTCAAAGATTTACTATTATCGCACATGTGGAGGTTAGTACTTCGTACATACCAAGCACATCCCAAAATGACATGCTAAGATGGATTGAATATTAGGGTTGGAGTTACAATGCAATGAATTATAGTTTCCGGGGATGAGTATTGTACAATGAACAATGACTTCAAAGTTCAGCAAGGTTCATATTAGCCCTCGACGAAAATCTATCTTATGTCCGCCTACAGTTTGTTAAATGAGTATATAGGGAACTGAGATCAGTGGCATTCACTGGGTCAAATCAATGAAGACAGGTTCTTTTGGTTGTTCTGTCTTGATACTGGCAACACCAGACTCTCTTTTGACTCTTTTACGGTCACGGGTGTCCGGATGCTTGGCTCGGAGTTCATCTAGACGCCTCTGTGATCATAAACCGTTCCCTTCAAGCAAGGTCAGCAAACAAAAGCTGTAAAACGTACCTGAAGGTTCTCCATCTCCTTTTGCGGATCGTCGTCATCGTCTGATATTTCAATTATTCCAAGACTGCCTGGTCTGACGCCTTGCATACTTGAAGAACGAGGTCGTTTCGAGGATTGAGGGAGGTCATTTGTTTGAGAAGTGGATGGTGCAGGAGGGGCGATACCATGAGCACGAAGCACCTCTACAATGAAAGTGGTCAATAAAAAGTAGCAATCGCAGAGGGACGGAGGAACCTAAAGGCCGGTACCGGAAGACGAACCGCAAGAAGTATTTACCAATGGGTTCACCGAGATTTTTATAGGATGGTTTCTCGTCATACGCAGTTGTACCAAATCTACACACAGCTAAAAAATTCAGCATTCCTGTTGAGGAAAGAACGCTGTATGATTTCGCACCTGGTCTGATGGTCTATTCCTTTCTTTGTTGACTCATTATACGTTTCTTCTTCCGGTGGCTTTGAAATTTTCTCCCTAATGGCTCGTCCAGTCTGACTCCAATATCGAATGCGCAACTCAATTTCACCGATATTTCCAGGCATGTCTAGGGCAAAAGAATCCTCATCGTCTGTGGTGATGATTGTTCAATAATCAAAGTGCATAGCTACGACACTGTGGCATACCTGTCAGTTTCATAAGAGCAAATTCAAATAGTCTTGAGGAAGTCGGAGAAATACGGAGTCCTTTCTTTATCATCGCCTTATTTCTCTTTTTTATAACTTGTCCTCCACAGCTTGTTCCGTCTATGCGAAACCGTCCGTTGCTAGTCCCTTTGAAAACAGTATCTTTCCATCGCACTTGGTATTGCTATAGAGAAGAGGTTCATTAAGAAATAAGGAGGCTCTACGTATATGCCGCAGCACCGAGATTTGCAAGAAGATTACCTTTCCGGCAACAGAAGGAACCCAGCAAGTCACTGTAGTCAATCCGTCTTTTGTAGACTTCTCTGGGCTGTACTCGTCTAGAGGTTTACCGTCAACGATAATGTATGCACGGAAAGACTTATAAGAAGGCATGTCAAGTTATGAACCGCGTTCGAAGAATGACAAATGGGAAACGCGCACACACGCATCACATGATAGCACCATCACAAACAACATCCCACCATGTCGGTCCCTCCTGAGGATTTGTCTCCTACTCTAATTTTCCGTCATAGGACCCGATTGAACTCAGATAGAGCCTACTCAGACTGGCATCCTTCTACGAATAGTCCAACCTCCACAGAACCGACGTCTCCAACGACTCGAAATCGTTTACTTTTGTTCTTGACATTACGGAGACACTATTTTCTCATCCTGACGCTCTCATTTCTCGTTTCCTGTCTTCTGCTATCAGTTTGCCATGTCTTGGGGAATGCATATCGTGCTCGATATCAACAAGCTTTTCTCAAGCCAAACCAACCTAAACTTTCAAATAATACAATTGCCATCAATATCGCTAATTCCCGCAAGAGCAAAACGTATATCCCACCTCGCCCATTTTCAAAGGCGTCGTCCAATGAGATAGAGGCCTCTGGTCCATTTTCAACAGCCCATAAACTAGGGTCTACTCGCACCGGCGCCGTTCCTGTGGTGTATCGTACGGTCCTCGAACGATTGGAGCAACTAGATCGTCAGCAAGAAGCGTTACTCGCCCTTCCTATATCTCTTCCTTTCCTTGATGTCGAGAACCAATACCATTATTTTCCAAAAACTGTTGTGAATAACCTTTGCCGTGACTCTCTTTGTCGATTCCTCCTCCCCCTTCGCATTGCAGAACAAGAGTCCAAAGCCCGAATTCATCTTCTCGAGATCATTCAAACAGCTAAGCGTCTTGATCGGATACTGGTGCTGCCTCGCGTCGGGAAAAGTAGACTCGGTCTATGCTTTCGATGGAGCTTTGAAGCATATTATGACGAAGATATGTTACAGGAGACCTTACATGAGGAAGGTGTCCGGTCAGTGACGCTAGAAGCATTCAAACTCTGGCTTGACTCAGGTCCGGTGCCATCACCCCGTGGTCAATTAGTGTCTCTCTCATCCAAAGTAGACTCGAACCGCCCAGGGACCGTGAACTTCACAGACAACAACAATAGGCTGATCACTTTTGTCGACAACGACCCTCTCACATTACAAGATCCTAGGCTCCCCGGATGTTTTGGTGATCGGTTCAGTGCGCTGATTTTGAATGATTTCACGCCGGTAGCGATCTATCCATCACCCGTAGTGAATAAATCCTTGAAGAAGCAGCCCGTCGGGGAAGAATTTATTTCTATTCTTGGCCGAGAGGATATCCGCAATGCCTCAAGGTTTCCGGCTCTGGGAGGAATATCACCTAAGAATGAGCCGGAAGTACTCATGCTGGACTGGGGTATGCGGCATCCCGTCTATTCTCAGCCATTCAAGGGTCCTATAACATATTCACCTTTACTCGAACGACTAGCGACGACGCTGTCATCTCCATCGTCTCCGTATCTAACGATCCACTGGCGTATGGAGAGTGTATCTCCGGACGTATTGCCCGATTGCGCTCACGATCTTGTCGATACGATTTCGAACCTCCTGCACTCTCCCGATCTCAGTGAAGGCATCCAGAAAGTGTGGTTTTCGGGCGATTATCCTGTACCTCTTGTCGAACATTTGTATCCGACCTCCGATCGGGCTCAGACTCGAGCGACAATTCAAAACAAGTCGGGCACCTTTAGGGATTTTGGAGAGAAGCATACGGAGGCTGTGAATATATTGGTTGACGCATTTCGAGAGGGGGCGGAGCTGGATCGGTGGACTATCACTGATCTTACAGCAGAGCTTGCACGGATGGAGAAAGATAATGAACTTCATGATGTTCATCCTGAATTCTTAGCCGATTCGGGCGCTTTGGGAATCTTGGACAAGATGGTTGGCATGGACGCAGCGATCTTCGTAGGGGGCTCTAAGCGTTGTGGGAGGACAAGGTGAGGACATTCTGTATTCATATCCCGCCGTTTTATCCCTGATGAAGTCTATCTATTTGTTAGCTCTTTCACTAAACAAGTGATTGACAGTAGGCAGAAATTTTTTGAAAAAGACGGGTTAGTGCGGAACGTTGTTGAATACTTTGGATGATCGTTGGTCTGTTCGGTCAATACTCGGGTCCTCATGGTTCTGGTGTTCATTTCGGGTTCCATCGAAGCAATCGGTGCACCCTTACCATTCATGTCCTTACAGTTTGATTTCGGAAAAGCTAATTTTGTTAATCCTGGACCTGGATCTATCCTGTATTTATCTCGCATTCAATCTGTATTCCAAACATATCTTATTACAGCGTGGACGATGAGTTATAGACTACTACGGTCACCTTACTTGTTGGAACGAAATAATGCCGCACTGATCAATTGCAAGCGCGCCGAGAAACTGTCAACAAGAGAAGATTGTTTAGGTAAGAAGCCGAGACCATCTTCGGCGTCCCACTTCCACCTCGCCGTTCCACTCGATATTCGACTTGGGTCATCCTCAGAAGATTGAAGATTGGAGCTTGTGCAATCTGCATCCATCTTACCATCACAGATCGGCTCTAACGCTGAAAGCCTTAGGATTCAATGAGTACAAACACTGACACCGGCCCTCAATGGGGAAGAGGTATGTTCCGAACCACAACCTTGCTGGATACAAACTTGTACTCTTTGCGCTCATATCGCTCCCACATTCTGTGATTCACCACTATCATTAACTGATGCTCTTTTTCAGTACTAATTTGTGGGGGAACGGACTGGTATGTTAAATATTTAGGAATAGGACTTGGGTTCATTTTCCGGTCAAATTGACCATTAGGACGCGGTTGGGGCGCAGAGACAGATCTGGAGTACCTGTAAAGTCTGAGGAAGAAGGGGACCCGTGAGTTCTGTTTTCATTTTCGTGTTCGACGCGAACTTCTGCGTTTTCTCGATTTTCGGCTTGCCCGATTCAATCCGCTCTCAGGTCATATTCCTACTGCCACCCTCACTTTCTCTGAAAAGTTTGGATCCTGATATATCACAATTTTCAGACACCCTGATCTCCTAGAACCTCATATTCTGCGTTCTCTGTCCAATGTCAAAGTCGTTTCAGTCCACACAGGATGCGCTGCTTGTCATTTCGTAGTCCTCGACATCGATGGAAACGCGTGGATTTTTGGTCGAAACGGGTCATGTTGTCTCGGCGTGAACAAGGATGACGCAGGGGAAGCCATAGACGCGATTTCAGAGAATGCGCCTATGAGAATAAACCCCGTTCACCTTGGTTCCCCTAAGGGAAAGTTCGTGGATGCCGCTTGCGGAAGGAACCACACCCTTTTGGTCGGCAGTGACGGCCAGGTTTGGACAGCTGGCGCAAATCCTCTAGGACAAGTTAAAGATTTGAAGCGCTATATGTGGCAGCTCCGTTTGACTGACTTCCGATATTCTCGCAGTGTGGTCATTCTCCATGTCCAGAGGTAACGAGCTTCAAAGCAGTACCAGGCTTCCACCAGGACGGACCGGAGCACGCGATTAAAGTATCTGCTGGTATATCCTTCTCCCTTGTGCTAACAAAGTCAGGAAAAGGTCAGCTTGCGTTTCCCTCTTCGAGCTATCCTCAGACCTTCTACTCTAGTCTTTTCCTTCGGAAGTGGTGAAAAAGGTCAAATTGGAAACGGATCAACCGGGGAGCGTATCACTACAGGCAATAAGGTTGCGTTCGATATTATCGACACACCTTGTGCGTCTTGAATATATCCTCATTCCCATACTCACCCCCCCTACTCGCACAGACTACATCAAAGAATTAAACGGAAAGAAAGTCGTTCAAATTGCCTCTGGGCAACAACATAGCGCTGCGGTTGACGACGAAGGGTATGCCTCGAACCCTTCTTGGATAGCAAACCTGATACTCATCAATATCTAGCTATGTCTACGTTTGGGGATATAATGGTTATTGTAGACTAGGCTTAGGCAATCAGGTTGATATGCTGAAGCCTAAAGTCGTTCCGCAATTTTCGGGACCTAACAAAGCCAGTATGGGGTCGGCTGTCGTCTGCGGACCATCCAACACTGTTGTGATTGACCGGCAAGGAATGTACTGGATGGCAGGAAAATGGAAAAATAGCGGAGAGGGTGCGTTTTGCATTCCTCATCTCAAGCCAAACTCATAATTGTCCCGTAATTCAGGTTCTTCCGGTTCTCCTTATTCTTCTTTCCGTATCATTCAAGATATCATGGCATGTAAGATCAGTCATGCTGCCTGCGGAGGGGTTACTCACTGGGTAATCACACCGGACGACGAAGGAACGATGACCGTCGCTTGGGGGCAAAGTGCTTCAAATGGTGACATTGTGTCCGTACTCTATGAGTAGAAAACCGAGATACTTAATCTTTTCGGCAGGCGAACTTGGTTTGGGACCAGACGAGCCCAAGAGTTCAACGAAGCCAACGAAACATATGCCTTTAGAAGGGATCGAGGTCCTTCAGTACGTGTTTCTTCGACCCGAGAGTCCTTTCCAAGATGCCAGTGGATTTATTGCAATTGTGTTACAATAGGATTGCTGCCGGTCAGAACACTACCGTCTTCTTAGTGAAGCCGACATCGCCAAAAGAGCGGCCTTCTATTTCTGTCGCGAACGGAGACTCGAAAGCGGAGGAAGAAAGTGGGGACAGGTATTCTGAGCGGCCTAGGCATCCAGAAGATTTGGAAGACGTTCCAGATCTATGTCTTGTTTGCGACAAAGATAACGGAGATGATGATTCGCCTTTGGAATGTGACAAGGCATGTTGTTTCACCTCCTAGTAGTCCATTGCACCAACTGGTATATCATTCTTTCATCTTCATGTAGTGCGACAACCCTTTCCACCTCGGCTGCCTCAATCCTCCATTGGCCGCCGTCCCACCTGGTGAATGGTTCTGTCCAAGATGCGTAAAAGACCAAGGGGCGCCCTTGCCCGGATATAAATCCGTGAAGCCAAGTACGGCGGTAGTTCCGGTTGCGGTTTCACGAGTAGCGACTCCCATTAACAAACGAAAGGGGAATGACGTAGATGAGGACGGGGATGAAGAGATGCAGGATGGGCGGTCGAAGCGAAAAGCCCCTGGGTCGGAGATGGGTAGAACTGGTAAGTAATAAACGTTCCTTTGAAGAGGTATAGGGTATCTGATGTTTCCGTGTAGGTTCTAAGAAAAAGCGACAGTGATTACTACCCTAAGTGATTGGAGCCTGGCAAACCCCCCGCACATGACCAAGAAGTGCTGTCAGGAGATGCATTCCAGTGCTCTCCTCCCTTCTTACTGCTCTTTACAGTGGTGGGAGGAGTACTTGCACTTTCGTCTTTGTCTCAAATTGGATGTACAGGTGTCCGAACACCCCTAGTCTGCGGAAGGAGAGTATCATGATGCATATTACACTCAAGCTGGTTGTCGGGTGAGTACGAGATTGTAGGGAGCGTGTGGTTGCTGGTTAGTACCTGTGCTTCCCTGCGTTATGTTCGTGTGTACAAGGTAAATTTGGCATTTTATGAATTTGGATGGAGTCTTTTCTTTATATCTTTCCTTCGACTATGAACCGTTTGTACAGTACTTTTTTAAACGACTTCCTCACCCCCATGTATCGCTGTCTGTCGCTCTCATATCACAAACTGCTTTCTTGCTTTCCCCCATCTCATTGGTACCGTAGCTTATTACATCTGTAGTTGTTTTGGAAGTCGAACGAAAGCATCTGCAACGAAAGCGTGGGAAACCGTGTTCTGCGATAAGCGATCGCTCTCAGGCGCTCAGGCCTCAGGCTTATTATCTTTCTTTTCTTTCTCAGTAACCTCGCATGCAGTATTAGTATTACTGCAATTTCAGTTTGCACCATAGCCTTGGCCTTAGTCTTAAAACCCAGAAAAATCGAATTCGTTTGTTTATTTTAGCAGAACAGCGTCCAACACCCGCCTAAATTCTTCCTCTGAAGCGAATGGTGAATGAGAAGGCAAAGAAGAGTATCGATCACGTGCACAACACACACAAGCGTGTCATCCTTCGTCTTCTTTTGTGATAATTGGCATGTACTATCTTTCACGCTTGATTTGGTGATACGAGATGCGTTACCGTCGGGAGAAGTTGTAGACTTGACCTAGCTCTCTCTTGGTGACTATTTTCACACTCTCCAGTTAAACATATATCTGACGACTCTGTTAGACGTCTGCCCACCTTTTAAGTTTTCTGTGTATGTCGTTTGACAATCAAGTGCAACTTCCCACTCAACCTTCTACGAAAATGATCAAAGAAAAGCGCTTCGATCAAGGTTTTCTCTGGGTATGCCCAATGGCGAAAGTTGTGGGTTTCAATTCTTAGTTTCTCTCATTGAAGAGGGCCGAATATCGTCATCGGAGTCTGATATGACAATTTCAAGGCTGAGTAGGACTGAGTAAGCTAGATCAGTAACCGGCCGCGGCTGACTTAAAAAGTGCACAGGTAGGTGACGTGCTTTTGCGTCTGAATGTTATATAACCCCTAAATTACACTCTGATAATGCTAGAAACTTTCTATCAACGAACCGCAGTTCTTGTTGTCAATCCCTAGTGCCAAATGCCTACTTCATTGCAAAGATCCATTGCCCTTGTTGGGGCTGGATCTCTAGGTCAACACATTCTCCGCGCTCTACTGACTAGTCCCAGCCATCCAAACGTCGTCGTACTAACACGTCCTGAATCCAAAAATGATCTTCCTAGCGACCTATCTTCCGCAACAATAATACCAGTCGATTATACTAATGTCGCTGCTCTGACAACATTGTTTAAGGAGCACTCCATCGAAGTTGTGATTTCCGTCGTACCTCCGCCTGCATACACCACTGTTCAGCATGCTTTAGCCGACGCAGCGAAAGCTAGTGGGACCGTGAAATTATTTGTGCCATCCGAGTGGGGTTTGCCAACGGAAGGGGCAAAGGAGAAAGGAGAAGAGAATTTGTTTGCTGTGAAAGATGAGGTAGCTGGTGAGTATGTCGTATGTGTATGTGAGAGAATACAACTAATGTGACCATATCTCAATCCTGTGTAGAATACCTGAAATCAATTGAACTACCATACACACGATTCTACGTAAGTGTCTTGTCTTCGCTGCGTTCATTGACAAACAGCTGATATCCTAATTTTAGACGGGAATGTTCATGGCTTACGTTCCCTGGCTTGTCGGAATTGATGTGGATGGAAGAGTTCATATCCAAGGCAAAGGAGAGACTCCTTTCACACTGACTAGCCAAGAAGACATTGGTGGTAAGGCTTTCGAATGCTCCAAAAATATTTGAAAGTCTTACCGTTTCACACCCAGGCTTTGTCGGACATGTTTTGACTTCTCTGGCCCTCACTTCTCCTGAACTGGTAAACGCTTCTCTCCGAATTCAGGGCCAACGTCTTACTCTGCGGGAATATGCACAAATTGTTAACAAACCGGTTGTTACTGTGGCACAAGACGAATCTCTCCCAGTAAAGACCGAAGGGGAAAAAGCTTTCAAGACCTTCTTACAAAATCAAGTGGAAAGTGGTAAGGCCAGCACGGGATGGGATCGCAAAACCGAGAAAGAGATAGATGGAGCGGCAGGAAGTGCGAATAAGTTGTGGGAAGGCCATGTCTGGCAGACGGTGAAGAACAACTAGTACTGCAGAGTCCCGCCCGTTTTGGTGATGGCTGGTATAACTTTGCCTTGCACGACTCTATAACGGACCAGGATGAGTTATGTGGAGGCCGAAAAGAGAAAATGTTTATATAGGGCCTAAGCCCCCATTGAAACACCAATACAGGATATGTATAAGGAGTACAAGATTTTCTAGCAGCCGGGCTACTCCTACATACATACCTTTACCTTACCAAGTGTATGAACCTTCGATCTTAAGTTTTCTTGCAGTCCAGCTTTTATGTCGTTGGATATTCAACACCATTCTTCGTATGAAAGCGCCCTTTCAAAATAATGCACGGTTACAGCAACTGCCATTGGTTCTTCCGTAACCTTCACCACCATTTCGATCTGCACCAGCCTTTGACTAGCCTTTACTTGACTGTTGACAAATGTAGAGGTATAACAGCACTGACGAACTTTCAAACTTCCGAAGCGTGCACTCCGTATATGCTGGACGACACAAGAGGCTCACATGCGAATAAGGCTTCGTCACCGTTACACTAATCAAGGGAAGGGTGGAGGAAACAGTGGTGGCAGGTAATGAAGGACTACTACCTGTAGCTTCAAAATCTAAAAGGCACGGTAAGATTCTAATGTGAAGAATAATACTCAATTGGAGGCCGCGAATCGCGGTCAGGATGAGGTAAGTTCAGAAAGGTGCTGATTGAGCAGATCCGGGTGACTTCGCGTCTTTAAAGTTTCCATGTATGTAGCGCTTCATATAACGATCCCCGGTAGAGGCGCAGTGGATAAAGGTTGCACCGACTCATTACTTGAAATGAAGTCTTAACAATCCTGAATAAGCTGAATTACACATCCACCATTTATTTCCGGTACAGCTCAGTAGCTGACTGAGATTCCAAAATGATATTTGAGGAGTTGAATCTTGGACACTGGTATGTGGCGTACTTTAGCCTTTAGAGCTACTAGCATACTTAAAGACCAGGAAGTATCACAACCAATCACCCGTAAATCACGCTTGACAATACATGCATTCTCCGAAAAGATCTATTGCTCTCGTAGGTGCTGGAGTCATAGGGATGCCTATCCTCCGAGCCCTGCTCAGTAGTCCCAACCACCCCAACGTGATTGTCCTGACACGCCCTGGTTCCAAAAACAAGGACCTTCTCAATGACCTTCCCCCCGTATCGCCGATAGTAATCCCGGTTGATTACACAGATACTTCTGCTCTCACTGCTTTGTTCAAGAAGCTCTCTATCGAAATCGTAATCTCTGCACTGGCATCAACAGGGTACAACGCTCAATACAATTTAGCTGATGCAGCAAAGGCGAGTGGGTCGGTAAAGCTGTTTGTGCCTTCTGAGTGGGGATCGCCAACGGAGGGCGCGAAAGATAAAGGCGAAGATAATATCTTCGCCATTAAAGATAGGGTAGCTGGTAAGTTGGTCTCTTTTCCTGTGTGAAAATATTAGATGAAGCAGCTCCTGCACAGAATATTTAAAATCAATTGACCTGCCATATACGCGATTCTTTGTGAGTAATGCTGTTCAATCTGAAAACTAATCGTTGAAAACACAATGTAAGACGGGACTGTTTATGGCCTACGTTCCTTGGGTTGTTGGAGCTGATGTGGATGGTAAGGCTCACATTCAAGGCAAAGGAGATACGCCCTTCACGGTCACTAGTCAAGAAGATATCGGAGGTCAGTTCTTCTACCTCGAGTATGACAATGGTCTGTTAATCATAATTGTTCAGGGTTTGTCGCACACGTCCTTACTTCCTTACCTCTTACTTCACCCGAATTGGTGAACACTTCCCTACGAATTCAAGGTCAACAGATCACCCTTCGCCAGTACGCTCAAGTCGCCAATAAATCGATTGTCGCAGTGACTGAGAACGAGGCAATTCCTGGAAATACCGATGAGGACAAAGCCTTGAAGGCATTTTTACAAAAACACATAGAAGAGGGGACGGCTACTACAGGATGGGATCATAGGACCGAAAGGGAGATAGAGGGAGCAACTGGAAGCGCGAATAAAATGTGGGAAGGACACGTCTGGCAAACGATAGAGCGCACTTTCTAAACCTCAAAGATCGACTTTGCATTCCCTCCTATTAGAATAACATATTTTTTCTCCCTCTTATTACAGTTCCAGAATCGATACCGATTGAACATTGAGGCTGATTTGCATGTTTCCTTCAATATTCAGCATGGCTTTCGCAAACGACCTTGTTAGAATTATTGTCCTGAGAATCAGATGAGGAGAAGTTAAAATAGTTGGCGGTGCACAATGTGGTGCGAGAATCAAATATCAACGCCTTTGATACCAAGTTTCCGTGGTAGCAATGGGCTAGCAAAGTACATCGTCTTGTTTCCGTGTTTAGAGATCTGTGATCAGCTGTGATCAGTCAAAAGAATTTTTGAGCGGAATGGCAGTCGATCCTTTCGAAGTTGAAAGGTCGCGTTTTAGGGTTAGGGTTAGGTCCTTCAAGCTTTGTACGACGACAAGCACAACGGCGGGAGTCATTTCTATACGTTTATAGAAAATATCTTTCTGCTCTCTCTCAATCTTTCTAGACTAGGAAATTCCTTATCAGGCTCGTGTCGCTCATGACTTCAAACTTCGGCGAAATTCTCCTTGAACCGACTCAGTAGGGGAGTGATTATTTTGTGCCAGATTTTTGCTTCAGATAAGATTATACGGGCCGCTATATCGATCATCTGTCCTCCTGACTCCCGCAACGCCTATAAAAGTTGACTCCATTGCGAAAGCATAATTCGGACTTTCTCCATCTGCATCTATGTCCGAATTTGAACCCATACTGTTAACTCTTCCATCTCTTGCACCTTCTCTTGCGGTGGAGGTATGTTGCATCCTCCTTCGTCTAATGAACAAAGAACAGAGTTTCTTCTGGTTTCCGTGTCCATAGATAATCCCGTATGGCTTGACCTTTCATCGTATCTTTGTCCAGGCTGATGGTAGGGTGAGTGACAAACTCCACTTGCTTGGCTGACCTCTCAGCCGTATCACAGACGCACGACATTGTTATCGGTCCAGAAGATCCTAGAGGACACATCACACAGAAATACACTAATACTATCATTGGTCGTTACGCTAATCGTGTCCCGGTCGGAACGCACGCGATAGAACGAAACGGCGTCAAAGCCGAAGTTATTGCGAAGCTCAATGGTACGCGCCCTCTGAGATATATTGGCTCCGTGCTAGTGGCACTAATCTCAAATATGAATGGCAGAGGGTACTCGCGTCTCCCTTCACGGCGGTCCAATTGGGTTCGATTCTCTCGCCTGGACTCACCTCACCCCTAATTCACCTCCAACACTCTTTACCGAAGCGGAACTAGCGCACCTCCCACCACTATCATCAACAGCGACATACGGAATTTTTCGATTAGTGTCTCCAGACGGAGATCAAGGTTACCCCGGAGAATTGACGACAGAAGTGCTAATCGCCCTCGTTCCTCCGGCAGAGCAGGAACGCAAGTACCTCGAGCCAGGACAAACTGCCGCCGGCGCCGAATGGGATCTGGGAAGCATTGTATATGTGTACAGGGCAAAGTTAGATAAGGGGGTTACACCGGTGAATCTCACTCAGGTGAGTTACTATATCTATGACCAGTATCAGTCTTTCTCAACGATCTTATTGGTGTTCTGGTAGCATTGGGGTTTCAATCTCGAAGCAAGTCTCAAGGATGGCAAGGATACCCTTTCGGTCAAAAATCATCACATTACCATGAAGGTACGTACACACTGTTGACCTTAGACGCATATATCTATCAACACAACTCATTTGACTCTAGGCAGACCGCATCGTGGCGCGAGACGCAGATAGCCTGAACACAGGAGAATTCATTCATGTATCCGATGCCACTGAGCATCTACATGAGGGCCAGAAAATTGGCGACAAGTATCCCAAGTTAGGCTATGGTAAGGATGCATGCAGCTTTTATCACCAATATGTCGTTCATGCTTATCAACCACGTCCCCTTTGAATTTTCTCAGATGATTATTATGCGTTTACACCACAGAAAATCAAAACTCCCAAACGCTTCCCGGTTTCAGAGTTCACTCCAAAATTCGATTTACTTAAGGATGTGCTAATTCCAAGCGGTACGGGAGGCGCAACAAGAGGCGATAGACCAGAGCCTGTGGTTGAACTTTCATCAGAAACATCCGGGCTAAAGTTGATTTTCGAGACGAACCGTACGTGATGTTACAGTCACAATCTTCTTCTACTTGCATTTTCTTTTCCTACTTAACTTGACTGAATTCTTTCTAGAGGATGGAGCGATGTTTTACTCTAACGCTTGGGCAGACCCTGCCAAGGGCGCGCGGAAGAAGATCCACGGCGGGTCAGGTATCAAGGATCATGGAGATGGCTATGTTCCTGGAAGTATGTTGCTCTTTTCCTACATCATCCTTTGCCGGACTGATTTCTCATCGTCGTACAGCTGCTGCATTCCTAGAATTTCACGATATCTTGGCTGCGTTCCTTGATCCAGCGAAACAGAACGGTAACGACACCCTGTTGACTTCGGATGAGGTGTATCATAACTATGTCCGGTGTGATGTGAGGTTCAGGCAACCTGCAACTTAATTGTCGGACACGTCGACGGAGAACCTAGAGATACCATCTGAATATGTCACTTTCTGGAATTTGATTGTGTCAAACATACAGACAAATGGTTCAGAAAAAAAAAACTGATTACCAACTGTGGATATTGAATCAACGTGAAGGAAAAGAAGAACAGCTTATTATATTACTCACTCTAGCTAGGAGTTTCCAGCTCCTTCTGGAATGTAGGTTACGGATTTTTGAGGAGACAACTCTTCGTTCTTCGAGTTTCAGTCCAGTCTCAAAAGATTTTTGCTCCAGCATGCTACCTCTTCTTCAGCCAACTTCTAGCTTTGATCATCATGTACGTTAGATCATCTTTGGTTGGGCCATAGTAGAGCTTAACCTATGCTTGTTTGATTGTGATAGATTCACGGTACGTGGATTTTGTTCGATATGATCCGATTTGATTCAACTGAGATGAAAGACTCGCCTTCAACTGCGCATAGACTGATGTTGCCTTCAGGCATTGCCTAGTTCCTAACATCTACTTGTTCCTTGTTCTAATATCCTTAGTCGGTTAATCTGTCGTAAGTCCTGTTTATGCTAACCACGGAAACGTTTCTTGTCCATCGATTGCATCCTCTTTCCTTTGTGGCCCCGCTCATTGGCAATGCTTTTGGGTTTGCCCTTGTGAGCAACTTCAATCATCCAATGAACCCTGATTTGATTCACTGACGTATCGTTTGCTTTTCTAAATGCAAGCCTCAGGCTTCTCAGCGCCGTAACTCTTTTCGTAGGCCCAGTGCAGACATTCACTTTTTCTGTTACTCCTTCTCCCGTAGACGTAGGCCAGGCATACGAAATTGTATGGGACTATGTCGAAGGTGACGCACCGGATAACTCTTTCGCAATTGAAGTCCAGGGAGAAGATGGTTACTTGCAGTGGTTTGGATTTTTCAATTCATCTGGAAGCACTTCTGCACCAGCTCTACCTTCCGTGGGGTATGTTGGGACTGCTAGACAAAATTAGAGACTGATCCGGTCTCCATAGGTTCTATACACTCGCTGCTTACACCAATGTCCCGGGAATAGAGTATGTCCACAATTCAAAAAGAGTTCGCAGTGTTGACTTCTTGTCAAAAGTAATGGAACCTTTTACACGACATTGTTTGATGCTCAAGAATCTACCACATCCACGTCGAGTTTTGAAACCACGAAGACCTCCATGTAAGTATTTCAGCTCCTATTCATATATCGATTCCGACTCTCATGTAGTGGCAGCACCAACTCACAAAGGTAACGATCTAGATTTCATATCAAGATTGGAATCCGACAACTTATTTTTGTGCATCAGCACGACGACCTCTGTGCAAACATCTTCCCTCTCGCTTTCTAGCTCACCCCTTTCATCATCCTTGTGAGTACTCGCCCAATGAGCCGTAATAATCAGCCTTGTGGAATGACCCTTCCATTACTGGCAGCTTACCCACTACAACTACTACACAAGGCTTCAATCCAAACCCGTCGTCGACATTATTCGCGTCGAGTTTTACCTCATCATCATCCGGCAGCATGCCTTCAATTTTCACCTCGTCATCATCAACATCATTGAGCAGTACTACGCCTTCGAATTCTTCGTCTCCAGAACCACCCTCAAATTCCACACTCCCAAAACCCAAGAGAAACACAATCATCATTAGCGTCTCCACCAGTGCTGGTGGGCTCATATTCTTCGCCTTATTTGGATTTTACTGCATACGTCGAAGACGTGGATTGCGTGATATTGAAAACGAAAAACTTACCGCTATCCCGTACGCATACTCCCAGTATGCCTTCCGCGCCGGGCCTACTATTGGGCCGAGCCCATCCTCGCCTCGTACACGAATTCCTCCATCGAAGGGGTCCGCTCCTACTGCATCAGACGATGGACATTTGCCGTTGAACAGAAACGCAAGGAATATGCGGAGGTTGTATGACACTTCACCTCCGACTTATATAAGTATAGTGGCGTGAGTGTGCCGGAGGCTTATGCAGGATGTATTCGTGCATTACTAGTATTCTCAGCGGGCTCACGGTTTACGTGAGCTGATTCATGAACGTCGATTGCAGCAAATGGGTCGAAGAATCCATATACAACAGCGTATATGTACATATATAGTGTAATATAGAAAGCAAATAAATACTAGGCTCCACTGGCGTGGACTGCACCTTGCTTGGGAAAGGATACATTTCAATCAAGTTGATACTGAAATTGGTATGGCAGGAACTAGGGAATTATGCAAAAAGTGTCTAAGTATCATCTGAATGTCTTTGTCAAGGTGTAGATTTTAGTTCAAGTATCAAGTAAAGACAGTGCACATAAGGTGCACTGCAGAATATATGCACTTCAAAGGCCTTGTTAATCCAAGTATTGAGGAAAGAACGCGGCGCACACAAGGTGCGCCGCAAAGCAAGCACAGTTCCCTTCAAAGCCCAATATGTTTGTAAATGTTTGGCAAAAGCATGAGGCCAAACACAGCCAAAATGTGCCTGCACAAAAGTACTTAAATTCCGGAGTGCAATAGACCTTGCAAGCAAGGTGATACCCTATCATGCTTTCAGACTTGACTCTTCGCAGAACCCATCAGAGTAATTGAAGGACATCATATCATGCCTTCCTCTTTCAGTGTGTCGTCTTGCTTGACCACAGCATGTGAACGTCCTTCTTTTCTTTGATTATCGACCTGCCTTCTATTCAAGTTAGCCTGCCTTCGCTCGACACGCTGTGCTTGAAGAATTCGTAGTCGTGTCTGGCGTTGAATAGGTAAGAAGATTGTAAGAGGACCTTCTAGAATAAAGAATGGGAAACAAAGATTGCAAACCTGCAATGTTTCCATCTCCGATGCCAGCATTCTGTCTTCTTCATCATCATCCACATCGATGATCTGAGTCGAATCAAGAGCACCAACATCCGACTTAACAATGACAATTTCCGGTGCTTGTTGAGGTTCAGTAGAGACTGAAGTAGTCGAATGTCGGGTGTCGTCGGAAAAATTATTTCCCTTCACTTCCTGTGTATCATTCGAGGGATTGGATTCGGCTTTGCGCCATTTCCGCTGTGGCATATGGATCGTGGAAGGAGTACTAGAGCGCTTTCGCTTCTTGCAAGGGCCCAAGAGCTCGAGGGCACTTATTACAGATCTAGTATCTATCATTGGTGCTCTATCCGAAGAGGACGGTGATATAGGGGGAGACGTTGCTGACGTAGCGAAGGAGAATGAAGAAGTGGCACGTATAGAAGAATTATTTGAATTTTCTGTTTTTATCCAGTCATCGTCGTCGTCAATGACTATCGGATTTATGGCAGTCGTTCCTGCCATAGACACCTCCGTACCCGACTGTACTGTTGGTCCACAGATATCGTCACGTTTAGTTCCTTGTGAGATCTGCTGAACAATGACAGTTTCTAGCTCGTCATCATCGCGGGCAAGATTTTCCGTCCTGGTCGTATTCTGTTCTTCCAGTCCATCGTCATCGCATTTGAAGAACCCAGAAAGACTCGGCAATTCTGACTCTGCTAAATTTGAAATATAACTAGGAGAAGGCACGAAAGAGCCAGGACCCAACGTCGATCGTAATCCCTCTGGCAAGGAGACGAGTCCTGGAAGCGACGATGGCCCGTGGACAGAACTAGCAGAGCCTTGAACCTTGATGACACCCATTTCATCTTGAGCCTCCGGCTTAATATCCACGTCGGAGGATGGCAGCAAAGTATCCCAGTCGGAAACAGAGATACCGCGCGAGGGAGCAGAATTGATCGCGTATTTGGACAGCGCATCTTCAGTTTTGACGGAAAACCTTGTACCAGCCACAACGTGCAATTTTGATTCAGGTCCAGTTGTTGTTTTGGCTCGAGGCTTGTCGGTAGATGCAATGCCTTTCGCCTTTAGCATATCTACGTAGAGGGCTCATACGAATTTCATGAATGATTTATGATCTGGACACACCTATAGGCCGATATAAAAATCTGAATCGAGCAACGGCATCATCGGAAATTTGCTCCAGTCTGACCGCCTGTCTGGGAGTTGATGCGACAGTTTTTCCAAATCTATAAAGAGGCATGGTCATTCTGCATGAACTACCAGGAGACCGAAACTTACGTTGTCTGGTGTTGAATCCCTTTCTTCGCCTTCTCGTGTATTAGCCGCTGCTTTGATGCGCATCTGGTTTGTGACGTCTCATAGGACTTAACCCTCACTCGAACGATCAGAAGTTCAATCTGACCCAACTCAGTGGTCAACAAGTCAGGATCTGCACGGGTATCGTCGTCTATTAGGATTCTCCTAAGCGTTTATTTCATAACGGTTTTGGGCTACTTACCGGTCAGGCTGGTTTGCGAAAATTCGAACGGCTTGACAGTAGTAGGACCGGTTCGTATATACTCTTTACAAGTATAGTTTGGTTTGTCCAAATCAGAAGAAATGACGCTTCCACCGCATTTCTTGCCGTCTAGAAGAACAAAACCATCGGTTGCTGTACTACGTTTGGAGTCCAGCCAATGGATTTGGAAAGGTTTTCCTACTTCTGAGGCGATCCAGCATTGTACAAGCTTCTGCTTCGGGATGTATTGCCACTGATATTCCTCTGCGTGCCGTCCGTCAATGGTCACCCATGCTTCAAATTCTTCTAAAAAAAGCATCATGAAAGGCGGATGTTGCAGTCAAACAAAAATTGTTTGAGACGAGGGAAGAGAGAGGAAAGAAAGGTTAACACAAAGACCATGTTTGAGAGCTTATTTAATAAAGCGCTGTGCGCGATCTTCGATCAACAAACACCGAACGCTATCGGATGTCTCCGGATGTACACAGTCTTACACAGTACAACGATCAAATAAAAACTCCCTTTCTTCCAGAGATCTTCATGAGCTTTCATGTTTTTATCAGAAGATTGAATTTCTCTAATGAGGGCGTTGATCAAAGATGGATTTTTCCTATCATATGATGAAACCACCGATGGAACATGGATTATCGTAAGTATTCTGATGCGGGGCTCAGTCTGTCACCAGCATTTATCATCGCAACTTTCTGAAGATCTCTACCTTATTTCTCTTTTATTCTGCGGACTCAGTTCTCTTTCTCATACCTTAGCTTGTCGAATCTTTGCTGGTCAAAGAACGTGTCAGATCCCCGACACGTAGGTTTATTCCAATGTTCAACTGATTGTGTTCAATGCTCGAGGTATTATCCAGACAGTCCCTCTAGGATTCGTGGTTCCATATGCGTATCAATTCCTTGATTGTGCTCGTCCTTGCCTCTGTAATAGTTCGCGCGCTACCTACGGTGAGTGATTCGTCTTTCCTTGATTCCTATGTGGTTATATCTCGTTCTTTGCCAACATAGAGTGACGCCCGTTCGAAACCTGGCGGCATTCGTAAAACGAGCCAAAAATCTGGTTCACAAGTCAGCCCTAATGCCCGCTTGAAAAAAAAAGTCACCTTCAAGGATCCTTTCAGAGGCCAAACACTCTACATCATGCTTGAATCTGAAACAATGGCACCCGAACATGACGAGGACTCGAAAGAGGCTAACAAGCAGATCGTCCAATTCCTACACTATCCGGATATTTGGGAGGTCTTGAATCTATCCAAGTACGAAAAACTCGACTCTGAAGGTCCTCATTCAAACGATGCATTAAACATCCGCATTCATGGTCATCCCCACCCCGAACACGATAAACACGAGCTCCACTTCACCATTACGGGACCCGAACGATGTGGTAGCGAGACCTCTGGATGTCGAGTAAAATTTCTTAGAGAGTTGCCTGGGAGCAGCTATACAGTGACGAACCAACGTCCAGGCGAAGTGGCAATGATTCTTGCGGAAGAACCGAATTGTGGGTGACTATTCTGTATGCAGTGATATGCAGTAACAATAACGTTCTTTCGATTTTCTTTCTGTAGGGCTCACTCGATCTCTGATCTAGTAGTTCTTATGTTTGTAACGGGCGATTTGTATGATAAATTACAGCGATTTGTATGATCAAGCTTGAACACATGTGGATACCTTGTTTGTGGACAATTAATCACAGTGCATTATACTTTGATGCACGATCTACATCGAGTGCTACAGCTACAATAACTACAATCGATACTGTTGTCATATGGAGCTCGTACGGCGCCGCGATACGGAGAGAAATGTGATATGGGAAAGATATGGAGGGTGATAACTGCACATAAAGACAAATGGTAGTACACAGGATGTGTATGAGGTACAATGGGAAATGATCGGTGAGAATTCCAAAGAGATAGATGGGTCTCATGGATTGACAAGAGGTTGTGAGGGATTTATGAACAAATATGGCGAGGCTATGGGACAAGAATTACAAAGAGATGGGTTCACAATGAGAATGAGATACAGTAGCTGTTGAGTTAATTGCAAAGCTTAGCGAAGGTACTTTTCGTTTAGTGCATGGACTTCTTTGGCGAGGAACGGCCAGCTCAGTGCACATGAAAGTTCTTTTCTCAACTTCTCATCGTCATTCCCCGCACGGTCTTTTGCTAGCTTGATCTCCCAGCCGAGAAGGTTGTAGAGAAGACGCATGTTCGGCTGAATGAGAACCGAGAGACGCCGGGAACGAACGATTAAGTACGCGTCTACAAGAGGAAGAGAGAGATGTTTCATGACATATGCGATCTATGAATCGGATATTGACAGTCAGAACAGTTGAATATACGCCAGAGAGAAAGAGACTCACAGTCACAGTAGCACTACGCGAAACACCGACGCGACAGTGAACTAAAACTTGTCCGCCTTCTTGCCTCGCCTGGTCAATCCAATCACATATTGGCTCCAATTGCGGTTCCAAAGTGTCGATTCCGTCATCGCAGACCCCTTGGATATCGAGAACCTTGATCCGTCCAGCTCGTTCTTCAATCCAGAGGGAGCCTTGATGAGCTGAGGATTTGCTTGGAATGAAATGACCAGATCCTTGACTGTTGTTGCCAGAAGAACCGTGCCCGCGAGCGTTGTGCGAATCAGGAGGAACGAGAGCACATTCTCCAACAGAGACAACATGTGTGATGCCTAGTGCTTGGAGCATGTATACGTTTGAGGCATGTGCTCTGCGAACAGATAAGAAGGATGAAACGCAGATCTCGTGGATAACAACTTACAGATTCCCGAGATACAAGAACGGGAGCACCCTACTCGGGAAACTTCCGTCGAACCTGGGATCATTGAACCACGACTGATGATCACCCCCGAAAAGACTAGGCAGCCACGGGCTTGTGCTAGCTCTTGGTCGCCTTGTGCGTCCCGCAGCAGATGCCGATGAGGTCTCCCCAATTCCGTCCAGCGAGGTCATGGAAGAACTAGGCGCAGACGAAGACATCGGAAGTGTCGCACTGCCTTTCAGACCGCCCGTTCCGACAGACCTGGATGCAAGATCTTGTTGCGTGGGGATAGCAGTCACAGTTCCCATAGAACTATCACCGCCACCTTTGGGGGATGCAATAAAAGGGGAACGGGTAAAGGAAACACTCTTCGCCATTGGCCTCATACGGTTTGGCTGAAGCGGCAGTCTTGATGAATCTGATAACGAATTCGATGAAGAGTCTCCGCTACCCCAGGTACGATATGGGTTCATATGTGTAGGGAAATCAAAACCAAGAGCACCCGTACTTCCACCGAATAGCGACAACGATACTTCGCCAGCACGCTGATCCTTGCTATTCTTCAACCTCTCCATTCTCTCCCTCTCTAACCTGAGCCTTTTCTCCTCTTTCTGGATTTCCTCCTTCCAAGTCCTCCTTTCATCATCTACAAAGCTCTCTACCTTCCTTAACACACCTAAATCGGCATGATAGACAAAGAAACTTCGACGTTTGGCAACTTGAAGTTCGAGGTAGGCATGTGGCAAGCTCAACCCCTTCATCGCCATCAGCAAGCAAAGGGCCGGTACGGAAGACTCGGTGTATCCATCGGCGGAATACATCAAAATTTTGAGGGGACGTGACCAAGGGAAGGGTGATGCATGGGAAGAGGAGGCAAGATAGGAAAGAGATGTGTGTCGCGAATGCATGGAAGAAGTTTGTGAATGCTGACGAAAATGAGCTGGTGGTGCGGGAGAGGTCATTGACCGGTGACGGGAAGTGGACATTGTTGAAGATGATGTCGATGAAGGTGAAGGTTGAGGTGGAGGAGGATTATTGGAATGCATAGGGAAACCTGGGAACGAAGGAATCAATGAAGACACGGAGGACCATCGACGAGATTTCATATTTTCTGCCAACGGTTCAGCGGACCCATTTTGCAAAGACGTCTCAGTCGCAGGTGAGATAGGTGGCTCGTTAACGATCTCTACAGCATCAGTGGGAACAATACATTTCTGCAAAAACCTCACGACTGGCATGAGTGCGCTCATTGTACCTGCAGTGATTGGAGGTGAGCTAGGCATGGGTAAATGGATGATCGCGTTGGGATGTGGTGGAGGTCTCGGAGGAAGAGAATAATTGGCTTGGGTTTCGCCCTTCTCCTTCCGTGATAACTCGACCTGGTCTTTCCACCTCTGCTCCAGCGCGGCAACTTTCTCTTCTGACGCTTTGAGATGTGCGAGAGTAGGGAATGGGGCTAAATCATGACACTCGATACAGATATCGTATCCATACCCATGGCGAGGTGAATTTCCTGGTGGATATACATCCTTCTCAACGCTATCGTGACCGTCCCACCTGGGATCTAATTCTCCAAATTCGCCCATACCATTCACTGGCAATGGTACGTCATTCGCATTACCGAGATAAACTTGACCGACATGAGGATTCCAGAAAGTCTTTGTGTTGCTCAAATCGACCTCATCCCCGTTCGAAGTTGGAATCTGGTGCGACGAAGGCTGCACGTACACAGGAGGGTGTAAAGGATCGGGATTCAGGTAAGCCAGAGTATGCCCTTCAGGAAACATGGAAACAATTTCCGATGCTCTGGTTAGGTCACGCATCTCGTCTTTCTCTCGTTGCGCGAAATCGACAGTGTTCGGTACGGTCTTGACCCTGGTTGAGGTATTTGAGACTGGGGGATCAGATATCGAAGCGTCACAGTTTTCAGCCATGACAACGTCTCCGTCTTCGTCGTGATGGAACAAAGACACATGGTTAGATTTCGAAGGTCCGGCTAGAGCAGCTCCTAGACTTCCAGGTACTTCTCCCTCGGGACATAGTTTGACGACAAGATGAGGCATTTCTCGCTTGATCTCGTCAGCGTTGGCGTCGAGCAGAAATACATTGTAATCCAAGGGAGTATTCGAGTCGTTGGATGCACCACTTGATTCAGTGGAGTGCGCAGCAGATGTATCCGAAGGTGCAGCTGTGACAGCTTTAGGAAAGAAGCTCAGACATTGTCGAAAACAACATAGGGGGGTACTGACCATTATCCGCCTTGCATCCAACTCTTTCTCTTCTCTTCCTCTCCACAGCTTGCTTGAATCGCCTGGCTAACCTAAGGGCATTAGCCGACTGGGCTGCGCCGGTGGCGTTTGGGGAGTATATTATGATGTCCGAAACGGAAGCTAATATAGGCTATATTACGAAGTGAACTCGTTCGATTAGCCTTTCAATTTCGAAAAGATAGCATGTAGTAAGCTTACCACTTGTATACCAAAATTCCTCAGAGAAATTCCCTCTGGTACATGCAGCGGCACAAACTCCCATTCCCCGTCATCATCCTCTTGACTAAGTTTCTTCTGATCGTTTGCACAGTCGGCTTCAGTTTGGGCTCCGCCAGCAGCATGGTTGGCACCACTCCTCGTGTATTCCTGTGGTTTTGAGTGTGGGGAAGTTTCGGATCCACGAACTGGTCTGAGAAGATCACAAGCACGAAATGTCGAGGTTAGGATCGGAGGTGGAGGTGGAGGTGGAGTTTTACGAAAAGATGAAGAGGTATGTTTAAGATGGCGAGAGCCAAGAATGCGAGGAGGTGAAGAATGCCTCTCAGTTTGTTCATGAGAAGAAGGAGAAAGGGAGTGACACCTGCAGTATAGATAAACGATCAGCCTCTATGTATTCGGTCAAGAGCTATGATAGTACATACCTATCGTCAGACTCAGGTTCCGTCAGAGCTGTGGAAGGTTCCGTGCCATTATCCGTAAGAGGACTAGAGGAGAACCCGGATGCAGTCGTGGTGGTGGTGGTAGGAGATTTACTATGATGGGAGTTAGGAAGGTCGGTAGTACGAATGGGAGTAGGCAGAGGATGAAGAGCCCGGTGCTGTACAGGATGCATATGCTTATCGTCTGCGCCAATCTCAACGATTTCCACGACGCCAGGATTGTGATGAAGGTCATCAACGTCGTCACTGCTATCGTTGTACTGTATGTCGAGGTCCATTTGTGATGCGGATACTGGACGCACAACAGGCTCCTTGGTGTATGGAGTAGTTGAGTCCGGAGACATTAGCTCACCAAACGAGTCGGAAGAAGAGTCATCGAAGTTGTCGTCGAGCTCATCCTCGTCGTCAAAATAAGAGTCAGACGAATCGTCGTAATGTTCCGAAGGTGCGTATGACGATAGGTTACTTGGTCGATGGACAAGAATTCTGAGGTCCTTGTCAGGATTCTCCAGGTCGTCCTCGCATATAACCCACATCATGCCTCGATACTTTGGAACTCGTCCGCGATTAACTTGGGGGTGTATTGACGGTTCGTTGTCGTCGCGCCTATTGTATACAACAGCCTGCTGACCCTGAGTGGCAAAAAATAAGTTTTGCGCTTCGTTATCGCCTTCTATGCCATGTAAAAATGGGAAAAGAACTGAATCGGGAGGATGGGAGAGAATATGCTGATAGTGAAGATCTTTGAACTGGGACACGGTGAGCGTATGAATGGCTGGTGCCAGACGCGAGCTCATCATTTCTCCGGCGTTGATTGAAGACGGCAAGGACGATGCGTTGTTCACAGGATGTCCTGCTGTTGGAAGTGAATCAAGGAAAGCTTTGTCGTAGTCCAAGCCGTATATTTCAGACATGGATGTTGCGCTTTGAGAACGGATGATGTGCAGAGAGTTGCGTTGTTCGTCGTGACTGCTATGTTCGTTGTTCGTCAAGTGTTGTGGTATAATTCAAGTGGATGTCGTCGTCGTCGTTGGTCGTGTTCAATGCAACAAAGAAGTCTCATTGGGCTGGATTTCGTAATTTCATTTTTGGAAATTGCGCTAAAGTTATGGTATCTAAGATCCAGGCCTCGTGCCTTGGCAGTTTCGGCTAATTTCCTCAGCTGACTCTCCGTGAGATTCTTGATCGACACCAAAACGCCGCTTTGTTATCGCACTGAGCAGGTTTGTTGCTTTCAACGTCGTTAACAAGTCCTCTTCACTGATAATTGTCCCCCCAAAAGACTCAAGCGCAGAAAAATCTCTTTTTGTCTAATGCTGTCTCTAGGCGTCTCCAGAACTTTACAACACTGTTGTTCTTCAATTGGCTTTTTCTCCCATGCCACTCATTCGTCGGAAATCTCCTTTCCTGAGAAATTTTGAACTCTCCGTTGAGTCGGTCGCTTCCTTTCTTCTCGGAATCTACGCATGCTTTGCTATGCTTTCAGTCTCGTTGGCATACCATCATAGATGCTGTTAAACTAGGCATTTACCCAGAACGAGGGGGAATATATGCTGTTCGTTTCAAACATTCCTTACTCAGAATCGTCATTTTCATCACGCAAATGATTTCCTATGCATCTCTACAATCCTTATCTCCGCTGCGATGAGGCATATCTCAACCACTATCTCTTTGTCATTTGTCTCAAAGATGCTATCTACCAAAGGCTAAAGCTAAGGCTATTATTAAACCCGGTATCCATCTTCTCGCAGCACCTCGCAGCTAGCATTTCTGAAATGCACAGCAACTGCATAACGGTGAATCTGATGAACAATCACCCAGTTCAGCCGACCCAGATCGCTTGACCACAGAGGTTCTTTCTGATAGGGCTCCGACTCTGTGGACAAACCGCCACAGTCATATTCCGGAGGTCAGTCCTGTATAGTATTATACTGATTTTGTTAACTCCTTTGGGGTAACCTCCGCGTCCGATGAGGCCTTGAAGGTAGCTCATCCTGCTGTTTGTCAATGCCGAAAAAAAGCCTATCTCATCTCCCAACTCACTGGGAGGGCCTTCGAACTAGATTTTCAAGTTATTTACCCTCACCCCATTTATAAACACCTTGAAAAGCTCGCATCATTCCAAATTGTCCCCCATTTTCACTTCTTATTCGAGGATTCTGATTTTTCTTTCTAGGTTCCTTCCAAAGGAGTTCTCGTATCTGGCTTCTAATTATCAATTTCCAGCCCCGACTGTACATTTTGCACCTCTACTACATGGTACGCCACCTACAGCGACGTTCGGTCAGAGCGGAATGACCTCGAATCCAAGGCTAGACGCTCACGACTCTCTAGAATTATGAGAATCGGACGTTCGAGGTCGATTCCTCAATGATTCTTCACACATAAACGCACGATTTGTTCTCTACGGAATATCTATACTCCCTCAATTGCGTGTTCTAGATCAAAGGGCATAACAGTCACTCCTTCATCTGTCATTCGTGATGGGTACAATGACACGAGTTCGAGGATGAAATCACCTTAATGGTCTTCTTTGGGAGAGGTGTACATAGGTATAGTGTCGCCGTTCCTTGGTCTGAGAGCCAAGCTGCTTTTGAATTTCTAGATTTACTAAGGCTTTCCGTAGACCCAATCCACAGCGGTGCATCATTAATCGGAACTTGGCGTGCAAAATTTTCAACTGCACCTCTGACTGAATTACAGTGCTTGAAGACAAAGCACTTGCAAGGAGAATTACCCGACGTGTGAAAGGAGATGTCCTCAGTATAACCGCAATGATACAATCTATGATTCAGAGCTGCACAATATGTACCACTCCTGATGTGATCTGGTACTTAGCCAAGTTGTGGGATTCACTTCCCAGCTGACCATCTAATTGTAGATTTAAATCGGTACATCTTCCGTATCGATATCTGTATTCGAAGCAATCTTCAAACCTCGGCTACAAGTACCAGTGCGGGAAGCTGGGGGAAGTTATTGACAACCCAAGAAGCACATTTAGATAGGGGCCCCGTAACAATGATTTGGTATTTGCTGAACCTCGTTGTCTATCCATGAAAATCATGGCACGAGGATAGTGAATTTGTTGGACTCACCATTTGCGAACGCCATCTCCACCTATTCACCCGTGCAGCCAATGGCATCCAGTGGTGGACGGATCAATTTCAAACAGTGAGGTCCAAGTCACGGTAGAGCTCAGGTGATGTTCAACGTTCAACGCCGCTTGTTTTGCTTACATGCAACTCTTTTCCGTCAATGGTCCCGGCAACAATACCCGTATTTTATCTACATATCACTCTGAGACTCGGTATAGATGGTTATAGATTTAGATTGATCGCTAGATCATTCACTTTTACTCCCCACAACTGCCCCCGTTTCGGTGAAGTTGATTGGTGGGAGTGTCGTTCTTCCTGTATCTTGCGCGATGCTTAACAAGGCCGCGACCCGTGATAAGAGATGTTGTAATTCGTCTTCAATAGAATATGTACTGTACCTGTCCTTAGGCTTTAATCGTTGAAAGAACTAATAAGCTAGCTCACTTGCAGTTAGAATCAAGGTTGAGTAGCTTCATGCAAATACCGTAGGTCGTGAGCAGAACACTGAACTATTGATCAATTAAAAATCCTCTGAGTACATGCACAATCAATTGTTTCAATCATTTATCTTCGACAATGACGGCCTTTCATTGACATGCCGCAGTGTATCCGAGTTCCACTAAAGATTTTCCTGCGACTAACCAATTTGAGTTTAGTAGATTTGAATCCAAGCCCATTAGATCCTTTTCCAACGATAGCAGCCACGGACGTTTATAGATTATATGCAACGCATGGATAGTCAAAGCTGGCCTTATCAATCCGTTTTAGGACACAGGGGTCTCACGATTAGGGAGCCTTTGTTTTGAGCAACACTTACAAATTTGACGAGTAGCTGACCTTAAACTTTGAAAACATCATTAGAAGAGCTGATCTATGAACCTCTAAAGTTGAAAATCTCGTGAGTTCGAGCTATATCTTCAACACGAGATATGAAAGAAAAAATATAAATAGTATTCACTGCTGACATTGTTCGTTAGGAACATGGAGTGTCCCTTCGACCAACACTATCATTGTCTTGATGTTTCGCGCCATGAGATTTCCCACTAAGCTTGGAATGGTTACAATTGCACACCACTTCAAATATAAATGATTCAATATCCCCACAGAAAGCCATGATCACGATATCGATGTTGACTCCGGAGGTGGTTTGATGACCATCACCGCCCCTTTCGCATCCATAATCGCCCCTTCATCACTAGCTCGTACACCCGCTTCTTCCAAATATTCCACTAGCACCGTACTAAGCCCTAATGGGTCTCTGGGAATCCACACGCAAGGTTGTGCAACGTATGTAGAAGGGTGATCAAAAGCATGTTCGTCTAATGAATCTTCGGAAGATTCAGGATTGTTGTCGCCTTGACTTTCCGCCTGATTGACATTGGTGGGCAAAGCTTCAGATCGCCGGGACGCAGTGGAGTCATTGTCGCTCGTCGACTGTGCTGTTGTTGTGTTCGGCGCAGTTGTAGAAGTAACATAGGAATTATTATTTCCGGCTTCCAAATCTCCGCCATGTGGAGTAGAAAAATCAAGGTCATTTCTCATTCGTGTTGCGAAAGTATCGAATTGTTTGCGGTCAGGCTGCTTTCCCATACGTTTGCGCAAGTTTTGGATGACTACAACCAGTGAAATTGCAATTAGTGAGCACCTTTTGTAACAGATGCCCAGATGGATTACTCACAATCTTTGCTAAATAAATCTACTTCTCCGTCTTGACCAAGTCTGTCAGCGAGATTCTTCGTGGCCAGCGACATAGGAAGATATTGCGCCAAGGCTGCAACAAACGCAGAAACCGCCAGCTGTCAGTAATCGGTTTATATTCAGTGGGAAACCTACTCACGAGCAAAGCTTCTATTCAGAAGAACATGCGCCCAAATTGTTATCACAACCAAGACCAACATCAGGACCCCTTGTGCCAATGCGAAGTACCGGCAGTCTGCGATAGAAACTTTCATGAAAAAAAGACACGCCAAGCAGATCTGTTCAATGTAGAGCCCAACAACTGGAAGAGAGGAAAGAGATGGGACAAAATTGCGGAGGTTATTGTGGAGGTTTAATATAACTGCCATGTAAAGCATATCCCTTATACGCACACAAATTTGAGGTAGCCATCGGAAAATACCCTCCACCTGATTCTCTTGCAGTAGGCTGGTCGAAAACTTGGAGGAACACTGCTCGGAGTTAAACATACAGGGGTACTAAACACAAAAGATCACACACACAGAATTTCCAGGCGATGTAATAGCACCCAAAACCTAGATGACAAAAAAGTTAAAGAGATAAGCCCCAAGTGTAGCACCACAGATGATTTCTTCACATATCAATGCTAACAAATTAATCAACGGGTTCAAAACACTATACGCTAATCCAATTGTCGCCAATAGTGATAAACGAGGAAGAAGGGTTCCAAAATCAGCCTGCAAATTAGATGTCTCCATCAACACCAATGTGAAGAGTTAGGAGAGATTGAGCATAGACGAACTGAAGGCATCAAGAACGTCACCTATGAAATGATAGGACTAAGTTAAGCAGCATGTGTATGAAGGGTGATAGTGAACGCACATTAAAAGCCTGCCTCGGTGTCCTACCCAAGAACCATTTTCCAAAATAATACCCAACAAGCGGAAATAGTTGAGCCAAAGCACTCCCTGCACCTGCAAGACCTTGTGTTACTTCAGTGACACAAAATTAGATACCAATTGATCCATAATTCGCCTCAGAGTAACCCACTCATATATGTCAGGAAGAATACCGACGCGCCGGGAAGTTGAGTGGCCAATGATTGGACTGTACGAGTTGGATTATCAATTATCTATAGAAATTTTAAGGTCGACACAACTCAAAAGTGAAATATCGAACCTCTTCAAGTACTAAATGATTTTAGTTTAAAATATAGTCAGTGATTTCACAAATGTATGAGCTCGCTGGACCTTTTGTGAGACCGGAAGACAGTGTGACAATTAAGAATCCATGTCTGGCATGAAATGCCGATCAGGATGGTACAAAGTGTGCAGCGACAATTAATTGACTTACATCAATAAAAATAAGAAGAACCTCCGATATAGGCTGACTGAGATCAGTGAGTGTCTAGGGAGGCCTTCGTACCACGCCAATCCTACAACGATATGAGAGGGCATCAGACTAATGAGACTAGCACACCTCGAAGAATGACAGGCATCATCGCAAAGAGTGCGGCTAATAATGCGGGTGGGAGGAACCCTTGAATGATACTCGGTAAAGGAGCAGGAGCTAGACATTCCAAAGATATTCCGAATGAGCATTCAAAACGAGGAAACATACAACAAATAAGTCACACACCTCTACAAATCCAACCCAACCATTCCGCCTTCCTACAAACCGCATAGATATTGCTCAGGCCTCCGATCGCTGCCACTGGGAAGCTCCATAGTACAATCAAAGCAGTAGTTGCCAGCCACGATAACGATACTTTAGATCTCGTCTTGAGCGCATCGTCGTCAAGGTTATGCCAAACAATATCATCCGGATGCGTTTCAATGAATTTGTCATTCATCTGTAGTACTTGGTGATACGAAACACATTGAGCAAGAATATGTGCTCCAATCTGGAGATTGCAAAGGATGAACACGCTTCCCAGGAATTTGCCATCTTGCTTTTGTGAGCGTGTCGAGGTGATGGTGGAGTTTAGTTTGACAATTTCATCCTGCAACAGTGTAAGAAACAGATCAAGTTACATAAAACACGTACATACCCTGCACCACTCAATAGTATCCACCTTTTTTCCGAGCACTCCCAATGTACCGGTCCGATGTTTGGGTCTCTTCTCATGCGGAACGAGCTCGTCAAGGAGCTGGAGCGAAGGGTCATGCTCTAGCAGTTCTTCGTCGTCGCTTGATGTTTCCTCGGTGTTTGTTCTGCTTTCTTCATCTTCGCTAGCCTTAGGAATCGCTCGTCTCCTTTTCTTTTTCCTCGTAGCTTTCTTCTTCCGCCACACTCGGATTGCATTTCTCAGCACCTCCGACACGGCTTTCTCTAACATCAAGCATGTTTTCTCCCTATTACTGAATACCTCATTGAGCCTCTTCGTATCGCGATACAGCCATACCCGTTCCACACCTCCCGGTACAAAGCTAGCAAATTGACGTAAGGAGGACTCCGTGGAGAGGGTTTCTGGCACGGAGGTGATGAGGACGGTGCGTGCTTGTGCTAGACGAGAGTGAGAAGGGCTCAATAGGAAGCATTGGCGCATTGAGACAAAATATGACATTTCTCTTCGGATAAGATATATTACAAAAACTATGGAGAAAAGAGGTCAGTACAGGACTTTTGAACAATGTACACTTACTCGTCAGGATATATACGACTATAATGTGCGCAGTGAACCGTTTTTGTTCTTGCGGGTCAATGACACTAAGGTTTGTGCAAAATATGAGCAGGGAATACTGACTAAATAGTAGAAAACGTTACTTGATCCAACTAATTTTCTCCAAGTTCGAAGTCGCTCCATTTTGTCCAATCATGTCCACAGGAACAATGACAGCAAATGTCAAGACTGTGAAAACAAGGAATATCCAGACCAGCATTTTGAGAAACCGAAGGAACATGTACGCGTCCAAGCCATTCTTGTCAATCTGTATGTGTGTTAAGTAACGTCTAGTTTAAGGTGAAAATCAGACACACAATATCTTCTGCGCGTGAGTTCAGAAGGGCAGGAAGCCATTTCCATGGGCCAGGTGGAAGTTTTGCAGAACGTTTGCTATGTGTACCAAATACCAATGAGATTGCATCCTAGTCGCATCAACACCGTGAAACATACTCTGGCGGCGGAAGATATGTTCTTGGACTGAAACAACCTCGTTAAATCAAGAAGACCTATCTATTACAGCAAAAATTACCTGTATATTCTCTGTAATCTCTGTTTCAAGACTAGAAACAATCCAACTTCGACGAAAAGCAGCGCGCTATTCGCGATGACCGCGGTCAAGAAGCCCTGCGTGCTCGAAGTTACACTTCCAGGAGTTATTTGGGACATTTTGACCAGAGCTCAGAGCATGACAAAGTTGAAGCGAAAGAGAAAGACTCATCATGAACCCTCATGATGGACATTCCGCACACTATTTAAGCGCCCTTCAAGCGCTTCTCAATCCCGTTACTAAACTACAGAAATACTATTGGATATTTTCCCCTACATAGAGTGATGCTACAGTAGTGGTTTGGGTCCCGTTACTAACACTGGTTATCTTTAGAATCTGATACCACTTCTGTCATGATTTGAATTCTGAGTGGGGTCGTAGAGAATTCGGACTTCGTACTCTTTGTACTCTCCACCGATATTCTAGTAGATGTCTCCTCCAGCTTCGGCCCCTGGTTCATCGTCTCCCTACTTTGTCGTGTTTTGAACCCAAATTCAGGATGTATTCTAGGGAAAGCGCTGGACCGGCTGGGCAAATGATTGTTTATCACAACTATAGCTGGGACGAGGCCCTGTCAGTTAGTGTCAGGGTGAACACTTGAGTATGATTCCCGGTCGTTCAACTCACAGCAATTTGGCTCATCGAATCAAGCACAATATACTGGTCCCCAGAAATTCAGATGAATCATTGCATGAGAGGTAGGAAGCTTACATTTGCATTCATCTTAAGGGAATAAAGAATGAGGGAAGCAGTTAAGGAAGCGGGGATAATTATTCCAAATTGGAGCCTACAATTCAAATATTAAATGCTCCTTCTTTTCTAGATAGAGCAAATTGAAGATCATGCTGACAGTGAGAAGCAAGCTTTGCGGTAAGGATTCTGTGTTGTTGACACTAGTGGTTTTTCGGTTTGTCTGCTTTTACAGACAATGAATACAACTACCCAAAAATTTTCATCATTCGGGGGTATGAAATGGCATCAAGAAGTAAACTTCTCACCTACGAACATGGTAGCGGAAGTATTCGTTACTAACGAAAGCCCAAGGAGCGCCGCTCGAAAATGGAATATATCATACATGAATACGCTTTCTCCAAAGTGTGAAATTTGGCTGAGATTGTAGACAGATTTAAATCCGCACACTGACCACGCAACATGGTGAAGGTTACTGAAATGTGGGAACGAAATATCGCAAACAAAAGTGCCGCTTACCAGCTGAAGATATCAACGAACAGATTGGAAAAACGACAAGTTTCGAGAATTTTTTGTCACACTTGAAATGAGTGTCGGTGAGTATGATATACGACCGATAGATCTTTATAGAAAGCTAAGATCAGATCATGGAAAGAACTTGAAGCGTGGCGTTACACACTGCGAAGGAGTCTCCAACAAGGCTGCACAGTACACATGAAATGGTGATGGTTAGCGATAGATTAAAGTCATCCGGATGGAGAAAGTGACCCACATATTCGTGACATACGTTGCCTGCTTCATCACATTACTAAGTGCCCATAGTTTCTTCAAATATATAGAGGCACCAAAAGGCGTCTCTTGGTATGAGACAAACGCTACCAAGCCGCGCGCAAAATTGATTGATACGTGCGTGGTGGATAAGGCAAACATTACTGTCAGCATCACAGCGGTGAGGGCTGGGTTGAATTTCAACGATGATTTGCTATTGCGCAAAAGGTAGAGGGAGGACAAGAATACAATGGTATGGCATCCTGGACGACAATCAAAGAGATCAGAGGGAGAAACGAAGTTCAAAAAGTGGAATTCACCATAAAGAATAGATTCGATCTGTTACGCGTTCATTGAAGAGAATTCATATCACTATGGAAGTAACACATACCCAAAGACCGATAAAGGCAGCCTGAGCGATTCCGGGAATCAGAGCTGATAGTAATATATTCGTGAGTGACTGACCTTGTCGAGGGGTATGTCTAAAACCATCTGAAAGGATGAATATCGATGCAGTGAACTTCAGACATTGAACGTACCTTACTCTTATGCAAATTGTGCTCTAGCTTTCCTTTGAACTCCCAATCAAGAAACAGCCATGTGTAGTATTGTACACCCCAGGGTGTATGGTTGTACCGCTTCAATTTGAAATGCCACGAGAATATTGGACATGAGAACAGAGATGATATATTGTATACCGGTTCCTTGAACAGCCAGAAGCTGAAGCGTTGGTATGGATGACAGCTTTTCCACACAAGAAAGGTACAGCATTGCTTAGGATTCAGAAGGACAAACGAACCCGCGTCGTCACGTCGTCAGATTACCGCTTTGACCTGTGGGTAAGTAAACATCTTTCGTAATCTCTACTGTCAATCCACGATACGACAAATTCATATCCTATCCTATCCTATCCTGGCAGTTATTCGATGTTATTCGTATTTGAGTCTGACTCTGAGGCACGTATACATGCTGATATCTACTCGACCCACACACATCTCACTTTCAGATTCTGTAGATTGAATCACAAGTGTCAATTCACGTCGTTACTCACATCAACTTGATTTGTTTTTCATGCATCGAACAGTGTGGCGCTGCTGTACGCCTCTCAGCTTCACGAAAGAGACTTATGACTGCCTCAGTTTCCGTGAGGGATAAGAATTATTTTATTAAAATGCTTGAGGGGCGCGACTTTGTACACGTATGCTAAAGGCCCGGTCACAGACTTCCATTTCTTATGCACCTCATTACATACGCTGATGCAATTTGACTCTACATATTTCTTCTTCCTCATTTTCCTCATCTCTCTCGAATATGCGGTTTGGGTGCCTCTCTGCCTGGATCACCATCGATGGTGTTGTGATTCCGGAGTACAATGTTGGAGTCGAGTTGATCACCGACGTCGTCAGTTGCTTCGTACCTTCTCAAGCCGGAAAGGCGAGTATCCAGGCTTGGGCCTTATGGTATTATTTGTTGTTAAGTCCCGCGATCTCTAGTCGTTGGGTGTTCACTGGCATATCGACGCCTGTTTGGTACCTACGGCCGGATTTTTGAAGGTGGATGGCCAGCATTGCGATGGCCGCGTCCTTCCTGCATATGATCCCAGTGTTCCAGGATCTCAATATTCCGCAACCATTTCTCATACTGCAGTTCTCACGTCTCCAACGTCCTCAAACAGCCTCGTTTTCGCATCTGTGCATTACACTGGTATGAGTAAAGAAGTCTTTGTGTTTTTGCCTCCGTTCGAATTTTCCACACAGGTGATGATATATACTTGAACGACTCGAAAGCGAAAGACATTGGCACTATCTCGCTAGAAATTATGAGTGTCGAAATTGTTGGACAATGTCCCACAGCCGGAGTTGACTTCAGGCCAGTTTCCAAATTGCACGACCGAGCGAGGGACTCTAAGATAGCCCATCAGATAAAGTGAGTGGTTGTAACGTTGAACGATTTGAGGAAAGAATTAATCCGAAGGTTCAGACTGGGACCTCGAAATGTATCAATGGCGGTTCCACCGCCTTCGATCGTTGTTGACCCGCGACTTCATTTCGTCACCTTCGTCTTCCAGTATCGTTCTCCAGGTTCGTTCTCATTCCGCATGCGCCATATCAAATTCGTCATGTTATATAGATGCTCTTCATGCTGTCGGAATCGTCCCCCGAATGCCCATGACGGAATTCGAAGACTCGGAAGAGGGTACGTCGAACGCGAGAATCCCGAATGCTGGAGGAGTGGATAGCACCTACCAGAATCTTCCCATTGGTGTGAGGCGCGAGTTGATAAACGAAGCTGATATCACTGAGTGGCATACCACCAGCAAGGTTCGCGATTCCCATTTTCTATTTCATTCCGTATCAATTTGATCAAACTCTATCATCCTTGTAGAAAATTCGCCCACTAAGCTTGCAAAAAAGGAGGTGAAGCTACTAGTCCTCATAGTTATGCCCTTTTCTTGAGCAACTGAAGATCTCTTATAAATATATAGTACATAAACGTTGTATATACTACCTACTTGGTGAGCTAATCCTAATAGATACTAGTTAAGCACAAAGCTGAAGAGATTGAAGATGGAAAGTAATTCCGAGTATGTACACTGGAAGTATCTATACGAAATCGTAAATTTCGCAAATCGGCATGCTTCCATCGTCTGTGCTCCTACGGCAGTCCGCATAACCAGCAGAAGTAAATGTACAAATCACAGTGAGCTGGTCGACTAGTGCCAATCTAGGGCAGTGCGATGTTGCAACGAGCACATCTTTTTTTACGATCCGAGCTACGAAGGGGTAAAAACGAAACAAATTCAATCAGTTCTCTGAAATGCTATCCAGAAACTCATCTTACAATAGACATATCAGGCCGCAGGGGAAGCACAGGATCTGGACAACAAGATCGAGGAATTAGGGAGATTGATCGGTCCTAGTCGTTCGAGCTGGAGGGACAAGTGAGAACGCTTACCGCAGTCTTTGAATCAAGTCAAACGAAAATTCAATCAATTCGCTTGAGGAAAGATATGAGATACAGACTCACAATTATACCACCTGCAAAGCGAGATTTATGATGAGAGAAGGCAAAACATATTTGCTTGGGAGGTCACTCACAAGGTCCGTATTTGGTCTCAGGATCGTGGTTGCCCTGGGCACATAGGGATACCACTGGAAAAGAAGAGTAATGCTAACGGTCAAGCACTCAATCGACGACTATGGGAGCAAACATACATTGAGCTTGATATTGCTCTGCTTGAATTTGGGCAGGAGATTTTTCCATTTGGATTCGAGAGAGAGAGTTGAGAGTTGAGTTGGGAAGTGAGCGAGTGTAGGTAGGGAGAAGAATCAGAGACGAAAGTTTGAGTGAAAACTAGACTTCACCACTTCGTCTTTTTATAAATATGGATTTACCAAAATCAACGCTGCGGGTATGAAGGTCTGATATTGTATTATCCGGCATGGTTATGTTTTCCAAGTGATTGTGGTGAGCCTCATCAGCGCTCGATATTGAAGGAAAAATACCTACAACGCGTTAGCTCAGGCTGAAAGACCATCCCGGTATCAGAATGTTTTCATTTACCCCTCTAAGCGACATTAGATAGCTACGGTATTCAATTTATCATTGAATCTATGAATGAGGAGGGCTCGAAAGGCATCCCGGTAGATGTAACTATTGATTTCTGATCATGAGTTGAGAACGCTGTTTCGAAGTTTGGCCATGGTTGTCATATTGATGATGCTCGACGACACCACGATCAGATCGCTCCTCGGTATCAGTACTACAGAAGGAAAGATGACATTGAGTATCATGATGTGCAAAAAGTTGCATAGTAGACTTTCACCTTACAATAAACATAAGTCCACAAGGAAAGCACAAGATGGCGGTAAGGATACCACATATTCCATACTTGGTCTTTTGGTTGTGCTTGAGCACATTGAACAGACAATATTCCGAATATCTAGCATCAAACTGCTATGAGCAACGTACGACTTGAAGAATCTAGATGAATCGAGGTCTACGGTCGTCTGTCAACCGCTTCGTGTAAGTGGCAAGGGATGTTGCGACTCATTTGGAGGCCTATAAGTGTTCATATGAGGTGAGTAGATCCGTTACTCGAGATACGGCCTATGTGGTGGAACTTGTAATCTGAGGGAGGATAGAGCCGATAATAGTGTTGTGTTGTGGGGGAGGCTGAGGTGCCGCAAAGCATAGACAGTGGTGAGTATGTTATGGGGGGATTCTTGACAGGTAGTTAGTACTTCATATCGGTCGCGGGCATAGATGATCGCCAAGGGGTGAAGGGGTTTAGAGCACCGAAGTCCAGTGATGACATACTATCCATAGTTCACTTTGAGAATATATGCTTGGAACGAATGATAAGAACACAGATGCGCCCAACGGCGGTGAGAGGTTTCCTCGGATACGTTTAAAGTCATCATCAAGCTTCGGTCCTGTCTTCTTGGGCACCTCGGACTAGTAGGCCTACTGCATTCAGTTTCTATCACCCTAAAACACAATAAGGAGTCAAAGACATGGACAGTCCAAGATGTAGGATTATCCCACCAGCTGGAAGAAGGTGGAGAAATAAGCTTTGTAGGTTTCTTTAATCATAGCAATGCTTCGTCGTCGTGCGAGGAGACGTGTGACAGAAGCGATCTCATGTGACTGTGACGATGTTGTCCTCCGTACGCGTTCGACTCCTTCAACCCGAACGACCTACTTTCCCACAGAAGATCTGTGTCTTTCGGGGTCGCGAAAATGCCCTGTCTACTAGATTGCAGAAGGCTTGAAAATATAGGCTGAGGCGTACTAACTCTTACTGGCTCAGGATTTTAACACCCATAATTGACCAAACGAAGTATTCACCATTAGCGTTGTTGCCAAAATCAAGACCATTCAATTGGCAGAAGCCTGATACAGTCATCCAATACACAGGACCTTTCAGCATTTCCGATTTCCTGTGCGTGCCAGCTTAACCGCCAATTCTCCGATATCCGAGAAACAATTGAACCGAGACGCCCATCCGGACCAGCTATAAAAGAGCCATAACTGCGCTCCATGGACAAGGACTACGGCGCAAATATTCAGCTTTGACTAACCAAGACATCCAACCCGCAGTCTTGCTCAGCAGTCTATATTCATTTCCCTGACACACATCTCCAAGCTCGAGTATAAAACACTGGTCATCGAAGCGTCGATTTGATATCCTCTTCTGTCTATACTTTTGAATACTCATCTGTTTCTATTATAACTACTATGGAAGACGAAGTCGCGGCGCTGGTAAGTGATTTTTTTGAGGTCGTCGCTGGCTCTAATCATGTTGCAGGTCATCGACAATGGATCTGGGATGTGCAAGGCTGGATGTAATTGATTACCACTTCAGTAACTCTTCGCGCAAATCTGATATTGTGTTTCAGTCGCTGGGGATGATGCTCCTCGTGCGGTCTTCCCGTGCGTTCCGTCCGTCATTATATCTATCATGTACTAACTCACACCGTTTGTAGCTCCCTCGTCGGGCGACCCCGCCAACAAAGCATTATGATTGGGATGGGTAGCAAAGATTCATTTGTCGGGTAAGTTCATATCATTCTCTCCAGTAAACCCTCCAAACAACTCATTCACCCGCTGCGCAAAGTGACGAAGCACAGGCTAAGCGTGGAATTCTCAACCTGAAATACCCAATCGAGCATGGCATCGTCACGAATTGGGATGACATGGAAAAAATCTGGCATCACACTTTTTATAATGAACTTCGTGTCGCTCCTGAAGAACACCCGATTCTGCTTACCGAGGCGCCTCTTAATCCCAAATCAAATAGAGAGAAGATGACCCAGATTATGTTCGAGACCTTCAATGCGCCGGCTTTTTACGTTCAGATTCAAGCCGTCCTTTCACTGTGTCGAGCTCCACATGCTTTTGATCGCGGAACTCGACAAGTCCTACGCACTGGTCAGTGCGTCGGACTGAGGACGGGGTTGACAAGACCGACTTGGCGTTAATACCTCAAAATCGGGCCTTCGGTTACTGTTGTCAGTCGTCCGGTTCCCTTATCGAGCACTTATCTCAGAACTCCTCCGCATGGCTTGGTGTTTGAGGGTCCATATATTAGTTTCAGATTAGTAGTGTACACGCAGGTCGGATCTCCCCTCCCTCCTACTTAGAGAGTAGGTAGGAAGAAAATAAAGTTAGATTTTTACCCCCCATCTTTTGGATCTAAGCACAACCAAGCAAAAATCGTACGAATTCTCGCAGTTCGAGCCATTCCTCAGACCAACCTAAACCTCCCGTCGTACTCGAGACGGATCTACTTCGTGTGACGGACTAGATCTCGTTTCATACCTGGAGCCCACCGCGAGGGGGGTTTCCCGTTTTCTTTGGATCTTGCTCCGAACTAGGAAAACTCTCGCCAAAAAGAAAATACACGGTAGATTATCACGACGAGTCGTCGTACAGGCCTACGAAATCGCCTGTCGGTAGAAGACGAAGCTCTTTTAGCTCAGTTCCATCAAGGGCGTATCGACTTTGACTTCGACGAGCTACTGTCCCCAGTAGACAGCACCGAAGCCACTCACAACAGCCTATCCAGACTAGAGGAAGAGGTCGGTAGTAGCGAATTTCGTGACCATCCTACAACACCTCTCTCGAGCTATTCACCAACCCTACCTTCACCACTGACTCCATTATCCCCTAGTCCCTCCCTACAGAACCTTAGTCCATTGATAACTCCGATGACGACTCCTCTTCCTAAACGAGATGAGCGTTCCGCCCCGAAGTTCGATCCGAAGAATGAAGCACTCTTGCCAAACTTCTTCGAGGAGTTCGAACGTACCGCTAAAGCGGCGGGGATCATCGAGAACAGTGAAAAGATGAAAAGGACGGTCCTAGGGTATCTGGACGCCAAGACTATGAAATTCTGGCAGTCCCTGGACACCTTCGACGATGATGAGAAGACATGGGAGGAATTCAAGACCGAAATCTTAGATTACTACCCTGGTGCCACAGGAACAGCTGAGGTCACCACAGAAGAGTTGGTCCGGGTCGTCGAAACCTATCAGAAGAAGTTGATTTCAACAACCCAGGACCTTGCGGAATACCACAGAGAGTTCGCTGTGGTGGCTAAAGCCCTACGCACCCAAGGGACGCTCTCTGAAATCCTTATTGCACAACACTACGTCCGTCCCTTTCCAGAAAACATCCGGACCCGCATAGACACCGGACTCTACGTCCATTACCCCACTAAGAAGGTCGGTCAGGCCTATACGATCAATGAGATAAGGAAAGTTGTTACCTTTCTCCTATCGGATGCCTCGGCCCCGGTTAGCTCTGGAAGTTTTCGTAGTGGGGATCGAACGTCGATCCCCCACCCTACGACCATAGACACTCCGGTGGTTAAAACAGAACCCAAAGACTCCGAAGATTCCCTGTCGCAGCAAGTGGCCGCACTCACCCAAATGATGCAGCAGCTCGTAAAGGAAAATAAAAGCAGAGATACCGGGACACGCGAGCCACGACCAGATCGAACTTGCCCGTGGGACGGGTGCACTAGCAAAGTGCTGAAAGATTGTCCAGACTTGGCAGATTGGGTCGCCAAGGGAAGGGTGGAGCGGAACGAACGGGGTTTCGTTCAACTGAAGGGAGGACGAGACCTACCAAACGAAACCAAGTACAAGCGTGGACTGGTGAAGACTCGATTCGAACGATATTTCGAAGAGAACCCATCGGCCAAGACCTGGATCCTCGATATCCCCCAGACTCCCAAAAATCCCTTGCCTCCCGCGCTAGCCGGAATAGATGTCAGCCAGCACAACGCCTACACCCTCCACAGTTATCAAGGACCTTCCATGCTAGCAACTGCGGCGACTTATACCCTCCAGGGAGAAAGCGACCCGACTGAAGCAGCCGCTGTGAGGGATTTGATTTTCAAAATGGAAACTCGTCGATCAAAGGGACGTACCGACGCGAATAACTCCTCGACATCTCCACCAGGTCAACCTCCCTCGTCAAATACTAATGTCGGGACCCAACCAGATCCCGAACCATCGAAACCAATTCCTCCAAGAATCGTGTCTCCCACTAAACCGCCCAAACCAATCATCGGAAAATTACCGGACAATTACGTTCCCCCACAAGAAAGGACGGTGGGGATACAACCCAAGGAAGACTCCAGGAACTACCGATACCGAGCACCGATAGAAACTGAGGCCGCAATCGAACGAGTGATAAAAACCGGTATGACCAGCATGGTATCACTAAGGCAGGACGACCTCCTAGCAATCGCGCCGGAATACAGGAAAAAGGTAAAAGACTCAATTACAAGCAGGCGGATCGGAGTCGATGGAGTACTGCTTGAAGACGTCGCGTTACTCGAATCGGTATTGATGTTCGACATCGACCTAGCAAACGGCATGTACCCGGTTCCGGTCACACAAGAAAGTCTACAAAACTTCTTCACTGACTTTGGGGACGCGAGAGAGGGCGATGGTTTTTATGTGGCAAGAGAATCGCATAGTATCCGAGCCGTTAACGCAACAATCGGAGGTAGGCCAGCACATTGCATCCTTGACGGAGGATGCAGTATAGTCGTTATGTCAGACTCGGCCTGTAACGCGTTTGGCTTCGCGTTCGACCCAGAAAAACGGATCAACCTTCAAAGTGCTAATGGCAATACCGATTGGTCACTGGGACTAGCAAAAGACGTACCGTTCCGCTTTGGCGATGTGGTAGCCTTCCTCCAAGTCCAAGTGGTAGATTCCCCAGCCTATGACTTCATTTTGGGCCGGCCCTTCGAAATCCTGATGCAGGCTTCCTACAAAAACTTCCTTTCAGGTGATCAGCACCTCACACTAACAGACCCCAACACCTACAAGACTACGACAATCCCGACAGTTCCCAGAGAGCCTCCGCGGTTCAGAAAAGAGGACAGTCGGGAGTACCGAGTTTAACTCGGTACTCCGCGAAGGAGAATTCCACACTGACCAACAGTGCTCCTTCGTGTATGGAGTTCGAGGAGTTACAGGAGGGTAAAGAAGCGGCGTTCATCGTTGAATTGAACACCGCCGAAGTATCAGCTGACTCGTCGGAATTCCGAGGATATTTCTCTATTCCACTTATTTCCGCCAGTCTCGGGGATCCCCCGAACATCGATGAACTTAATTTAGCATTCTTACACGCTTACGCGTACTTTACCTACGACACGCCCACTTTCGAATCGTTCTCCCTCTGCTCTGCAATCCCAGCTGGAGAGCCACCCCACCCGTATACTGACCGCCATTCGAACAAGAGTCAAACTCTTCTTCAACAACAAAACTTACATACTCCTCACCACCAAAAATGTATATCCGTCATTCCAAATAAAAATCTACTTACCTTACCTACGTATGCTGCGACTAAAAAGAGGTACAAGCCCGTCGAACGACGCACCCAACCAGTCCCAGCAACGCTGCCAGAAAAGTTCCGAGTGGTCCGACACTTCCCATCCGACCCCTTGGAGCACCTACCTACATTAAACCCGACTCCCCCGCCATTTGTCCCGACTGGCCGTTATACGCTAGAGCGCAAGGAGTTTATGGACTCAGTCCACGACCCGAACTTCCTCTGGCCTCAAGAAATGGCAGCTATCCACCACCTAATGATGCTACACGACAAAGCATTTGCCTGGTGCGAAGAGGAAAAAGGACAGTTAAATCCGGAATATTTTCCACCAGTAGAGATGCCTGTAATTGAACATACACCCTGGCGAGTACCGACTCTACCGATTCCACCTGGACTGATGGAGCGGATTGTAGAAATCGTCCGGGAGAAAATTCGCACAGGGGTTTATGAACCATCCAATTCGTCCTATCGGACACGGTGGTTCGCAGTGGTCAAGAAGGATGGGACGTCACTACGCCTCGTCCACGACCTCCAACCACTCAACGCGGTCACCGTCCGCGATTCTTCTATTCCCCCAATCCTTGAAAACTTAGCTGAAGCATATGCTTGCCGTTCCGTTCTCGCAACTCTCGACATGTACGTAGGATACGACGAACGTACATTGGCGATCACCTCACGAGACTACACCACCTTCCAAACGCCTCTTGGCGCGCTCCGCCTAACCTCAATCCCCATGGGCTGGACCAACTCCCTACAGATCTTTCACGGGGATGTTACCTTTGTGCTGCAACCGGAAATTCCAGAATATACCATTCCCTATGTCGACGACGTCAATGTTCGCGGTCCCCCTACCCGTTATGAACTCCCGGCCGGGGGATTCGAAACAATACCTGAGAACTCCGGGATCAGACGGTTCATTTGGGAACACCTCAATAATCTCAACCGCATCCTGACACGCATGGAATATGCCGGGGGTACCTTCTCAGGTTTGAAGACCTTACTCGCAGTAGCAGAGGCGCTCATTACCGGTCACCGTTGCTCATACGAGGGGCGCGTACCTGATCCTTCTCGATTAGAGAAGATTGTCAACTGGGGACCCTTACTCAAACTCACAGACGTCCGAGCATTCCTTGGCACCGTGGGGGTATGCCGTATCTTCATAGACAGCTTTGCGGAGAAGGCGGAGCCCTTGGTGAGACTTACAAGAAAAGGTATCCCGTTCCAATTCGGAACAGCCGAGTCCAACTCTCAACAAAAGCTCAAAGACGCTCTCGTATCGTCGCCCGCAATACGTCCATTGGACTACTCAAATGGTGCGCCAATCGTGCTTTCCGTGGACTCCTGCAATATTGCAATCGGATATATACTCATGCAACAGAGCCCGGAGGACCCAACGATTCGATACGTGAATCGCTTCGGTTCAATCACCCTTAATGAACGGGAAGCGCGCTATAGCCAGGCTAAGCTCGAGCTGTATGGGTTATTCCGCTCTCTCCGAGCCACCCGCTTATGGACGGTCGGCGCGCAGCATTTCGTGGTGGAAGTGGATGCATTATATATCAGGGGGATGATTAACAATCCTGATATCCAGCCCAACGCCGCCGTTAATCGATGGATAGCGGGGATCTTACTCTTCTCATTCACGATGGTCCATGTTCCGTCTGAGCGCATTGCAGCCGATGGGCCGTCACGTCGAATCCGCCAGCCCGGAGACCAACCGGAAGACGATGACGACTTCGAAGACTGGATAGACCAAGCTAACGGCTTTATGCATTTTATCAACAGTTCCCCCTCTGCCTCTTCATCCCTCAACACCTTGGTTACCCTCCCTATCTTCGTAGCAGAACCTATTACACCACATGAAGACGTTGACCTTGTCCCGTATTCCTCAGTACCCAGATCGCACCGCGCGCGGGCAATTGACAACCGGCTCGATTCAATCAGGATCTATCTGCATTCCCTAGAACGTCCCGAAGGCTTATCAGACACCCAATACCAGCAGTTCATCAAGTATTGCCTCCAATTCTTCATTGACTCCACTGGACGCCTGTGGCGAAGGGATCCACAAGGTAACCACCGCCTAGTCGTCCCTCAACATCGCCGACTGGCAATCGTCAAGGAGGCCCACGACAGGATGGGCCACAAAGGGGTCTGGGCCTCTACATCGACTATTCGCGAACGGTTCTGGTGGCCTCGACAGGCAGAGGACATCAAATGGTATATCCGTACCTGCCACCTATGCCAACTCCGCCAGACCGAAAAACTCCGAATCCCCCCAGTCGTAGCGGAACCGTTAGGCCTCTTCGCCAAATGCTACATGGACGTTATGGAGATGCCCAAGTCAGGTGGATTCAAATACATTGTCCACGGGCGTTGTTCCTCATCCGCCTATCCCGAGTTCCGCAAGCTTCGCCGACAAACGGGAGAAGCCATAGCGAACTGGATATTTGAAGACATCCTGTGTCGATGGGGCACCCTCCGGGTCATCGTCACTGATAATGGCACCCCCTTTGTGCTCGCTCTCGAAATCCTCGCGAAACGCTACGGCATACGACACATCACAATATCAGCTTACAATTCTCAGGCTGCGGGAGTAATCGAACGAAAACACTACGACGTCCGGGAGAGTATGATTAAGGCCGCCAAAGGCGATGCTAACTCATGGTCCCCGATTGCACCCTCCGTCTACTGGGCTGAACGTGTTACGCCTCGACGCTCCACGGGTGCAAGCCCTTACTTTCTCTCACATGGGTGCCATCCCTTACTCCCTATGGACATTGAGGAAGCCACATACTTGCTCCCCCCCCCCGCATCAGTCCTTTCTACCACAGACCTCCTCGCCCGACGGGCACGAGAGCTTCAAAAGCGGTGGGACGATTTGGAGGACATGCGTAAACGCGTCCACCAAAATCGGTTGGAAGGACTTCACCGTTTTGAACAACAGCACCTCCACTCAATCAAAAATTACAACTTCAAACTCGGGGACCTGGTTATCGCTCGGAATACGCGGGTTGAAAAGACGTTCGGCGCGAAGAATAGAATGCGGTACATGGGTCCCCTCATCATCATACGCCGAAACCAAGGAGGGGCGTACATTGTAGCAGAATTGGATGGGACTGTATGGAGAACTCCTGTAGGTGCTTTCCGGGTCATTCCGTACCTAGCACGTTCCTCCCTGCCATTACCGAACCTAGATGAGTTCCTCGATATCTCCACCAAGGAGTTAGCCGAACTCGAAGCCTCGGAAGACAATGACACCCTCGACGGAGAGGGACTACTTCCAGAGTAGTACCCCCCCCTATTTCACTTTCTCATTCCCTCTCTCTTTCTATTTCTCTCTTCTCTACCTTTCGAGTTCGAGTACCCTGATTTCGTACCATACACGCAGTTTTGTTTCATTTGATATATATATTATGCTTTATAAAACTTCACAGCTTCGTCTACACGTTCCCCAACCAGCTCCAACCCCGCTCAATGCCTTCCCAGTGGTCCGCTCCCCTCTCGTACTCCCGTACCAAATTGTCCCGCAACCACCGGTTACCAAAAACAGTACCGTCGCAATGGTCATGACTCGGCTCTGTGTGCCAGAACTCGTACACGAAGGTAACAGCCCTTAACAGAGTAGCGAAACTGAAGAATCTACAGGGTCGGTAAGCAGGCGGTGGTAGGAGGAGAAGTGAGCGTTCCCACTGGTCACTGCCAAAGTAAACCACTGTCCTCGACCCCGCTTCCCCATTCCCCTCCTCGAGTATTACCACCGGGCGCTCCCGCTCGAAAGCCAGTTTCTGCAACAAACCCGGATTCCAGCTAATAGCCGTCGCTACAGCAACGCGAGGCAACGTCGACAGGGTACCGGTAGGGAGTTGCGGAAGTAGGTCGTAAGACTCTAAAGGAAAAGCAGCGAGCGGAATGGCCCCCACAGGGACGGTGCGTGTTTCGGCCATCGAATAGGCCCACACCATCTCGTAGGCAATGAGGGGATCATGGGGCCGAAGTTCGAAGCGTTCAAGAGCCTCGGTGTATAACCCGCGGTGGTACTCATAGTCGTACCACTCTTCGCGTGCAGTAATGGACATCGTTTCGTTTCCTCCTTTTTTTTCTCTTCGGTCGATAGTACATTGTACGATGTGCACATCGCTCCTACTTATACGCTCTCGGGCTGTTCATGTTTTCTTTTTTTAGGTTAGGTTCCGTTACCTGTTTCAGGACCCGTCTTTCCTTCCCCTATAGTTTCTCTTCAAAGTGGAGAGGGGATGTCGAGCTCCACATGCTTTTGATCGCGGAACTCGACAAGTCCTACGCACTGGTCAGTGCGTCGGACTGAGGACGGGGTTGACAAGACCGACTTGGCGTTAATACCTCAAAATCGGGCCTTCGGTTACTGTTGTCAGTCGTCCGGTTCCCTTATCGAGCACTTATCTCAGAACTCCTCCGCATGGCTTGGTGTTTGAGGGTCCATATATTAGTTTCAGATTAGTAGTGTACACGCAGGTCGGATCTCCCCTCCCTCCTACTTAGAGAGTAGGTAGGAAGAAAATAAAGTTAGATTTTTACCCCCCATCTTTTGGATCTAAGCACAACCAAGCAAAAATCGTACGAATTCTCGCAGTTCGAGCCATTCCTCAGACCAACCTAAACCTCCCGTCGTACTCGAGACGGATCTACTTCGTGTGACGGACTAGATCTCGTTTCATAACTGTATGCTTCTGGGCGCACTACAGGCGTGGTCTTGGATTCGGGCGATGGTGTGACCCATGTTGTTCCCATATATGAAGGGTATGCGCTTCCGCATTCCATCCTCCGTTTGGACCTTGCCGGGAGGGACTTGACCTCTCAGCTTGTCAAGAATCTTACAGAAAGAGGATATAAATTCACAACCACTGCTGAGCACGAAGTCGTCCGGGATATCAAAGAGAGGCTTTGTTATGTAGCTCTTGACTTTGAGCAGGAACTTCAAACTGCCGCGCGCTCCTCTGCCCTGGAGAAGAATTATGAACTACCAGATGGACAGGTTATCACCATTGGGAACGAAAGGTGATTTCCTCAACGCTGACATCTTCCGATCGTCTTCTTACTCCATCCTATCCCTAGATTCCGAGCGCCTGAAGCACTTTTCCAACCGCACATGGTGGGCCTTGAGGCTTCGGGAATTCACGAAACTGTGTATGTGCTCTCCTCGCCGTTGTTTCAACATTCTTCTGACAACATCAATCGTTCTGACAGATACGATTCAATCTTCAAATGTGACCTCGATGTTCGCCGCGAACTCTATTCCAACATCGTCCTATCTGGAGGGACCACAATGTTCCCTGGATTGGCTGACCGTATGCAAAAAGAGATCACTTCTCTCGCTCCTGCTAGCATGAAGGTGTGTCCTAGTCTCATTCCACCCCTTTTGATCGCGAAAGGGGAATTCACTCTTTGTCACGCGTTAGGTCAAGATCGTTGCCCCACCTGAACGGAAATATTCTGTCTGGATTGGGGGATCGATTCTGGCTTCATTATCGACCTTCCAGAACCTTTGGATCTCCAAGCAAGAATACGACGAATCGGGTCCTGGAATAGTTCATCGCAGTGAGTTGCGGCGTTGCTCGGCTTGCTCAACTTCTTTTCTCATTCAATATACGCAGAGTGTTTCTGAACGAACTCTATATTAGAATTGTAGTATGGTAACACCCAAGGTTGTTTTAAACCAAACAATTAGCAATTGTCCGAGTCGTATCTTGGAGTTGCTGTACATGTAGAAGTGACGGTCCCCAACCTTCTTCATGACGTGTTTGAAAGCTTCAGCGCTTCAGTAACGGAGTCCTCAGATCTCAGAACTTCGGTTTTTATAAAACTGTTCCTCGAATTCTTGCTCAGTGACTTTGACGTCGATCGGTTAACAGGTTTCGGAATAAATCTTCCTTCTTTTTCTCTTTCCAAAGTAGAGAACTATTCCTGCACGTCAGAGTATGACTTGCAACGTTCAAAAAAAATAGCGGTAAAGTGCATACCTGGATGGCTCTGATTCGTGCTTTCGTCTCTGCATGTCATTCCGGTCGTCATCATACTCATCCTCCTTCACATCCATTTCACATTGGCACCTCGTCGGTAGCAGAACCAGCGCGTTCTATGTGATCCCGGAGCTAATATGTCTAGTATTAGTGTGCCTTGCCTTGACTCTTGGAGGCTCTGGAAAGTAAACACGGAGTAAACACATGCGAGGCAAAATTACAGTATTCAATCTCGCGCCTCTGCCGAGTGCGGCAAGTTTGGTTTTCGGTCTCGAATTAGCAAAAGTTGTAGTTAGAACCTTCTTCATGCTTGTACATCATTTCAAAGGACTTTTTTTGACCGTTGACTGTAGTATCAACGAGGTTCAATCTTATCTGATTTACTTAAACCCACCACTGGCCGCTCGGCGTACATAAAATTCGTATACATACGACAAGTCATCGGAAGTCCCTTTCGTCAAGTTTCGTGTCGTACAAAAGATCTACATGGAGATGAGCTATTGATTTCATTATCCAGTTGAGCTCCAAGGTTCGTTATGCTATCTTCAAATATTAGAGGAAATGGCACCAAATATATACATAGCTCTTCTCCGGCCAAATTATGATGATTGTCTGGGACGGCCGTGATTTGAATGATGATGGCGCAATGGCTCCCAGCAGCTCCAACTTCAAGTTTTTCAGGAGCTTCCGAGCTGCAGTAACATTGTATCACGCAATCTTCACATTGTATTGAAGACATAGCGCAATACGAGTCAGGAATTAGGACAGATCAATTCCGGGTCAGTTGATCCTCTCGACTTACCAAGACTGAGCTGGGGATACTTAAATAACAAATCTAACAAGCTATGGCCTTTGTAAATCCTACCGGATAATCTCTCTCCAGAATGCCTGTACCCGTTCCCCAGCTTGGCTCATTTGATTATGTCCCAGAGACCAAGGTTCGTATCAAACCTCCTTCCACTATCTATACTCCAGACAAACACTGTGACCGCAGGAAAACCTCGACTGGGCCGACCTTGTCACTGTGGATCTCAGTCTATACAGCACCCCGGAGGGAAAGAAGCAACTCGCCCAAACTTTAATCAATGCCATACGAAATGAAGGATTTCTCTACGTGAAGAATTTCAACATTTCTCAGGAGCGTGTAAATCGCCAGTTTGCATTAGGAAAGCAATTCTATGAACTACCCCTCGAGGAGAAGGAGAAGTACACGCCGGAGGGATTAGGTCGGTCGTTACTTACTATATGTAGTATTCAACGTCGCCCTCATGGTCGATGACTTCAAGATCAAGGAAAGTTCAATGGATATATTCCGGCTGGGCGAAGGATGTAAGTACCTGTCCTCAAGCTGCTCATGCACATCTGACAAATTCGAATCAGTATTAACCTTGATACGGGTTTGCGGGACAAAACTGAGATGTACAACATTCCAAGTATATTTTCGATTCCTCTGTTGCTTGGGGCTAATCCCAGTGCGCAGAATTCACTGGCGAGTTTCCGCACACACATCCTGAATTAATCCGGAAAAATCTCCCGGAGATTGAGGAATTTGCAAGAGTGCGTGGTTGTCTTCTATTTCAAAGTTTGGTAAATATACTCATTCGGCTGCTGCAGGCGCTTCACACAGAGGTCTTGGACCCACTCTTCGTATTGCTTGCTATCGCCCTCGAACTTCCGGAAGATTACTTTACCAAGATTCATCAATATTCGGTGAAAAGCGAGGTCTGCACGATATACTCTAGTCCTGTCCTGTTGATATTGAAACTCATGCACTTTCAAGGACCATCTCAGATACATGAAATATTCCAAGTATTCTTTGGAGGAGAACAAGTCGTTAGATAACTGGGGGTATGGCCATACGGGTTTGTAATTATTAGCGTATCTGCTTTCGAAATCATCTAACAATACATCTGGAATCGACAGACTTAGGAAGCTTCACTCTGCTATTCCGTCAGCCTGTTGCTGCCCTCCAAATTCGATCCCACTTGGATAACGAATGGAAGTGGGTCAAGCCACAAGATGCAACATTGACTGTTAACGCGTGTGATGCCCTGCAATTTTTGACTGCGGGATATGTTAAAAGCACCATACATCGGTATGTTCACTAACAATGGTACGTTGATGAACCTACTCATTGCCTACTATCAGAGTTACCGTACCCCCTTTGGATCAACAACACGTTGACCGTTTGGGGTTGTTATACTTCTCTCGGTGAGCTCTAGAATGTATTCCTCACGTACATACCTGAGATATCGTGATGTCCCAGCCCGCACAACGACGTACCTCTGGCGACCATTCAAGAATCACCCGTTCTTAAACGTGAGGGGTTCACCAAGAATGAGTTTGAGATTTCTGAAAATCCCGTTCCTACCATGGAAGGTTCGTCTTCACCGTGGAATAGTCTGTACTGGGCGTGCTCAGGTTGTCTTTAACAGAATGGACCTTTGCAAAACAAAAGTGGCAACGAACCAAGGGTTACCACGGCGACTCTAAGTACAGAAATGCAGTCATTCTTCCTGGGTTTGCCGAAAAACCGTATGTTTGAGTCAGAATGTTTATTACAATACATACTTGGGTATGTGTAGTAGGAATGAGCCATGTATTTTTACTATTTCTAGGTTCAGTAGAAGATATTCAAAACGACTAAGCTTAAGCTTTGACGCCACCCATCGAGTTTGACTCTCGTTGACTGCCAATATCCGGAGAGTAGCGCTCATACCGATCAACAAGTGGTGGAATCGGGAGTAGTAACAATCCAGTATTGCACGCCGCCGTCTTGGGCAGAGGTTTCGTTGACCCAAGCAAACTGAAAAAGGTCAAGAACAAGTTGGTAGGTCAATCTTTAACTTGTACATACCACACCGGTGTTATCGACCTCAATTCCTTTGAAAATCCCAGTGCCCAGCTAGTAATTGCGCTTAGTTATCTTGAATAATAGTTCAGTGTTAGCAGTGAAACTCACAGTGGAGACGAATCCACCGGAGGCGGGAACAAGGCTATCAGTTGATGATCCTTCAGGAAGAGTTGTCGTCGGGTCGACCCACTCAAGGACATAAGTTTCTGGTATAACTCCAGACTGGGGGATGAGCGCAGCAATGTAGCCGATCTCGGGACAATGCTGGACAAGGCTTCCGAATTCTTCAGAGTATGTCGCAGTGGGAGGACTGCTGCTGTCGGCAGTGAACGCCATGGCGTAGCCATAGGTTCCCTCTACGAGGGTGAAGTCGCCATTCGATTGTCCGTATGGCGAGGTAGAGTTCCACGAAAGAGCTACGGTGCTTTGGGCTCGCACGACGGAAACGGCAGCCGCGAGGGCGGATAAAAGGATGGCGTGACGGACTTGCTTGAACATCAGGAGAGAGCTTGAAGAACGGTACTTTGCAGATGTACAATGCCACGGCTTTATAGCAGTGCGTACACACCGCCTTCACTTCTATAATTTCTGTATGCGGCTGACTTTCGCCGTTCGAAACGCGTTCCTAATGTCTGTAGCGACGGCCTCTGGTGAAGCGCGACGGGAGGGAAAAGAAAAGAGACCAAAAGCTGTTTTTGGCCCGGTTGTTACTCAATAAGTTAATGGTACCGGCAACGGTTATCCTTTCTCTTCCAAGGGATCAACGATCTATGATACGTACTTGGATAGTTGCTTGCCGCCTGACGAAGACTATCCTACGTAGAGATTAAGATGGTATTAACAAAAAACTCAGTATAGGACTAACAAAAGACGGTATTGTACACGATTAATCGGATAATTAAAGAATAATGCGACTCGCCTCGCGTTAAGAAAAAGCCCAATTAGAAATGCGTTCGTTCCGCGTTTTCATGTCAAATCCACAACCCCAAGCGACACATTTCGACCACCTCGTCTCTTTCCTGCTGACGACGTCCCAGACTCTTGTTTGATCCCTGGTTCTGGTTTGATATGCTTTGTTTTCCGTCGCTTTCGTTCAAGAGTTTCAAGCTCCTCCTGTTTTAAATAATGTTAGGCAGCGAAAAAGGTAGAGCGGACAAGAAACATGCCCTGAGAGCTTTTATTCGGCGCTCCTCTTCGTCTTCAGAGTCAGGCCGGTCTTCAGTTAAGTCGAAAACCTCAAGCTCGGAAGGGGAGGCGGCGCGTTTCTTGTGTGTCTCTGGAGGAGCTATTCCATTAGCACGAAGCATATCTTCACGTTCTGATAAGCATGATAAAAATTGAGGCGGTTATGAGTACTCACCTATAGGACGATATTTGAAGACAAAGGTTACAATGACGGCGTGACGTTCTACCGTTAATACGCTCGTACGTCCTATAGGCTTGTTTTCTCCCAACCTACAAACGGCAATACCTTCATCAAAACGGAGACAAGGAACGTCAATGTAGGTTGGCGTACCCCACTTTGTGACCCGTGGCTTTTTTCGATTTCTCATGGACCTTCCCAACCCCAACTGGATCACGACTACTATAATATTCTGTCGGAAGACCAATTGTAGCATGAGAGATCACCAATTGAACGTCTCCAAGACCGGCCGTGACTTTATTCAGGTACTCGTCATCGTCTACAGTGTTCGACAGTCAGAACAAGATCAAGCAGAAAGGTTGTAAGCAACCACACCTGTGAGCTCTAATCGCGAGAATACAAAAGGCCTTTCGGTAGTAGCGGAGGTCAAGACGCCATTCGAAATGAACGTCTGCGGCAAGCCTGCCTTCATAGCTTTACCACTCAATGGCTGGCCATCTATATTGATGTCCCCAGACATTGAAGTGTCCCTTTGCCCGGTAGACCATTTGACAGAAAAATTCTGATTGTAGCCTAGATTAGCGCAGTTGGATCAACAAGTTGAACTAAGTGGTGAACGAACCTTGTCCGATTCCGAAGGGATCCAACAAGTCACTTCTTTGCCGTTTTCTTTTACATCAAAGATAGGAAGCTCCGAGCCATCAACTTCAATCCATGCAGAGAAACCTTGAAAAGTAAGGGGCATTCTGTAGTGATAGTAACGGTTCAGAAGGTCACAGCCGTCACAGTACCAGACTCATTGTGAATACGCATATCTACGCATATAGACTGTAGAACATTGACTTCACTTCGATTGGCTGTTAACCACAAATTATCTATATGGATACGACCACGTCGCAATCTCACCCCGCTCATGCATAATTCCTGCCTGAATACATGTGGTACATCGCCTGCTCCCTTCAGCAAGCTGCGTATCACCATGAACCCTGCTACTAATCTTTGCAATTCTCGTCAGAACCTCCTTCATTCTACGCACCATACAATGGACGCAATCTATAATTCATCGATACTTGCAGTATCTTCAGGAACTTCCAAGTTCTCAAGTAATTTGACTAGTATCATATCTTTCCTGGCGACCATCGTCGGAGTATTTTATTTCTCAATGCTTCTATGGGTTGTCAATCTCTTTCGAACGCAACCTCGAGTGTTCAAAAGGGACTACAGTCGACATCTACAACGCTATGCTCCTTGTGAGTTATGTCTACTCTTTGCTCGTACTGCAGCGTTTTCTTGTGACTTAGTAATAATCGCAACTTCTGGAGTCGTTTATGTTTTCATGGTAATCAATAGCCTTGTCGAGGTACAGATGCTTCTATCTTTCATCTTCGACTGACTGAATCATACCCAGGCAGCTTGCGCTTCCTGGCTACTCGTCCAATATATCCATCAGCAATCATTCCCTGATTCTCCAAGTCGATCTGCCCTCCAGCTCATTATGTCAGTAGAATTTCACGATATGACCATTGGCATATGCTCAAAGCGACCCCTACCTCAGATTCTGCTCATGTTGGACATTATTTACCGCCGGATTTCTCACAATCTTGTTCATGCATCCAACTTGGTCGACACATCCTGTCGCTTCAGTGGGGTCTCAAACCATTTGGGTGATCGTGACCTCGGGGTTATGGGTCGCCGGGGTCACAATTCTGGCTTGCGAATTGCCAGCCCAATGCATCTCAGTTGCATATTGCGGCCAAATTCGAGCTTTATTCGGTCTGTTTTCAACCTCGTTTCGTGTCAAACAGTATCAATTGTTGACTATAGCTTTGTCTAACGAAGCTTTCTCCTTATTAGAGACGTGGGTGTATTTCAAGTTTTCCGCTTTGACCCGATATCTGATCCAATCCACAGAATTGTGTTAATGGGTGCCATGCTCACGATACTCTGGATAGTAAGACAATCCGTTCGTGAAGCTCTAAAGCGTGTTTCAAGGCAGCTTGTCGTATCTGTGATGTCGAGCAGGTAGTAACGAGCATGCAGCTATCTATCTCCAGACTCCAGCAAGATGCACAGCTTGGGCCTCACGACAAACACACCGTTCTTATTCACATCATTCACTCACTGAAATGTCGGAAACGGTTTAATTTTTTTTCTTTGCCCGGGCCAAACAACTTATTTCATCTACATAAGCTCGATGCGAATTCAGGCTCTGTATGATCGACTGTTGAAATAAATTTCGATATAATCGCTGCTTGAGATAACCGCTACTCAACTCCGCACGTTCATGATAATGCATGCTCAATAAGGAGAAAAACGAGGACCGATCTCATTCTGTCAACATCCTTTTTCAACGTGTCTATCTCGCTCACTACTTAAGATATCCAAGATCATTATCCTCTGACCATCACCCCATCCTCCACCCCACGCAGATATGTCTCAACCCATTCAGACTACGATACAGAATCCCCAGAACTTTTGCGATGTAAGCTAGCAGTAGTAACGATTTGTCTCTCTTTTTGACGTCCGTCCTATTTAGTATTGCCACGTCAAGCCGAAATTTGGACAGTTCAACTATTGTTCAAAGACTTGTGCTGCTCAAGCACCGTCGAGGATTAATATTAATGCACCTGTGTCTTATAATAAACCCGCCACCGCTGCCGTGAAGCCTCGTGCACAACCCGCCGCAACCAATATGTGTGATGTGAGTTCTGACCTATAATTCAAATCTGGGACGTTTGAACTGTGACACTGAAATATGTTGCATGTAGTTCTGCAAGAAAGTTCCGAAACACCCCGGGTACGACTTTTGTGGAAAGAGTTGTGCCCAAGGCGCGAAGACTGGTTCTTCCACTAAACCGACGTTCAAATCTCCGCAAACTTCATCAGCCCCGAACAAGCCTAATCCTGGTAACAAGGGATCATTCAATGCGATAGCTCAAGCTGCTACTGCATTGGTAGGCAGTACACCTGCCTCTATAGATCCAACCCAGATTGCGAGTGAGTGATCTAGAAATCACCGAAAATTTCATGCTCAAACGATCTCCCTGAAGATCTCGTGGTGCAACAGCTGCAATCGCTTCTTCCTCCAGCGTCTTCTGCTTATCCCACTAGTACGGCCCAAACTACGTCTTTGTCGACTAAACAAACTTTTCAACAACCCACATCAAATGCTCAGCCCTCGCTTCGTGTCCAAACTCAACCTGACTCCGAAGCACCTGTGGAGTGTCTTATACCGGGTTGTGGGCAGCCCGTCTACATAGATGCCAAAGGAATGAAACCAAGCGCATATTGTTCATTGCGACACCGGCAGTGAGTTGGGCTACTACTATGAGATTTGTCAACTGACTCAAGAAAACCCGTCTGTTCAAGGGAAGCAGTGGACTCAGGACTGGCATCGCCCTGTATCTTCTGCCTTCAGCTCCCACAAAGCGAGGCGGATTACTTCTGTAGCAAGGAGTGTCGGGAAGAGTCATTGAACAAGGAGAGATATAATGAGATAGTCGACGAGTAAAAGACATAGGATTTCGTACGGAATACGCTGGTAATATTATTAGTGATCTGGAGGTATACTAAGAGGATCGGATTACCGAAGTAATGGAAAAAAAACGATAAACTGAAAGAATTATAGTAGCTACAGAGATGTTCATGGGAAAAAAAACAAGAGAACGAGGCGATGGATGTGATACAGGATCTGGGTATAACAAGAGCAAACGGAACGAGAGAGGTGCATGGATGATTAATCATGAATCAATCACGGGAAGTGATTCTAGTCAGGACATGTTGGAAGGTAGCTAAAGTGACAGAGCCAAGTTACATTCGACAGACGATAAATTGACGAAGGACTTACTAAAGATGGGACTGGAAGGAGCGGAACGAGATCGTGAAGGGCATGCATGTGTATTAAGAGCCTGACGTTTATCAAAACCCTGATCGCAGCTTGCGCAATGGTAAGGCCTGCAGTGAAAGTTAACAGTGGATAGTTCAAGAAAACTAGTTTCACGTACTTGGTATTTCCGATATCATGGAGAGAAAGGTGGAAGCTGAGAGCATTAACGTTGAGTAAAGTTGCCCGGCAGTCTTGGCGAGGGCATACGAGAGCGCCCGACGCAGAGGCGAACTTAATCTCCTGAAGAGCTTCCACACGCTGAGCGGATAAGAAAAGGTCAGACGATCTTTAAGGCAATCATTCAAAGAAATACTCACAGCACGTGCGAGAGCATCTGCGCGAGAGTCGCTGTGCCTGAGCTTGGGCTCCTCAACTGGACTTCCCCACTGATGATTCGTCTCCAACGTGGTTGCATCGACACCAGAGCTGATCCAGGATTCTCTTTCGGATCCTACAAGGGTTGGAGGCTCGGCGGACGAACTTCGAGAGGTAGATGCGGATGAAGTTGATTGGACATCGAGATCGATTTTTACGCCAGTTCGATAGCGATGAGCAATCTGCTGCGCTTCAGACATGGAAGAAGCAACTCGGTAGTTGCGCACGAGGTTTTGTGCAGGGGAGATTACGGCGTTGGCTGTGATCCTCGGTCTCCGTTTGATGAAAGGTTCGACCGGGGCATGAAACTCCCAAGTGCTTAGGTCGTCCTCCTCCTCCATGGCTTGGCGCCGGAAATCAGCAGCAAGATCGAGCTTTGAGGGAAAGAATGTCGCATGGCGCTTCGTGCACTTGAGATTTACCCTAAGCAAGATATCTTCGACAGTGGTGGGATTAGACATGACGTTGTGTTTAAATCGACAAAGAGAAACGGATATAAAGGAAAGACGAGACCCCAGTTCTGAGAGCATTGAGAATATGGCGTCGGCATTTATATTCCAGTCGTTTAACCACCAGGCGTGAGTATGCGGAAATTGGATGACAATGCGCGTGCAGAGGCGGGCCACATCAGATCAACAATGGCCCGGTTGACCAACAAAAGTAGAACATATTTTCCTACGTATGACTGAACAACAATGAATTTATATCGATGCATGATGTTGCTTTTGGCGTTCAGTTGTTGGACCATGCTGTGTAATAGATTTCCATGTACAATTCGGGGCATGAATCATAGAATAAGGAGATTGTTCTGACCGTTGTTTGGATTTACTTTGATATCGCTAGCAGTGTCCTTGGATCAGAGGACGCAACATCGCGCCAACTTGAGGCATCTAAAGCCTCGACAATGTATGATAGCAAACCATTGCCACAGATTGCCATTGAGAAACAGTAGAGTAGAGTAAGTTAGACGCGTTCGTGAGAATCGATTATCGCGAAAAGGTCACGTTCTGTGGAAGACGAACGCCCAGACTTCTAGTACTACTCCTAAGTTACTGCCTCAAACCGTGCTGAACAATCTATGCTGCAGAGATTTTTGTTCCTATGGATCGATCGCAAATCGTTTTCGAGAGTTAGAGTTTAATGCGCCTAGGACACTAGCGGACATAGTACATGGTATAATGTTTGGTTCGTGGTCACAGGCATGCTTCTCTATGCTTCTATCTGTCTCCATATGCTTTTCTTCTTACTGACCACTCGGATACAGAGAGAATGGTCAAGATCTCATTGATGCCACAGCAGGGCTTGGATATATCAGACTCAATAATCATCAGCGATACAATATTGACGGTCCGAGCGTGATACCACGGGCAATCAAGGAAGAAAGGTTGGAAAAAGTTGAGATGTCAGCAGAGTAACAAAGTATGTTGCCTTGTCTTTCACTGATGTTTGTCCTGAGAGACATGTTTAGTCGAGGACAAGCCATCTCACAAATACGATATCCCAACGCCTGTAATCGTCATATTAAGCTTCAACGATCATTACTTTTCCGAGGAAACAGACATTCTTTGCCACCATAGAAGCGCACCATCAGAGACGTACACTTCGGTTTGACTAGTGACTAGCGATGAACCCTTCGGATGAACATCAAGTTCAACCCTCAGGTCGTGTTTGCGTGGACCTTATTCTAGTTATTACCTGATAGTCATGTTTGTATAGGAGGGACTGGAACGACTCGAACTCGAAGCGCGGAAACATCAAGTCAGAGCCCGCATTCATACCAGAATCAGGGCCGTCTTCAGGAGAAGGAAGACGGAACATATCACCTGGGGCGATGCAGCATGAGGTGGTTCTCAGTTTTGAGCGAGTCGCAGAATCAATTATCTGTAAACGTCTCTCAATATTAATCATATGTCTGTTCTCGGTGGAAATGGTCTGATACTGGTTTCTCTGTGTCCTTCTAAACTCCTCTACACTGTATCTCGCGATTAGGTTCGGTCAGTCCAAAGCGTTGCGGCGATGTCGTGGACTTCGGCATCTGTGCAATCCTGCTCTCGCAGAGCGATATGCGACACACGTTTAATGTCATCTGGAAGTCTGAGGGGCTCCATACCTTTCTGGGGTCTAGTCAGACCGACTTGTGTGGTTGAGCAGTGAGCCGGTCGAATTGCTAGGTGGCCAGGGGGTTGACTTGTGAGCGGCACCTGACACTATCATCTGGGAACATCATCTTACCGGTTGTAAGGAAACTACGTTGAGACTTGGTTCTTTAAGCAAATGTACGTACATGCTTGGAACGTAGATATCCGCTCAGACTTCAGAGTCAGCCTCTAACAGATGCGTGCATACCGCGGGCAACTCTAACTCATTCATGGCTAACATCCGGCGAAATACTTCGTTCTTTATTGACTCCGAGTCGTTACCAACACTCAATTCAGACTGCGTAGTTTCATTTAATACCCGTCCAAGAGGTTCACTGGTGAGCTGAGGCATCTGAGAATTTGATCAGTGCTAGTGATGGCAGTGATTCATGCTTGAATGTTTTAGCTTGTTGACGCCAGGTGAATAGGGAGGACTAATAAAAGTTGGTGCTGACATACCAAAACTAACGCTCTAGTTTATTGACAAAAGTTGATCAAGAAAATCTACGTCCCCTTGAACTCCGAAATCAACAGAAGCTTCAACGGACCAACGTTGCGCGTATCTATGAAAGATAGAGTAGATGTTAAAGTACTACATACTTTGAGGGCGCTGACAATTTCTAGAATTCTCAACATTTCCAAATCGGTTTTCTGGTATTTCTTAAATTCCAAGGTATTGGGGCTCAAATCACGATCCACCGATTTGAGCCCAGTACCTATAGTGAAGGTATTCACGTTCGCTCAAAATTAAAAGTCCCCGGACTCGGATATCGATATCTTGTGCTTGAGCTTCTTCCTGGTTCTTCCTAGCATCTCTGTGAGTTTCTTTCATCAATCCATCGAGGGATCAAAGAGGTTTCCCGCACGAAATATAAAAAGGCAGATTCGTCATTTCCCTAGAAGCTGTACAAACCCCCCATACTAGTTGGTTAACTTGTCATTGCCATACTTACGCCGCATTCAATCGCGCAGATGGAACAGCACGTCGAACTAGTAGTGCTTCAAACCGAAACTGCTGTCGACGAACAGGATGATGCTCAGATTGAGGAGCTTCTCAGCTCATTCTATTTCGATAATTCGGTCACACGACAATCCGCAGGGGAAGGGTCTAGGTACTCTACAAACTAATCCTAAAGTAGTTGAGCACTAGAACTATTACTGACAAAACATCCTCCCAGACACGGCGAGCATCTTCACCCAATATACGAAGAACAAGAGGAGGATGGAATATTCTATGACCTCTACGGCACAGTAGAAGAAGAGTCGCCGTGTTCTATATGCGAAAGCAGCGACGAGGAGAACGATTCGGAGATTTCTTCACAGTACGGCCCGAAGGAACTTCCTCCGAATATAGCACAGAACCCTTCAAGCTTTTGGCCTGTAATTGAAGAAGATGACGGGGCGCCTGACGCCGAACGAATAACGTTCAGCGCTAAGCTATCGTCGTCACGATCACCGTCTAACATCATCTTGGAAAAAGACGATGAGGACGACAATGAAAAGGAATGGGAAGACAGAGGTCGTTCGAGAGCCGTACCTGCCAGACTGGTTCGGTGGGCAGAACAGACTCGAAAAGTACAGGTACATAGATTCATCCACGAAACAGGAGCATGACAGGAGAGAAGAATGGATAGATGACCAGGTGTGTATTTGTCAAAGCATTGCAGATAGTCCAATGACCCAGCAGTGATCCAAAGAAAACTGAACGATATTTCTTCGAAAAAGAAGAATCGTTCAGCCTGTCATAGGAATTCCATATACTGGAATACGAGAGTTCTTTTGGCAAGGTTACTGAATTTCAAGGTTTTCAATCTCCCTACTTGAAGTCAGGGCACGGGACTGTAAAAGTTGATAGCTAGATGAAGGCCAGATAATCAATCGCAATGATATTATTTTTTCAAAGAAGCTTAGCTCTAGAAAATCAGAAATTAACGAGGGAACGAAAGAGAATGAACGTGTCATCATGAGCGAATTGGGCTCGAAGCGAAATCAGCAGAATTCTCAACTGCCGCAGATGCCATTGTACCCATGGATTTCTTCGACCACTTCGCCGGGGAATCTCGTATTCCAAGTTCCGTCCTCAACTCTTCCACGTCCTGCTCCCAACGCTTCTCCCAATAAACACCAATCAAACACTGCGAAGTGCTTCCATACTTCAACGCCCAGGGAACATATTCTGAAAATAGAACACTGCGTTTCTTCGCATTGAGGCGCAAAGGGCCACCTATCGCAGATATGGCAGCTAGCGGAAGACCAAGGTTGGCAAACTCGAAATACTTGATTGCAAGCTCTGACTCGACGTTTACAGAGAAATTGCAAATGCAATGATAAAAGTCGTGGCATTCGCGGTAGCGTTGCATCACATATGCTAGTTCTGGATCATCAATATAATGCACCTTGTTGAATACGAAAAATGACTTGAGCAACTGAGAATGCTGAGCGGCACGCAGCTTACAGGCTCTCGAGAATCTGGGGTGACGCCTGTTCGCTCAAGCCAGGTTTTATATGTGCGGCCCCAAGTGCCCTCTGGAAGCTGTGCGAGCGCGTTCATATCAACTGTCCTGGTGTTGATTCTAGGTCTGTCTTTCAGTATCCGTCTACCTTCGGAAGTCGCCAGCATGATGTCCCTCAGACGAGGAAGCGCAGGTCCAGCCGTAGTTTCCCCCAGGGCAGCAATCAAATCTACAATCACAGGATGAGAAAGAAAACCTCGATATAAGAACGTTCGCACACCTGCCCTGTAAGGATCTAATAAAGACATTACAGCTGAACCTACAGCCAAGAACGCGTTTTCGAATGAATTCAGAGGTATGTGACCCGGATACGCGGGTGTGGTATTTATGAATCGTGTCTTCAGGTAGGAGGCGGAGCTTGCAGGTGAAAATCTCGGAATGGCGCGGGATAAGTATGGAGACATTTTGCTTCAGCCCAAAGATGATGACGGTCGAAATGCAACGCCAGAATTCGTCGTGTACACAGGCGCTTAAGCCTGCCTAGACGCCAGACCACCCGATTTATGCTCATGACTTTTTTATTATGCAGATATATGTAATGTACAATGGGATGTATATGACCTGATATTGAACGTACAATACAATGAGAAAGTATTTAGGAGGCAAAAAAGGATGTCCATCTTCCGGGCTCAGCGATTTGAGAAAAGGTAGGTAATGCACAGTAGGGAAGTACAGTGATAAATGGATACAGTAACAAAGCAGAGACACATACATAGAGGATGACATGGACATAGATATCAGTAGACACGGAAGAGAAGAATGATTGTGTATGCGTTACAAATATAAATCACAAAAGAAAAACAGACAATGCGCAGGAGATACGGTTATGAATAGGGGAAGGAGGAAGGCTTCGGAGGTAAATGTTTACAGACCTTACAAAACACCGCTCGCACGAAATGGCATCTGGCTCAGCACCACACGTCCCCTGAATCCGACCACCACCTCTTATCCCATCCCCTAACGTTCCACTCTACCACACCTTCCGTCGTGGCAGCATAAATATACCCACCAGTCGGATCAAAACAAGTCCCAGCAATGTCCAAGTCCGGGTCATACTTCAGGGTACTACCAAGAGTATCCATTCCATCGAGTCCAAAGGAACCCCCCTGGTATTCGGTATTCAAGTCAACATCTTCGTCGTGATCTGCACCATCGCCTTCAGCATTGTCGTCGTCCATGTCCGCACCATCTCCACTACTAGTTCGATCCAGAACTCGAGCTCCAATCCTACTAAGTGCTTCGACTCTCGACCATGGTGTCCAACGATTATTAGATGGTGGGGGACTCAAAGAGGGGCGGGGAGAAGAGCTTCTCGAGGGTACATGCGACGAAATACAATCCCACTCGATCTCCGGTTCCATACCAAGTTCATCGAGCTCATCGTCAATTTCCATCCTCTCATCGCGATTCCGATCATAGTTTTCATCTGCATGATCGGAAATACCAACGCCAACACCTCCCAAGCGTCTTGAGCGTATTCCATGACTTCCTAGAAGCGCTCGTACATCATCTTCGACTTCACGATCTCCAAGCGGAGGAATGACCACCAGATCTTCTTCTGAATCTCTCTCGAAATTATCTCCGCGCCGCCATGAGCCGCTTGCACTCGCGTTGAGTTCTTCCGCAGAATCAGAAACCCTAGTCGGAATCCGGAACGTATCCTCTAATGCGAGGACGACATACGGTGACTGAGAAGTGTCACGACGAGTGCTAGAACCTGATGTATGAGATGTAGCAGAGACCGGTATTGAGAAGGGAATGTTGGATCGTGGGTGTGGATTGACAATCGAAGCGGCAAGAGCTCGGGCACTAGATGCCGGACGCTGGTATGGACGAACATAGGATGAACGGCTTCGTGTCTGCGATGTCCGAGGGGATATTGTGTGCCTGATGGAGCTAGTCCGTGCAGTTGTGGAAGGCGATGTACGTTGCTTGGGTGCAGGTATAGAAGGCACCTGGACGATTTCCTCGGTTTCAAAGGTCCGAGCATCGATCACATGGAGTCGTGACGTGTGCTAACACATTCTGGAATGAAACATTGTCATGAGGAAGAAGAATGGAAATAACACACCTCTGTAAAAGTCATAATTTCCTTCCCACACCCGTCCACTCCTCCATTTCCAAACTTCACGTTCCTTGCGCTCCATCCAGGGGCTTTAGAAAGACCTCTTGTCCATTCATATGGATCATCCGAAAGATAGCCACTCGCCAATCCATTACCAGCACCATTCCACGACTCAGATTTGTCAGTTTGGTACACCTTTAACGGTTTAATGCTTCGAACATCCCATACGCAAACGACACCCTCTTGAGAGGCGACAGCATACTTTGTTCCGTCGCGGGAAAAAGAGGTACTAAACGAAGCAGCCAGAGAAGACGAGAAATGGGATAGAAGGTTGCGGTCAGGAGGTGGCATGGCGAGAGTGGCGATAGACGAGAAGGACAGCTGACCGCCACCATGAATGCGATGGAGGTAAACTTTGGAAGAGTCTCCGACTGAGAGGAGACAAGTTCCGTCAGGGGATATTGAAGCTTTGAGTCAGCGTCAGCATGTCGTGTAGCATGAATGTAAAATGTGGCAAGAATAGCATACATACAGTGATTAACGGCGACATTCAGCCGCACAGAACCCGCGTTCCTTATCTTGAGAGAGTTTCCGCCTCCTCTCACAGACATTGGAATATCGAAAAATTTGACGGTACAATCGTTGTTGCTAATGGCAAGTCTCGGCTCGAGACTGCTCTCGTTCGATCTCCCGAGATTGAGCGAGGTGAGGAGAATGGAATTATTGATTGAAGCCTGTAAACGTTCTTCGAACTTCCACTCTAATGCACCGGTGCGGCGGCGCCTCGTGGAGTGGTGATGTAAGGAAAGATGTAGTTCGGCGTCTTGCCCACCAGCAGCGAAAAGAGTAGCGGTACCTCCTAAAACCTCCAAGGATGTGATATTGGCCGGATAGAATGAAAGGTCGAATAGAGGTCTAGGGGTCTGTCAATATTATGTTAGTTGCTTTGTAGCAGTGTGAACCGAACGATAATCCTCACTGATCTGGGATTATACAAGTCCTGTTCCACGACCGAGTTCCGCGTCACATAGTTTATGAGCCCTCTTTCTCGAGGGCAAATGACCAAATCACGGAGTTGGCTGCAAAAAAAGAGACGTAAGATACGTCCAGGGATTACTTTAGTGCTCGACTAACACATGAGCGATATTCAGGTTTGGTGTTGCAGCGATTGCAGTTGGTGTCTTGGAAGAGAGTAACGAAAGCTCTCTCGTCATCGCTTGATACGACGAGCAGAGACTGTGTGATGGTGGATGAGCGGGAAAACTGAGAAATTGCAAGACAAATTGGACATACTTAGACAGGTGTAACGCTTTGACATTTCTCACGTTATGACCAATGGCGCTTACAGTGGCGTAGTTCTTTGAGTTTTTTTTTACAAAGGATCAAAGTAAAGTGTAATTCTGGACAATGATTAACCGAGCAATGGAAAGACAGTACATAGCTACGTCCACTTCAATTAACAGGCTCCTCTTCTTGAAGCAATTCAGCTGCCGCCTGCTGCTGTTGCCACATTCTATGATATAATCCCCCCCTCTTTAACAACTCTTCATGTGTCCCTTGTTCTGCAACACGTCCCTCTTGTAGTACCACGATAAGATCTGCTTCGATCACAGTTCGAAGACGGTGAGCAATGAATATACTCGTACGCGCCTTGTGTAACAAGGCGCTGCTGATATTCTTCATGAGCTCTGCTTCGGTATGCGCGTCCAAAGCGGAAGTCTGGACATGGGTGTCAGTATGAATTCTATAAAGGAAAAACGCAGGGGGCCTACTCACTGCTTCATCGAAGAACAATATAGGAGGATCCTTGAGCAGCACCCTCGCCACTGCCAGTCGTTGCTTCTCTCCACCACTAATCATTAGCCCCCTCTCTCCTACCTTCGTCCTATACCCGTCCGGCAACCTCATAATCGCCTCATGCACATGCGCCTGCTTTGCCGCTTCGATCGCATCGAATTCATCCTTGTCCAAATTTCCATATCGTACATTGTGCATCACATCAGCGTGAAATAACGGCGTATCCTGCGGCACTATGCCAATGGATTTACGGAGACTCCCGAGCTGGACTTGGGAGATATCTTGGTCGCCGATGAGTATACGACCAGAGGAAGGTTCGTAAAACCGGAACAGTAGACGGAGAATGGTGGATTTGCCACATCCGGAGGGACCGACGAAGGCAACGCGTTTTCCTGCCGGAATGGTAAAGGAGAGATCGGTGAAGATGGGACGGCTTGGATGGTAGGCAAATTGGACATTTTCGAAACGTATAGATTTGCCGGCGTCGACAGGAAGGGCCAGAGGTTGAGCACCAGGCTTGTCTTCAATAGGCGGATTATTCTCGCGCAAGTTAAACAAAACTTCCATATCAAGGAGGTTTTGTTGGAGTTCGCGATAGATGGTTCCCAAAAAGTTGAGAGGAAGAGAAAGCTGGAAGATCAATTGGTTGATCATCACTAGATCCCCGACAGTCATTGTACCTGATTGTTCTATGAGTATGAGGAGATTGAACCATCGACTTAGAACCCACCGTTCACGACGCCTTGAGCGGCCATCAACATCGTCATGGTCAGCGCGCTAGAAAATATGACGTTCTGCCCAGTGTTGAGAAACGCCAGCGATGTCGTGATCTTCACCGAGGATTTTTCATAATCTCGCAAGTGCTTGTCGTATTGCGCAACTTCGTATTTTTCATTGTTGAAGTGCTGTGTCACTGAAATGCATGAGCTACGTTGCGATGGCAAAAGTAATTGATCGTTGTACTAACCTTGACTGCCTCAAAATTGATCAACGAATCAACAGACGAGCTCGCTGCGCGTTGGTCGGCTTTATTCGCATCACGTCGGAACTGGGTCCGCCACGAAGTAGTCCGAATAGTGAACCAAGCGTATGCGGCAAGCGTCCCAGCAGTGATAGCAGCAAAGTCCCAGCCGAACTTGTACGTCAAAATGCCACATACCATAGATATCTCCAAGGCAGTTGGAACTATTCTAAAGAGAATAGCCTGAAGGAGGAACGTGATGCCTCTGGGAGATGTCGTCAGGAGACACAAAAATGGTGCCCGAACAAACGTACTTGGTACCACGGTCTATGGCACGCGTCAGTCCACCAGTTTGCCGCGCCAAATGAAATTTCATGTCCATATTCAACAGCTGTTCGAAGGTTTCTCGAGCGACTTTGCGGATAGCACGTTGCCCGATGTTAGCAAAGACAGCATTAAGTAGTTCACTAAAGACTGATGCCCCAATTCGTGCTGCACCATCTGTGGGAAATCGTTATGAAGATATACGAGATGCAGGGCAAGTAGCTTACACCCTAGAACCGTGGCCCCAGCAATCGTCCACACGGTCGTACTTGATGATGGATCCAACGGGAGGTTTAAAGAGTCGATAATTTGCTTAAAGAGTAAGGGGACTTGCACGTTAAGAACCTGATTTCAGTTTAGCCAGATGTTGACGGACAGTGAGGTGATAGGACACACCTTTCCAGATATAAGAAAAGCAAAACCAAGAATAACCGTTCCACGCGTCTTCCAGTCATTTTTGGGCCATACATTCACCATGAGATTTTTGATTATCCTCCAATTGCTTCTGCGCTCCTGTGCAGCAGTGATCTGAGGTTGTTCTAGAGGATTCAATGTATCAGCAGTTGACGTGGAGGCCGGGCCATTCCTCGGAGGTTTTGGACGATCCTCAGGAGCTAGGTTTTGGAAAAACCGATGGTTAATTCGTCTTTCTTGTATCCGTGTTTGTAGCCCTTGAGATTGCCGGACAGCGGTTGAATAGCGCCAGTAAGTCACTTTACAGTGAGCAGTTCTACGGAAAATATGCTGGGCGAGGCCGCTCATAGCAAGACAGAAAGTGATGTATCGCCGTGGTGGTAATGGATCAAGCTTGATTGACAATCTTATCTGATAACTGCAGAGGTCCTCACAGCATTGAACAATTAGGCACATTTTCCAACTCCTACCGCTCCTCCTTCCACCCCTTTGAAAGTCTATGACTGCCACGCTCCTCTTCCATTTTGGCGTTGTGGGTATTGGTGTCGTAACCTGTCGCATTTGGAGCGTAGTTCTTTGGTCCTTCCGGGATTCAAAGCGTTTTCGGCTTGGAGTCTTGGACAATACTCCATACAGTTTGATCCCATGGTCGTCGATCGTGCAGCATGCTGTAAGGTTTCGAGAATAAGGCCAAATGACGTGCCAAAGGAACACTTGAGCGCCAACCTTTTCTACATTAAAGTTGCCAGCGCATAAGAACCTTCAAGTTGTTTCAGGATCATTGTCAAGCCCCGAACCATGACACCCACTGTGATACCAGTGGAATTAGCTGAAATCATAATTGATTTTCTCTTCGATGATTCAAAAACTCTGGGGACATGCTCATTAGTGTGCTCAGCCTGGGTCGCTCGTACAAGACACTTGCTTTTCGGGACGGTACATTTGGACCGTCGACGTTCAACAACTTTTATCGATCTTCTTTCTCATCCGTGTTCAACCATCCTAGCTCGCATTCACCGACTCGATATCGATTGCGGTGCAGTCACCGGCTGCCTTTCAACTCATCAGCCTCCCATTGAAACAGATTTGAGCTCCACATTCAAGTTGGAAGAGGCCGTACTGCCTTTCGACAGCTTCCTTTCTGCGTTCAAACGAATCGCCATTCTTCACGCTCCTCGCGGTACTGGTATTCGGTGTCTTCGTTTATCCAATCTGGACTTCACCGCATATCCTTTGGAACTTCAATCCAGTATAACCACGACTCTTGGACTTCTTTTCCCCACAACCACCTTACTTGGATTAGACCATGTTGTCTTACACGACATACGTCAGCTTAATTCAAGCGTGTTATGCGCTTTCCCTAGTTTGGAGCGGTTAGAGGCGAGGTTGAAATTCTTGAAGTATCTCGAGTCAAGTATGGCACCTAGAGCTGTGTCACGAAATGACCAGAAACTTCCAGCAGGGTTGAAGGAAGTTGAGCTTGCTGATGATGGAATGGCGACAGTGCTGAACTGTATCGCACAAAGTCAGACCGACTTTCAGCACCGATTGAACGTGCATCACCTTTCCGTTGAAGGGTGCACCCCCGAGATGTTTCCCTATGTCTCTGGTGCGCTGCAAGCTCTCTCGGGGAGCCTTAAGACCTTTCGTCTCTCATTTCTTCCGGAAAAGGACAACTATTTTTACGAAGGTAAATGTTGTTTTTGCCTGAAAACCGCGTTTTTGACATTTCCAATGCTAGTCTGCCCAGCATCGTAGGCCAGATCCTCCTACCTACAAGACTCATTAGAATTGTTTAACAAAAGCTGATGACATCGATGTTGCTTTGTCCATATAACATTACACTCCACGTTTTCCGAATTCCACAGCTCTTGGCAAATATCACTGCCTTGCTCCTCCTCACTGCCGTATTTGTTCAAGTACAGGCTATCAAGCAGCGTCTGGAATTTTTATGCAGGCTTTTAGTCCTCAGCTGTTGCTGCAGGTAGTCAAAGGCGAAGAGATGGCGACGTCATAATCAGAATCGAATGATTGAGATGGACTCAGATCGTGACCCACTCCAGCAATCTTACAGATAGTTTTGCTATACCACTTCTTCATATTATAGGTAATTACACCATTTACTCACCGAAGATCCTGGTCTTTTTTCTAAAAGCCTAATCGAAGTAACAGCAGATCTAGATACCGTGAATATAACATCGTTCCCGTTTGAATATCAAGACACATATGTACAGTGCGGAACAGTCAGGCCATGAAACATTAACGACCGTGGCGATTCCACTTCTTGCGACATCTTCGGATATCTCACTGTTTCTTGGCATATCTATGCAATTATACACAATTCAGTCTACATAGCGGAGTATATGTAAGATATGCTACGGGCAAGCTTATTTCTTTCCTCCTTCCCTTTTCACGATTAACGACACTTTATCTACCCTTCAATTTGACCTCGAACTCAGTGTCATGACCGCCCCTCTCACAGCCGAAACTATATTTTCTTTTTCTTTGATAGTAGGTCCTATTTACGGCACGATCATCGTAAGATTTCTGAAAGCTCTGAGGGGAAAGGTGACTGATGTATCAGAATTTATAGGTTGAACTCTTACTCTATGGTCAGCAATGTTAATGAGGTCCAAGGACTGAATGAATTATATGGACTGAATTTTGAACTTCAATATATACAGGCGCTTTCACTGTCCTTTTTGGTATCTATCTCTATCTTCAGGCTCGACACCATGGACGACACCGATTCTATCAGATTTCTCTGACATTCCTTTATCTGTCAGCAACTGCTTCAGTGATTCTTGATACCATAGCGGGTCGAGAGATCATGTTGTACGTGCTGGATAAGCTGGACCCTTTCGACAACGATTCTTCCTCATCTGGATATTATTATCACTCCCAGACAAATCTAAGGTATTTGTGAGAATCTTTGATAATTGAAAGATGCTTGAATGTCACATACTTAGGACTGCAGGAATGGCTCTTTATGTGACCGCAAAGTAAGCGCGTTCTCTTTTAAAAGTTCAACGTACAATCTGAACCGGAATTCCGCCTTTTAGCTTCGTGGCAGATACCCTCCTTGTTGGTATCGAGCGCTTGATCCCGGTTAGAAAAATATGTTTACAACTTGTTCCATTACATTTAGCTTTATCGCTGCTATGTCATTTGGGGCTCAAGAAAGCTGGTAATTGCTGGTCCTGCAACGGTGTCCTTCCTGAATACTGGTGAGTACCATCCTATTGTTTTGGAGTGATATTGAGGCATTCTGCAGTCGCCGCAGCTGTTGCTACCTACTATCAGAGACACGACAACCTCACCGTTAACATCCTATCATCGAATCCATCCAGGACCGGATCGATAGACAGTATAGATATAGGATTCCTTGTAATCAACCTGGTGACCAACCTTCTCCTGACAAGTCTCATAGGTATGTCCTACCGCAACAGCTGCATGTGTCAATTCTTATTCAGAGTCATACTAATGAACTGCCGTAGCTGGTAGGCTCCGATGGACGAACATGCTCACCAATCGTACTCTCAAAGGATTCAGCCAGTCCAATGAACCACATTTCAATGGTATACTGGATACGTTGTATGTTTCGCGATTTTTGTTATCATTACATCCATTGAGGCTCTCGTCACTCTCGTTAGAGTCGAATCGTGTCTGCTGTATTCGATAACTCTTGTCGTTAGCATTGTCCTCAAAGTCTATACCATAACCTCTGATCTAGATTTTTTACCCATTCTGATTCAAATTTTGGTAAGAAATTATTACTTGATATAATAACGAAGTTCTTACTATTTTCATTTTGCAGGGAATAGCACCAACTTTGATCATGGTTAGGGTGGATTTAGGCATTAGTGTCGAACTTGCTGCTTATGATTATAGCAGCAAGGAAATTCCTTCCGATGTCGAGAGAGGCAATCTCCCAGGATCCTTTGTAAACGACTCGGATCTTCACGAGGAATGGAGGGTTACTCCGTGGAGGGGGCAAGCTGTGTCTTGTGATCCTCATCCTAAATACGCTTGCCGAGATGCGCCTCGGGATCAAACATTGGATCGTACTCCAGATGGGCTAGCACACTGTTCGCCCCTAACGCGTGGCCTAATGTATTATCCCGTACCAGCTAAATTATCCCTAGTAGCCTTGCGTCCACACGTTTAAATAGCATTACAGTGGATGAATCGATGACTTCCCGCAGGAATTATTTGCAGGACACCAGACAATTAATTTGTGCCACCAATATAAGCGAACCTAAGCGAAGATGGCCGGACAGCGGCTTCTCAAAAACTGCATCAAAACCAACTTACAACGGCCCCATTACTTACTTACCCTGTTGTAGACTGGTTTTTTGTGGAAGCGAGGGTTGGTCCCATCAACAGTCCGCATATCACATCAAATACCGTTAATAGTTAAATGCAGGTTAACTGCAGAATAATCGCAGCGGGAAGTCACCCAGTGATACAACATAGTAGATAGATCTTTGGACTTCGTTCGTTGATAAAAATATGCTCCCCTTTGTTGCATATATGGCATTCTGCGCGCCTGACATCCCGCATTGATAAAACCATTACTTGTTCCTAGTTTACTGCGCAGCTTTTACCTTTAACAGCTGCTCCGCATTCTTATATGCGATGCCCTCAAAATCATCTTCACTAACCAACCCACTTTTCCTTATTTCTTCCAAAAATTGTTTCCCGGTTTCGTTTTTGGAGAAGGGGTAGTCAATACTGAAAAGGACATGTTTGACCGGAGACATCTTTAGCAAGCATGCTAATGGTGCGAGGGAAAACATTCCGCTTGTTGTTACCCATATGTTTTCTCGCCAGACCTAGGTGAACGAGTCAAATGCGTCAGCTATTTTTATAGCTATGCTAAGTAGACACCTGATTAAGCCTACCTGTCTCAAGCCTCTTTGATTACCCCATCGCTCGGATATGGGAACGATACGATCCAGTTGGAATGGAAGCAATTCTCCCATATGCCCGATGATTATTTTCAGCCTTGGGAACTTGTCGAATAGACCAGAAGCAAATAGCCGCAGAATATGCAAACCAGTATCAGCGTGCCACCCCCATCCAGCGATACCAAGCATGTATGCGGTGCTTTCTGGATAGTTTCCCTGGTACTGTTGTTTCGTGTTTTCGGCTGGAAACGTCGGATGGATATAAATCGGGACGTCTAGCTCCTGTGCACGCTCAAATACAGGCCAAAAAAACACATCATCGTAGAAGCGACCATCGAGATGGTTATCGATGAGTGCGCCCACGAAGTGTAGATCTTTTGTGGCGCGGCTTAGTTCAGCTGCTGCATCGGAAGGATCGGCCATAGGGAGAATAGCAAAAGCAGCGAAACGTTTGGGGTGTTTCTGGATAGCTGCGTAGAGCTCGTCGTTGGTCGAGCGAGCCAGATCCGGTGAAGGGACGGCGGTAGCTACGTGAGAGAGGACCTGGAGCGTCACAGCGCCAGCATCCATATCTGTGATTCGTTCTTCATCCAGATCGATAAGTTTGGGTAGGACATAGCTGAATTCGTCCAAAGGTCGGAGTGCTAGGAGATTGGGAGCAGCGTAATGCTCTTCCAACGTTATCACAGGTGGTAATGGGGTCATGGTGGTTGGAGGCAAGGCTAATTTTGAATCTCTGAGTCTCACTAATACGCTGTCTTTCTTATTTGCTACAATGATTCAAGAACTTTGATTGACACGATGAGAATGTGGGAGACCTTTCTTGATAATGCGGTGGTCAGGTGCATAGTCTATATTTCTGGGCCCAAGAAATACGGGGAGATGAATACTTCGTCCCCTCAACTCTTATACATTGCCATTGACCACACCATTATCGACTATCCTCTCTCTCTGCGTCTTCAACCACTGCAATGATTGATATTTGACCGGATACATTGACTGCCTCCATGTTCTCCGCTCATCACTCCATTCCGGTAACGAATCCTTCAGTTCGGGTCTGGCAGCAACTATCTCTCGCTTAAGACCAGCAGCGTAATCCTCTTCACTAGTTCCCAAGGCACTATAAGTGAACAAGGAAGAAGCTTCCCGCCCAGTCTCCTGAGCCTCAATCCCGCGGCGCTTTTCGACGTCTGCTATCCGATCCTTCTCGAATTGCAGCAGTTCTTCGGGGGTAGAGGGGTACGCGACTTCATTTGTCCATGCTAATGTAAGCCATGTACTCGAGACGTCGGCGATGGTGAAGGGAGTGAAGCACATGACGGACCCAATGAATGCGAGGCTCGGATTGTAGGCATATAATATGTGCCTATGTAAGGATGGAATGCGACGAGATTGAGGAGCATCACGGGAAACTTGAGACATAAGTGGTGCAAGGGAACCTGTGGATGAGTTGGGGTCTCGAACGTAGAGGAAAGAAGGGTTCGGGAAATAACCCGATCCGACAAAGACGACATCGATGTCCTGAATCGTAGTATCATCTTGGAGCTCTGCTGTGATTTTCCCGTCACCTTGTAGAGTAAATCGCTTCACGGGAACAACGTCCTGAATCCTGGAATCCGGGAGACTGACGAAATGTCTGAGAGCAGGTCGACGAATACTGCGATAGACGGGATTTTGAGCCAAGGGTGCGAGATGGGCGGCGATGTCGTTGGAGGAATTACCGTTGCCGATAATCAGAGCCCGCTTTCAGGAAAAGCTTGAGCACAATCTCAAAAAGGATATCGTTTGACATACTTTTCCTGCGTATTTCTGAGGACCTCGGTACCATTTAGCGTGCAGAGCTAAACCCTTCTCTTTCAAAATATCTATTCCTTCAGTTCCAGGCCATAGGGGATCATCGTACCATCCAGTACAGATAACAACTCCATCCCATACTTGTGATGAGATTTGCCCCTTGCCGTCGGCACTCCAATCCCTAGTCACTACATTCCAGCCTTTGCCATCTTGAAGCTCCTCTACACGCACAACCTCGGTGTTGAGGTGGATTTTGCCTTGCTCCAGATAGCGATTGGCGAAGTCACGCAGATAATCGTGCGTTTCCTTCAACGTTGGAAACGGTTGTTGAGGTGTGCTCGGTGGTTGAGGAAATGGAGCCCCAGAGAACGATAAGAATTCTGGAAGTACGTTCCCAATCAGACCCGGATAAGCAGGTGATGGCCACCGTGGTTTCTTTTCAGAGGCATCGTGTTCATCAAGATACCTAGTTAGAAGAAAGATCAGCTAATAAGAGGACGCTAGCTTTAAACATATACAAACCAAACACCTCCTACATCATCTCTACGTTCCACGAGCTCTACTTTATCAAATGAACCACGCTCAACGAGATTTCTCAGCGTTACCAGACCACAAACGCCTCCTCCGATGACCAAAATGTGCCTTGGACGCGCTGGGGCATCCATTTAAATCGCCTGAGTGAATAAAAGGAAAGTTCAAAGATCAAGACTATCATCGTTCGCCTTAAGTATCACATCGGAGCGGAATCCATGCGGTTCCAGAAGAAATGGCGTCACATGTCGAGTAAATGTCGAAAACAACCTGGACACCCATATTCGCTTCCAGGCATTGTACATCCAGCGAGAACTCAAACAGATGCACATAACCGGAAAATCAGAAACTTTCATCGAAAAAGTACAAAACGGCACTCCGTATGTATGTTACTTAGTACTGCGGGCATCGCCAAGCTTTTCAGTTCTCCTTCGCGCAAATGCCCTTGCACCCACTATTCAGCAAATTGATATATCGCCTGCGGCAGGTTCTGCTTAGAGGTAAGACCCCCGCGCCAAATTGAGACCTCCTCATTGTCGCGAGCGAGCGAACCACTACGATTCTGAACATCTCCTCGAGCTCCTTCTACGCGTCCTCGAAATATCGATCAGTGCGCCGCCAACTTGTTGGACAGTCCTTGCTTATCAAAAGACTTCTGGACATTGCTGAAAGCTTCCTGCAGTAAAGGCGGTAACCTGTCAACAGGCTATAAGTATACCACACGCTACTTATCACAGGAGCCTGACTCGAACGAAGTCACTGGGACGCACATTGCAATGAATATTCGCTTTGTGAACTTCAGATGTAAAGGCTTGTAAAGTTGCTTGGGAATAGCACCGCATGGCACCTATGTATCATGCAATTCAATACTGTACTGCCTTTACACGCAGACGTTGCGCTTGTTACGCTCGCAGTACTACATCCTGTATCACTGTACCAGCCCTGCCTGCTCCACAGAGGGTGATGAAGAAATGATAGATTGGGGAAGAATTATGTACATGGTTCAAACCATCAAATTTCCAGGGATGCACCGGAGGTCGGTTTATTTTCCTTTCCTGCAAAGGCTCCAAAATTGAGGAACAGCCGGGGGGAGAATGAGGATCGGATCCATCTTACATTGTGGTACAAATATGAGTTCTTGTCACTTTCTTGCAATTTCCCGGCCTCCAATGAAATTCCACGCCCAACTTGCCATGATCATCCCTGCCCGCCGCCATGACCTTGTCCACCCCAAGCTTCCGGATCTCCAAGCCAACCAAGCCGCTTCACCTGTCCAATCCTGCCTACCCATTATCACTCCGTCAGTGCCTCCGACATATGCGACCATCCTCCGCTGTTTATAGACAAACGGACTTGCTGGTTTGGATGAATGACGATTAAGAGTGTTCACGAGATATTCCGCTTTCTGGACGGCCACTGCAGGTATGGGTTTTAAATCAGATGGAAAGTTTTATATCGCATGAAGCATACCTTCGGCGGTTGTTGGCAGACCATTGCCAAAGATGTCTGCAGCATCCCCAAGTGCATATACATTTTCCAAAACCGATTGATCTTCTTTCAACGCTCGAAGTCGTTGATCAGTCAAGATACGGCCTAGCCTCGTCGCCTTCGACAACCCACGAAGCGATTCGACAAAATCGCATTGCTTGTTGCCCGTAGCCCAAGCCACCATTCCAGCCGGAATTCTTCCATCTTCCTTCGTATACAGCGCATCCTCTTCGATCTTCTCGATATGAGAGTTTGTCTTGACCTCCACGCCATGTTTTTTGAAAGACCGCAATGCATATGCTTTTAATTTTTGATGGAATACGCCAAGAATTTCTGGAGCAACGTCGTGTATGGTAATAGAAGGCAGACCAGCGAGATGTGGATATGTTTTTGACATCTCGCTGAATAGGTCTGTCAGCTCTGCAGAGAGTTCTACACCTGTCGGTCCACCACCTAGGGAACATTCATACCATTAGTTTCCTGCGTCTATCAACCTGTTAATGCCCACTTACCTACGACAGCAATATGCAGTAGCTCCTTCGCACGCTCCGGACTCGTAGTTGGCAAAGAAGCAACTTCAAGTAGGGACAATAGCTTTTCTTTGATTGCTTCGGCATCTGGTACCGTCTTAAGGAAGAAACAGTAGTCAGTTGCACCTGGCGTACTAAACGTCTGATTCACACAGCCTGGAGCGATGATGAGGATGTCGTACTCGACCATGAATGGATGGTTATCATCGCGAACATCGCGTCCGCTAGGCTGAAGAATAGATGGAATACAGGTTACAGATTTCTGGTCAAGATCCGCTGCGGTAGCCAGTGCACGATAATAGGTCATGCGGCGGTGAGCACGGCGGATAGGCTCCTCTGCTAGGCGAGAGAAAAAGAGTCCAGTGGCGGCACTGGCTAGGAGAGGAGTGTAAGCAAAGGTTTGGTGGGGTGCGATAATCGTTATGTCGTATTTGGAATCATCAAGCTGTTGGCTGAGGATGAAGCCAGCCCATCCTGCACCGACAATCAAAATTCTTGGCCGAACAGAGTTCATGGCGGTTATTGGCGACCAAGACAAATGGTTAGAGCCCATGGGTCTTCACAAGACTTTATATATAGATAGCCGCTACATTTCCGAGTTATTATATTTGATAGCCAATAGTGTCTGTTGTATCGAAAGCACGAGGTCCAACGTTATATTTCGCTACGATCCGTGGTAAAACGATAGGAAGGTATTGAGTGTGGGGAAGATTCGTCGGATTGAGGGGTTCGCGACTCTCGATGGAGCTGACAGCAAAAAAAAAGCGAGGAGCGAGGTAGTAAGGTGCCTGGGTCTTTTTGTGCATGCTCCAAGGGCTAGTTACAACTGACCAGTAGATGTTCCTTCGCGCAAAGGCAGGGACTTTAATGTCGGAATTGTTCGCCGTTCGTGTACAGATCAAAATTTCAAATATTGCAAGGAAGGGATGGACCTTGTCATGATCTACTCATAGCGTTAGCAAGTATGTATGCTACCGGCGCGTTGATTGCATAAAACATACCGCAAGATAAGGCGCGGGATATAATGCTTGAGGATCACGGAAAATGTAGAGAGGAAGACTCCCATCGCCTGAACTATGGTGGGAGGCTACTTTGTATCTGATATTCGAAACCACATTGAGGACATTTTCCTCTGTTTCCTGGTTCTTAGCTCTTCATGCACGATTGGTGCGCAAACTTGCATTTACATGGATGTACCCATTCTCTACGTTTTTCAGCAGGATATATGTTCAAAAGGTGGTGAAAGGGGAGAAAAAAAGGAGAAATAATTGAACAAAATTGAACATACTACTATCGTATCGTTCTTCATCTCTGCAGATATAGCATTCTTTTATCTACCGAGATCACTAAAGAGCGAAAGACTGAAATATAATGAGGAAGAATTCGTAAGTCATTTATAGTGGGAGGTTTTCTGTCAGATGGATCGTTCAATAAGAAGGATGGATGAACAGGAATGAACGTGAACTCTTATCCGCATTACGAGCGCTTACTTCCGTGTGAAACCGCCAACACCATTTTCTTGTACTCAGAGGAAACCTAAATCCTTTCCAGCCGTTGTTCAAAAGTCAGAACTTCTTCTGAGATGCACACCTTCCAACTATCATCCATGAACACCTCTGACGAAGAGATCTACAGACCGTGCCCGCGTGCGAATCCCGCGAAAAGTGAGAGTAATATTGGCACTGCTTGTTTCGGTTTATCAACCTTAAACTTGACTTCCACAGCGAATTAAAGCTGAAGACCTTCCGAAATATTCCACCGAAAATACCCTTCCTGAAGAATACCGCTTCAATATTCGGTGTTTCGGGCTTGAGCCTGGATAAATTAAACCTCGAAAATCATTCTACGGGTTTGGTGTGGATATACAGGATTTTCTCGACTACGACCAGAGGCATCAACTCTCTCAACCACCGCCAATGGACAACCAAGCGAGCTTGTGGCACTTTATCATGGACGACGTCATGGATGCCCATTGTTGCTTTACATAAGCCCCCGCGTACTGTCTTTGTCATCACAGAGTTAGAGGACGATGAAGAGGAAGATGATTCGGATTAGTAGGCGATGTCGTTGCCGCACAGAGGCCGCAAAGTCAACATGCCTCAATGAACACTATCTACTAAGAGGATAATTAGGAATGCTAAAAAAACGGATGAGTTTGCTTCACAAAAAATCCGCACTCTCCTTTATTTTTCGTCTTACTACAATCTGCAAAGTAATCTCAGACCAGGCAAAGGTCTTCTTCCAGCGCAGCAAATCCACGCAAAATAAGGTCCCGTCAAGGTAGTCAAATTCCAATTGTTGAATAACGGATTCAAGAACGAACCAGGTCCAGGGACTATGGATGCTCAAGGAGGAAGGTTAAAAAATGCTCTCCAGATCGAAAGGCATCTATTCAGTGATAGCCATTAGGATGAAATCCGTGTATTGTGAGATACGATAGTGTTATAATTGTCAGGCAAATGAATGGTCAAGTCTTCGAGAAGAGGTGCAGGGAGCCAGAATCGGATTCGCATATTCTGCGAAACGAACGTCGTTGCCGATCCGCTCCGCAATCTTCTACCTTCGATATCGGAACAGGCTGGAACATCAGAGAAGATATGTAACTCGGAGATTTACGCATGGACCCCTCTGACTGAGCAGAATCATCGTCTCTTGAAAATTTCGGGGATCTACCTGCTGGGACACGACGAGGTCCTCGAATGTTTTCTTACTTGTTGAATGTTGTCGTGGGTCAATCGGGTACTAACTGTTCGTATATCTTGATGCCACATCCCAACCTTGCATATAATATGTACCGGTGGGATTTATGCCATGGTAATTGACGCAGATGATGGACTACATCTGGCCTAAGGCACGACGATCTCGTACCAAGAAACGTCCTTGTAGATCAAAATTAAAATAAATTCATCGTTTCTTTGTTCCCTTCATCCACCTCCCGGCTGCGACGCGGAGGAGCATCTCCGTGTTGAAGGAGCATTCACTAGGCATATCTTAAACCCAATACTAGCATAATCAGAACATTAGCAAAGAATAAATCGACGTTACCCCTAGTAGAGACACTAACATTGCCCGCCGGAACACCAATAATTGAAAGATATGACCAGCTGGAAGATCCACTGCGACGATCAGAGGTACTTTTCGCGCCAAAATTTGGACGTGAGGGAGTCGTAGTACTTGAATTGGAATTGGTTGTATGTTGGTGAATTAGAGCTCGGAATATCGAAGGGCGTGCGTCGCGGTCTATATATGGAGCAGGGAGGTCAATGGACTCGGAGGACAATGGATTTATAACAAGGCGAGAGAACCTTTTCTGATAGCAAGAATGGGCTTGGAACCGGAATCGAATCGATGCATTCTATGTCTTGCCTGGATCACAATTCGGCGAAGGGGCTCTTAATTCGGTGGTCGTTCACCATAACAGCTTTATAGTGGTACAATTCAAGTTGGGATAACCACTCGAGTAGTAAGTACGTCCATCTGGTCTATCGTCCTCGAGGCCTTGCTACTAAGGTCACTCTTCGAGTTCTAGCTCGAAATTCAGTCGTATATAGACCGAGATCCACCCTACAGAGTGCAAAGAAGGACATAAAGATAGGAATCGAGTCACCAATTGGCATTGCGGCATCACATTTGAAACCCACCGGAGTACCGTACTTGCACAACTGCACCTCCAAGCTCAATAAGTATATCAAGTGACGCTGTTTTATACAGCTGCCTTGCCTGAAAACCAGTGAGTTCATTGTTAAGCGACTGCAAATCCAACTTTTGGCTGATTATACTAAAGGTATAGACAGCTGAAACGAAGGGCTTCAACATTGTGAACTGGGATCATTGGGGATAGTTAGTGATATACTTGTTACATCCTCGGACATCATGGGTACACATTCAGCTATATCTGCAACAAATTAGTGACACGCATATAACACCACATTCATGAATCGGTCAACGCCAAAGCATGAATACGCGCAGCCTCTGCAGCCGTATCTTCTTCTTCTTTCCGCTTACGGTACTGTTCGAGATCCCAGTCGTCTTCCTCGTCCTCGCCCTCTTCGTCGTCGAACCATTCGGGGTTGTATTGGAACTGCGGAGAAAAATGTGAGCGATGTGCATATGCGGGGGGGAAATGGGAAGGATGGGAAGGAAGGAAGCGAGCAACAAAAAAGGTGAGAGAAAGTGGAAAGGAAATAGTGATATTCAAAAAGAGAGGAACAAATCAAGAAGCGAAAAACAACAACAGGGGATCCGAAAATCGAAGACAACTCACCAAGTCCCTTCCACTCATACCGGTGTTTTTACCTGCTGCATGTTGCGTCTCTTTGGATTTGCGTAAGGCCTCCTCCTCCGCAGTCTTTTTATCCAGCCGGGTCTGCTTCCACTTTGCGAACGTCTCAGGCGTACATGGGGTCAGATTGGATCCGAGCTTGTGGCGCTAGAAGAGGATACGGGTTTGCGTATGGACCGGCATAGATTTATATTGTGCAACACATACCTCGACCTCTAAAAATTCTTCTAGACTGATTACATTCGCCTTGTTCGCTTCTTCTATAGCCTTCTTTTGTGATTTGAGAACAAACCCTGGGGGTAGGGCGTGTCGGTACTGACAGTTCTCCCCGTTTGGACATTCCCAAAACCAGCCGAACCTAGAGATGCACCGGATGAGTAGGATGATTAAGGTATCTTGGGTAAACGCACTTTTGCGTCTCGATGGCTTCGACAAAGAATTTACACACGATCTAGAAATAGAAAGTCAGGGAGAAGATAATCGTTCTGTCGATTGTGCAGCTCACGTCTGTCGTTGTCCGTGGATTGCCAGCTTTTGACAGGACGACGCTTCGTAACTTTTCGTCATCCCATGTATCCATAGTATCTTTTCATATCCGACGTCAGCAAAACCGTATATCACAAGGGGAAAACAACACACCAGCTTCCTTTTCTGCCCTCGTATCTTCATACAAGTTTTTCTTCTCCACTTTCCTCCCGATATTCAAATCGTGACTATACCTACACTTGTTGCCCTTATCACATTGCCCTGCCTTGTGGAACGCACACAACACCGTCTTCGGATCGACACCAAAGGGCAGTTTAGGTTGAGTGATGACGGGTTTGAGTAAAGCAGCTTCTTCCCTCCGACGTTTTTCGTCATCTTCTTTGGCTTTTGCTCGAAGCCTTTGTTCCTTTTCTTTATCAAGCACGGCGCGGGATTTGCCTGCGAGAGCGTCGGCTTGTTGGATTCGTTGGACTTCTTTCTGAACTTTGGCGGATTTATTTTTCTGGAGGAAAGATAGGGAGTTGTAATGGGATTATTCGCTTGTACAATGTAGAGTCGATCAGTACGAACATTCTTCAAACCAAAGGTCTATGTCCTGGATCAGTCAGTGCAGCTTTCAGAGCGATAGTCATAGAAATTTTACCTTGTCTTCCTTCACTTTGGAGGAACTGCTGGCCTGTTGTTTTTTGGGGGGCATCTCTGATTACTGGTGTAGATCGGAAACAAGAAAAGTAGGAAAAAACTAAAATTCCGTCGAGCTCGATGTGGACGGGGAACCCGGGAAACGTCTGTGGCTGTGTCGCTGTCCTGTGACTCTCACTCTTCTCTTCATGTAACTATCATATCAGCTCATATCCTTGACAATACATCGCCCTTATAATCATTGTCAGGTAACGAGCAACTAATAACGAGTTCTGTGATTCCCCCGATAAAATAAGATCCTTTACTGGTCCAGTACTGGTCCTCATTCTAAGCGCCCATGCAGGCACCGGTGTTTTTTCGCTTTCATGTCTTCCGTCGGTTTTCACTTCCACATATCCCTCACATAGCCTCACATATGTAACTGTTGTAGATAGACTACACTTAGACCGGCTGTTCCGCTTTTGGGACCACATATTCGGATGGCGCCGTGTATCTATCTATCTATCTTAGACTAGTACACCCTACTATACCTCGCTTGGTACATCGTAGATTTAAAATGCACAAGGCACGCCGCCAGTGGGTACAGGGCTGTACAGGGCTCCATAGGCCTCTAGGTGGACCAAAAATGTCCAATTCCGGGGTAGCAAGCAAGCAAGGTGATTGGTTTTACGCTACTTTCTCTTTCCTGACATATCTGTACACATTCCTTTACTGTCTAATCCCTCTTGTTCACCTTTTGTCTACTACTTTTTCAGAGAATCTCTTGATCCAGTGTCCGACAAGATTCGATGATAAATCATGGATTGAAATTCAAACAGCCCGACTTTACGCATCAGTTTCAGCAGGCACTCTGATGGCCATCAGTTGGCCATTAAAAGATCCTCGCCGGGCAGTCCTGTGGTCAACTCCCAAACTCACTTTGCTGGTCAAAGTCGTGTCCAAGTCAAATCTCTATCTCTTTATTGCCGTTTTCAAAATAGTTGGCGCCTGTTCTCACGACGCCAAATTTGAGCACGAAACGATGGCCAGCTCGAAAACACGATCCTGAGCTCAATTCTTGACCAAATCTTTCGAAAATTAGTGCGGTATAGAGCGATAGAGGTGCTCTAGTGCGCCCCATAGTTTTTTTTGCAATCAGAAATAGTATACAATACTTGAATTTTCATGCCTCCTCAACTTCCGAAACACGATAACTTTAGAAATACACACCAGTTCGAGCTGTCCTTGAGATATGCTATGCATGTAGGGTCTGTGAAGTGCACCCCATGTATAAAAATCACATATTGGTCTGTGGTAAGTCAAGATCGAAATGGTTTTGTGCAAGCGGCTGATATTTTGTAACCACCAACTTGCCCACCTCTACCTTCCATGGGAAATGGCCGCAACCACCAACGAGGCCCTCAGAGCGGCACTGGGACTCGAAGGCAGCGAAATACTAAGGCAAACTCACCCCAGCCAAACAGTCAACATTCATATTCTGCTCCTCCTCCTCCCTCGCAAAAACCACGACCTCGACCAACCCCTGTTCACAAAGGCACACCTGCCTATGAGCAGATACAAGCATCTCGTTCACAGCTCCCTCATGATATGGACATTGCTGCTGCAGAACAGCTGGTGGCTTTCCAACATCAAGGCATAGTACCTCGAACAGTCCAACACAAACATACATCGAAACTTACCACGAGTCAGCCACATCTTACCCTTGATGAACAGGTCTTTGCAGGTGCTATGGGGATATCCAAGGCAGAGATGCTGAAGCAGAGGGAATACGAGAGGCAGTACGGGTTCGAGGATTCACTGAGTGATCCTGAAGAGGAAGAGACCTCTGCAAGGCTCTCTACACAACAGAAACAGCAGAGCAGAAGAATGAAAAGTATTAGCCCTGCTCAGGAAAGCATACGCTCACTGGATATTGATGATTTTGAAGACAGTAGACCCGTATTCAATGATGATGAGGATAACGACAGTGAAACAAGTGACGGAGGTGCGCAAACATGCATAGTTCTATTCTAGTCAAGATTGTTGATTCTTCAACAGGAGATGAGGTACAGAAGGCCTGGAATAACCTTGTCGGTAGTGTTGAGAAGTTCAACATCGTTTTTGAGGTTCCATACAAAACTTCTCAGCGAAACTTGACCGGGATCACTTCTCATACAACATTTGTTGTATTCATTGACGAGCTAGCCAAACGGATGGAAACCCGACTCTCTCTCCTTTCCAATATATCATATCTTCCATCATATAAGCCAAAAACTCGGACCACCGATGTAATGCTTGAAGGAGAAGAAGACTGGATCATATTGATCAGAGATGCCTGGGACCATGTTCGAAATACTCGCGGGAAGAAGACTAAAGCATGGACAATCCGGATCTTTGACAAAAGCCCAACTGAGACAACTGGCAAAGGAAAGGAAAAGGATGGGGGCATAAAGGTATTGATGTTTTATCTTATACGCATCATGGTTTACTAACTCATTGTTTAGAATGGAAAGAGATCGATTGTTGCAGCGCCAAGTGACCAACTTCCTGCATCCGATTCTGATGCAGACATTCTAGTAGCCATTCAGGGAAAAAATCACTGCAATGCGTGTCAGGCGGCATGCTACGTTCTTGCTAATGGTGATCACTATCGCTTTGATGACGAGGATATGAATACATGGGTTCAACTTGCAGTAAGCACTTTCTATTTACTCTCTTCGCGCTCATAAGCTTAGGTATATGTCATTAGTCTCGGCACCAAGCAACAGTCAACGATCCGCCAAGCTGTATCCTCACCCGGCTTGGCGAAAAGCTAGGTCATCAAAAACGTCGTAGTGCTCTTCCACTGCCGCCACCTTCTGTGCCCTCTCTCCCTCCACAAACTCCCATAGCTCCCGCCCCAGCCACAGATGCTATTACACAAGCCATGACAATGGTCGGCACAGTTACACCGCTTTTAGCAATGTTGATGAATGGGAATCGCACTCGGGACCATTCCCCTCCACGCACTTCTTCATCCAAGCGCCACCGAGCTGACAGCTCTCCTGCTCCGGCATCATCTCCATCCAAGGCATCTCCCTCTAAAAATGAGGAGCTACTTGTTTGGCTTCCCAAAGTCGATGCTGATGTGGAACGTGGCAAAAGGAATGCAGACTACACAAGATATGGTGACATTTTGGCTGAAAAAGGTATCTTCGATCTTGATGATCTTGTGCGGCTTACAAGTGAACGGCTCGAGGCATTCACTGGAATGGCATATGGGTTTTGTGATCGTCTTCTCCGGTATGCCAGGGAGGATTTGGGCATAAAGTTATCGAAACAAGCTCGAATTGGATAGTGATTTCTATAGTATAGTATATCCACAATGGTTGAAAAATCCACAAGCATCATTACTAGTTATGGAATACGTTGCTCGAATGAGATGTAAATATACATAGGTATCATCTATATTAGGGTGAAGGTCCTGTCTAACTATTTCACCCTCTCGTCGAACAAAAGACTTGATACAGGAAAACCCAAGTTCAATGGGGTTGTAGTCAGGTGAATATGGTGGAAGGAAAAAATAGCGCATGCCACTGCAGGATTATGAGTAATACTGTGTAAAGTCAAGACAGAAATTAGCATACCGGGATGTGATAAGGTCTAGAACTCGAGGATCTTTGTGAATGCGAGCATTATCCATGACAATAACTGACTTCGGAGCAGGAAATGGCTGCATTCGAGTCAAAAGAGCTTCGATAAATGCATAGAACCTCAATGCTGTAAATGAGCCTTCTATGACTTTTGCATATATAATTCCAGTGCTAGCCAGGGCCGGTAGAAGTGAATATCTGCAAGAGTATTGCGAATTTCAGTAAAAGTACATGTAAATGTGATGAACACTCACCGCCGACCACGAACGAAAAATGTACTCTTATATACACGCCTCCCACTCACAGCCCAACCACGTCGACGATATGGTGTCCGTCGATCAAACGAGCTTTCATCAACAAAGATAAGTTGGTCTGCTCTATATAGACGAGCATAATTGAGTCGAAACTGAGCTCGTTTGCGTGCATCACGTTCAATTGCAACTTTTGTTATCTATGATGTGGGCGGATTGAATCGATGGATGTTATGCAGAGTAACAAAGTACCTTCTTAAGAGTATAGCCACTAAACTTCAAGATGCGCCAAAGGGTTGGAGTACTTGCAAGTACACCACGCCGTTCATCTAACTCTCTCCGGATTTCATCCAGATACATGTCTGGAGTATGCATTAACAGTCCATGAATGAACTGGTGACAGAGTGAGAACAAGAAGGTTTTTCCAGCAATGATAACATACTCTGAGATCCTCAAAAGAAAGTATACGCTTCCTTCCTCGACGCCTCAGTTGATGACCAGGCCCATCCTTACTTCGATGTTCCGCTAGTATGCGCTGCACAGTTCTTTTCCGGCAATTTGATTTATGAATGATTTCACCCAAGGTACTGCATGTTTTCCGAAGGTATATGACAGTTTTTCGAAGGTCGTTGGATAGTCGATGGCCTCTGGTCATTGGTCAGAAAACAAGATCATGAGCAGAATGAGAGAGAGGTGTCTAAGGCTGTGCCAGCTCACAATCTCACAATCTTACCCATGGGGTGCACTTCACAGACCCTACATGCATAGCATATCTCAAGGACAGCTCGAACTGGTGTGTATTTCTAAAGTTATCGTGTTTCGGAAGTTGAGGAGGCATGAAAATTCAAGTATTGTATACTATTTCTGATTGCAAAAAAAACTATGGGGCGCACTAGAGCACCTCTATCGCTCTATACCGCACTAATTTTCGAAAGATTTGGTCAAGAATTGAGCTCAGGATCGTGTTTTCGAGCTGGCCATCGTTTCGTGCTCAAATTTGGCGTCGTGAGAACAGGCGCCAACTATTTTGAAAACGGCAATAATTTCTTTCGTTCAACGCTCCTCTGTGACTCTGAGCATCTCCCGAACTGCCCCTTCATATCAATTTGCGTGCGTCGTTCTTAACATCTCGTCCTTCCACGTCGTTAACCTGTTCTTTCATTTGTAACAGTGTTCTCGCTATTCCAAAATGCACTTCACTTTAGCCAGTGCCTACGTCCTTCTTGGCCTCTTCACTCTTTGCGGTTCCTATCCCACTGGAACAAATTCGCTTGCAAAGGCCAGTCCCTCTCCCACAGGCACAAATCCCGCGCCAAGTATACATGTATCGAGTTCCTAATCAATGCTGATCCTATAAATTTCTAGGAAGACAAGCGGCCAGCGCAAGAATTTATAATGGCCGGCATATCCAGCATAGGAGTGAATCGGCAGTCTTTCCACGCAGAACCTCAGAGGAACGCGCAGAACGTAACAATCACGTTTATCATGAAAAGGAATCAACCCGATTTGAACGATGCAGAAAGGATCGAGGCGGCAGCATATGCGAAGATGAGCGTACTTCTCCTGCTCGATGCGGCATCATCCGAGCTCGGCCTAAGTGGCGTCCCTTACAATGTCCGCTTTACTGAGAATACACCGTTTCCTTGTTCTAAAGCCGATGCGGAAGCGAAAGGGTTCAGTTTAAACATAGCTGGTATCCCTACTTTCCAAGACGCCGTAGGACAAGCTCCCATGGGATGTGTGGCTGTGGCTGCAAAAAGTCAAGGGACTGCAGTGATCGAGCGCATCACTCCGGAACTCAGAGAATTCTACACTGGGCAACTCATACCACATCAGGAATCGCTATTTTGGACCAGGATGCGTCAATTTGCGGATTACCTGAAAGACTGGGATCCGTAATCTTCGATGGGTGTCCAAGGTAGGGAGGGAGCTGTAGGGAGGTATGGATGTTGATTTGTACGATGGGATTGCAATGATGTATTGTTCAAAAAAATTGCGCTGCGTCGTATGTAGCGCAATGTGTTCTCGCATGGGTCCCGGTTGTTCCTCTTACTTACCTGGCCTCATGTCGACCATCCTTTGCACTATTCGGGAAATGGGTGTATGAAGTGCTATGGATGTGTACGATGGGTTGCAATATGATGTATGTAGAGAAAGTAAGGAAAACCCAGTACAGTAGTGACCGTGGAATAAGGATGTGGCTGTGTCCCAATTATCTCCTCCTCTATGATCCAAAGGCATCCGACGTACTGGTTCAACGATGGAGATACAATCCTTCACCAGAAATTTTTGTCTAATCACGATGATAACGATATCGTCTACCGAATCCACCACTCCAAGTTTCCTTGGCCGGAATCGCCCAAATTCTTATGTGGTTCATCTTCGCGGTTAGTATCCGGGCTCGGTTCAGAGATATCCGACAACGATCTGAACACACTTAGGACTATGGCCGAGATTGATTTAGATGAAGAACTTTTGGATGGTCTGACTGGCTGCAAATACGTCGTTTTGGATCACGAACAAGCCATCAATGCGAACGATCTGGTTGTTTTGCTAGATCACTTTTATGGGAAAAGGTAAGTAAGTAAATCCACTAGACACGCGCATCCTTGTCCGAATATCTGATTCCTTGTTGTGCAGTGTTCTTTCCCCAGAATCCGACCTTACTACTCGGATAGTGCCCATCTTGCGAATCACCAGTCCCGATCACCTTAATATACCGACGTTACACGAAGAAACAAAGAATTATTTCGTCAGATCGTTTCCCAACAATGCCCAGGAGCTTGCAAAGTTTCAGGGTCAATGTGCTGAAGAGGCAATGGCGCTGGCTGTTCGGTACGATATTCGTCAGGTTAGTTGATGAATCGCATAAGTGATCGTTCATATATTATTATTCAACGCCGTATTCATCCAGCCGCAAAAACCTCTCCTCTATTATCTTGCCACCCAAACTCATCTAGAACTTCATGACGCCGACTCTCAAGACTCGCGCACATCTGTATCCACCCTCTCTCATACCATCTCCACCCACATGATCTCTCTGTTCACACCGCTTCTCTTCACACCACCTCCTACATCCCATATGGAATGCACCGACGCGCTAGCAGAGCACTGGATGCCACTTGTCATCGCCCCGGCAATAGAGGATAGCGCAATGGGTAAGCCGTTGCAGACGTTGGAAAGGATGAAGGACGTAAATTGGAGCGAGTGTGGCCTTTGTGAGGAATGTGTAAGAATTAAAAGAGAGGAGTGGACGGAGGAGCAGGACAGAGTTTGGGAGATCATGGATACGTGGATCCTTGGGGCCGATGCGAAGGAGTAGGTCTTGAGCTTAAATATGCAATCGGGAATTTTAAAGTTTTAGGTGGGTACGGAGTATGAACCTCCTGCCAAGTTCCCTGACCATCCTTTACAGAGCGACAGGGCGTAATCTGATCAAGTATTACTTCACGCGCGAACTGCAGGAATCATTTACATATTCTATACAGTATGTATAGTGTCTCGAAGCGTTCCATCCTTCTGTTTCAACCTTTTTCGGGGAATATTAAATCTTCACATGTTGACTCTGTTTCTCCCCTGCTCTGCGTGATGCCAATTCCCCACTTTACGCTCGACTTGATCCCCTTCTCAGAACTTAACGTCAACCCCCACGGGTATAAATTGGGAGATTAGGTGGAATTGATACACGGAGTGGGCTGGGAGCAAGTGGTAGGCTTTGAACAACATTCAGAAGGCTCATTCATAGTCAATAAAAAGTATCACCGCCTCTCTAGCGGGCTTCCGAAGAACTTCAAGTTGAATAGTTAACGCACATGCTAATCTGGTTGTTTGGGAATCGGACCTCACCAGTATAATTTATATCTTATCCTATCCTACGGGACTTCAAGACTTGGCCCTAAGCTACTGTTTGATAGTTTTTACATCAGAGTCACTAGAGAGCAGTAGTTCCACTCATGTATTATATTTAATCTATGTCTAGAGTGCGATCGTTGTTGCGAATATAGGTAGGTAGATTTATAAGGCTAGGTAGAGGTCGTAGAGTATAGGCCATATTCTATTTGACGACAACAAGCATCTATGTAGCGGATGTAATACAACGAATATTTGATACAAAATTTGGGCATTCGAGTGCTTAATGGAGATGATATTGGCACACCACATAATATTAATAGGCTGTGTACCAGCTCTAATAGTGTTCACCACTGGAGCAAGCGGAGGATTTGACTTGTGTCGAAGAGTGTTGGGAATGTGTGTATTCAAGTGGTTTGAGAATACTTCGATCGACGACGAAGTACATGACCCCATTTGAATAGCGACTTTGAAATTATTAAAATCAACAGAGCAATTGGTGGTTGATAAATAAGACACTCACCCAAAACACTGGCATCAAAGCCAACGACACACCAGCTAACAGTGCAGACCCAGGCCCCAAACCGAGATTCACGAAGAAAGTTCTCCCGAAAAGCGGGAAAACGCTGGCTATAGAAGACCGGAATAGATCGTTTCCCGCCAATACGGAGGCCTCGTAGGATGGATACGCAGAGGTCACGTACATCAGTATACTTTGAAAGTTTAGATATATTCCGGGTAAGTAGAGAGCGGCGCCGATAACTGGGACGATCCATGGTACAGATTCTCTCGAAGTGAAGCCAAAGATAAGCAGCGATGTGGGAATGAATAAGCTGGCTATAAGACCAATCTCAAGTCTGGCTTCCGGTGCAAGCTCCTGGCCCCCGGCTTTCGCTCGATCGGAGCGTGGTTGGAAGTGAAATTTTTGGTATAAAGCATAACAGGTATACTAAAGATTAACAGGTTAGTCTATAGCGGGAGCTCACCGCGTCAGGTTACTTACTGTGAATACAGCGGATACTAGGAAGCCCAGGAACGGGAGGCCGCTGAGTCCGAGGTTGAAGTGGTAGATATCGGTAAAGACTAAAGGGAATGCTTCAAACCATAAGTAAAATATGGCGTCTATTGATCATTCTGTGAGTACGGAATTCGACTACGAGAATTTGAGCAAAACTTACAAACAAAGCCAAGGTATACATTGGCGAACATGAGGGCCGGTTCTTTAGCGAGAATAAAAGGCCTTAGGAGGGCCTCCTTGAGAATCTCAGCAACCGTTTCTCCTTGCGTATCCTTTTCTGCTTGGGACATCAATTGCTGATTGCGGGTCATCTTTCTCAGCCGCTGTGCCCGCTTCAACAAAATCGTAGGTTCGTAGGTCTCGGGTAAGAGAAGCATCAAAAACACGAAACTAAAAGCGCTGAGCCAGATCAGCTCATATTGCGGCCACCGCCATCCATTAACTTGAGCAGCAAAACCGCCTACTACAGGACCAAAGATGGGGCCACCGACTGCACCTATAGCCCAGATCCCAACGACATAGGCGACTTGACGGGAAGGATAGATGTCTGCCATTGATGCACCGCCTGTAGCAAGTGCCGGGCTTCCGAAGAACCCAGTGACGAAGCGGAAGGCGAGGATCGTTTGAATGTTGGTCGCGGTGAAGATAGGGATTTGAAATAGTATGAATAGGAAAAGAGACGCCATGTAAATTGAGTTCCGACCAAATATGGGAAGTTCTTGAAGAGGTGAAAGAAACATGGGGCCGATTCCGTACCCTGCGAAGATGATAAGTTACTTTGAAGGGCCATAGCGAGAATCGTGAGCCTTACCGAGTACATAAAGAGTAAGACCAAGCGTAGCGTGCGGAAGTGAAACATTGAACTCCTCCATGATACCAGGTATTGAAGGTGTATAGATAGCCGAGCCAATATACATAGTAAAAGTCATAAGGCTGATGAGGAAAGCAACAAAAGCTTGTTTCGCTGAGGACCAGTTTCTTCGAATCAACAGTATCAGAACGCGTGAATTGTTCGCGAAGAAAAACATAAAACTACCTTGGATTATCCGGATCGTCGTCACCGTACCAACCCACGACATTGGGGTCTGAAGTATCGTTCTTCTCATCTAACTTCATGTCGATCTCCGCGAGTTTCTCGCCCACGACAAACGTATTCTCTCTGGTGAACACCGTAGATGGAGTCACTGCCCCGCTGGTCTTTTTGTTTTCGTTAGCATCGCCGCATAGAGTCGAAGCGTCTGATGTTGCAAGCTGTTTCGTTAGAAAGTGGGTTGGAATATTAAAGTCGGGCCGCTGATCCTCGTACGGCAAAAATCTACCATTGGAAATGAAGTTGATGAACTGGCCAACAGTGGAGTCACGGATAAGATCAGCGACCATCGTTTGTTCTTCAGGGCCTCACTGAAAGGGGGTGGAGATATGGGGCGGAATGAAGAATAAAAATTTTACGGATCCTTTTTATATTTTGAGAGGGAGATAGCCGAGTCATAGCAGGTTCGAGTTGGCGAATATCTTAGCTGATTCATGAGGATGCTGAGCAAGACAAAGCTTGGTGAGCGAGAGCTCGCAAGATTCCTAATCCCATCATCGGGCGCCTGCATCGACATTCGGTACCGAATTCGGCCCGCTAACACTTGCCTAACCTTGCGCTGTGGTTTCATCAAGGGTTTCATGATCCAGTTCCATTCCTATGATAATGTCCACCGTTCACCACTCAAGCGAACGTCAATACTCGGAACTTAAGTTGGACTCGTTCCCAGGAATAGTATACAGATTTTTGATTAGTATCGTACATGATAGATTTGGAGTAGTGTCGAGAATCGAGATGACAGATGCCACCGTGATTAGTATGTAGATTGGGGCAATTTGCTCAATTCCAGTAGCGTGGAATAAGGCCTTCAATAAGGGTTCTTCAAGCCACCTGGACGGTACCTGGACGAAAATGTTTTTCAACTGCATTGTCTTTGGTGGTGACCTCGTATCATCGTACCATATCCATCCAATGGCAACCCATGGTAAAGCGAATCCAAGGCCCAGAAATGAAACAAACTTGTAAGTGAATGCCCGCTTGTTCAAGTAGTCGAAGGGCAGATGCTGGCAAAGTAATAACAATAAATCAACAATCTTAACTTTCCGATAGTCAAGGAGTCGATATCTACCGTGACTTCAGTATGGGGAGGAATATGACTTGAGTGACCAAAGTTGTTAAGTAATCTAGCTGTATTATGTGGCTTAGCAATGAGCCTCGAGGTCGAGGGTCTGACGACGGAGGAAGAGCTACGAGAAAAGAGAGCGGCTGATGACATGTTTTGTTCTTTCCTGATATTGAAGATTAGAGGTTTTCAGCTTCAAAGGCGAAAAGTTGTTGGGAATACTACATCGCATGATTCTTCCCTTTTATATGACCGTGGTTGTACCGTCACGACAATGGAAATAAATCCAGACTTTTTTTAAGTCCAAAGGAAATTAACATCATGGTTCAATAATTAATTCAGAGCGGAGATCGTACCATGCCACCGAGATTACAGCAACTAGGTGGAACTAGCATCTTCCAGACACAAATCGACCTCGACTGTTAGTCTGTGCTCAATGCGAAGACCACGAATCAACGGAACAATTAATGATTAGATCGCATATAATTGAGCTAACGTGCACGACAATGATTAGGCGCGGTTCTGGCCCAGACTAGTACACCGCCCATACTCCATAGAGTTGTCTAGACCGACGTTGATATTTCCAGCTTTGACATGCTTAATCGGCCCTCTTGATCAAAGCAGATCTAATGTTGGGTAGTGGCAGTGGGGATGTTTCTCTTCCTTTAGATCTGCCCGAAGACCTACTCGACTGAACGTCATCCCGCAAAAAACCTACTGGCCGCTGACTGGTGATTTTGAATGTGTTTGTAAGACAGAAAGAACTGACTCCCACCAAAAGTAATTCTTATGTTGATGCGTACAGCCGTGAATTTCAATCCAACTGAGTCGACGAAGATCCCCAAAATTATTCTTACGGACAACAAACAACAAGAGGAATACTTACTCGAAAAGATAGACACTGAACACGAATGCCATGACATTCAAGTCCCGAAAAGGAGCTTATGCGTTGAACTTGACTGTAATAAATATTGCAGTATTGTAATCTCTATAGGGTATGAGGCCTGCTAGTAGAGGCCCAAGAAAACAGGAACTCAGTATTTAGTCGGATGTCAGATCCTTCGGATTTTCATTGATAAGTTTGAAGGAGGGAAAATCAGACTGCGTACTTCCAATCTGACTGAAATTCACCACACGTTGCTCCTGGATTGCTCTTGTGTAGGTCTGAGTTTCGACCTGTTTCGACGCGTCTTGGAATGCTTGATCCGGGGCTCGATGAGAAAGGGGAGCTCATTTAAGTAGTTGTGATGTAGTCCATATAGTGCTACGTACTAAGCCTTTTTTGCGGTGTTGACTAGCTTATGTAGAAATCGAAAAAGATTCGACACGAAGAGCGGGAGAAGAGAGTCTGTTCAAGTGCCGAATCTGGGCGGCAAAATTACGTGATCCAACTGGAATCTTTCTTTCTCCGGTCATGCACATATTCCTTTATCTAAACCACATCATTCCGGGAGGGCAAAGCAATGATTTTTTGAAGGCTATGAGCACCGCACTCTACAGTCTCTACTGCACTGATGCTTATTTCCTAGTTTATCCGCAAAGTAGTACAAATACAGAGTACATAGGTAATAGGTATGCCGCGTTCCATGCTTGGTGCGCAATGGTCAGCTGGCTGCAACTGCTGTCTGAGAGGAAGTTTAGCAGATGATAGTGTACATGGGCGCTTGATATCTGCCATGTTTTCAGGCGGTGCGTTCGTTCTCTAGATAGGTGTAAGGATGAATTGCAGGCGGTGTGGCTTTTGGTGAACTCAAATCTTCCGTGAAGTCCTCATGCGATGCATTATGCAGCAAATTCAGATTCTGGAAGGACCAAACCTGGAAGTTTGGTCGAGTTCGGTCCTTCTACATAGCTCTACATATGTACAAAAGGTATGAACATTCGACGTCTCGACAGTTCTTACCTCCTCCTTACTCTTCATCATTCTCAGTTTGTGTCACTAGCAATGAATAGGGGCTTTCACCAGCAATTCAAGGACGATGAGTTTCAGTTAGTATCCTATACACTACACTGTGGTTACGATAACAACATTTCAAAATTAGATATTGCATCATCGTTCAAGGCCCAGATCCTGTTAGCGAAGATCTACTCTCCGTACACAGTCATGATCCTAGGGCTGAGGATTGCTTGCTATGTCCTGTCAACAATGTTCAGGAAGCCAGTGCCGAATACCGCACGATCGTCACACAAAATTTTCTCGGTTCAGAGTTGACTAACAGCCAGTTCGGGATCCGTCGTGATGACACTCGACCTGTTTCTACGGAATCTGCATTTTTTTTCTACGACTCGCTTTCTGGACCAGTCGTCTCCTCTTCCGATGAGAATATTTCAATTTCGGCTACCTTTGATAATCTGAAGTTGAATGACCCCTTGGCAAATGCTGTGAATCTTCCGAGTTCAAATCCTCCTGCTCCGCCGCTTCTTCAGCTACCAACGTCACCTTGGCGTTCAAGACCATCATCTCCGAGTTCAACATATAGCTTTGAAAAATCTCCCTTATGGACGATGGATGGTGAAGTTTCACCCTGTTCACCTGTTCCCGGATTCGCTCGGGGGCCCGATACACTTGACGACAATGAGAGGTGGCCGGTTAGCCGTGGTCGCGGACGTTCATTGTCATCTTCTGCTGCTTATACAACTTGGCGCCGCAGATCTCCTAGCGTCTCCAGCTTCGCATCTGAAGGATATTTTATCGATCCGGACAGGGGCCGTGGAAGTAGTGTGGTTTCTGATGCTTCAGAATCCTCTTCTGAACACATCGATCCTCGATTTTTGGGCCCCGATATTCAATCCAGTACTATTTGCGGACTGCCATTCTGTTTCAACTCTCAAGGGTCTGAGGGTGATGAAGGCCGGATTCGGCATACTCAGGTGGCAACCAAAAAGACAAGGATGGCAAGCGAAAAACGAAGGAAGAAAGGCGCCAGATTTCATTGTAAGGTTCCAGGCTGTCATGGTAGTTTTACCGCAAAGCACAACTTAATCAGTGAGTTAGATGAATTGTACATACATACTCGCTATCAAGGATACAGCTAGCTAACAGCTCCTGGCCCAGATCATATGCACTCACATGACGGAGTACGCAATTTTCAGTGCACTCATTGCCAGAGGAAATTCATCACGAGTGCCGTGTTGAATCGTCATATTCGCGCATGCTGTCCCAGGACCTCGGTAAAATAGTGTGTCCCAACCTTTTCCTCTGTTTAACATCCTTCAACATCCCCATCCTTGCTTACACGCGTACGTACGAGAGTATTGAGGCTCATGTTTTTAGTATTAAGAACTATCAAGGACTGTACATATGTTTTACAGGCATCATTAGACCGCGGAAATCAGATGCGCATCTCCATTCAGGTATTCATACTGGTCAGTGGTGACCTGGTCCTAGTCCTGGCAAACAGGCGAAGTTTCAATGCAAGTTTCAATGATTTGTCGGTTCTCCGATTCGATCCGTCGATGCTCAGAGTCACGAATGTTTATGTAGTAGGTGATGTGAGGTGATGCGATCCGCTGGAGATTGCCTTCACCCAATGTATCTATGTATATGGACTAACAGTTTATGTCACGTTTAACACCTGTAGCACAAAAGTTCCCTTAGCCAGCTTTAGACCTAGGCTCTACATATTTACTCTGAGCCGGATCAAGTATAATCGACGCTGCTCTTTTAGACGCACTCAATCTTACTCTGTAGCCTCCGGTGGCTCAGTTCTCACTTCCGAATTTGCCGCACACCAGGTCGCATCGACGTGGAAACTGAGCGGGGCTATTATTGTGTAGAAGAGGACGGGAAGAATTCGAAGTAAAGTTTGGTTACGTCTGGTTTTGCTTCAATATCAGCCATTGCATTCCTGCGCTTTGGCCTTATTCGAGAACATCAAAGGGCTGGCTCTCCTCCTAAGTTGTCATTCTCGTCTTATATTTCATATGCTCTTGAACTTTTCTTCAGTTTCAATATTTCGTATCTAATATTCGCTTTGCCCAGCTATCTCATTCAACTTTCTTCCAAACCTTTTGCGAATTTGTGAAAGACAATAGTTCGATAACAATTATTCGTTTTGTCGGCCCGATGACCTTTACAATTGTATCCCCTCTTCCCAATACTCGAACCATTACCCGTGACCGAACTTGTCGTTTATCTAGCTAGTTGAGAGAAGACGGTGCGTCAACTTATATACTCGATCTATTATTTGGATACTCGGTATGGCTTCATTCAGGTACTCAAAAGATACATGATTAATTTGCCTTCCAATTATGGGTTCACGTATTTGCCATCTGAATACGCGCGCTCTCCTTCAACGCGGAGAGCCGTGGTAACAATCAGGAACGCCGTGGACAATTGTTGAATCAATGCGCCTCTTTAATTGAAGGCTAGATACCTTCATCGGGTAATGTTTACACTAGTGCCATCTCACACAGTCTTATAGCAACCCGAATCCACCTGGTTTGTAACTGGCCTTCCTTTCCTCTCACTAGACGATGTACTTGCCAAAACTTTCATACTACTGTTGATGAAATCTCAACACGCACACCAGACGCACACCAAACATCAATCTCTCTGGGTTGGTTCCTTTTTCGGACGCACTACACTAGCCCAAAGATCGACCACAACACGCCGAATACACGTTTTCCTCTAGAATAGAACAATCCTCACAGTCACATATTTGGTTGTCTTGTGGTATAAAGTTCGTTCAAACATCAATCTATGCATGAACTGTCTTGATCCGGCTCGCCTCTCTATGAAGTTAATCAATTCATGTCTGCATCTCATTCCTTATTTTCCTTTTTTCATCATATCTTTGTGATGGCCGTCTACGAGTCTGTAACGCATGGTTTGCCATTGCGTCGTTGCGCAAGGAAATAAAGTCAGATTTGGGGGCAATATTTCACCTGACTTCAACAGCATCTTTAGCTACTTAAAGCAACCCCAATTTCCAAACTCCTTCCCAAGAAACCTACTCTTGTTGCCCCTCTGTGAAACCTCTGTTACCTTCCATGATTCCAGGTATCCTAATGAATACCGAAGAGTACGCACATTCTTTCTAAATGAGATTGAACCCCAGTCGTGTTGATGCGAACTCCTAGAGAGGCAACTGCAGTTGAAGGGGAACCTGCTGATGCTGGCATTGGGCAGCTGCTTACGTTTCCACCAGTGTCGGAACCAACATCCATGGTTCAGGCAGGTCTTTTTGGCCCTGCAATACCCTATCCTGCTCAGACTGTCCCAGAAGTAACATCTTTTGCTATTTCTGCTACTCCAACTATTTTACCTTGGGATACGAACCTGTTGTTTCAAGGGTCGTACCACTTACCTATTTCTCTCAATATGGATTCATCCTTCGACAGTGTCCGAGTCAGTGGAGAGTCAGACTCCCTGCTCAGTTTTTCCGACGCAAGGAAACAATTACTAACCTCTGATGCACTGACAAATTCTTCACAGTTCAATCCCACTCTGTTCACTGCGAATTCTCCTCATTTCGATTCGGTTGTATCACATGGCGATTTATCCTATGTTGCTCACTCTGCCGTTGCTTCTTCAAACACGGATCATCAGTCCCCTTTGACGAATTCTTCGCCTACGTACCAGTTTGAACCCCCCAATCTTCGGAATACTGCTACTACACAGTGTCCAAGTGAGATCCCGTCAGCTAACCGTTGGTCAGGCTATAGCTCGCCGGCTTCAGTCCCATCTTCGGTGTCCGAGTCACCGACAGTTTATACACCGTCGCTGCTGCCATATGCTCGATACGGGCTGCCTTTTCCAGAGCCTTCGGTTGCATATAATGTGTCCACACCATCACCTGCATCTGCAGATGTTGAAGCAGTATACCCTGTTCAACGTAGCGCTAACACTGATACAGAATTTTTTCCCTCCACACATGAACGCCAGCGCACTCATTTCCGTCGACTGTCGCCTGCAGATCGTCGTGAACAGCGTAAGAGTCATAATGTCAGTCGCTTTTCCAACAGATCAAGCAGCACACACATTCACGACCAGAGTCGCTCGCCTGAGATAGTAGAATGGTCAAACACAGCATTGTACGTTGCACAACAAAAAGACTATGGCCTTCGGCGAGCTTTCAGTGGGCCTCAAGAAACCATTCAGTCCAGTGCTGCCTCTTCCGGCTCTTCTTTTCCTCCCCGACCTCGACCTCAGATTCATCATGGAGGAAGGTTCAGTGACAGCCATATAACTGTCGCACCCCCGACCCACGATGACAGCGGCATCCTTGCAATATCAAAAGCAAAGATGTGGACTCTTGCACAGGATACACCGACTTTTGACGTCGATGATGATGTATTTGACGGTTCAGAAGCAGTTTCCCCGAAGAAACAAGTAGCTTCTGATGCTCTGGTCACTGCCGCGACCGGCAGGCGCAAGAACGAGGCGGCATTCCATTGCGAATTTCCCGGCTGTGAGGCGACATTCACAGCCAAGCACAACCTTCACAGTACGTGCATTCTTTTCATGTTCGTCCCACAGGCGATATTCAAGAACATATGTCAATGATGTAGACCATTTGAATTCTCACTTTGGTATAAAATCGTTCCGCTGTCCTCGATGTCTGCGCGATTTTGGGACCCCGCATGTGTTGCGACGACACCAGCTCATATGTAAAGGGAAGAAACGATTCCCGCCTCCTGGGCAGCCAGGTTAGATATCGAAATGTGTATATTCCGTTTCAGACCACGAATACTGTAACATTGCTTTGGCTATGCCAGTTCTGATAGCAGTTGTATGTATTGCAATGAAGGCATTTGTGCGATTCGTAACGTATATAAGTGATCCTTTTATCATATCTTGTACTCATTATTTATCATGGAATTAAAGAAAGAAAAACTAGAATTTCTGATTGCAATAGGCGCCGATTGAACAAGCGCCTAAAGCTGTGGAAGGCTCCATTTTTGGACGAAAGCACTGCATCGCCGGCAATGTTAACACTGCCTCGTTTCGAATGGCACCAAGCCAAGGAGTTGTTTATAAGACCGCCTCGTTATTTCCCGCATATCTGACTCTTGAATCATACCCACCACCATCGCTCTCACTGCCCGCCTTCTATGAGTCACAGTCAAGATCTTGAAGCCCCGACAATATTTGTCGAGGCACCCCCAGAAGATGAGCAGGGAGATTTGATTGACGGCGGGTAGTAAGCTTCTTCTTTCACCGTCCCAAAGTCAATGTCGACCTTATCTTAGCACATCTCTTAGCTTAAATAGTACGTTTCACGAACATAGCCCAGAACTGCAAGCTCTTTTTCTACAAATGTACCCGGAAGTTTCCCCGTCTTCGATGAACATTCCTGGTACATCATCTGCTAGCTTTGACCAAAGCCTTTTCTCCGCGTCTTTTGACCAGTCTTCTTCGACTGGCCAAATATCACCGCTCATAACGGCAGGTTTGCGCGAAGGTTTGCGTACATTGCCTAGTTATCTGGTCTCAAGTCGTTGATTTTCTTGCACAGGATCTGCTGGCAACGTATTCCTTGCCCCCAATGATCAGAGCTCTCCTATTGATCCTGCCTGGAGTCCAGCATCTTCGTTCGAAGGAGATGGTAAAGGTACCGTTCTCCGCTTCGAAGCACCTCGGCTGATCGCCAAATTTAGTCTTTTCAGACGGCTGGAGCGATGGCTCTTCCGCCTGGAGCCCTTCTGTTCAATCCTCATCTCCATCTCCTTCCTCTCCTTCTCTTTCCCCGTTGAACACATCTTTCAACAACATCATTCTGTCAGATGATAACGTGGCGGGTCCGGCTTTATACCGACAACGGAGTAACTCCTTCACTCGGAGTACAGATTCACCTAATGAACTGGGCTCTAGACCGCGATCTTCTTCTTTTACAGATGTGGCCTCCCTTGTTGAGAGCACACAAACATATTCTTCCACCACTCAATCTGTGATCGATGATTACACTCTCTTTCAACACACAAGCGATTATGTCGAACAAATTTCACAAATACCGCAATGGTCATCGTCTGTGCAGAGCGACGCAGCTAGTAATCTTATGGGAACTTCATTTGATCCTTCATTTGATCCTCATGTACTGAATTCCTCATTTGACGAAACTCAGTGGAATATGAACCAGGCTGTCTATTCGCCGCCTATAGGTCCACCCCCATCTCATTCTCACGGAAGAAGTCTCTCGACTCATCTCACTGTTCCTTCTTCTCTTCAACGACGGGATGCACACCGAAGAAGTCATAGTCACACTGGCATCCAACAGGATAGTATCCGAGGTCGAAAGCGCTTTAGTCCGACTGGTGATTTCTCGAGCCGACACTCTTCTCAATCTCGCGAACCGTCTCCAACGTCGCCGTATCAGCAACTTGATTTTACTCATGCCCCTTATCTTAACTTTGGTCCAACAGTGCAGACACAGTTAAATAACAGTGATTCGTTGACAATGTTACCTTCGACTAGCTCGCCTCAATCAGACTTTCTGTCACCAACCTCAACTTCATCTAACTCCCCACAGTCTCCTTCGAGCCACGTTGATTTCTTCTCAGCTACCACTTCCCCTCACTCTCTTGTCGGTGCGGTCGACCCTTTCTTTTCACCTGGCATATCATCCAGCAGCGGATCGTCTCAACTTTCACTACCAATCACTATACAAGGTCACGACTCAGAGCCCGAATTGATACCTGTTCAATACAGCGGCGGTGTTGCGCGGAGGCACAGCTTCGCCGGAAGTCGCAGCCCCAGTGGTAGCCGCAGTGCTTCTCCACTACCTGAATCATCGTCAAATGCTTCTGACCGTCTGCACCGTGCCATTAGTGATCCGATTGGTCAAAATCGTCGTAGACGCGCACCTACTGTTCCTCGAAAATACCCAGGCTTGTTGAAGCCTGCCAAGGAGGTGGATGAAGCAGGACCATCATATCCGGATAGCTCAATGATGATAAACGTTCCCATAGAAGGAGTTCACTCTGCCCCTGCTCCCGCAGAGTTTAAAACGGTAGTGGGCTCCAACAAGATTGTGGAGGCGAGCAAGGCGCGCCGGAAGAATGAGGCCAAGTTCAAATGTGATATATGCAACCACCGTTTTACTGCGAAGCACAATCTCCAGAGTAAGTCCAATCCATCTTTCAATAAAACATACTTACAATTTGATTTCTTCAAGATCATATGAATTCTCATTCGAACAGGCGTCCACATGAATGTCAGAAGTGTGGAAATACCTTCACTACTAGAGGAACTCATGCTCGACATGAAACCATTTGCGCTGGTCGGGCAGTTCGCAAACGGTTATAGAGAATCAAAATCTACTCTATTTTCTGGTCCCTCAGCACATTTTTAATGTCGATCTCCATACTTGCCTTATTCAACAGCTGATAATTGAATTATACGTTCTTTATAGTTTTATTGATCCCCTATACCCCCACAAGCTTGCATTACATACCCTGTATCCTTTGGTTTTAATGAACGCTCGAACCTGCTGTATCCAATAGCGCTTTCCTTCTTCCTGCAGTTGCCATGCATCTTTTACCCATCCGTCTTCATGATCATACTCATCTCCATCCATCTCAGTTGGTCGATCAGTCGGTCGATCATCCGCTCGTTTTCAACAGATTTTATCCTGCTTTTTTCGTGTCAACTCATTGGAATTTGTGCTTTCGTTTGTTATCGTCCGTCGAGTCGGCATTTTTCTTGGATCCTTTACTTCATAATGACCTTTTACTTTCCCGCATTTGTATGGTTTGCTGTGCAAAAACGTCGGTGTTGTTTTCTATAGATGATAAAGTACCCAATTTGGCTCCATATTTTGAGCCATGAACGTTCATGAACGTCTGATTCAGTGACCAGATTCGTTTTGGGTTCGGCAGGCATCGTCGCCGGTTTTTCCCCGTCTTTATTCTCTTTACTTACTCCATCCTGAACCTCATGGACGGCATCGAAAGCACGAGGATTATATACCTTCTTGAGCCTTCCTTCCTGCGGATTGTTGCAGTCTCATCAATGATCATGATGCACATCCTTCTATTTGCCGTGCTCTGTATCCGTTATGCGGTCAAAATCCAATAACACGAAATCACGATTCACTATCCATCACACCACCTAGTCATTTTGTGGATTAATATCTTCATGTGTACGTTGTTGCATTTGAACCCTCGTGAATTCGATTCGCTTGATAATGTATATAAGCTGTGAAGCATGTGTGAAGCCTTAACTTGCAGACCACTGCGAAATGCGCTCTTCCTGTGTTCATCGAGTTATCAAGCTCCTTAATTTTGCCATTTTCACTTGGTGCGCAACAGCTCTGGGAGTATCTCTTGAAAAGCGGTCGATAGCAGGACCTGTTTTTTCTCAGAACTTTCCAGACCCAAGTGTCATCTTCACCGACGCCTATTACGCATTTTCCACAACGAGCGCCGGTCTGAATGTGCCTGTAGCGACATCTCCGGATTTCAATACGTGGACTTATCTCAGTCATGATGCACTTCCTACTGTAGGTGCTTGGACTATTGCAAACACCATTTGGGCTCCAGATGTTGTCGCAGTCGTACGTGGTTGCGCCTTTTTTTAAAATACAAGCCAATCATGACCAAGTTTTCATGTTGATAGGATGGAGGATATGTGCTGTTTTATGCCGGTGAGAGTGCAGCAAACCCGGGTTTCCATTGCGTTGGAGTGGCGACATCTATCAACGTAGAAGGGCCATACGCGCCCCAAACGGAGCCCCTCGTCTGTCCCATTTCGTATGCTCCTACTCCCGTTTCATGTTCCAATACTTAGTCTCGTCGCAGTACCGGAGGTGCAATTGATCCCGCGGGTTTCCATGATGTTAATGGCGACTTTTATCTGGTCTGGAAAGTAGACGGCAACAACATCGGTCATGGCGGAAGCTGCAACAATGGTGTCGCTCCGATTGTGAGATCCATTTGCGTTTGCCTTTCTCGAGGATTCTGACAATGCTCTGCCCTTACAGGTACCCACACCTATTATGATTCAGCAATTAACAGCCGAGGGAACTGCATTCGCTGTTGGCTCTACCGCAACCGAAATTCTTGACCGTGACGATGACGACGGCCCCCTGATTGAAGCTCCTTCACTCGCTCGCAGTTCAGAAGGCGTTTATTTTTTGACTTTTTCCTCTAACTGCTATAGGTGTGTGTCAATACATACCTCCTTCATCTTATTCACTGAATGTCCCGTAGTACATCTTTATATGATGTCTCGTATGCAACTGCGACCAATGTACTAGGGCCATACACCAAACAACCGTGGTTGATGATCACTGGAACTCCCTTCGCGCAATTGTACGCACCTGGTGGCGCAGATATTACCCCGGACGGTACTAAACTGGTGTTCCACGCTGACCTGGGTACTACTTCGGATACCAGACAACTTTATACCGCAGAAATTACCCTTTCGGGAACTACTATTTCAATCTAGGATTCCGGCCTGAGCAGTTACCTTTCTTGCAAGTGAAGTCGTTAGCTGGCTATACCTTCTTACTCGTCGTTTATTTATTTATGGGACATGGGTCACAATCTAGAAAGCGTACTCTTGATTGAACTGATCTGCTCTGCTTCGAACTGGCTATGCTATGTCTTTGGAGAACAGATGGCAGGGAATACATATCAATGACCCAGACAAGCCTCGGATTTGAGTCGTTCCGGCTGACACATATGATATAATTCTTCTCATCGGGATGTAGTACCGAGCACTGCAGAAACTACAAAGGAAGTGTTTTCTTTCAATGTCCTTGCTGCAGCAGCGTCCAAGCGGCACCCCTTCCGACTCGGCATTTCTGGTAATGCAACAGACGCCTTAGCAAAAGACGCTTAAGAACGAGATGTGCAGTTTTCACGATGGCTCCCACCCATCCGTGCACGAAGCATGTTTTCTCATCGGGATATAGTCCCAAGCGATGTATGGTGCAGTTCACTTAAACACTGCAAACTTTTTGCAAACTTTATTACACGCCCAAAAAAAGAGATTTTTCTTATCCCTTTGGCCAATCGACTCCTTTTCATTATAGGAACAAATCCCCCAGACCGATTTTCGATAACCTCAAAACTGAATGAGATATTTTTTTAAGTCCTTCCCAATTTGGCGCGTGTACACAGAAAGATACATCTTTAATCAAATCTCCATCGAATTCCGAATCCAAATCGAACATGAATGTTTGTATAGAATTATTTACTGCGCTATATCGTCAATTTTGTCCCTATGCACTCTGACACTATCTGGCATATCAAAAAGTTCCACAAATCAGTGGGTGGATCAGTCCCCATACAAAAAAAATTTTGGCCTCCGGCCGATTTGGCGCGTGCAAAAAGTTTGCAGTGTTTAAGTGAACTGCACCATAAGAATTCCAAACAGCGATGATGGAAGTGTGTTTTAGTCAGTTTCTTCCCAGCTGTATGATTTCGGTGGAATTGTGCAGCAACAAATGTCCGAAACGGCATTCATCTAACAGCAGATGCTTTAGCGAAAGCAACGAACCCATGAACGAGATTCAACTCGTTGTTTTTTGTTTGTAATGTATTTCAAGTACTCAAAATTCATAGACCTCTACATACTTTGTTAAAGTAGAAACAGCCTCGTAAACTATGAAGTCTGTGCAGGATTCCGCACACGCCGGCCTGCCTCTATGTAAGAGCAGATCAGATATGACACTCAGACTCTCTTATGAATATATTGTATGCCCTGATTTTCCATCTGCAAGTCAACTAACTATCAGACCAGGACACTTAATTTCCTTTCAAAATGCGAAACGGTGCATACCCCAAGCCGCAAACATGCAAGAAATAACTGTCAAACCCGGATCAAACCTCTGGCTGTGGCTTATGATAGTTTCCGGTCCCGACTATGTTCATTGAGTTGTGCGTGGTTCATTGAGTCTTTCATGTTAGGGTCTGTTAAGGTTGGCACCGTCACCGTTCCGTTCGCATGTTCTCCGTCCCTTAGCACAGGTAATATTCAATAACATTCAATGTGGGTGTTCTCGGGGTCCTCATAGGAGAGGTTCCTCGGTACCTGACACGGATACTACGGAATTCAGTAGAATTTAGTGTTCACTTGGAAATTTCAACATCAGCCCTTCTCAGCTGAAGGTCCAACGTATGTATGTATTCAAAGATGACCGATTATTTGAACTTGGTGTGATCGATATCCTTTGATATCCTACCCAGACCGTGCGACATGTCGGAAGAGAAGGAGGATGATCTCTGGAGAGCTCTGCAGTCTTTCATAGTCTTCCCTAGAGGTTCGCATTGTAATGTTATCCAGAAACCCAACTGTCAGTCATGCAATGAGTATGAAAATTCTTATGTAAACTAAAGTTCAAACACCAAACACCAAACATAGAATGCCAAGGTGGCGTTGCCCGATAATCCGAGCCTTCTTGTGGAACTTGGTACTCGTGGGTAGCTCGTGGATGGGAATTCAAGGAACAGCACAATTCGGGAGAACTCAAAGAGTGACAAAGGCAAAGAGACAGAAGTTCCACATGTCTTGTCTGTATATTGTTCAATGCAACCGAAGACTGAACTTGAAGATTGGTTGAGATAAAGTATCGAGAAAGAAAAGAGCATGAGAACCCAAAGAAATAAATACAGCGTCCTTGCTAAGAATAAGCTGGAGGTTCACGTGTATCAAGCCGTACAGGTGGATCATCTTCTCGTGACGATCCCAAACCACGAATATCACCCATTTTCCGTGCATTGTGATCAACATTCGAGTAATCATATCCAGTTGAAATTTCCGCGCCTATTCTGAGCTTTGACGGGTCCACTTCCAACGATGTTTCGAGAGAAAGAAACGGGCGTCCATAAGAGCTGCCGGTCCTCATTCTCGTTTCAGTAGGCAATCTATGCTCATCTCCAAGCATGAACGCTTGCTGTCGAGACGGCGCTTGGGGGAGATGCACTTCCTGCAGATAATGGTGATCTTGTGCTTGTTGCAGGGCTGACAGATGCATCAGAACCGGGGGACCGGGCGGCGAGGCCATGCTCTGAGGTATGTTGTCCAGGATTTGAGAGTGGGCTGCCATACCCGGCGCCATGTCCCCCGCCGATAACGCCATATTGTCTATACCCAGATCCGGATCGTTGCCGCCCATGTTGACCGTACCCGGAGACGTGCCCGTGCCCATGCCCATGTCTATCTGACTCGACGGGCGAGCGAGATGGGCTGCATGATCGGTGTGACCCAGAACTCGATGGCCTGGCGGCATTGGCAGGGAACGGCGACGGAATTGTTGCAGATGGTCTAGGTGATGCGGGTTTCGAAGATGCATTGTTTGGGTAGTAGATTGCTGTGGAGTGAAGAATGTGGATTAAAAGTTGGATTATGACAAAAACATTTTTGAAAGTTTACCTGTCCCGCCTGGACTTTCTCTCTTGCTTTTCGAAGTTGGTCCTCCTGCTGCAGGCGCAGCCCGTAAGAATAGTTCATGGTTCTTTGATGTTGAGCTACCTGTGCCATTCTCCCGATCTCCAAGCGCGAGTCCTGCAGCTCCGCGGACAATGAGCCCCGTGCCACTTGTTCCCGGCCTACTCCCTGAAGTTGTTGAGGGATATTCTCTGTCCCTGATTGGGGTGAAAAGGATCCCTGAACCAGATGATGATTCCGGGCGCCCGGGTATATCTTCTGGGGCACATAGTTCCATAACACTAAGTCTCCTGGATTGGGGGCGTGATTCGCTGGCCCTATCATCCCCTTCTCCTTCGTCAACAGCTGAGAATCCGCGTTTTCGGCTGCCGGATGAGCTGAGTGGAGGGGCATTGAATGAGAAAGGCGACTCTCCACTGGAACGCTCGTCTTCCCACCCGAATACCATGCCATATCCAGCATAGCCGTTATGGTTTGAGGTTGTTCCTGGGCCCAAGGCGGGAGCTGTTCCTGGTCGGTAGGCAAATGTCCCTTGTGATGACCCGCCTCGAGATCCGGGTCGGAGGTCGAAATTGCTTGGGGTGGGTGGTGGAAGCCTGAGCCCGTTCGCGCTCTTGGAACCCGATAAGGTTGGTAACGGGGCCCCGGTATGTCCAAAGGAAGGGAATGAGCTTCCATACCCACCAAGGATTCCTCCGAACCCTGCGTTGGATAAGGGTCGTCCTGAGAAGCCGGCGTTGGACCCTGGACGCGCGTGCGATGTTGGCGGGGGCGGGAGCGGCGCGATGGAGCTGGGAACGATACTTGCAAGTGGGGGGAGCGTTGTCGCGGTGGCAGGTCTGGTGCTGGTTCCAGGTCTAGCGGTGGTATCGGTGGGAGGTCGGCTTCTGCTGTACGAGGGATTGTGTTCACGTTCTCGAGAATAACTGAAGCCATTGTCGGGGACATTGAACCTGAACATCCCACTGCCTCCCCCAGGGGAGGATTGGGAGTATTGAGGTTGGGAAGAGTAGGAGGAGTTGCTGGATCGATATTGCTGTGGGCCTCGAAAGGACCGAAAGGAATATCCATTGGGAATTTCGCTGTCATGTTGCTGAAAAGGCTGTCTCATCCGTCTAGTGGTGTTGTCAGCGTCGATGTCCATATCGTCATGATGAGAGTGTTGGCGAGGATCTTGACGGCGTACGTTCGAATGTTCATGGTGAGAATAAGGACCTATACACGACGATCAATTAGCATGTTATCTTAACCAAGGGACGATGGATTCAACGGGAACTAAGGTAAAGGAATAAAGGACACAAAAGGAAGGGTAAACAAAAATTGCAAGGTGAATTGAATCTGATTTCGGGTGACCATTGATAGCGTGTCGAAGCCGTGACGTTGCCTTTCCTCAAGCTGTTGCCAGTCCCTTCACTCTGGCGTGACAGTGAAAGCGAAGATAGCATTCCAGCATAACACAACTTGCTGCATGCATGAAAATAGACTGGATATTGATATCGTGTTGCAGACGAAAGATTCAGATCGAATCTACAAATCATCATCAGCGGCCCACGCTTGATCGAATTTACTCGGCTCGAAGCCAAAGAAGGCTGAGCCTCGACGAAAGCGACAGGAGTACTGATGAGGGCGTAACTTGCAGCAGCCGCGTTTGCGTCGATGCTTCGAGGCTTTGGGCTGGGCTGACTAGAGTCCGGCATCCTCACCCCTCCTCCCTGGACAAAAGAAAGAGCCGAAATATGTACATAAAAGAAGAGCGGAGCAGTGGAGATATTTCATCGACAAGCCGATCGCAAGAAGGTGGATAAAATAGATGAAGTGAACAATATCGCGAAAGAGATAAAGAAAGATTGTTGCGATATGGCGTGGAGGGAGGGAGGAGGGGATCCGACGACTCACCCTGATGTCAGTGTAATTCCATTGATTGGAGGACGGGATCCAGCATCGGTGGGCACGAGCATGAGGGAGGTCGAAAGAATAAAGTTATCTGGTAATGTAACACAAATAGCGAAAGAAAAACATAAGGAAAATCAAATGTACAAGGAATTAAGTGGTAACATGCAGCACAAAAGCCAAGAGCCGCAAGACCGAAAGCTAAAAGCTGGATGTAATACAGACACGTAGTAAGTAGATAGATATGTATATATAACGGCAAAGCCAACGAGGGAAGCGGCAATAGTGGCAAGACAAAAAAGAGGTACACACAAAGCCGAGAAAAACGAGAGGACAGATGGGTTTGAAGAAAAAATATATAGGAAAATAAATTCACATATGGCGTGTTAGAATGATAGGAGCAACGAAGATAAGTAACGTGTACGCAGGAAAATATTAGATTATAGATACAAACGGCCCAGTAATGACTGCAAGATCCCAAGAAAACAATGAATTTGGAAGAATGAAAGCAAACGAACGAAGGCAAAACGAAAGTTAAAAAGAATGGAGAGGACAAGGCGACCAAAAAGAGTCAAAAGAGAGAGATCAGTAGGAAAAGAACGAATAACTCATGCCCAGTATCCACCGACGGGTGCTCCTCCTCCAGCGCTAGGAACAGTTCCTTGAGCAGCCCACGCTCCGGACGAAGAATACCCTTGATTGGTTACACGCTGCGGTTGCTGGGAATATGCATGCACGTAGCCATTCATACCTCCGCTGCCATTCTGATAAGTGGCTTCGAATGGTGAATTAGGAACCGATGTCGATTGCTGTTGGTGGTGATGGTGATGTGACGAACGATGTCGTTCGTTCGAATCGACCGGTACCAGTGGGAAGTAGCCACCACTTCCACTACCGCTGGCACTTGAGCCAGAATGTGATGCCGACAGGGGTGGAGATTGGAACGGGCTTCCTGGATGTGAAGGGTGTTGGTGGTGCTGCGGTTGGATATGAAGATGCTGAAGGTGCGGATGGGAAGTGCGGGAGGAAACAGTCCGACCACCAGGACCGGATAGTTCAATGGTCATTGGAGGAGGCATCTCCGAAACTGGACTCTGGGTCATTGGTATGCCTGCGAGTGGCAGATAAGGTGCGCTAGCGCTGGCGGAACCAAGTTGCAAGTGTGAGATGTGGTCGTAAGGAAAGTTTCCTCCTGCGGTATTAAATGAGGGTGAAGACTCGATGTCTTGGACGGGCGAAGGGGAAGAGGAAGAGGATAACGATGGAGAGGAGGCAGTTGGCGCACCGTTGTAACCATGTGTGGAGGTGGAGGTGGAACGGTTAGGATAAGCGGTTGTAGAAGAAGAAGCAATAGAATTGTATGAATTATAAGGATAACTATTGTAGGGGTGATGAAGATGGGGGTGGAAACGATTATACCCACCGTTTGAGGTGTTTTCCGTTCTGGAGTAGGATCCTACCAAAGGAAGCGAAAGTAAGATCAGTGTAATATTGAACACCAAAGATGAGGTGAAGCAAGGCAAACGAATGTACAACGACGGCGTAAGGAAAAAGGTGACTTAGCTTACCTGTATTGCCGTTTTCGCTGTCAATGGAACCTAAACAAATTGTGTTACTAGATTTACATCGAGGTACAACTGCGGGCTAACCATCTTCGCGCTGCTCTTTTTTCCGTACTAGATACGGATCAGGAAGATCAGGGTATCCAGTTAGATTAAGCTGATTCGCGGGCATCGCCAGACCTGGATATATGGCTATAAAATCTATAAACGAGATGAACGACAAAAGAAAGATATGAATCGTACCATCGGCACCTCCAGCGCCTTCATACCCCGTCGAAGTCCCAGGTCTTGCTCTTGAACGGCCTGGCCGTGCGCTATTGCTAGTAGAGTCCTGAGATCCTCTAGAACTGCGAGCAGGGACTCCGGCGGCCTGTGCCGCTTGTTTATTCGCTGCGGCCATTGTGGCATGCACTCGACCTAGTTCACGCATCATTCGTTCATTCTGGTCAGCTTTATCGGCGTGTACGGTCTGCGCATGCTGTCGAAGGTTATCCAGACTGTGGACGGAGACGGAGAGAGAGAGTTGATATAAGGGGTACTCTTGTGAGGACGATAACTCACCGACTGAAGTTCTTTCCACAGTGACAAGTAAACGGTCGCTCTCCAGTATGTTTCCTGATATGTCTTGCGAGATGCTCCGAACGAGAAAAGACCATCCGACAGTCACCGTAATTCCGACATTGGAAAGTTTTTGAGGGTGTGGGGCGCGAGCGTTTACTGGTCACTGTCGTCGTACTGGAAAGATCGGATGAAGGATTAATGGCGGACGTAGCGGAGGTAACAGCCATCTTGGTATCCGGGTTGGCTTCAGGGGAGTCGACGGGGTTGTTATTGACGTTAGATTCCATTCAACAAACTTCAGGTACAAAAAGTGTACAGCGTCGACGGCGAGTCGTTGTGGAGCTCTCGAGAACTAGGAACGTGGAGAAAAGCAGGAACAAGGTACAGCCCTTTCGTTCAACTTGCCCTGTTATGTACTCGTCAGGAACAAGGGAAGAGAAAAAAAAGATGAACGATGTGGCAAGATGAAATGGCTGACTGATATCCTCTGATGGAACCCCCTGTGCCTTGGGACTCCTGGCACCCCGGCATTTTTCGGCATAACGAGATCTAGGTCTTCGGTCCGGCTATACACAGCCACGCCAGCCGAGTCTTCTTTCTGACAGGTTACATCCCAATGAAGCCTTTCAGATTATAATGAGGGCCTGGTGCGATGTTTTTTCAACAAGCCCACAATTTGTGATGTAGAATAGTTCATCTTGAGTCACTAACTACTTGAATGTTCTCTTGCACTATCATACCTCGGGAAGGAAAGGAAAGGGTCGTGTTGTCGCGGCGATGGAGGGAATTCATGAATTTGAACTCCAAAATCGGATAAATATACAATCTATCTACATATCCTAATTCTATCCTATCCCGGTCATAGTATCCTTCAGTACTTAGAGTAGATCCGTTTGTCTAATTATTTAATCACTACTTATTCTTGATCTGATTTACTCAAGTATGGGAAGCTACTTATAGTAAGACCTTTCTTTCTTATATGGTAATTCCCAGCTTCTCAAGACAAATGTATGTGTGGCCCTCAAAATTCCCAAAGTATCCTTTATTTCCCAGGAAATGTATGAGCTTCCTTGGCCAATAGTATGGCTAGCAGGAAAACTCTGTAAAGTCTTGCGTAGAGTTGGTGGCCTGATGATAATACATATATCGACGATCAACAAAGTTCTCTGGCACGATCGTACAATTACAATTTCGTACAGGGATCAAAAGTAGGTACTGATGGTAAGTACTGATGAAGAACACAACAAACAGGATATCCTACAAGGTCGGCAGAAAGGCAGAGCTGAACGCCAGAGGGAAGACACAAAATGGGAGAGAACCAATAAGTACAGAGTCGAAATCAACTGCTAAAAATACAGACTAATGTCATGCAAATATCATTGAATAAAGTTAAGGAACTCTGACGACAGGTCACAACGAAAACTGTCGAGTTCGCGATGCGGAACAGATCGGATGAGCATGTTTCATTTGGGTCTCTTAGCGTTCGGGCCAGCACCTTGACCACGCTCGGGAGAACGCGTCCGCTTACCAGAGGCAACCTCCGTAGAGGAAGCCTGATTCATGTCCTGAGAGGTTGCTGTCGGCATCCAAGCACCCGTGGCCGCATTCCAAACAGGAATTTGCTGTTGTTGTGCCGTGCCGGCAGAAGATGGACTCATTGTCTGGGAGGATATCATATTTTGGGAGTAGTAAGGATATTGAGGTGAGGATGCGGGCAGGATGTTATGATGGGTTGGGACGTGTGTAGGGATAGGATTCGATGTGGATCTAGGAGTAACGGAAGGACGCCCTTGATATTGGGTGGAAGAACCGACGTATGATTGGGGAAACGAATTCGATCGCGACTGAGGATGAGAGGTTGGTAAGGACGTAGAGTATATCGGTGTAGAAATGGGAGCGGAGAATGACTGTTCTCGTGGGTTCTGCCTAGTGTCCGATCGGGGAAGAGATTGAGCAGAAGTCAAATTTGTTACATGGTTGTAAACGTTATTGTAATTTTCGCGGGAGACTGTGTTCACAGCGTTATCTGCACTCCCAGTGCCAAAGCTGAACGAGGGATTTACAGATGGATGAATGAAATACAGATCAATAGACGGCTTCTTTGAGCTCGTAGATTGCGGGTGGTCTTGACTTGTCGATCGCGGTGGTATAGGATGTGACAAGGTTGGTGTCGTAGGATTGGAATGAACAAGAGAATCCATCGTTAGAGAAGTCGATGCCATGTTAGAAGTTCCAGTTTGATTGTTCGAAGACGCGGAAGGTGTCGAGGGCCATGTTCGAGGGGGCTTCTTTTTGTACTACGCAAACCACTATGATTAGGTACTCTCAAGATCAATTAGACAATAAGCTCACCCCTTCTAATTCTGGCTTTCCTCGCCAACCAGCGACAGCTTCGCAAAATCTGACGGCTGCCCGTTCTACCGGTTCTGCAGGATATGTCCAAGCAAGGTCCTCCATATGTGTTGAAAGGTCAGGTGTTGAGTCTGGTATTTCGAGAAACTGAGGCAGCAATGAGTATGAAGTGTATATATGAGTGATAAAATCCTCACACTTCTCATTCTTTCATTCATTCCGGTGGCGAACTCGATTTCAGCGGCATTAGGCTGCCTCGTTCGTCGCGTTGTGTAAGTTTTAGTCAATTCACCGTGGTTGCGGAAGTCTCCATCTGACCATCTATCTTCACTTTCGGCATTTCCTATAAGCCCAAGAGAAGGAAACAGAATGGCGACAGCTTGCTGTAGGCTTGGCAATTCGTCTGGATCAAACTCCTTGAACAGATCTTCATCTTCGGCGAATATGTCCGTCTCGGCTTCAAAGTTGCCGTCTGCATCCACCTCCTCTGCAGAGGAAGATGGTGAAGCTTCCCTGGGGGGATCTGTAACAGATTCACCAACTCCGGTTCTCATTTCTGCTCCAAACGTGCTGCGAACACCAGGCAAATCGATACCAAGCCCAACACCCATGAGACACTCTACGGCATTCACTCCCCTCCAGCCAGCGGTAAGGTATCCTTGTAAAGCTGCACGGGTCAAAATACCGGCCAAGAGATGATACCATTCACGAGAAGGGGCAAGAGTCGCGAAGGTACCACCAACACCCTGTTTTGTTGTACCTCCGCCGGTGCTTCCGCTGCTGGTAGAGCTTCTCAACTCGTCGGAATCCTTCCCTTCTCTTCCTTCTCTCACTTCTCGACCTAGCTCTGTTGATACCAGTGCAGAAAGTCGGAGGAATCTCGGTAAGAGCTCGCTTAGCTTTGTGTAACCCGAGCCGGTAGAATCAGCTTCGGATTCTCCCCCACCTCCACGGCTGGAGCGTCGAGTGTACGGAGAAGCCGTCCGTCTACGTAGCACACTACCATTCATTGAAGGTTTCAGCAGACCTTCGCCTACACCAACACTACAGCCACCCGCGATTGAGGGGTCCTGATAGCCGGACACTCCTCCACCGTCGGGAGCAATTCCAACCGGTGTTACCTTCTGGTTTGAAGGTATACCTAAACCCATCGAAGAAGATGTAGAAGGCCAAGATGGTGCGGCGAAAGTACTAGTGGACCCCGCTCTATCTCTGCCTTTTCCTTTTCCCGCAGCGCCTTTGACAGAGAATTCCTCCTTGGCTTCAACGCAAATTTCGCATCCCGTATGAAGATGTCGTGGACATCTGAATGCGGGTGGCGAGTTAGCAGTCTCGGGATCAGTTCCGGCTAAATAAAGCGAACGGGTACGGGAGGAAAGTTTGGATAGCAATGAAGGGTATTGAGTATTGGACATGGTATGTGAATGTTGACTCGGATGAGAGGTGTGAGCAGATGCAGACGCAGATTCCCTTTTCAATTGCCTTCTAGCCCTCTTCGCAGCCTTCCGTTCACCGTAGGCGGAGATTGTAACCAGTGGATTCAGAGCAGGAGGGAGGAGTCCGGCAGAGATCGTGGAAGAGTCAGAAGTATTGGTTGTCATAGGTGAGCTGGCGGAAATACTAGCGGCAGCAAATTTCTTATGCCTAAAGGGAGGGGGAGGCGCCTGCCGCGCAAAAAAATCGTTGACAAGAGTTCCGAGAGCGAGCCTGAGACGGACACCGTTTGGTAGAATGTGCTGGTTAGGATCTACAAAAAAATCATCTTCGAAATGTAGATGGACGGGCGGAGGTTGAACAAGCATTGAGTTAATGACTTTCTCCAAGCCCTCAGCCCTCAAACGAAGGCTACGGGCGAGCTGTAAGTCTTGAGCATGAAGTCGAGCTTCTTCGTCATCTTGGGGTTCCCGCCGAGCTTTCAAAGCCAATACCGCTTCTCCGTCGCTCCCAGCCTCATCTTCCTCTTCATAATTCTCCGGCCTCCTTCTGTGAGCATAATTGGAAGATGTAGGTCCACCAGTACGATCTGACATGCCTAATTCTGCTCGAGCCTGTGCAAATCGCGTTCGTCCTACAGATGTATAGTGGATTGGTAGCAAGAAGTCGCATAGTTGTACAACGTACCATGAACCCATAACATATGGTCAATGATCAAAGTCCGTGTACTCTTCTCTCTAGGAGGTATCGAATGAAGGTGGTGGGCATGCTTATGAGCAGGCGCTTTGAAGCTATTGGGATTTGTTCCCCCTGCTCTTGAAGGTCCAGCCTCTGCTTGGAATGCCTTCGCAGATGACACTGCTTGTGCTAAGCTTAATGGTCCATTACGATTAGGTGACATTGAAATCGATAGAAGTCGATGTGGTCCTGAACACAGGTGCAAGCCCGTGAGAAATCTATTCCGATTGGAACCGACCTATACTCTATGGCGCAGTTTCCTGGGTTTCCTCTACTGTAAGTACCTGGTAAGTACATTCGTGATACAGCAAAGAATCAACGCGTACTATGGAGTTCCTGCCCGAAGTAAAGGATTATTGGGTGTGGCTCCACTTATACTCAGGCTACAGCGGATTTCTCGAACTTTTGGTCTTTTAGTCTTTCAGTTCAGAAACATCGTGAAAGGGTACATATGCATATCCGAATTTGAGGAAGTGAATAAGTTCAAAACATTCCTTCTGAGCACAGGTGTCAATCTTCTCATGTGCTCACATCAGCTCGAGCTTCTGTACTACTAACAGAACGAGAACAACGAACTGTACAATGCGACTGATTTATTGAGATCACTGAGCAAACGAACTTTGAAGAACAGGATCACTTCTTCCCACGAGTCCTTATAAGAAATATTTACAGCCGACCATCATGTCGTCCCCTTCGAAGCCAGTGGGGATTCCCAAACGTGGCTCACAGTCTCAGTCTGTTACGCCTGCTGGGACTCCAGACCTCAGGGCCCTCAGGGCTCAAGTCATATCTGGTACACCTCCAGTGGGTCTCTCAATACCTCCACCAAATATTCCGCCTAGAACGTCATCACCCGTACCGTTAGGACAACTCGTGGAAGGTACTCCTGCATCTTCGTCAACGGCTAGAATACAGCTCGCAGGTCCTAGTAGAACAGATAGCCCGCTGAACCTGCCTCTGGATTTGGACGACTTGCCTGACGAAGAAAAGGCCAAGATTTTAAGAAGGCATCTGGTTTCAAAGGGGGAGAGAGAACGCGAACGGAGAGAAAACCCGGAGGTCACATCTTTATCAGAGCCTGTATCTCAGACGAGGCGCTCTTCTGGAAGTGGTCGAATTGCCAGGGAAGAAAGCGAACCATTTCCTGTGCCCTATGCTTCCTCTGGTGCAGATGTAACGTGTGTCTAGTTTTATATACTGCTCGTTCTGCATGACCTATCCTAACCTATGGCCTACCTAGACACGACATCTACAAATGGCATCTTAATGCGCAACGACAAGCTCGTCGTGTTCGCTCAGCGTCTTTCTCGGCCGCTGCTCGTCCTGCCCCAGATCCCGCATTTGAACACATACATGAACCTGGAGGTTTCAGACGTAATTACGTTTTGCTTCGCGCAGGCAATGAGGATGGAGGTGAAGAGCCAAGAGTATTCGTTAACAACTTCATCGACTTTTTGTTTCTCTTTGGTCATTTCGTGAGTTCCCTTTAGGATGGATGTTCATCCCGACTCAAACTCCTCTTACCTCGCTAGGCCGGAGAGGATCTAGAAGAAGATGAAGAGGATGACAAGGATGAAGAAGATTCAGAGGGCGTGTTTGCACAGCCCTCGTCTTCTGTCGCACCATCTGTCGGATTTGGTGATCTAGCTGCTACAGAGTCGTCGCCGTTATTAGGAAATAAGTCAAGGTCTCGTTCTAGATCAAGGAGGCGGACAGCGTCCATGTCCACAGGGAATGCGACTGTTGGACAAGCGGTTCTGATGGTAGGCTATCTTTCGCTCATAATTGAGTAACCGTTGAACTTTGACCTTTGTGTAGTTGTTGAAGGGATTTGTTGGGACCGGTGTTCTATTCTTAGGAAAGGCGTGAGTACCATTTTCTTCAATGTCTGTTATAGTGTGCTCAATGGGATGTAAATAGATTTATGAATGGGGGAATACTCTTCTCCTCCCTTCTCTTCATTTTCATCGCCGTCATCTCGCTTCATTCCTTTCTTCTTCTGGTTCGTGCTAAACTTGCCGTTCCCGGAAGCTTCGGAGGTTCGTGTATTGTTGAATCAGTAAACTTGATGACGAATTCTTCGAGATAGACATTGGCGGTGCTCTATATGGACCATGGATGCGGCATCTCATTCTTAGCTCCATTGTGCTTTCACAAATCGGTTTCGTTGGCGCCTACATGATTTTCGTCTCAGAAAACCTCCAAGCCTTCGTCAGTAGTGTTACTGATTGTGTCCAGTACGTACCCGTGAAGTATGTGTCAGATCTTTAATTTTTTCTCTTGACGATATGCACTAATGGCATTGGTTAGGTACTTCATTATAATGCAGTCCATCATCTTGCTTCCATTGGCCTTGATACGTGATATTGTCAAGCTCAGCACAACGGCTTTGGTAGCAGATGCTTTTATCTTATTTGGCCTGGTTTATATCTTCGGCAGCGAGATCGGTTTGGTCATAGAACGAGGAACACGAGACGTTCGGTTGTTCAACCCAAAGGATTTTTCACTGTTCGTGGGGTAAGTGTTTCAATTTTATTCGTAAATCAGTTCATTCAGCCATTTTCCCACTCAGAACGGCAGTCTTTTCCTTTGAAGGCATAGGACTCATTGTTCCCATCGTTGACTCCATGCGCGAGCCGCACAAGTTCCCTGCTGTCCTAACCGGAGTCATGGCATTCCTGTTGATACTCTTTGGAGGTGCTGGTGTTCTAGCCTATTTAACATTTGGCTCGGATGTCCAAACCGTCATCCTGGTCAATCTCAATGAGGTGCACCCAGGAAGTAGAATGCTTCAAATCGTGAGTGTATTCTTCACTTTCACTTATTTTTGCTCATCAAAGAGCCAGGTCCAAATCTTCTACTCTCTCGCAATACTACTATCTGTTCCTCTTCAACTATTCCCAGCTATCAGAATCATGGAAAATGGATTATTTACTCGCAGTGGCAAGTCCGATACCCGCGTCAAATGGACGAAGAACCTGTTTCGGTTTGCCACTGTAATTGTGACTGGCTGCATCTCGACATTGGGGGCTAAGGATCTCGACAAGTTTGTCGCTTTTGTGGGTTGTTTTGCTTGGTAAGCCCGGTATCAATTGTCTCTGGTTAACGTCCATTGAGCTTTAGTCCAGTGTTCCATTGTGTTATGTATACCCCGCGATGCTGCACTATAAAGCCTGTGCGCACACCCGTAGGAAGAAACTCGCAGATATCGCTATGATTGTTTTTGGATTGGTAGCAGCAGCGTTTACCACCGTGCAAACCATTAAGGCATGTTCTTTGATCTTGTTTTGTCTATATTGGCAGAGTTTTAATTCTCTGCCCTTTCCAGTTGATGGTTGAGCCTGAAGTGAGCGGGTCGCCAGTCGGAGTGTGTGGTCCTCCAAGAGTTTGAGAACAAGCGAAGGTTTTTCTTCTGGTTTCTTACTAGTTCAATACACTGTTATAGTACTCATGCATCCTACCACAACTTGTATCTAACATGCACTTTTCTTGAATTCTGACACGTTCTTTTTTAAAATTCTTTGTTTTCCTTTATTCTCAATCTGTACTAAGTATTAGGACAGGCTAAGTACCTTACTTTCGGTGACGTATGGCTTGAACGCCTCATTGGCTTATGATTTAGCATACATATGTATGTGTTGAATACTTTTTTCCTCGCTCACACGGCTGGCTGATCAAATGCTCAACAGGAAGCTGGCAACACAACTTGAACCATCGTCATATGATGGTCTATCCCTCTTTAAAAAGAGAGGGACAAACTTCACTGCCCTTCAATCGCGATGAACGGTATCCTACCTCTTGCTACTATTTTTTTGTTTGCTTCAGCTACAGCCAAGGCACCTGCTGGTCCCTGGGACGCGTTTAACTTTGCTCCGGCTACTAGGTCTTTCGTTCCAAAATCTGTTTATACGACTGTAGGACTGGTCGCTGGTGCCGAAAATCTCTTGGGCAACTCGTCTTCTACCGAGGGCGCTATTGTCACCGGAAATGGCTCGTACATTGTCTTGGATTTTGGACAAGAGGTGAGTACACTTAACACATGATTTTTCGAAACTTATTAGCATGACCTTGTACGCAAGGTTGGTGGTAGACTGTCCTTCCAGATCGATTCTACCACTTCCCCTGCAATTTCTCTTTCTTTTACGGAGTCCGCCATGTTCATATCACCTACGGAGTCGGATGACTCTTGTACAGTGTCCCCTGATCATGATTTAGACGGCGTTCTTTCCGTTCCTTTGCCCCTTGCAGCCAATAAAACTTTCACTCAAACAGTCGGCGACCAACGCGGAGGTTTTCGCTTCCTTACTATTGTATCTGACGGCGACGCGCCTGTGACAATCTCGAATGTCACTGTGAACGCAACGTTCATGCCACAAATGGATGACCTTAGTGCTTACACCGGCTACTTTTATGCTCAAGATAGTGATTTTCACGATCAGGATTTCCTGACCAAGCTGTGGTACGGCGGGGCGTATACTGTGCAGATGAACACCATAGACTCCCACGAAGCCAGGCAGCAGCCTTGTCCTGTGCCGTCAGGTAAAGTCTCGTTAATGATAGTCCTGGCAATAACACTTGAATTTTGTATGTATGCTTTGTAGGCTGGGCCAATAATGCAAGTGGTGGTCCTGTGGAAGGAAGTATACTAGTCGATGGTGCCAAACGAGATAGGTGATCTCTTCACTAGGCACCCAGAATTTGGACTATTTTGATAAATGTGCAGGAACGTATGGCCTGGCGACATGGGGATATCGACACACACCGAGCTAGTCTCCACTTTCGACCTCGAGTCTTCTGCAAATTCTCTACTAGTCATGTATTCGACTCAAGATCCTACCACAGGCGCTCTGCAATACTCTGGTCCACCTATCAATGCTGTCGGCAGTGATACCTACATCTGTTGGTCGTTAATCGGTACACACAGTGTGTATATGTACACCGGCGACCTGGATTTTGTTGAAAAAATTTGGGCGAATTACACAAATGCGTTGGCTTTTTTGCAGAGCCAGGTTGATGAAACAAGGTTGATGAACGTGCCGAATTCTTTCGCCAACGATTGGGGTAGAGCTGATGGGCAGGGTCATAATGTGGCAGCTAACGCACTTTTATATGAGGTATAATGTCTTTCTTGGAAATGCAGGCTAACCTCCCTGGAACGTTAGGCTCTGGTCACTGCCGCTGAACTAGCGACCGCCATGGGCAATGTCAGTCTTGCTAGTGCTTACGCAGCTAATGCGTCGTCGATCAAAACAGCATTCAACGACCTGCTATGGGACGAAGCAGCGGGCCTGTTCAAGGACAATGATATGTCGACTTTACACCCTCAAGATGGCAATTCCCTCGCAGTGCTGTTCAATCTCACAACCAATACCAGGCAGATTCAAGCGATCAGCGAGGGACTAACGCAATTTTGGACAGACCTTGGGCCGCTTAGTCCTGAGCTCAATGATACGATAATACCATTCGTCAGTGGCTTTGAGGTATCTAAAATCCGTTTCAGTCTCATGGACGCCTTTACTCAAAAATTTTTGCTATTATATATGCTTTAGCTTCAAGCCCACTTCATCGCGGGCCAAGGAGAACGAGCACTTGAGTTGCTTCACCGTGAATGGGGATACATGCTTTATACGAATCTGTCGGTGCAGTCTACGATGCTGGAGGGCTTTACGGCAAACGGCTCTTTGGGGTAAGCGCCAAATTTGACTCACAAATGACATGACCTGATACATGTATAACTTAGTTACCGTGCCGCGGCTGGATACGATTTTGACTACTCGTATACTAGCCACGCACATGGATGGTCTACCGGTCCCACTTTCTCGTTAACTTTCTATCTGCTGGGATTGACGATTACCTCGCCCCAAGGTATCACATGGTCTGTAGCTCCTGTCCTAAGTGGTCTGCATGCCGCCGAAGGCGGCTTTGAGACGGGGCTAGGATGGTTTGGTGCCAACTGGACTCTGACGAGTGATAACGCTACGTTCACTGTGATGATCAATACTCCAAACGGAACTAACGGGACAGTGATTCTTCCTGGTACGGGTAATGTTTCGGTGGATGGAGAGGGCACGAGCGGGAACGTGTCGCAGTTGAGCCTTGACGGAGGTTCACATGTCATTGTTCTGAAGTTGAGATAATTGCACATACTTGTCTGTCAGACGGGCCACATGAAGATTCGTATACATACCCGTTGGTAATAGCTTACTATGTGAAATTTCTCCGTGCTGGCTTTCGGATTTGGACTATGCCATCTCCCAACTCCCGGGGCACCACCGCCTCCCTCACCTTCGTGATCTCAATAGTGACCGAATCGAAAGTCTGATCAAAGCCATTTAGTATTCCACGAAATCCGATCCACAATCCCATATCGACACCTGGTTAAAACTTTCTTTACTGAGACACCGCTTAGAACCGAAGGAAGAAGGTCCGGCGAAACCACAAATCATCGGACTTCGCCATTATCTTAAATCAACAACCACGCTCATCGTCGCACAGTCACCAAGCTCCTCTGTGGTGACTTTACCCCCCTAGTATTCCAAGCCTCCTCCTCACCCCTTCGTCAGCTTACCTCGGCTGAGGTTCTCAATCGCGCCTGTCGTGCATGTAATTTAAAGGGAGAGACTCCACAACGTTTCAATGCCCAACACTTACCACTATCACGTCTCTCCGCTCAGAGTTCTTTTTGTCTATGCGACAGTCTCGACCGCTGCCACGCTACTCCAATCTATCGGACTCCACTGCGTTACACTGTCTTAGGCTATTCGTCTTCGACTGGAACCTAATCGTCCCTTGCTAAGTTCATCAACGAGGTCGTGATTCTCTGGCAACATTATTTAGATACTGGTTTGGATGGTTCCTTGGAAGATCTGGAGAGTGATCATGACCCGGAAGAGGAGTGATTCAATTCTATTCATATATGTATACACACAACAACCCTGTACTATATTCCCTTCATTCTTGCTGCAGTCTACCATCCCAAGTTGGATGAGCATTTGCTGCAGTGAAGATGGTTGGGCCCGGCTGTTCCCTTGTGGGACCCCGTACTCGACGGAGCCGCGTATTTATCTATCTATCTATCTGTAATCAATTTTGAAATCTACTTGCGACGTGTAGCTCTGGCTATTATAACTTCGACCAGAACTCGAACGGAGCAGAAATAATGTTCTATGTAATCCCCTCCCATAAATGTCCCACAGGTTCTTTTTGAGTCTTCCACCATAACAATGCCTGTCGGCTTTTTGATAGTCTATTCTGAACCTGGAGAGCTCGTCACTTTTGAGGAATTTCAAGGTAAGACTTATACTAGACAATTACGAGAAATTCTTTGAAGGCGTTATATTTCTGCTTCTTCCCATAAGACTGGTATAACAATGAACACGTCCCTCTGCGAATGAATCACCTCCAATCTTTCCTCACCGGTGCCCGTTATTCTGCTCTGGACTCTCAAATACCAAGCTGGGCTGCATTGTACGACGTCGATGATACTGCCACATTCTCTCACTATTCGTATACTCGTCTACGCGCAAATCGTAGTCTTCGTGAAGCAGATCTTGTCAAGCGTCTCGGTATTCTTGACCGGCGAACATGCGAGCTCATCGCTGATTCTGGAGAATCGCCACTCACTACCTCATTGGCGTCGAAGAATCCTAGTAAAGGAATAGTCACCCATGGGCTTGGGGACAACGAGCAAGACGCGAAGGAATGGTTTGGAAAGGGCGTCGAAATCTTGAGAAGCAATCAGGGATGGGCCAGGACGAGGATATTTAAATGCATCGATAACCTCAGAACAGGCGTGTCTGTACCTCCTAGCCCTGAAGCGCAGACCGTTCCCAGATTCTTTGCCGTTCATGGTGCGCCCAATTGGGATGCTCTTCGCGTCGCTATTTCATTTATGTCCTTCCTTGCAGAATTTACTACATTCACCACTTCAGATATCGCATCAGAGTCTTTCATTCAAGTTGGTGCAGATAGTTTACTTTCACTGCGATCTAGCGATGTACCACTTTCAGACTTGCGTAAATGGGGGCTGTACAAGGCTTATCCAGGAATCGCCCAGGGAAATATCAAGGGCTTGACCGATCACTCTCACTAGCACCAATAATGTTTTTTTCCGTGTATAAACGGATTGGAGATCGTTGATATGTAACGTCCTTGTGAAAGTTTTGTCGTGTGAACGCTTGGGAACCTTATCCTTCTTTCTTGCATCCTCTGTAGCCATTGACCTCGGACCAATCCCTTCTTCATAACTTGTCGACGCAACAGCGATCACTGAGCAACTTGAACCACACCCCACAACAACTTCTACTAAACGTCAACTTAATATCCATGCTCACTGAACCTACGGCAGTATTACTCACCGGTGCATCTGGATATCTGTATGTTGGACGTTACTACTCCGTTATATTGAGATTGAAAAGGCATTGAAAGCGGCGGAAGTTTGTTGGTTTACTTGCTCCATAAGTTTGACCTGGAATCCCGGAACGTCAAACTTTTCACCCTCGTACGCAAATCAGAACAAGTGCGCAAGGTACTCGAACAAGGCGGGAAGGTGATTCCTTTGATTGGTGACGTTCAGGACGCAGAAGGAATGAAGAAATTAATCATTGATAATTTGGGTAAAGTTTCGTTTCTACATAAATGATGATGGTGCTCGTACTTATAGTGTCTATTGTGATCGAAACTGTGGACGCTCGACAATTTGCCGTCGCGAAACCTTGCATAGAAGCATTGGCAGTCGTTAAAGAAAGACTTAACGTTCCTGTCCACTTCGTCCATGTGGGTCATGCCTATAATTTCGTCACTCAAAACAATCAATATGTCAATAGACATCGGGGGCCAAAATGTTCTCTAGCCATGTTGGAATCGACCAATCAAACTTCTTGAACGATGATGGAGATGTGTACAACACAATGGCAGAACTCGATACTCGTCATCCGGTTATGAAACAAGTTCGTGTCTGGATTCTGAAATCTATCCGGACTTGGATATCTAACCTCTGTAGTTCGTATCACTCAATAATCAAATCATCGATTTCGCCGAAAGTAAAGGGATCCGGTCATATATCGTTGCCCCTCCAATGGTCTGTGAGTATGCTGGGCCGTCTACTTATACCTTATATGTGTTGCGCTCAAACCCTCTGAATTGGCAGATGGTCCCGGTACCGGTTTCGGGAATAAGATATCTATCCAAATTGTGGCTCTCGTCCGTGTAGCAAGGACGCTAGGTATGCTATTTGAAGTGGATCAAACAGACACGGTGCGCCATATCGCTGATATTCTCCTACCTAACTTACCTCCGTTTTTGACATAGACATGGGCGCTCATGCATATTGATGATCAAGTTGCACTGTATGCTACTGTCCTTGATAATATCCTCCTCCTCAAGGCCCCTTACGGCAAGAATGGATTTTATTTCTCCGAAAATGGAAATTTCAGATGGAGAAGTCTTTCTCTTGCGATAGTCAACGCCCTACGGAAACGGAACGGACTTGAGAACATTCATGAACTCCCAGTCGCCACTGATGAAGATTTGGTCGCGATGGCTAATGTTCTAGACTGTAACGTCGGAATGGTTCCTGTTTCTATCGCGGGAAAGTGAGCTGGGTTCAGTTTTTTTCTCATTTCCTGGTGCTGACTTCTATTTACTCTAGCTGTCTCATTCGGGGCAATAACGCCCGAAAACTTGGATGGGTTCCTCAGCACGGGGTTGAGCATTTGATGAGTGACGTCGATAAAGAGGTTGCGTTTATCGTGGAAGAGGATTCTGTCTTTTCAGCTAACTTGAAGACCGAATTACTATTATCCTGATTGTTCAAAACATGTCCCCTTCCGGATTTCTATGTAATCAGGGTTATGTGAAGCTTCCGAAGAGTGACTTGCCAATAGATCATTGAAGAAGTTGCTGCGAATGAATCGTTCAGAAGAGTATACTGGGCAAGCTTTCTCTATGTAATTGCAGTGTCGGTCCGATATTCTGAATTACCACCCTTGAATGTAATACCCTAGAGAGTAATTATATATTATATATCATTGAATACGCTGTAAGACACAGTCGGGAGTTGAGATATATATATCTACAGTCATATATATTTTCAACAACTTTCAACAACTTGTATATTGAGGACATGGAGTCAAAGCATATCAACTTGAATCCAATATTAATCCACTTATTTGAGTCAGCATACCTTGGCCTTCCTATCTGTTTGCGCATTTGTACCCGGGAGAGCAATCTAGCGCAAAGGAGTCCCGTTTTCTCCATCGTGGCTCAAACATGATTATCCATATATTAGTCGACATGTACGGCTTACGCGTCTCGCAATGCTTAAGAATGTGGTGCTACGTGATAGTATGAAACGGTGAATTTTAAAAGCGGAACCCATGCATTGTACAGTACAAAAGCGTACGAATGGAATGGTCACTCCGAATCACTCGTATCATGATATTAATGATCAATGGAACTGCCCATGAAGCAACAGATACACGATGGTAGACTCTATAATATCTTGACACTTCGAGTTAGTGGCAAATGCAATCCATGTTATACCTTACAAGGAATTGAAGGAGATGTCAGTGGCCACTGCCACCATGAGTACTACGGGTGCCGATGATTACGTTAAGTACAAGCAAATGACATTGGCGACTGGCTGCCACGCTACAAAACAAACATAACTTCAAGGAACTTGAAAAGAAGCCCTAGATGCAGCAGTCAGAGCATAGAGTATTTCCAGCAGCGTACACCACTGCCCGTGTAGGCTTTTGATGTGCTTATTATGCACCAGCACCATGATATTTCGCTATATTTCGGCTTCGGCTTCAGAAGGTCGCCAGATTGAACCACCGACCACGGAAGGAAACTATGCCCGACTTCAAGTTCGTCTGTGAGAACCTCTCAAAGAAGCTCCTCGATTGAGGAAGTAAAGTAAGAAATTCATCAAGGAGTGAAAATTTGTAGTTGCCGCCGTTATGGTCGATGTGTGCATTGAGGTGCATTGGAAAGATTATTTCAATTTGATGGATGGAGAGGGATGGAGTGGGGAGTCCGACAATTATAGTCGATGTCATTTCTTGTGGTTGTTCTGTGTTAAATCACTTGTAGCATGTTGGGAAACATATGAGGAACTGCGAGGGAGGGGTACGTATATACTCCCTCACTATGTCCAGACTCCAGGGAGCTCCAGGGGGAAGTTGTGCCCTTTGTGACGCGTGCACGCGCGAGATACATTACATAATGCCATCATACAGGTAAAAAGGGCATTTACAAGGCCGCGGTCGGCGACTGGCCAGCGATATGCGTTAAGAGAAGAGGAAGTAGGTACATGTCGTATGTCCCAGGAAGTGAATGTGGTTTATCAGAAGGTTGTATGAGCGCACATGAATGGAATGAGCGGGGATAGGTCAGAGGAAGGTTTCAGGTTCGAGGGTGGGGAAATGCGATAATATGTGTGTCTTCAAAATGGTAATACAATCTGAGGAGTGAAGAATATCGGAACTCGATGGAAGGGAAACCAGATTCCTGTTGCCTCCAGTAGCAGCTACATAAGTGGGAGGGAAAAACGGTCAAGGTGACCGAGGCTGACCGAGTGGGGCTTTCTAGGTACCATCTCACCTCACTGGAGAATAATCTGTAATTCTCAATCAAGCAGGTTCTGTATATGCCCTCAGTTCCAGCTCTCATCTATGGACTGGCTTTGATTGAGGGTGGTATACAAATACCGGGAGTAATTTGGCGCTGTGGAAATATAATTTCAACAAAGAATGTCCGATTTGTCAAGTACCTCGTACCTGGCTCAGAATATGGAAGACCACTGAGTGAGACTTGCAGGGGATTTGAAGTTCAAGGTGAGTCGATTGACCCATCATTCGAAAGGAGTGGCAGCTGCAGTTTTATGATACACTGATACACTGCCAGCTAACACTAAGTACAGTATATATATCATTAATAATAAATCGAAAATACTCCTCAGCCGCAGCGAGAGGCAGCTGGAATCTAAAGGCGATCGAATCACCGTCATCTTGTTTGATCTAACGGATGATCAGTATCATGTTGTCGTACAATCTTGATGTAGAGATCCGTATAACTACCTACATAGTACACTTGAATGGAGAGCTTTCCGGTCGGTCGTTTCATGTGCATTGTTGATTGTTTCCACAGCGGGAGAAAGGCCAGCTCGAGAAAATCCATCTCAGAATAATGCGGGCTACTAAAATGATGTAGAGAGGCGACCTCGATCCCGGTAAGATCCCCGCGGTTTCCAACCTTGTATTATCAAAGCCAGCCAGACGTGTGAAGGGCAAAAATGGACTAAAATAACGAAAACGGAAACGGAGCGAACAGAGAACATCCCGAAAAAAGTTTAGAGTTGGGTATCGGAGTCCGTTTCACGGATAGTGCCGAAGGTTGTTTGTGACTTGTTTGTACGCAGAATTTTACTTAATATATCACAGCCTTGTACAGCCCTTCAATACGCAGCCCTCGAAGAAATACCTCTATAATGGACGTTCGCTCTGGCGGCTCTCCTTTCATAAACGATCTTGTCGATTTCAACAACCCTCCCGCCTCCCCGCCGGTTACCTTTGAAGTGATACCCGACAACAACGAACCTTTCATCCATAACAACGGCGGCTCACAAAGCCCGTCCTTCACCGGTGCAGAGCTTGACATTTCTTCCTATAACAACTCTCCGTTCAGCGGCCACAGCGAGCTTAGCTTCGACGACGATCTTGATTATCCTCCCTCAGCTGGTTTTGGTCTTTTTAGCGCAGAAAATCACCACAGTGCTGCCAGATACGATCCTTCAGAATACGACAATCCTACAGGCAATTCTCTATTGATGTTCAACGACAACGATTATCTGTCTTCTTATCAAGGAAGTTATGGTGATTACTCATCACCAGGCTCATCGAACGGCAGCGGAAACGAAGGCATTCGGTCCAGAGCCTCTTCTGTTTCGTCCAATCACCAGCAGCCACTATCACATCTATCACCTAATCTGCAGGCTCAGCACCTTCCACGTTCGCCGCACATGGCTGTCGCCCAGTCGTTTGAGGGAATGTCTTTCCATTCACCGGCCTGGGGAAACGAGCCTTTACCCGAACATTCTCCACGACAGGCTCAGTTTCAGTCCGATGTTCACCCACGCTCTCTCTCTCCCCAGAGGGCCGCAGGCAAGCCACAAAGTCCTCCAAGGCTGCTTATGCCTGATGATGAAGTTCCTACCATTAATGCTCCTGATGACGGGGATGGCGCAGCAGGTCCAGCCCTTCGCATTGTCCCTGCCACGCCCGTTAGTGGAGGTGGAGCAGTAACCAACCAAGTTGGGGAGCCAGGAAACATGCCATTTCGACGCGGTCAGTTTTCTTATTTCAGATCCGCACATATTGCTCATGTATATTTTTGCAGACAATAATTTAGCGCCCTTCTCAGGTAATCAATCCCAATCTTGGAATTCACGGCATACTCCTTCTCCTCATCCACCTGATCCTGACACTCGGATGGATACCTCAGGACAGTATCAGAACTTCAATTCTACCTCATCTCAAACTCAGGCAGGATCTTCTCGATTGTCTAATAGCAACACCTTTCTTTTCCCTGGCAATACTCTACCGCGAACTCGATCTAAATCTGACGGGTCTCTCGAACAGCCGGCTTGGGACAGTTCAGGTTTAAATTCTTTTGATGACTCTGCTATTGCAGACGACGGTACCGTCAATATGACAGACGTTTCTCCTCCCAACTCGTCGAATCCTAATTCTGGCCGCCTGAATTCGACCTTTTCGTTTGGCGGTTCCCCTACCTCACCTCAAAATAATACTGGAAATGCCTTCCTTGCTGTCGAAGCGAGCTCACTTCGGCGCTCAAAATCCGACTCTTACGGTCGTGGAGGTGGACATGTCCGTGGGTCTAGATCCGAAGATTTGAGGTTCGGCAACGTTCCTGGCATCAATATTGCCGATTCTGGTACAGGACAACAGTCAAATATCGGTAGCGGACAAGGCAACGGTTTACTCTTCCCACCCAGCGCTCACGGAGACTTCATTCAACACCAACAGGAGCAACAGCGCTCGCATACTCCGCAATATCTGCTTCCGCGAGGGCACAGTCATTCTTATTCTTACTCTGGTTCCGGCCTCTCAAATAATTACGAGATTGGATCCCTTGGTTTAGGTTCTGCTCTTCCCAACCTTGGTGCCGGTATGGGTCTTTCATCGCACAACATGGGTCCTAGTCAGAGGCAGGGATCTCCGATGAGCCATATCAGACGTACATCTTCGGGCTCGCGCAGCGAGCGCGGTATCAGTTCATGGGGTCTGTCAAACTCAGGATTTGATACAGGTTTAGGCGTTAATCTTGGACCAGGCTCAACTGGCGGTTCCAATGCAGGCAGCATATCAGGCTCACTCCGCGCTTCCCCCTACCCCTCTCCAAACGTATCTCCAAGAGGCAGGTACACTGAGCTTCCTCCTCATGATACTCTCGACTTTGGGCTGTTGAACGGAGGGAACCCGGTAGCAGGATTTAGTTCATCTTCGCGAGGCGGTACACCCAACATGCCCACCATGGGTCTACCTTCTTTACCTCCACTGCCTTCTCCGGGAAATTCTGGGAAATCTATGCCGTCCGTTGTCACCGTTGGTGGTGCTAATGTTCCTCTAGTCGTTTCCAAACCCACTGTGACTACAGGCCGAACGAAGGCGGCTAGTCATAATAGACGGAAACAGGAAGCTACTTTCGTCTGTCCTGTTCCAGGATGCGGCAGTACATTCACTAGAAGTTTCAATCTAAAAGGTGAGCAATTATTACTCATCCAAAGTTATCAGTCTGTCAACTCCGTGGTCGGTAGGTCACATTCGATCTCATAACGAGGAAAAGCCATTCCTTTGCCACTGGCCAGGATGCAACAAAGGTTTCGCACGTCAACACGACTGCAAGCGTCATGAACAGCTTCATACAAATTACCGTCCCTTTACTTGTGAAGGCTGCCAGAAACCTTTTGCTCGAATGGATGCGCTCAACAGACATCGTGAGTTATTTCCGAGGTTATACATAGTCACATCATGATATCTCGTTCATAGTGCGTTCAGAGGGAGGCGCTGAATGTCAGCGCATCCTAGAACAAAACGGAACTCTTCCTACTGGCGTGACGTCTCCCAAGGCCAACACGAAACAAATTGAATCCAGTCGTACGCGTGCGAGATCCAGTTCACGGACGAACAACGGTAGTAACAGTGCCAATGATCTACAAGACAGCGAGCCTGCCAAGTCGCTACCAATCCCCATCACTTCAATGAGAGATGAAGGGATGAAGATGGAAACCGGCGGCTGGGCCTCTAATCAGAGTATGAAGACGGAGGATTCAAGTTGGTCGTCAATGGGAGTGGCACTTTAGACATGGTCCTTCATTGCATTGCTAGATGAGTCTTTCGGTTTTGCTCTCATGTCGTGCAATGTTGTGTATATTCGGCTCTGTCTTCTCCGTGATTGTCTGTTCCGTATCCCTGCTCGGACATCTGCTTTTGTGTATGTATGCTCAGTGCTGTCGTGTGTTTGTTCCCAACTTGATTACGTCTTTAAGGTAGACTTCTTGCTTACTTCTCCTGATCTGTCCAATCTTATTCTATTTATTCTATTTCTTCTTTCCCGTTGCCCTTTTGCTTTCGCTTTTCAAGGGTGATTTTGTTATTTTTCTTTATTCGTGACTTGTCGTTGTGCGACGACGACGCGAACGTTCTCTTACGAACCAGATGAACAACCTGACCGAATCGAAACGTAACTCATCTGTAATCTCTAGCTATCTGATATGCACAATCCCAATGTAGCCTATACATAAATACATACGTACTATTATCTCGAGAGAATACTTTTCTTAATTTATTAGTTTTCGGACTCCTGTCGTAACATATTTAACTAAATTCATGTACGTAACGGTCGAAGCACTGGTTGGGTTGAGCGCACTGGCTTGTTGAGCACTGCCCGTGCTATCAATGCTCCGAGGAAAACTGAGTCAAACTCCTTCAAATGCTCATCGATATCATTACCCAAGCCTCGGAGATTTCTTCCCGCACTGGACGCATCAAGCTCATACAACCAGTGGAAGACCACGATTCAGCTTTCTTTAGCCTCCATTCTCACTTCCAAGAGCACAGGTATACCGAATTCCATCCTGTGAGCGGTACCTCGGCAGCTAGCAATGTGGCCAAATTTCGTCGAGAGCTTCATCGAGGTTCAGCCTCAGCTGTTCACGAATTCCACGTCCTTCAATGTCAACCGAATGGATCATCACTGAGCTCTATCGGGTGGACGTGGGTACACCGCATTGATACGATAGAAAAATCTTGCGAGGCGGGAATCGTGGTGAAGCGAAGTGGTTACACCTCCGACATATTGTACACACTATTCTCGTATGTTTTCGAAAAGCTCCAGCTGCATCGGGTGTGTATAAAAACGGAGAATGACAACTTGGAAATGAGGGGGTGGCTAGAGATTCGTGCGGGGGCCAAAATAGAGATAAAGGAGCGAGAGGCATGGACTGATCTGATCAATGGAGGTTATTGTAATGTTGTTGGCTATGGGATATTAGATTGGGAGTGGCAGAACCGTATCAAGGCCATTTTGGAAAGTCGTTTGGGTTTATAAAATATGAGGCCTTTGAAAGGCCTTGAAGGGCACACACGATAAGACGATGAAGATTCAAGAAACGATATCTGTCTAAGAAAATGCGAGCTCTGCGGCAGTGTACAATTCGCGATTCAGTCGCGATCTAATCTGCTAGCTAAACCTATCTGATATGACCTGGATGTGACAATGGTAGACCAAGAAGAAAGAACTGCAGAAGAAAATATGCTTCTCCTATGTTCCTCTAACTGGCATAACTACTTTCCAAAAGGAGTTGTTAGCCTAAGCCTCGAGTACAGAGTCGGTGTGAGCGTCGCTATTGCTCGATACAGTGGTAGCCATATTTCCAGCTTTGAGATGTGCGCATTAAATTCGATAAATGTACCCCACAGGAAGAGAATAATTAGAAGCAGATTATTACAAAGAAGAGCTACTTATAATAGAAGTAATAATGAAAATTGCAACCAGCTGAAGTAGGTCGGAACCTAATGTTCTTCCAATTATGTAGCAAAAAACCAAAAATACAGCGACGCTGAGCCCTCAACAGGACGATTGCAGGTGCAAGCGGTATATTACTGGGTCGAGCTCCCCGCGCTCCTTACGCCGCTTTGCTTCCAGCAGACACTTCTTTGTTCGAGCCTCTAGGTGACGTTTCATTGCGTCAGGGCGGGCCAGCCGTTTCAAACAGAGAACACATGTACATTCTTGTTTCATTTCCTCGCTCATTTCAGAGTGAGCGGATGCGCAATGGCGGCCAATATCTGCCGAACGTGTAAAGACTAGTCCACACTTTTTACATGTCCGCTCCTCTGTTGTTTCATTAGAAGCCGCCTTTCTCTTCTTCCCAGTAGTAAGATTGCCATGGCCAGCAGAACTGGCGGGATCGTAAGTCTCATCATCTCCTGTATCTTCAGGCTCTTCATATTCATCGTCCGAGTCCTCTCGTCGATGACTTCTGACCTTTCTTTTGAGACGACGAAGTGGCGGAGATGGAGGAGGTGCGAGAGTTTCCTTGTTGTTGAGATGACCGTCGTCGAAACATTCGTTTGACTCATGCAACGGAGCTGCTTCGCTAGACTTCGAAGGTGGCGAGGGGTACGACATTCCGAATTCGGGGTATGGTGGCGAATAGTTCGGGTACATGCCAGAAATAGGATGGCCCACGGGGGAATCCCAGGAAGCATTATCATTCCCTACTGTGGTAATAGACCCGGCGTTAGCGAAGGTCGTAGAAGCTTCGGATGGTGTACCATTCAATTCTGCCAGACAATTAAATGATTCGATGCCAGAATCTTCATTGCAGAGACAAGGTCCATGATGAAGTTTGGTAGGAGGGGATCGAGAGGAGGACCGGGAGCTGGCGAAGGACAACGCCGGCGTAGAAGAGCGGCTTACTCCACTGACAGAGGGACCACTACTGGCTTCGGAGAAAAATGGCTCGGTGCTTTGCAAAAGTATGTCTTCGGCACTGTTCTTGAATTTTGAAGGGATATCAAGGTCTGGAGTATGAATAGCTGAGTCTTCGACTGCCAGGAATGTCGGAGGTAAAAACCATCCTAAGGCCGCATTGTTGATGTGGCTATCAGTCTGTTGTTCACAAATATGAGGAATACATTCTTGAGCGTTGATAAGATATGTTCTACTCGCCAAACTCATATGGGGCTTGGTCGTATCCCTGTCCCAGTTGGACTGAGACAATGCTTGGTTGTTAGGTCTAAGTTAGATGCATGGGTCTGAGTGGACTGCGAGCGATACAACTTGAAGGAAATTACCCGATATCCAATGTAGGTGCAAACTTTGTAGGTTGGTTATTGAGGAGCGCCGAAGAGAGGTAGGGCGTCTGACGCGGCGATGAGTTCAATTCCGGGTAAGTGTCAGAAAAGTCCCTGGAAAAAATTTTAGCACTGTGAATGTTGGCTGGCAACATAAAATCGCACCATAAAATAGCTCCGGGTATGCTATAGTCACTTTCGTGGTACTCGAAGGATAAGTCGAAATTGTTCAAACTGCTCATTGGAAGAAAGGGACGAAATACTGGATGGTGCTGATACGACGATCTAAAGAAAAGGCAGGGCTCTTATATTGATCCTTCTTTTTGTATTCTTATATCGAGATGGATCTGTTTATGTATTCGTGTGGGCGTATTTTTGTTCTCTAATCGGTCGATGATCACTTGAATCCATGCGAGTCCTTATCCTCAGAAAATGACAAGGACCAAGACTTGAGCCTTTGCACAAGGAGGAACTAGGCGCGTCTAAATTTCAAACATCGAAAGCTTTCACAGAAGTGGAATTACAACCTCGTGCTGTAGGTACCAGGCCGGGGTGAAAATCAACTCCGCAGAAATAAAGAACGTATTCTCACCTATTTAGCATCAAGCTCCATAGTTCCGGAGCCTTAAGCCGATCTTCAGCAGAGGGCGCGATAAAAGCTACAAGGAAACTTCTTCCCTCTAGTCAGCAATAATACAGTTATTTTGGCAGAGTATTATGCGTACACCCACAACGATGACAGGACTCTAACTAGACCTCGTGTAACGACGAACACTTAACTGTTTTAACGCCACCGAAGAGTGACAGATGCGACTGATATGGAATAAAAGAAAATAGGTCCCAGTCCTTCTTTATTAGGCAGACGCTATAATTTATTATCCTTATGACGCGCAGATATATTATTTTGGCCCTAATGAGCTTTCATTGCGGCGGGCAACGGGAGGCAACGGGTGTTAGATTGCTGCCTCAGGCATCGGTAAACTCCTTCTTGGAAAACATCATGGGTCCACGGATATTCGATTCTGACGCTTTTAGAGATGTGTAGTCACACAGCCTAATCATCTGCCCGTGCCTTGTCCGGATTCTGTCAAGAAAATAGAGCAATTGATTTTTTTTGGGAGAACAATATTTCGGTGAGGCCGGAGCAAAAAGGCGGGGCAGAAGAGTGCGCCTCGGAGCACCTTCTACCGTGACAGAACAAGCTTAGGTGGATTCTGGTTAACTGAGATTATAAACGATTCAGTAACCTACGCTGTAGGAGAGCAGGGGCAATTCAACTTATTTGGGAATAGTGTCATTCGAGAATGTATAGAATGTGCTTACCAGTTATCGCAAAAAGCAGAAGGTAGCGCTTGTGCCATCTTTGATTCCTTTTAGGGTCATTGCGCATGCATATGTGAGTCCAAAAGTTCACCATCTGTGGGACAATCAAGGGCAGTTGAAGGGTCATCTGTGAGTCGGAAGCACCAGACGACTACCAGATGCGCATGAAGATCCGAACACTGACGGGAGTCCAAGAGTTTTATTGGTTAATTCCGAAGTTCATCAACGTTACGAAGCACGGACTATGTACCGGAGTCCATAAGACTGAGTTATAGCCTGCCATTTGTAGTAGCTGCAGATACGTCCCCGTGGTTGGATATCACCCAGTTCTAGATGTTAGTTTTTAGAGACTCAAACAATCATGTCGCGAAGTTCACGTTCGTGGAGAGCTGCAAAAGGAAAACTGAAAGGTAAAAAGGCTGCCGGTACGGATATTAACAAAAGTGCCGATTACAAATATGGCAATAACGTTATTTAAGCGCTGACCGAGTTCTTCCTCAGTGTCCTTTTTAGTTTCAGGCTCTAGGGATGGTCTTATCGAAACTCGACCGATGCTCTCTTGCATCCATTATGGTATCTATCGTACTGCTCGTCCGGACTTACCGATTTCACATTGAATTACGGTTGGTCGATTTGTTGTCAAGCTGATGCCATTGCACTATGATTTTTGCACTGATTTTGCACTCTGCTAGCGGAAGAAGCTTCAGAACGATGCTTTACGTGAGAGAACGTACTCCAAGTTACGCTTGAGCAGGCTTGAGCTCTCTCTAGAACCAAGCACCTTCTTCGAAGCATTAAGCAGCAGCTGTGTACATGAAGAGGTACTTGCGATACTTGCGGAAGTATTACTTAATACTGAGTATCCTTTTTTCGAAGAGGTAGAACCATTAAGCCCTCGTATAGACTACAAAAGGCGTTACCCGCTTTTCCTTTATCTTGACTTTCGCCCTTCTGCAATGCACGGTCTCGAATTTCTTACTGTTGCATTGCTTTCAATAACTGCTCAGGCTCTTAATACCTCGGAACTCTACAACTCTACTCGATTGGAGAAAAGAAATGGGCTTCGCTTCAATCCTAGGGCTGAAGACATACATGTATCACAAAGGGCTGCTTCTATAAGTCGTTCGACCACCTCTACGTGTACGGACAGCAGATCTGCTTTACATTTTTGAAAATATGTCTTTAATTTTCTTTATAGTCACCCCTCGTGTTGGACTTTCCGATGAAGGACCTAGTCAAATGTACGTTTTTCCTCCCGCACAATGGTGTTGCTCTTACTATAAGCTAAATAATACATAGCATGACAGGATTCTTGTACATTCGTGACGCATTGGACGGAACATCTTTGGGTTATGTCTCTAGTGCTTTCAACTCGTTTGGTGAATATGGACCTATGGCGTCTCCTGGGCAACGTCTTGAAGTCAGTATAAACACGGATACGATGGGGCCGATCAGTATTGTCACGACGGTTAATACGCTCTTTCGCATTTTCGTAGAAGCTGGGCTGATTCCACTTGATCAGAACGGTCCAGATCCTGACCTACCGTTCATGGTCGGTATTACTGGGTTTGCAAATGATGCTAGTGGCTTAAGACCAGGAAAATACAAGTGCGCGAGGAAATTGTTTGCTGTTTTTGCTAACCTTGAACGTCGTTCTAGCTATGTCTATTTAGGAGCTGGAAATCGTACCGCCGTGGACGTTTCTCCCAGATCCGGAGACAACTCGTTTAGCAGGGCTACAGGGAACCCGGAAGGGATTGAGAGTACAATTGTACGGTTGTCTTGCGTCAAATGAAGAAGATTGATGCTGATTCTGTTGTCGATCCAGTTTTCTCTTCGACCGACTCTCGATGTCATGCCGTTCTGGATCAATGGTGATGGTTCCAAGCCAAATGTATTCTTGGGTCTCTATGAGAGTGAGTCCTTGATATGGTAAACAGCACTAGCAGAGGACTGATATTTCATGATAGATGTGCTCTTCTTGACTGGCGACAAGACTATGTTTGTGGAAATTTTTGGGCCGGTCACTTGGGTGGTACGATCCGATGTCTCTTCATCCCAATGACAAACTGTTTGATCTTCCTTCATCATTAGATCCTCTCGTTTGAGCCAGAGTCGTAACCTGATCATCCGAAATCTTCTCAAGATCATAGAATAAAATACTTGTTACGGTAATATCTCGTCTTCCAAAACTCCTCGGAGTTCACCACCATCTTCGTTATTCTCTCCTTTCCGAATATGATTTGTTTGTTCAATGTCAAAAATGACTGGTATATGACCCACGTTCGTTCCTCCCGACGTCTCCTTGAAAACCAAAGGTATATTCTATACTTTCAAGTCCGAGGTATATACGTGAGAGTCTGCTATCGCTCGGAGACATTTACTTCTCAACTTTGAGACTCTATTTCCGCTAAATGTATACTAAGATGTATTTGTCTTCAACTCTTGTTCTTCTTCAAAGCGTCATGGTAACATAACTAGTTTAGCAAATGTACGATAGAGTATAGTACGTATCAGTCCACAATGCAATTTCCCGGAAGCGGTTGAAAAAGCTCCAGTTCAGGAATTTAGAAATCAGAAACACCCCACAACCCATTTTAGATTTAGCGTTTGAAGCGATTTTCCCAAAATGGTCTTTTGTACCGCGAGGTTCCTGCCGCCGAGCCGGATTTGCTATGTCAGTATTCTATTTGATCATACTAACGATTTGGCAAGATAGTACATCTCCACTGCTTCCGGAGCTACTGTTTACTTGCTGTCTCTTGCTGCCTACTGCCAAAGGGAACAAGGGACGGTGGGTCAGGCAATAAGGGTTACTGTGGCCTGACTGTGGCAGATTCCGGTCATGGGTCAGTATTATTCACCGGAATCCCAGCCTTTCGAGGGTTATAACCCCCACTAGCATGCAGGGTTATCGCTGAATATCGTGGCGGAGAAACTTGAGAAGTACCCATGAAGAAACACGAGACATTATCTGCATCATCTACAGAGATCTACAGTTGTAGTAAAAAAACAGAGAACTTGGGCGGTGGAGGGCGGTGGTCATCGCGCGGATTCAACTGATGCCTAGAATAGCAGCGGGAATGAGTCTGAAGGTCTTCACTAGCCTGGCTAGCCGTGTTGAATGTAGGATGGAAGAAAACTTCGTTAGACTTCGTTCCTCATGATCATATATTTTTTAAGAGTATCACATGGTGTTCGAGGTCAAAGCTGTGAAAACTGCTCTTGATATGGACCAATTACCTTGGACGCCTCCAAAGTCGTTAACCATCCTCAGCGATAGAGGCTATAGCTATGTCTATGGATCGTCATTGGTCGAGAAGAAACGTCATATCTTCCGGCAAACTCGGTCAAAAACGAAAATCCCCCGCCTCTCATTCGTCCATCCTAGAAAGGCGATTTAGCAAAAGTGCTGAACACCATATATGGACGAGGGGTATAAATAGAGGACCCAGTTTCCTCAGATCCCCCAAGCAGCCTTTCTTCTACTCCTCCATCATCTCTATATATCTCGACTATATTCTAGTCGCTTGTCATTCTTTGAACACAACTTCACGTTCACTATGCCTGCCTTCACCAAATCTATCCCTGTTGCGCTTCTCGTTGGTGCCTCTGCTCTTGCAAGCCCAATCGCTCCCCAGAACATGACCGGCCAAGTAAGTTAATTTGTTCCTCATCGTTATGAGCTTCTCGCCTTTTCTTTCAATGTTTCTACGACACTGATGTCGTCCTCAGGATCTTTGTATCACGCCATGCATACTCAGCACTGGTCATCAAATCTGCGCTCTCCCATACAACGATATCAACACTGACGATCCCGCCACGTTCACGAAATTCTGCCCGTCCAACATTGATATCTCCACTTTTGAGAAATCTGTAAAGGAATGCAAAATTGCATTGGTATGTCGTTTATTGCGTTTATCGATCGTAGAATTCTCAGTTTCTTATGTTTTATCCTTGTTAATCTCTAGAACGGCAACTACGTTAATGGCAACGCCTCTTTGAACTCGTCTTCGACTTCTAATTCGAACTCCACTCTCCAATCCAACGCCGCCCAGTCTACCGTTCTCAATGCGGCGACCCCTCAGAATGGTTCTGCCCCAGGAGTAATGGAAAATGGCAGTGTCGGTCTTCAGACGAATGGTCCTGCTCGTACCTCCGTCTCAGGTCCCGCTGAAAATACTCGCGTCGGTCTCGCTCAGACTAATGGGCCTGCTAGAGTTTCCGAGTCTGCCTCAGAGTCTGGTTCTCCTAGTTCCACTCTCGGTAATAGTCTTGCAGCCGACCTTTCTGCCTCTTCTACGAACTCTGACCTGTCTACCTTTGGCGTTGACACCGGCGCTGGTTCTTCTTCGAGTCCCGGAACAATCACCGGTCTGTCTGCCAGCCCAAGTCTTCCGTCTCACTCCGGAGTGGATCTTTCGACTCTTACTGGTCTTGCCAATGGACTCGGGCTGAGCTACGGTGTTCCATCGGTCAACACCGGGTCTACTACCGCATCTGCATTTCAACATCTCTCTGCTGACGTACAGCCAGATTCCATCAGCAGTCCAGCTCGCAACGGGGTTACTAATACCACCAATGGTCACTCCACTGGCACTGGCACTTCTGTAACCCGACCCAACCAGGTCACCAACTCTGTCAGCCATCAGTCGTCTAGCGTTAGTCCTCCAGACGTTTCCGAGTCTGCTAATGGACAGATAGGTACTAGTCCTTCGAGCCGTGTCGCTGTCGCCGACCCCGTTAACAAAAATACCGCTGGTGGTCCTTCAGGTCGTGTAGGCATTACCAGACCCGCTCAGCCTAGCACACCAAGCATCCCATCCATCTCTGGTCCTCTCGATGTTTCCCAATCTACTGGAAGCCAAACGGGTTCCTCTACCGGTGTTGAGGTTTCCGGTTCCGCTAAACCTGGCAATGCATCTGGTACTTCGGCTCATGTCAACGTCGCCAGCTCTGGCGCTGCTCAATCCAGTCCCTCTTCTTCAGACCGACTTGACATTCCTTCGGCGGACGAACAAGTCGGCTCTAGTGTTTCAAACAACCTCGAAACGTCTGTTTCTAATGGTGCGAACATTGGCCAAACTGCAACGCAAAAAGCCTCGCTCGCTGTGTCGGAGGATTGCTGCACATAGGTACAGTAAGGTGAAAGTATGGCTGCAGGAATATGATTTTTGTGATATATATCACACGATTGTACAGTATTGTACTTTATTTCAACGATCTTCTGAAAGAGCTGTATGCTTGTGAATTTTAATTTGGTAATGGAGTACTTGTCAGAATATTGCTTCGTCTAGAAGGAATGGTTGCCAGTTGAAAGGATTCTACACGTTTCTCGTTGAAGGTAATCATCGCTCGCTAGGTTTTGTGTAGCTCTCAAGCGATTTTCACCGAAATCATGTCTTCATTACTACCCGCGACATAGTGTTGGAAGATTATTACGCCTCTCCCAAACTGTTGACACTGCGTGTCGACGACACCAGCAAACACATCAGGAAAGTCATATGACGGCAAATTTCGTTTGAAAATATTGCATACAGAAAACTGGAACTCGACTGTTGAAAGTGGAAGCTGCGCAGCAGAGCAGTGGTTCGATGAGCTATGTAGATACAAAGAAATGGAAAGCATGTATCGCGGATGGAAGGAATCTTTTGCCAACCCTTCGGCGCGGATGTAATACTTAGGTACTATATTTTGAGTATTCACTCAAACTCTTCCCCACTTATGATTAACGTGTCCCTACGTGTCCCTTGTTGATCAAAGATACTTGTCTAGTTCGCAAAACGGTTTGTAGCCTGAATGCCCCTTGTACTAGTAATATCAGATGAAAGAATATCAACATCTCATCTGGGAATAGCTTGGCTAAATGAACCTACAGGTTGTAGTCAAATGATAGGTTGTTGCACAACCTGAGTAAGTTGCAAATCATCTATGTTCAGGTTGTTCTACAGCATATGTTAGGTTGTCAATGGTCTGATAATCAACCTATCTAGGTCTCTCAGAGTAGTAGCGAGGAACTCGAAGGAAATTTTAATAGATTTTAATTCTGCACGATTACCACGTGACCGTGAATACTTATTACTCATTCAAATTGTAGTACTATGGTTCACAGGGTACTTCCGATTTCTTGAATATTGCGAATAACGTCTTAAATTTTTGAGTAAATAAAAAATCTGAATGGACAGTCTTATTTAGAATCATGTTAAGCTTGTCTTTTGTCTTACATGTTAAAGCAGATAAGGCATAAACAGAGCGTCGGACCATGACCGAGGAAAAACAGGGTACTTCCGCATCTTGGGTCACACTGAGTCACATCAATGCCGCTGCTCGGCACTCTGGCACACTTGGCCATTTGATGCTGAGTTGCAGAACTTGTGTTGATCACGCTTTTGGAGATCAAATATTGTCACGTCGCATACCCTCTTCACTTTATCTGCTTGTCGAATCTCTACAACATATTGGATTGCTTTTAAATTTGCTATGCTAGCTGATGAGAGCCTCTACTTAATGCCCATGTCATTTCTATAGTTATCTACCAGCTCTTCATACGGTTCCTGAGGCTTCAATCTAAAGTCACGCTTGTATATTACAGTATTTTGGTCTTGTACATATGCATCCCCTGAATACAATCTATTTCATATAGTACAGTATGTTTATAGAGAACCTAGAAAGTACTACATAAAAAGTCTGAGAGCATTTATCAACCTAAAACGTTCAAAATATGAGATTTTCGAAAATGCGGAAGTACCCTGTTTACGGAAGTACCCTGTGAACCATAGTACGCTCAACCCACAACCATTGCCAACTTCGTTTGATGTCACGTATACCTCAGACCGCTCGTGCCAAAACCCCGACTCCTACCCCTCTGAAAGCAAGGGCTGCGCCGTCTCCAGTGCCGGCTAGAGCTCGCACAAAGTCTGCTACAGGTCGTTCTACACCTTCCAAATCTGCAGTGAAAGATGATTCACCACCGGCCGTACCGACCTTGAGCGTCAAGGAAGCTATAGCTTTGAAGCGCGCAGAAGCCAAGAAGGCACAAGAAAGAGCTCTAAATGCTTCTTTGAACGATTTGTCTTCCTTGGAAGACGCGATACCTTCCATCTCTGGCGCTGTGGTAGAAGAGGAGGATGCTCTAGGTCGCTGGTCAGTGCGGGAAACAATCGAACGGGGTCGAAGCTCAGGTGATTGAAGCTTCTCTATGTCTTTGTCTTACTGAATGAACTTAGGATATCATATAAAGGTGTTGTGAATTTAACAGCGCGGTCTTTACCCTGCATTCCATCTGCCCTGTTCGAAATACATTTAGGCATAACCCCAGATCCTTTAAAATCTGTTCCAAACGAGCCAAATTTACCGCCTTCAGATACAGTTCCTGCGCGACGCGGTGGAAAACGCGACAATCCGGCCTGGTTTGAGGCGCAGGACCTCACGACTTTGAAAGTGTGGAGTAATGATATCGCGGAAATCCAGCACGAAATATCCATGTTTGGATCGCTCAAGGTTCTTGATGTACGTCCTGAGGTTCATTCTTGCAACGAAATGCTAATTTCTTTTGCCAGTTACACAAAAATCAGATAACATCCCTCCCGAAAACATTCGGAGACTTGACCAGACTAACGACATTGGATTTGTCGCACAATTCCCTTACTTCTCTCCCTTCCAACATTTTCACCTTCCCTGAGCTTTCGGTCCTCAACATCTCGCACAACCATTTCACTTCGTTACCTTGCAATGCTCCGTTTGTATCTTCATCGGCCAAAAAGCAGAACAATTCGAGCGGTGGCTTCTTCGGTCCTGTAATCGCTCGCTCGTCCGTCCCACTACCCAAGCTAGTCAGCCTTGATGCATCTCATAACAAGATTACTGCAGAAGCCATCGACCCGGAGATACCAACAGCTCTTGTCAAAATAAATCTCTCGTTCAACCCTCTCGGCAATTCCGCCGCCTTTATGAACAATATATCCAGGCTCTCAAATCTTCAAGAACTCCGAATGGAACAGGCTGATATCGGAGACGAGTCTTTCCCCGAAGATATCAACTCCTCATCAAAACCCTCTTTCCCTCGACTTCGTATCCTTGATCTGGGCGAAACTCGGGTCACCACAGATACCATTAAAGCCGCTGTACAAAAATTCCGACCACAACGTGAGATCAGCCTTGATCTGACTACAGAGAATCCACCTGAAGGAGTTATACTCGTGCTCGTTGGCAAAAAAGTTGTTCGTGAGGCGTGGGAGATCGAAGCTGAGCGTAAAGCGAAAGTTCGTGCTGCCAAATTTGCTCAAGAGGAGGGAATCGAATGGGGTGATAGCCCACGCAGGTCAGTTAACAAGTCGTCTGGCTCAAGCTCAGGCGTGGTAGAGAAGGAAGCTTGGGAGATAGAAGCTGAGCAGGGTTTACTAACGGAAGGCGGGAAACGAAGAGCTAAAGCGCAGGCAGCAGCAGCAGGCACTTCTGGATCTACCTCGGCTTCTACGGCCAAGAGGCCAATATCAAAAGCAGAGATTGTGAAAGAAGCTTGGGAAATTGAAGCGGAACAGGGTTTGCTTACAGAAGGTGGCAGACGACGAGCTCGAGCTGCGGCCCTGGCTGCCGAGGCGAAAGAGAAGGAAAAGGCAGCATTATCCACTTCATCACCTGCTCCTTCTCTAGCAAACTCCCAGTATTACACTCGTGCAACTAATGCGCTTGCTCTACCCGCATCAACTCCTCCTTCGAAAGCAATCAGCCACGGTAGAGCTTTTTCATTCAATCCTTCTTCCTCCGCATTCACTGGATCACCCTCTCCGAATGATTTTGCTGTGCCACTACCCTCTGCACCTTTAGCCGAGATCGCTGCTCAACCTTTCGCTCTTACTCTGAGAGTTCTCACGCTTAACAACCGTCGCGCAGACCGGTCATTCACTCTTCCAGCCTCATACGGATCAGCTCTACTCCCTAATCTCGAAGAACTCGACTTAGAGGGATGTAATTTCGCTGACAACGTCTCCGTCGCACGCATTCACTCATCTCCTGAAGGAAGCAGTCCCAATCGATCCAGTGAACCTCTCGTGCCTCTTCTCGCATCCCTCTTTCCAAGCTTACGTGTACTAAACCTCTCCTACAATACCCTCACCAGCGCTTGTCTCACAACCGATACACTTTCCGCCCTTATACTCGAAGCCCCTCATCGCAAGGGTCTCAAACAGCTCATTTTACGCGGGAACAAGCTGACGGAGCTTGATGGCTTTCAGGGCTTGGCGGAGATGTTCAAAGGAAATCGGGACGTCCCTGGGTGGAAATTAGACGAGCTAGATTTGAGGGATAATGATATCGGAAGGTTACCGGCAGAATTGGGTATGTTACCATTGGATGTATTTTTGGTTGACGGTAATGCGTGAGTGCCGCTCTTGCCATTTCAGTTTCTTTTCTGACTTACTTATTCCGGTTGAAGATTCCGCGTTCCTCCTCGAAGAATTTGGGAGCGGGAGGGTACGAAAGGTTTGTTGAGCTGGTTAAGAGGCAGGATGGAATGAGCGCTCGGTGGTTGGTCTTTTTGCTTGTTCTGGACGGATATCACTGATGCCAATGGACCTAGTCAAGTAAGCTTACAAAACCTAACTACGATAATGATTATGCCTCACCAACGTTTGGGAGCGCCCTACAAAGAATATGAAAAGTTTCGCTTTTTTCATTATCTACGTAGTGAAGTGATCTGCCCAATGCCTAAGTACTCCTTCACCCAACGCATGCCCCGGAAACTGGTCCTTTTCTCGACAGATGATAATCGCATGACTATTCCGTGTTGGATGGATCCACGTCAAATGCTTTCGCACAGGAAGCTGATTGAGATCCACGACCATCCGTTGCTGCGCCGCAGAAAGATTTGAGGTTATCGTCGTCGGAGGCTGTTTTCTTGATATCGGTGTCGTCTTCACTTCTGCGACTGTACTAATTGTATCTGGGGTTGTGGAAGTAGACGTGTTATTTGGCGTAGGTTGCTCAAGCATATCCTTGTATGGTCTAGGGTAGCAAAGATCTGTGCTAATTTCTCTTGCGCGGACATCGACGCTCTCTCGAGACTTTTTACGCGAAACCCAGAAGAACGAGTATTGAGTGCGAATGTGATGGGTAGCAGTACGATCACCACTGGAATTATGATAGGGAACAAGGTCATGAGGATCTGAACTGGGAGTTGAAAACGACGACAAAGAGACAGCAAATGAAATCTACCAGATTGAACGGAAAATTCCACTGAATGAATGGACCCATGAAAGGAAGAGGTTTCCAAACTTCAAGATGCTCTAAACAGGAGGAAGATATCTTGTGCTCTCTATCGTCCCTAAGTGTCCAGCTCTTGAGCATCGGAAAGTAATGAGAGTGAAATTCGCTGCCAGGTGATTGGAACCATAAAATCATTGAGGAGGAAAAGCCATGCATTGAGGGTACGTACACTTGAATGTCATCTATGTGGGCCTCAAATGGATCTAGAAGTTCAAAAGCACCTGATACGTATGGTACCATTATATCATGCACACTGAAGATTTCATAAATATTCTGCATAATGACACGCAGCTCCTACGTACGCGTTTACATATACTATGTCGATATTCTGGAATGAGTTCAATGCCTTCCAAAAGACGAGGTCTAACAAAAAGGCGTCAGTTACAGACTATGCTAGGATTGAAGCAGGACCTTTATCCGCCATTACTCAAGCAATGGACGTCCAGTTTCCCCCCAGCGATCAAGACAATACAGCTGCTTCCCTGTGTTTCCCAGCATTCGAGAACCAACACATCGAGAAAGGTAGGAAAACAAGGAGTGCTTGACGTCTGGAATCCCTATATGTGGCGTCGCAAACGTGGTAAAATTCATAGGCTGAACAGTATCGAAGAAGTGTTTGGCATAGATGATACTTCAGGTGAAAAGGAATAGTTGACTCCAACTTCGTCAATTTTGAAGAGCTCACTTACGCCAGAACATAGCGGGCATAAAGACCACCAAGACTATATCCCGTAATGGAAAATTTGGTTACACGATCACCTTCAGAAGATATCTTGCGGATAGCTTCTTGTATCTACCACAGTTGTCCGTTCATAACGTTTCCCGTTAAACATGTGGCCCACATGAATAAATTTATGGATCGAAAGTTGACATTCACCTCTTCTGCCGCTCGTTCAGCCCCCCAGTCGATTCCATCATAGGTTCTACTGCCTTGATTCGTCTCGATCAGAAGAACCTGAACTTGGTTTTGAGATTCAATAGCAAGCTCAGAGTCTGAATTTGGTTGGCAGTGTCGAGCAGAGAAGACACGAATGGCGGGTTCTAGATGTTTCGTTGATCCCCAAAGTCCGTGAAGGAGAACGTGGAGATGGATGTCCATAAGGCCGACAGTGCATGTATTACTTCACGAGTGCATCACCTTGCTTGCTAGGTCCTTTGCCACCCCGTCTTTACCAAGCGCCCGTGCATTTTTTTTCACACACTATATAGGCGCTTTAATCTCACTCTAGCTCGCTCCGATGTATTTCTTCTAATCCTTGTTCATGCACTCATACACTACTTTACCTTTTGTTACCATACAACCTTGGGTTCAACTGTGAGTGTGGGTTGGAATTTATGAGAATGCAAGCAAGGTTTATCGTGCCCCGCAGGGGTTCGCTAGTGTTATAAAGGCCCTTTATAACACGCACGATCTTACGGGAGAAGAGCTGACGTTTTCCTTCGGCTTCGGCATTGTACCGAGTGTAGATAGGTACTCAAATAACATCATGATGAGTTCCCGGCTGATCCCAGTACTTGGTATTCAAGTTGTGAACCTATCGCTCCTAAAAACCATTCTTAGTCAACGTCGAAACGATGGAGGGAGTCCCATAGCTCGCCCTGTAAACTAATTTGAAGACACCAGCATTCTTCATCTTCAAGCTTCAAGGCAGGAAGAGCCTTCGCCATTTAAAAAGCGTAATTACCAGGATCTGAAAAAAGTCCTTACCGAGAACTTCGTGAGGCTGGAATCTCTGCGGAGAATAGAATTTTTAAACTCAGCACCGCTCTTCTAAAAATGTTGTTCCGAAGAAGTTATCGTTTCGATGGATATTAATATCAATCCTTGCGACCAGTTGTCGTGTCGCCAGCTCCCAGGAAGGTGGGTCATCTTCCGCGGCTTATCCTCAAAAACTTGCGAAGATCTTCCTCAGAAATTGGACAGGTTCTCCGCTGCGCAAACATCGTTCGATTCATCGGAATAGACGACAGTTAGCTTCTGACTGTCGTCAAGTTGTTTGGGGAGTATGTGATACCTCGTGCAATATCCAGCAAAAAAGTGATACCTCGTGTAACATCCAGCAAATTGACCTTGGCGTTGGACTATCCATGATCTTCGAAGCACAGAAGAAGTGTGATTTCGAGATCCTCGCAATTTCTACGTCGGTTCCGAAATGTGAAATATCATGTATTGTTCAAGGTGAGTGTACTCATACTCATCCGTTAGAAATGATTCTCATTCCTACTTAAACATGCAGCGACCTTGTTTTTCTAGCCAGACATAAAAGCGTATGAACAGCGGCTATGAGTTCGCTTTGTCTGTGTGCGCATCCTCCGGTCCTTAAGGGCTTCTAGACTAAATTGACATTTACCTGGCAGGACTACCTGACATCGATGATGCAAGAAGTGTGATCTGGTCGGAAGCCGCCCAGTCCCCGAATCTTTCGCTCTTTATTGCCGCTTTTTCGGCGCGCCATTGGACGCTTCCTGATGCGCCTTACAGCGTTTAGGCTTTGTCGGACTTGGAGTGCAAGGAACCCGAGCCATAGATACCCACGTTTTTTGCGACCTTCAAAGATTTTAGTGACGCCTGATGGACGGCTGACGGTGAACATTTGAGAAAAGCTCTAAAGCTGGCACTGGATCCTTTATGAGGCCTGATCCTTCACTGTCCGGACTTTGTGATATCATTTTTTGGAGCAATGAAGAAAGAAGGGCAGGGGAAGGTATGTCAAGTACCAATTCACATCATATAGAGCCGCTTTGAGCTTTGGACTTGTAGTATGCTGAACGTGCGGTATTGCCGACCGTTCCAGTGAATGGGCTCAGGTATTCGGGAGCGTCGATGTTGCTCATTATGTACTATCTATATTGGCGGCGCCGGTATCTAAAGCAAGATTTTCCATCTTGTGGCGTTTAACTTTTGGTGTGGGCCATGACTTTGTTTCTCGATGACCAGTTGCAAAGAATAATGCGCATACATCCGTCAAATTACTTGCGACAAAATTTTTTGGGAGCTTGTACCATATAAGGACACTGAGTTGCTTGAACTGGGTCAGACAATCAAAGGTAAACTTCCGAAAAAGGGAAAGAAGCTTGTCACTTTCTCTGTCAGTATAAATTACGCTTGTCCCCCGTATCGCAACTCATTCTCCAACCACTTCAATCTCCATCTATCCTTCCCACCAAAACTCGAGCTCATCGTCGACACCATCTTCGACGATGTCCACTGACACTGCTCCCTCCACCGTATTCGATGAGGCTCTGTCTCGTTCTCGACAGTCTGGAGCAGGTTCATTAGCTTCCATCTGGGCTCCTCAGCCACAGCCCTTGGATACAACCTGGCCAAAGGCATTGGACTCGTTTTCTCGAGCTGCTGAATCCGAGACGCAATTAGCTACTCGTCCTGAGCTTCAAAATCACTCAGGCCCGATGATCACTCGTGAGGACGTATTTGGTCCTTCACCACCTAAGGATATGCCTTCCGTCGGCGCAATCGGGGATGGCAGGAAGAAGGTAACTCCCGATTTCGAACCCCATACGGTATGCATTTTTCTGTTTGTTTTCACAACTCTTTTTTTCAATACGACTCTTAGCACGTTGAACAACTTCTACGGACTTTGGATCTCAATTCTCCAGACCCTTATCATCTCAATCAAAAGCCTCCGCTCAATCTCAGCTTCGAAACATCTCCTGGCACTCCCGATTTCTCTCCAGTGTCCATCTCTTCTGCTCTCCTTACTCCAACCGACCTTTCTCCAACCAGGCCATGCAGCGACATCAACTTGAAGCAGCAGCTTCAGATGCCGTATGAGATGATGGCTGCCGGGACACGAGGACCTGCGTTTTTTACGCATCCAGCCCTGCTTTTCGAGCCTGGATCACCTACGCGTCTGAGCAACTCTCCGCCTTATTTGTCTTCACAGGCCTCGATCTCTACTGCAAATTCCGGTGGCAATAATTATTCTATCATCTCCAATGCTTCGTCTTCTCCCATCTTTAGAACTTACAATCACGAGCAATCTTCTCCCACTTCTCCCAGCCTTGGCTCGTATCCTTCCTATCCCACTGCTCCACAAGGCAATTTTACCTCGAACCATCAGCTATATGCTGCTCTCTCTGCACAGAATCTTTCACAGACTAATGTTGCTCATCGCGCGGACGTTCATGCTGCGACTGGAGCTCTCCGTAGCTCGATCCATGGCACCATCGGATCTAGTCTTTCGTCAGGAGACTGGCACATTCCGCAACAAGTTCTTCCAGCTCATCAACTTCTTTCGCAGTCTACTTGTAACCAGCCCCAACAATTTCAGCAATTGCCATTGAACGGAGAATGGCTTCGCACGGAGGATGCTTCGTTGCTTGCTCATAACAGTCTAGTTCCTTCTGCGCCTTCGAGCTGCCTAGGTTCTACTACTCCGAACGTATTCGGCTTGGGTCTGACTTTAGACGCTACTCCGAACTACGTTAGCGGTGTTTCGAACGGTGGAAGTGGACTCGAAGATTCTATCCATGCTCCTCCTTCCTTAAGGTCAAGCACCTCCTCAAGTGGCATTTCTAGTCAGCTTCACCAGCAGTCCCATGCACACGTCGACGAACGTCACCATCGACACCAGTCTTCGACCGGAAACGCAGGCCACGTACGCGAGCCTTCTTCCCCCACCCATGGCGCTCATGAGGTAAGCCGGATTTAAGCATCTGTCACAGTTCGAAACTCAACCTTTCATGCCCTCTTTTTTCCCGATCATTTATCGTATTCAAACATCGCTGGGTCATTAGCCTATCAATTTCCTTTCGCTGCTCCATCCTTCTTCTTCTCCTCCGTATCATTCTTTTGTGTCTAGGATCATCAAGTCCTCTGACCAACAGGCGAGTATCTTTCTACAACAAAAACTCAAGGTTGCAGATATTGCCGAACGTTCTAAGATAGTAGATGCGATATGCGCGCGAGGATTCGAAATGATGGCTCATAGGTTCGTTATATGTACCCCAAGCTTCAAAATTTTTTCTTACCAATACGAACTTGGCAGATTCGGCAACTGGGCAGTTCAACGCTGCTTGGAGGCTGCTTTTACACCCGAGGAGAGGAAAAAGATCGCTTCATGCATGAGGTACTTAGGAATAAACGTCATCAAGTTTCATTTGGGCTGACTTGACTCCCATAGAGGTCGCATCGTTGAACTCGCCACTAACTGCTACGGTTGCCATGTTCTTCAGAAAGCACTTGATTGCGAAGAAGACATCAGGCTTCTCATCGTGTCCGAGTTGCTTCTGGGTGACCCGGCACAGACTCTAGTGAACAAGCATGCTAGTCATGTATGGAGCAAGGTTTGGACAGTTTTTTAATCACGATTTCCACTTTGCCGACCTTGATTTCCCAGATCATGGAATTGACTTGGACTCCTCCGGCTCCTCCCATCTTCACGTAGTAAGTCTGCTGAATGCCTATCTTTCACCTGTCGCTTAAGTGAACAATGCTCTTAGTGTCAATAAGTCGCTGAAGGGTAAATGGGCTGCTCTTGCCTGCCATGAGACTGGATCGTTGGTTGTTCAAGTAGGGAATAACTCCAAGATTCAATTTGAAAATTTAGCTGACTTCTCGTCACACAGCATGCTTTTGAAAATCTCGAAGACAGTGCGAAGGATGGCATCATTGATGAATTGCTCAATCAAGGTCTCTCAGTTTTCAGTGAGGTTGCTAAGAATCAATGGGGTAGCTACTGTGTTCAGCACAGTAAGTAAACACATCCACTCGTTCGTTTCGTTACTTAAGATATGTATTCATCAGTCCTGGAGCATGGCTCTGATATGCACCGTCAACTTACTCTGGACCATCTTATCGCCGGATTGTTGGAATATTCGACGAACGAGCAAGGCTACAAATCAATCACGAAGGCTTTGAAGGAGGGTGGCAAGGAGACGCTTGACAGAGTTGTCAAGCGCATGTGCGAGCCCGCTAAGAGGTGAAACCTATTAACTTAATCTAAAACGCGAACTCGATCTCATATATGTTTCTTGGAATACTGTAGCTCTTCTCGCCGCGCAATGGTCGTGGACCTCGCCCTTTCTGTTACCGGAAGTCAGTTGATTGCCAGCGTTTTGCCCTCTGTGCGTGCTTGCTCGTTCATGTCCCAACGTCACTAACATGTATCTGTTTTATAGGCTGATAGGGAGCAACGAGCCCTTCTGTACGATTGCATCAGAGGACACATCGTTACTCTGAGGGGATGTAAGACGGGATCCAAGGTTATCTGGTTATTGTAAATACAATTCCTTTTGTTCCACGGTCTATTCGCTAACATTCGAGACTGTGTTTTACCCTGATAGTGATCGAATGGTGAGCTCTTTTGTCTTCATAATTCCGCACTCCTGGTCTGATTTCCTTTCAAGCGTGCTTACTACGGATATTAAACTTACGCATTCGACCGAAATTTTGCTTTATTCTCGGCATTCTACTCTCGTTATCGTCATCGCAAGCATCGAAATCGCATTCTCTTGACATTATCATCATCCTCACCAGCAATCTTGCACTTAATACATCCATCTCATTCGACTCTCTGCACGAACCAACAATCTTTTCACGACATAACTCATAAATCTCAGGCTGCTGCTCGCCCATACAGTGTACCGACCTCAGCTCCAGGTCAAATCTTATATCAGGAAATTCAGCTTATGCATATCACACGGCAATAATTCAGCATACCATAAAAAGAACATCATACATCCATATCGTATCCTCGTATCAATCAACTACTCCTCGAACAAGCTTTGGTAGGCTCTCAACTGAGGGCTTTCGTTGTTATCACGTCATCACGTCATCGTCGACAATTGGCCTCAAATCATTTTTTCGCTTCGTCACTTGGACAGTTCGCGCCGTATCTTTGCCATTTTACATCCCACGTTTCTCTGGCTTGCATGGATCATCTTGATCCATCTTCGACCACTAAAACCCGATTTCATCTTTTGATATTCAATTCGCGCTCCCATATCTTCATTTGTCGCTGTTCCTTTTGCTCTTGCATTTTTTGATCAAAAAAGTCATTTCTCGCTTGTTATCACATCCTGCACGCATTTTACTGCATTTTATCATTCGCTACGTTTGAAAAAATTTCAATTAAATCATCATCACCGTATATTGTTCGCCTCAAATTCCTTCCTACCTACCTACCGTTCTTTTTCCTTCAGACATGAGTGTGCCACTTTGCACAATTGTTCATAATCGTTGCTACATACGCTACATTGTTTTCGTCCCGCTGTTGATTCAATTTTGTACATACCTACCCCCACTGTCCCTTGAGTTTTGCTAATTGCATAGTTAGTTTTTGTCGACTTTACTGTAGTCTCGACTGTGTAGCATGAATAGAACATGTTTTGTTGTCAGTGAAAACTTTGAAGCCATCCAGCAAAGAAAACGTTGATTATATTTGCAACTGCAATTACCCAGGCCTGATCGAGAATATATATCATACAGACTACCCATAACACAAATCAGATATGCAGAGATGTCCATAGGGTTTCGCGATTGAACCAAAGTACGCGAGCAAGACCTACAGCTATTACTGACGCGAAAAGCGGTTTCGCAACAATCTTCACAATGTCTGTTGCGTACTTTATAGCGTAGATGATGCCTGTTATACTCCTAAAAAAACAGTCAGTAAACAAAGTGTCAGTACATGGTAACACATACTGCAATTTTCCTTCCAATAGTTGATAAACCCCCGCCTTAAATTCCTCTCTAGGGACCTTGAACACAGGTCCATCATCGGGCAGGACATACGCACATCCGCTCGTCGCCGGGTCAGGATGAGATGCAGCGTAAATGATTGCCCCTGCAATGCGAGGCACCGGAGTGAGAGGACAGCCAGCCAAGAACACCTTCAAGGGTGTCGGGAGTATGCCGGTATCTGTCAGGAGAGTAAAATGGATTTCCACAAATCATAAATGTTGTATTTAGCACGATGGACCGAAACAATCATAGAATACCCACCCGCGAAGAAAGGATTGATACAAGCAATACGGATGCCACGTAGTGTCAAGATCGGATCCAAAGACCGCATAAGTCCTAGAACGGCGTGTTTCGAGGCACTGTAAGTTGGCGCCAGAGGAAACGCTTGCCACGACGCTGTTTGAAAAGGAATAAGGAAGAAGTGAGCAGCGTTAGGGGATAGAATATGTGGGCTTACCCATGGAACCTATAAGAACTATTGCCTTCAACGGTTGAGTATTAGGTTTCCGATTGACAACGAGGTAATGTTGGGCAAGATGAACAGCTGAATCACAATAAGATCAGTATCACATTAGAGACGAGATGCAATGCCTGACAGTACAGAACACCAGTCAAATTGACGTGAACCGTAGGGAGATTGATCTTCTGAGGTCTCCCCGTTTTGTCAAGTTTGACTTCCAAAAAGCTTTCCGGCTCTCCGATACCAGCGTTAGGGATCTTGAAATAAATGAACGATATTATACTTCCGAGCAACATAACATGGTCGAAAGAAAAGCGCACCACTACGTCTACCGAGCCATACTTCTGGATAGCCAGCTCAAAAAGCTCCACTTGATCATCCCACATAGTAACGTTGCATTTTCGAGCAGTTGCTTGCCTGAACACAAATGAGATTAGTGCATCTTATTCACGGTATTACATGCGTACCCTCCGGACGCTACGATGTCGGAGACTGTCTGTTCAGCACCAACGACATCTAGGTCACCGATGACGATCTTTGCGCTGCACAAGTGTTAAGGAAGCTTTATATTTATATGAACAACGATCATACCCAAACGAGGCAAAGCGAATAGCCGCCTCCTTCCCAATACCACTGGCAGCACCTTTGAGAAATTGGATTGAACAATACATCAGACAAGCAAATTCCAAGCAGACGCACCAGTAATGATTACAACTTTATCTTTCAAGCGTTCACCATGTTCAAAGAGTTGGTCGTCCAATATCGGCACGAATCCTGCAGGAGCTACGTCGCTTGTGATAGACGATGCAGTTGTAGACATGTCTAAAATATGCAGCAACTGCTTGCAGTATCTGCGACGGGGGAAAGTGGTGACAGAGCCGCTTTTAAGGAGAATCCTTAAACCTTTATCGCTGCAAAGAAGGACGACATGTACAATATATGATCATGAATATTTGTCAACAAATGATCCGAAGAAATATTCGAAATACAAAATCCCGGTTCGGAGTGTGTTGAACCTATGGGGGTACCTCCTCCTCCTATACTTAGGTGCTCCAGATAGTACTCGTCGCGGTTCAGGATTTCATCGTTTTTGCAAAGTATTATCGTATATTATATTCGCTAACGCAACTATGTAGCCTCCAAAATCAATCATCATTGCAATCTTGCCGAGGAATTCAGCCATCGCCATCGACCGGCGGTGGTTGCAATTCAGCGGAGCAAGGCCCGGCGGTTCCCAAGCCTAAGCAGAAGACACAAGGGTATACAACAAATTATCTCATTTTCCTGCAACTTTCCTCGTCAAACTCCTCAACCTCTCCGCGTTTTTCTTCCTCCTTTCAACATCATTATCCACACTCGCATTCATCTTCGCCAATCCCGCATTATTCTTCGGCGCAACCGTATATGTTCCAAGTGAACTCTGCGGTATGCTCACTGCATTCTTTCTTATCTTATTCTTGTCCTCTTCCCTCGCCCTCGCTAGGATCGCGTTCAACTTCTCCGGTCTGTACTGCGATTGCGATTGCGACAGGGACTGCGATCCGGGAGCACCATCGTCCACGTCCATATTATTCATCGTCGGTACCACCCTATCACGATACGACGCGCTGCGTTTGATGATTGGTCGACTCCAAATACTCACCAACTCGTTCGCCACGCGTTTGACGTCAGGCTGCACTCGCTGGCATTTTGTGTAAAAGAGAACAAGAGGACCAAGCCCAGATTCTTTGATTACGGAGGAGTCGATAAATTCCATCTTGCGAAGGGTGACGAAGAGTTCACGTTGGATGTTGAGAGCAGGGAGTGATCGATCGGGGAGAGGTTCGAGCCAACGTTTGACGGCGTCGAGGAGATTATTGTCGATAATTGATTGTGCTAGGGATGCTCTATAAAGATATTTAGTTGGACGTGAATTCCGATTGAAAGACAAACCCAGAAAACGTACTTTCTCAAAGTCTCCATAGCCTCAGCCAAAAACCTCAACTTGGCAGTAGCCGGCAACTTTTCCTGGTTCGCTTTCATATCTTCCTCAGCAGCATTATTCATTGTCTCTCTTAACCTCGCTACCTCATCATCCGCAAACGAATCCAATACTTCATCGTTATTCTTGCGCTTCTTCGGTCTTGAGGATTTTTTCGTTTTGAGAATTGCCTCAATCTGCCTGTCAAGTCGAATCTTGTTGGCTGTATGTGATCGGGAAGCGCTGATTAGCACACCTCGAAACAGGAGAAATAACTTATTGAAGCCACTGACCTTGCTCAGGCGGAAGCTGACTCAAATCTACATCCTCATACGCACTCTTCTTCTTCGTCTTCTTGACCGTACTCGTTCTCTTTCGTTTCTTTGTCTTACCCTCCTCGCTTTCATCACGCTGCTTTGATTTTCCAGTCTTCTTCGTCTTGCGGCTAGAAGTAGAAGGTTGTTTTTCCTGGTATTCATCTTCCGAGTCAGCCCCGGAACCACCGTCATTGTCATCGTAGGCTGTTGTGTCTAATTGTCGGCCTTGGACTAATAATGTAATCAAAGAGATTTAGTAGTTAGTGTCACCATGTTCTATCTTCTATTTATGTGAGCTGGTAAACTAACCCTCATCGTCGTCTGAAGAAAGCTCAGAGTCGGAGCCTCCGAAGATATCACGAGCAAGCTTGTCCGTCTAGCAAGGATCCAGAAATAAGACACAGAAATGGTTGAGGGAGTGGGGTCAATCGACTTACAGACATGGTTAGTGAACGAAGAGAAAGAGGATGGCAGTAGGTGGTGGTGGTTGTGTGAATAACGTCTTTCGGCCCGGTTCATACAAACAAGTCAATTATTATTATTAGGTTTCTGAATTTGGTCTCGCACAGGTCTCGCAACACGAGAGCGAAGAAAATTTGGTTTTTCATGGAAAATGGTCTTACTGACTTGCGAGGATCTCTTTTTGTGGAAATGAGCTAAGGACACGGCTAGTGTTCGAGTGAGAAGGAAACGAAGAGTCGATTATCTGCCGTCAGAACTCATGCAGGAGGTGGTATATTTATGTGAATTGCACCGCACGAGATCATCGAACGGTATGGTAAAGAACGTATGTATGCTATATAGTTAACGAAGAAAACACTGGGGGTAAAGTATGAACAAAATAAGTACTTAGTATAAGCGCGAAAGTGTGCGGATTTACTACCTCCGACGCGTATTTACCAACAGACATCCTATGCCACCGATAAAGAAGTCACACTACCACTACACTATCGCTTCACGGCTGCGAGCAAAAACCAGCGATGATGCAGTCCCTCCACGCAGTATACAACAATACGACAAAGTTGTTGCCTTCAGGGCTACCAGCGGTGTATGGCGTAGTGTCGTACCAATTAAGAGGGTTAACTAAGAGAGCAAAAGGGCAGTTTAAGAACAAATAAGAAATCAGGAGATAATGTGCGTACCCGCAGGCGTTACGGTTCCATTGCTCGTAACGTGAGGATTACCGGCTGAATCATTTCCACCGAGAGTGGTTCGAATACCTTCCGCCCATTGGATGTATGTGGAGCCAAAAGTCTGTGGCTGCAACGCCGCCATCCTACAAAGAATGTTGAAATATTTTGTGTTCAGAATTGCCAATCAAACTGACCTATATGCAACAGATGCAATAAGAGAAGAGCTAGAAATATCTCCAAATCCTAACCCATCACTAGAGGTATCGTTGAGGTAGTTCCTCAACAAACCATCAATCATAGGCGCGCCCATAGCACCGTCAACGATCTCTTGAATCCACGAAGTAAGATTCCTAACAGCATTGTCTTTCCAACCGTAGGTAGTCGACGAGGGCGCATTTATCACAGTGGCTAGAACACGAGTCATGCCTGCGCTAGCCCAGCCGTTGCCAGTGCCCCAAAGACCAAAGTCAGCACTCTGAGGACCAACAATGTGTTCCCAAAGACCGTCATAGGACACAGAAGAGGTAAGGTTGGACTTGAGTGCTTGGCGGTAAAGTCCGCATTGGTCAACGGCTAAGCGCAAGAGCGAGGTGTTATAAGTGTCTGCAGCGTAGTATGCAAGGAAAGGGGGAGCCATATACATCCAATCTGCCCAAAGCTCGGGGACGTCTGTGCGCTGAGAAATAGCACCGTTATACCATCTAGGAGCCTGACCCGCGATGTATGCAAATTCTTCATTTGCTCCTTGTGCAAACGACGCATTTGTCTTGCCCAACATAACTGCGCCGACACCCAAACTCGCGGGGTCACCTACCGCACCGTCTCCATCCGAGAGACCGTTCGCACCAGATCCTAAGACGATATTCTGCGCTGCATAGGAGAGCGAAGGTACACCATCTGGTACAAGAAATGGCACAGGAAATGGTGCTGATCCGAAAACAGAGTAGGAAGAGTTGTATAACTCAAGTAAAGCCTCAGTAGCAGTACCGTATTCCCATGAATGCGATGGAAGCGCCTTGGCTATCGTTGCGACTGCTTCAATGTCAAAACCCGGATCGTATGAGAACGGGTCAGCATTTGTAGGGTGGCCCCAGCTCGAGTTAGCTTGTGTTGTAAATAGGGAGAGTAAAAGAGTGACGAGAGCAGCAGAAAGCATAGTAGTGAATGAGGAGATGAGTTAAAAATGAGAGGAAAGTATGAATCTCTTTTCAAAGCATCATGACAGCTTTATGTATGCATGCCCTGCAATGGGCTTGACTTGGACGCTCTTGGACGATATTCCATTGACATACAGGAAGATAGAAAAGAAGAGATCTGGAAGAGATTTACATTGTGGAGCTTTCTATTAAGTAAGATCCTCCATCAAACCCTTCCCATGACACGCTTCCCTGCACTTGCTAGGCGCGAGTCAGGCTCTGTCAGGCTCTAAGTTGTGTATATGTACTCAAGTTGTTTGGGAATCGGACCTCGCCAGTATAATTCCTATCCTATCCTCGGGTGTATCACTATGTACTTCATAATACTGCATATCGAGAGGAATTGTGGTAAGTATCATAAATTTTTATATAGAGAACTTACTTTTACGCAGTGTAGTGGTATATTCTCTGACTCTGAGTAGCTCTGAGTAAGGGTTCACTGGCACCATTCAAACAGGTTCTAACCCGTTTCAAACGTTGATGCATCATGTCGCGCGACAGAGAAAAAAACTGTTTTTGTTACCGCTTACGCCCTCCGCGAAAAATTATCCTTTTAGCCTACGGATTCTCCCTCCGGAATCCCTTCGCTTGTATATTCATTGTCAAGCCCAGACGAACTCGAGTTTCTCAAGCTCAGGCTTCCCCTTTCATGGATAGTTAGTTCATATGGGAGAGGGTCGATTAATACTCAAGCAAATCTCGTCGGAGAGTAAGACGAGCTTTGACACAAGAAAGGTTTTTTATTTTTCCAGAATACCGAGCAGAAAAGGGTACAGCGGCGGGTTTTTGTCGCAGTAAAGGACGTCTTACGTCCGAATCAGCACAAGCCATCGCACCCAGTCGCACCCCTGCTTCGACAACTTTGAGTCGAAACTGCATATAGATATACTCACTCGAAGCATTTTTGCCAATCTCCGTTACCACCATTAGTTGCATACGACTGACTTTCCACGAACTCGGAAACCCTGCAAATACCTTCCTTTGACACTCCAGCGCAAAAATCCAGTGACTGCACGGCGTCATTGACCAATATCCGTATATAGTCTCCATCCTCATCCGGTCTCGACGACCCGATACCGCACTGTATTTTCTCTACAACCATTCGCGCTGAGAAGGGGACCAACTGGCTTGTTATCCATGTCCTATTCGTAGAATCGACGTTCGAATTGGTTGGATCTAGCGCCCTTGGCTGCTTGAACAACCCCATTGCAGTATATATCGCAATGAGCTGGTTGTCATGTGAGAAATCTGCGTATATTGTGCGATCCAAGGGAAATGTGACCGGAGATCGATCCAAGGTAGAATTAGTCTGAGTGGTGTCGTTGACAGGACTTGAAGTGAGACGCGCGATAAGTTCGTTGATATAACCTATACCCTCGACAGGACCTAATGGTTGACCGTACCTTCAAAATAGTCAACCACATGTTTATATATGCATCCGGCATGAAATGCCAGGACACTCACCCAGTACCATAATATTTGTCCAAATCCATCTCATACTCGAACGCCTTCCACTCGTCTTCATCGAACAATCCACACCAATCACTGATCGATTCTGTCGCCACGCTTTCGAATGCGCACAAGGTCATTAGGTTGAAAACATCGTTTGAGGAAAGGTTCGCTCCTGGAGCAGCGTTGTTCAGTCGTTGAACGATCGATGGAGTATATATTGCAATCCAAGTATCAGTCTGATTATCAGAGGAACTTATGGCGCCGCAAGAATTATGGAGAGTATCATTAGCCTATCTGATCATTGAGTGAACAGAAATATAAGTGAATATGACCTAGTTTGGGTCGACTTACATTTTCGTCGAGGATGACGGATAACACGGGATTGAATCTCAAACTGCTTGCTGCAGAGAAACCTGAAGACGAGTTTGAGTAACAATCAAAGATCGCATGAACTAGGGTGTTCCCTACCATACGTCCAGTTCAACGCTGACTTTACCACCCTGTCCGAACTAGAAGCTCTGACGAAAGGTAAATTGCCCACACTAACTAGTTCCTTGTAACGGTTATAGGTTTCCGCGCCTGCAGCCAAAGACCTAGATACTCTAATTAGAAGAACGAGCTTTAGTAACAACTAGTACTCACTGAGCGGCACCGAACAGTACCAAATCGTTCGTTCCAAGGTCCAAAGTAAAGTTCCGAATGAAGTTCAGACTTGAATCCGTATAAGCTGATGCGTTTTGAAGTTTGTTCACCGCTATAGCGATAGCTGCGCCTGGGCCAGCAGTAGGATATCGAGCACCGTGACGTTGAAGCTAAGAGTACCAGGGGAAGGTCTCAACAGGAACATCATGAACGTGATTTGGGACATCCTTACAATGTTAATCTAGATAGCAAAATGTCAAGGCTATCAGAAAGCAGAAACACTATAACACACCTGAGTAATTTTGCATCCTTCAGGTGGTGCAACATATTTAGCTACCGGATAATAAGGTGAATACGCGCCCCAATTTTGTTGTAAAACATAGGGTCGCGTCAATCTTTCTTGCAGACTGAACTGATTATGAGCAGATGTTCTTGAGACTGCTAGTAAGGCATAAACGACGGGTAGCAAGAAGATTCTAAGCATCGGGGGTAACATGGCTGGTTTGCAGAGGATGGGATATCAGACTTGACCGCTGAATAACGCGCAGAGAACCAACGAGGAACCCTGATTACGCTGGGAAACACGTTGCTCTACATCATATCGAGGTTAAAACGAATTTGCAAAGAATTCAGTGCGTCATTCCGAAAACTAAATGGTGGTTGGTGGTGGCAGTGGTCAACGTTCATCGAGACGCACGTGCTTCGCCGATAATTCGTCAATGTACAGTATCATGTAATACGGCTGTTTGTACGCTGTGTATGCTTCAAAAAACAATACACAGACGAGATGTGGCGTGTAGATGCACGGCTATAAATTGACAAATCGTACACTAATCCATCCATGGACCGAAGTATCCTATCCTATCATGGCATTAAAAGAATATCTGAAGGGAATCTATGCATATCAGTGACTAGGAATCTTTCGTCAAAAGACAGTACATATGCCTACAATTTCCCACTGTTCGAGGTCGAGCTGCCCCAAATTTTACTTACTAGTCGAGTCTTCATCTTCACAGCTACTACTTTGCTTATAAGAGATTTCGTGAGAGCCTGAGCATCAAACTGAATGGAAAGACACCTACCCTCCGTTTCCATTGCTATTCCCATTTCCATTGTCGTTCCCATTTCCATTTCCATTGGAGCCCCTCTTGCATACAGTTTGAGACGTCGTCGGTGTTCGTGGTTCTTAAGTTGAGACAAAGAGCTTCAACTTCAAATAACATGAATGCAAAGGGTGATCACTTACTCAACCGGTTGAAGAGTCCTTTCGGTGCCCGTGGCGGTAGCTCTCTAATCAGCCTTTCCGCGTTCGTCATACTATCTGGCACACGAGATTGGGAGCGTGCTCCGGTTATAGGAATTGGTGCCCATGGTACGAAGGCGACAGAGAAGTTGATCACGTTAAGAAAGGTCAGTAGTGAGACGAACTGAAGTTTCATTTTGCGTCAGCAAGCGGAGGGAAGTCGAAGTATAGAGGGGAAGAACAGCACAAACTTTTCTGGAAACCGAAGCCGGGTTTTTGTTTTTGTGCAGATATCGATAGGAAATTTCAAGAGTCCCCAGAATGAACGAATTTGCATTAATTGTCAGATCTGCTGCTTTGGACATTTGAGGGCCAGACCGGCTTTCTCATTAACACAAGTCGATTTCTTTTGAGACGGAGAGTGGACAGACAGATATACTTAGAGCTATGCAAACCTCAGTGCCAAGCGCCAACAGTGAATGTTGAGCTAATGTTCAAGTTGGTGGTTTGGTCATGAGGCAAATTTGAGTAGACCTTTGTATTTAGTAGATGAGCTGTAGGAGGCCTGAACTCGCAGAAACTTCCGCGGAGAGCGCTTGCGCGATAATCAATACAAGAACATCAGTGATGCACAAATCATTTTTGAGATTGTCAGCTATTAATCCTTAGCGCCGTGCTGGCACAGCAATCCCCGACTCTGAATGGTCTCTGATATATACATCTGCAAAACCTGGATGTTCGCGAGAGCAAGGGTACTAGCTGGAGAGCGCTGTCCAGCACTTTCCCAGCTGGACAGTGCTGTCAGCTGCTTTCGAGCTCTTAGCCGAAAATACAGGTTTTACAGATGTAAGGTAAACTAAAACTGGGAAAGGGCCTTGTTCCGAGGCACTGACCTTGGCTAGATTGCCTGACTTGCCAATAGGATACAAAGATATGGATAGTGAGCTTAGGTACAATTTTTTATGATGTGCACACTTGCAGCAAGTAGATGTCTCAATAGCACAAAAGTAATGCAAAAAACAGATTCTAAACAAACTCCATTTTTACAGTAACATTTGGATGAGGTGGTTAGACATTGAGAAGGATGAGATAATTGGAGCAATGAGCAGATGGGGGACAAGTCAGGTCGAGAATCCACCATAACTTGCAGCACTATTAGTCACAAATTCTAACAATGCTCACTTTCCACTACTACAGCATGTTTCAGCTGCCAAATTCCGATGATGACAATGCATGTAAAGTAAGTTTACACAAGTATGGCTGACACCCCAGAGTGGAACAGAACTGCATAAAAATGCAATGGTTCACTGTAATGATTCCATTTACACAAGATCACAATATTAATGATTTCCCTGTACTATTATAGTACTTCAACACTGACATATTGTAAGACCTGGGTCAGAATTGGTCTTAAGGGTGGATTTGGTATGAGAGGTTTATGTTGTAGTGTGCTAGGAGCAAGCTGGAGCTCGAAGGGAGCTACAGGAACTGCGACTGAGGACAGGAATGACCTAGTAGTAGTTCTGATTGTGAGATGTGACCCTTGAAGGGGTTCCTAGAAGGTCCAGGGAGGTCCCTAGGATGATAACCGGTGGAGATAAAGATAACTGGGAGCTAGGGGACATAGGAGTGTTGCATAGTATGAATTGTAATAGCTAGGAACATCAATGTAGGATCATTATAGCTAGTAGATGGTGTGAGCTTCAGACATGAAAGCTCCCAATAGAGTGTGAGCCCGGGAAGTGGGGGGTAGCAGTTGGCGTCCTCAAGTGGTGGGGGTGGTAACGGAGAAATGGCACATAGTTGGACGTAAGGGGGAGCTTTGACGTTACCTAAGTCAAGGTCCAGAGCTCATGGAGCAACTAGGGAGCTTGAGAAGGTTCGGGGGAGGTTGGCTCACTGGAACAATAGATGTTTGGGGAGCTTGAAGACTCACTCGGATTGCTTAGACATGAAGTAGAAGTGTATATTAGATCATGTAGATGAGAAACAGAAGTAGAGAGACTGAGATAATGAAACAGAGAGTAGAGAGAAAATCTGTATAGTTAGCAGAGACTGGACCTATGTAAAAGGGTGTGTGTTCAAAATATACCAAGCTGGTGTTTGGGACACTACAGGACTGCTTAAATAGGTATGGTGACACACCTAAATTTTGGCTAGACGTCTATGCTGTGAATTGTGACATTTTCACATATAGATTCGTATCGAGAGGACTGTAATTGAGACTCAGATTGACAGTCAAAGTCAATACTGAATCAGTTTAATAAGTTGAAGGGACCATATACCCATACTACCACAAGTTGGTTAGTTTACCCATCCCCGATACTACCTTCGGATAGCAGTCTACCTGTTTGTCAAGCAGGATTATACCAGACTCGGACTATATCCGAAGGATGACCATTCACATATGACATACCAAGGGTATTCTTATTGGATCTTACACTGGCAGGAGTGTGGAAGAACTTACTCAAGTGACCATGAGCCGAGGATTGACTCGAAATGACTTTCTAGAACTCAGGAATTATCAAATACTCCTTCTAGAACAAGATCATGCATTAATCTAAAAGACTGCGATTTAGTCTAATAGACCAATCAGGTTGCATGGTTGAGGAAAATGACTAGAAGAACAATCAAAGTACTGCGAGGCTCCGAAGACATATCAAATGAATGTCAAAGAGTCCTGACGTAGAAAATATTGAAGAATGCAATTAAATAAATACTATGAGTAACTCCCTTGATAGAGTATGGGCACAATGGGTGTCTATTGAAAGAGAGAAGCAATTAGTTTAATCCAGATGAATCAGATTAATAGGATTAGAATCGAGGAGAGCTGATTTGCCTCTGGACAAGGTGACAAACAATCGAAGTAAGTGTTGAACAGCAATGACAGCTGAACACCATTCGAGTCATTCTCCAAAACAATTAAATTAAATGAATATTGAAGTACCTACCTATGTTTAGAGGTATACTAGAATCTTGGAAATTATGGACCAAATAAGGATATGTAGATTCAAATTAAATGGTATCTGACCGATTGTAAAAGTTTCCTTGCGGTTCCGAACATTTATTGTATTAAATTAATTGTACTGTGCGACTCTATATTCTGTATGTATAAATAGCGATCCGATGTATCTGGAATACAAGTGATTTTGGGACGACGTTGCAGTGCTAATCCGTAAAAAGGAAAGACACACTCCCACCAGACTGAAACCTCTTTGCTAGCAGCCATTCGGGCCCGGCACTTGTGAGTATAGGAACATTGTGTTCTGCTCCTTGTGACTGCAAGAAGTATATCCAGTTGTTGGGTATTCTTTGAACTTAGGATCAGTCGTTGGTCTTAAGGGCAAATCACACTGTGTGGTTGTGCCAGCACATAGTTCTAGCCCTCCGAGGGGTCTGTGTGTTTTGGTTTTAATTTACTTTGATTCAAAACCCCAATTCTTGATATACCCAAATCAATACAAACCAAAGCACAAATCGTGCTGAATCTACCTTGATCAAAGGAATATATCGAATCCTTAGAACGATTCAAATTGATTGATCGAAGCTTCTTACTTAGCTCTCAAAGCTTTGCGGAACCTTTGCCAACACTACCCCTTGCTATTAAATAAATTTGATAGCAGTGAACTCGCATATTGTGTATTAGATTGGTTGGTTGGAGTGCCCATTAGATTCCTTCCTTTCTCTTTCACACAAAAACAAGGCAAGCTCGTTAACGGAAAAGTTAACAAGGGAGCATCAGGGGATCTGGTATGTGTAAGGTAAATGATCGAGATTAGGTACTAATGAGGTTGCTGCAATGGGAAGGTCCTGGCCCGAAAGGGGTTAAGTCTGTGCATGCTTGTATCCTGGGAGGTGTGGTGAGTTATCAAAGTTGAGGTAAGGCGGGGGAGCTTATGGAGGAGGTCCCAGGGAAGGTCCCGCAATGAAGTAGAGAGAATGAGGGGGTCTCTCCAAGGTTGGATAAGAATAAAGGGAGGTAGGTTAGGGCATGAAGGTAGGTCAGAGCATGACGCATATATAGAAACACACTACAAATGCATACTATAGTATTCAGTGGCACCCAAAAAGGCAACAATATCATTAAATCATGTGCACCATCTATATACCTAAAGTTAAACCATACAACACAATAAAAAAAAGTAGCTACACACACTGCCACCAAATTGGTTCAAACAGTTACACCTATGTATTATACAGCTCCTCTTGCAAAATGATCTCACAAAACATGGCCATTTTAATCCTCCTCCTCTTTCACAGTCGGTGAATACTTCCATCTGCAAAACCTGTATTTTCGGCTAAGGGTCCGAAAGCGGTCGAGAGCACTTCCCAGCAGTGAAAGCACCCAGAGCATGTTGCTTTCGGTGCTTTCAGCACTGGGATCTGCTGGGATCTGCTCTCAGCCCTTAGCCGAATATCCAGGTTTTGCAGATGTTCTATCATCAAACAAAAATTACTGCCAATGCCACATGACAATTTACCAAGCAAAACGAATCTACGGCTCCACTACCGTAACAGGTATACAACCAATGATCATCAGACTCCTGACATCATACTCAACCCATATTACGGCTCAATATATTTGCAGAATGATCTTGAAAAACAAGGCCGTTTGAAACCTACAAGGACCTCCTCCTTCAGAGTCGGTGAGTTGCTGCGCAAGCAGCCAAATGGCCATTGCATTGACCAGGGGGTTGGTAATGCGGGGACTAGCGGGTAGTCAGGAACTTGAGTAGCTTGAGTGCTCAGGAGACTTTGAAATTACAAGTCACGATCACGTTTGCGTCACGCAACGCCATAAGGCGCTAAATTGAAAGCTACCAACTTGAACTTTTTTACTCACACATTTCACAATGACCTTGAAGCGAAAATTCTATGATTCAGAAGACTCCAGGGAATCACGAAAATATACACCGATGGCCTCGTCATCCTTCGTAAAGGGCTTGTCTTTAGACATAGACCCCAGTCACAATATTCCAGCGTATTTTGTCAATCTTCTGGATGTGTCTGGTCAAGATACAACGTCAAACATTGAGCTTCGCTTTGACGAGATTGCGAAAGAAATCTTGCATCACTTACTCTTAGTTCTTCGAAATGCTAACGGAACAGTCACCACCTTTGAGGTGCTGGAGCTCGAATTCTACTTTTGGATGGCTGAGGTCCACGAAGATCCTTTTACGCATGGGGCCCCGGAGCAAGCAAGAAGTGGAAATTGGTATGTCGCGATAGGAACTTGTGCAATGCTCACTTTGACTTGTGAGCAGGTACTTTCATCGTGCTCCTCAAAAATCGAATGACCCCGGGAAGTCGTCAGCCATCGTGACTGGGGGCTATCGAGGAGGTACAAGGAAAGGCCTGGATATTACCTTCGGGCCGTCCCTGGACATCACTTCGCCTTACTTCTCCCCTCCTCCCTTGAAGGAAACCTCTATTCCTTCGAACAGAGGGGGTATTCTGCTTCGAACTCTGCGTAATACTTCTACCGGTCGAGTTATCTCTGGGCCTTCACTTGTAGTCGACGAAATATTAAAGTTCAGCTGGGTGACAAGCATATCGGACCTGGTGACCAAACAATGGAGGGGCGATATATCTGCATTCCGAAAGAATGCACATAGTGCTCCTAATACATCTGTGCTCCGTTTCGAGGAGAAAGATGAAGCTGAGATACAGGCTGTGCGTATCTATCAATCGCCTAGAATCGGTCTTGGTCTGTCACATCCTAGTGTTTCTTCATCATTTGACAATCCACGTGTCGTCTTTCTATCAAAGCCATATCGATATTTTATCCACCCAGAACTCTTGACTTCGAATGGTCGACCACAGACTTTTCTCGGAATTCTATCTTCATTAAAGGCTGCGTCTCCAGACAAACCTGAACCGAAAAAACTTATTGACGATATTCGTGATAAAAGTGGGATGAAGACTCACACTGTCGCGAAATACCTCGAGTACTACTCGAGTGGACATGGCTGTTCCAACTTAAAGTCCTTCATAGGCTCGGCAAGTAAGGACTCACCTTCTAATTATCTACGATTGATGGGAATCTTGTGGGATGAGAGGTCACGATCTGTCAAAAATACTGTCGACTAGAGCGTCCGCGTGCGTTGTGCACTGTACGTTTTGACTCAAAGAGCTCATACAAAGTGTGTAAATCGTCATACATATTCGTGGATGGAAATAATAAAAACAGGCTTCTCAAGTGTGTAGAAGCCCCTGTGGTAAACGCGCAACAGCCCTAGGCTCCGCAACGAGAAGCTCGCTCACGCCGATATAGAACGCAACAAGACCAGTCACGATGCCGAATACACCTCCTGCCTTTTGTACCCTGCAAATTTTGAAGAAGTGTAAATATCGATACAAGGGAGCACAGTTTAATACGCACTGTTCCATTCCATTCCATTCCGCGATAGCCAATAAGAGCAGGGCGACCGACAGACAACTCAGTAGAACCGTGAAGGCGACATTTCGCCGAAGCACAGCTAACCTGTGGACGAAAGCGTTCAGCGGTGGACAGTGGAAGGAGAAACATAGGTACAGGAAAAATACTGTTATCATGAACCATGCGATGAGGTAGATTCCAATGGCATTGTTCAGCTCCTGAGGGTCAGAAAATGCGGCCATGATACCGGAACCTGGGATGAATATCGTAGCGTATGACATCCAGAACGAACCATAAGACGCAAAGGCTGGAAGAATTTGGTAACTCAAGTACAGGTTCCATGGTAATCAAGCAACATACCAGTAGCGCCAAAAACGTTTCCCCTGGGGAACTCCCACATTCCTGCAATAAACTGGGTCAAGCCGCCTGAGCGTATAAATCAGTAACTGTACAGCTCTTGCATAGTAGAGGATATGATGAACCTGCGAAGATGGCCATCCCAACGACTACGTTCGGATGAGATATACCTCGAGTTCCGACATTGAACAAAGAGAGGATAAACGTTGTTGATGCGAATGAAAACAGTCCCCTTTTGAGAAAGTTATTTTTGCCGATACCAACGACGTCGAACAGGGCATAGAGGGAATGCTTACATCGGGCCAGGATTCGCTATGTGAGAAGGATACCTTTGATAGCTGACTGGGTCGCCAGAGTTTGGTCCATATTCCTCTACGTCATTAGACACACGAGTTCTACCGGTACCGCCGTTGCTAGTAATGTTTTCGACGCGACCTTTCTCTGGATCACTCGCAGCCGAAGACATCGTTGGGAATATTTGAAAGTGCTTTGTAGCAGTGGCGAGAATGAATTGGGGAACCAAGGATTCCAAAAGTTCCGGGGTGATACTCCATTTTATACTTCAACCCCGCATTAAGGCGCGAGATCAGGAGCTAAGGATAGAGAGGATACCATGGCATGATTCTCCTATGTAGGGAAGTTCTCAGTGAGAGTGTACATCAGTCGGCTGGGGCACGCTCATTGAAAGTACGACCAATCATAAAAGAAGCAGATACTCGTGAGTATTCTCTTGCTCTATTTGTTCAACCCTGTGAGTCCCCAGTTGCTCAACTGACTTGAAGATAGTAGCCTGCGCGGCATCCCTAGAGATCATTTGAACTAGTTTTGGAGACAAGTTGTGTTAGACAGGTGGTAGAATTCTAAGAAGCATCAAAGCCGGCCCTTTTCTCAAGCTACCGATCGTCATTCCTTCTCAGCATATATTTGAGATAGGTGCTGATAGGTGCTTCCGATAAAGGATGGGATCCTATGTCGTCCGAAATAGTCTCAGAATCTATCGTTGTAATATTGGAAGGTGGTGAAAGGGGTGGAAGAATGACCCTGCCGCAGTGTGTATCGATAGCCAATCGACAGTAGTACTAAAATACGAAGAAGATAGAACAAAATATGAGTTTGTCCAGAATTGTATATATTACATCCTTTGAAATTACGCAAGACTTTTGACTCAAGTAAACGTAGGGCACCAGATCTCTGGCTGCCAATTGGGACCTCCACGATGAACCAGTCCAGTCAAGATGAATTGATCAACGTTCAGACGCTCTCGACCGGTCAGTTTCCACATCTCCAAACCACGTTCACAAGTGCAATCACGATCACTCTGAACAGGGCGTTAGAAGGGTATAGTAGTCTCCCACTTCTGCGTGCTTACCTGAACCTTCTTGACAAAATCTGCAATAGCAGTCGCAACGTTGAACAGCATAGATATCCTCGTCATTTCTCCCTTGCGTATATTGATCCGTCGTGTGAATGGATACTCGGAATAACCAGGCCACTAGAATGCAAAGATTAGTTCCCCTATATATAATTATGACATTGAAGAAGCATACCAAGATCTTCAGCCTCATCTCTCGGTAGACTTCGTCGGTGCTAAAAAGCTTAGCATCCTTGTCCTCAATGTTTGGATGCCTGAAGTGGTTTTCATCCAGGCAGTCGAACAGACGGACACCGAGTTCCGCAAAATTCTTCATCTTGAACGTTATGGGCTTGCTATAAGACATGCAACGGTTCAGATCTGTTTCGTCGTAAAAGACTCTTTGCGGCACACGAATGTGATTAGTGGGGCCCCGGCCGTCTTGGACGATGGGAAACGGATCGGCAGGATAACGATTGAGTTGAGGATCACCTCGACGTCGCTTGGGGGGTTCAATCGACTGGGCAGGATGGTGGCTCGATGAAGTGAAGGGATAAGGATTCTGAGTATGTCCGGGGTACCCAGACGACCGAATAGGTCCATGCTACAGGATGTATCAGTGGGATGAGCGAATGAGGTAACAAGATAAAAGTTCACCTGAGCCTGACTTGTTCGATATTCTTCAGGTAGATTCAAGTAATCAGGATACTTGGTCTGTTTCTGAATATTATTAGAGTCACGGCTATACCCTGGCGGAAGATTCAAATAACCAGGGTACTCGAACTGCCTGTGGGTATCCTTAGAGGCGCTCCGATAATCCGGAGGAAGGTTGAGATAATCAGGATATGCGTACGACGTTCCCCCGCCACTCCCCTTGTGTTTCATATGAGTACATTCATGGAAAGGACTCGTATCCTGAGAATTTCTTCTCTCTGAAAGCGGAGCCGGAACGACCGAAGACATGCTCGGATATGGATCGTGGCTTTCAGACGAGGTCACCGGAATTGACGGTGCATAAGAGGGCCCCCCGCTGAATCCTATCATCGGCATTGACCTTTGACGCTGGACAGATGTGGCGGAATGATGATGGTGAGCTGGGCGGGAGGCGTTGGAATCATGTCGGGAATTTTGACCTGCATAGTGCGACGAGATTAGACTTTCAACTTGAGAAGTCCTGGAAGTAGAATAGTAAGGTGATTCCTTGTGTAATTGCGCAGGTACGACCCCCATATTTGTAGATGCCCTACATTGAGGCGGTTGGTATTCACCGCTGGCATATTTATAAGCTGCTTGGTCGAGGATCTGGGCAGGAGTGAGGTATGACATCGTAGCGCGTAAGAAGAGTCAACGGAATTGGAAGAACAGAAGAAACCTCTTCTCTATATAACGATAGGATCCATTGCCACAGGTCCAAGCAATCTAACGAGTGGTGTGCACATTGTTCACAATCCTGAAATTTCCAAATTAGTCGAAGACGTGGTGATATCCTTTAACTAGGACAATGATATTTCGGGGTTGTGAGATCTTTAGGAGATACCTATCAGTCAAATACACCATTATTCGACTATTCGGAAAACTTGCCGTCAAGGTGATCCTCCGACTTTGGCCATTGATGTCCCCCATCAAGACTTTCCAATATCACAAAGAATTTGTTTAGCACCGAAGCTTATCCTCTCGGCGGGATCTCTACCTAAAGGAGAGTCGGGATTTAATTGCCACGAGGACCCCATTGAAGCCTCGAAGAAGATACCCTACAAAGTTGGTCAATGTGCTATGGTCAACAATCAACATAAAGCAAGCTACACCACACTGCTGATGAAGTTCGTTGCTGTGGGGTCAATTCAAGCCAGCATTAGCATAGAAGAATCAATTGAATTAACGTGCTTCCACTATACGAATACAGGTAGAGAGCAGAAGAACAGGCTGAACAGGTTCGAAGATAGCAGCAGACAGCGGAGAGAATCTTTGATAACATGACCTCATCGAAAGGTATACGTAGAGTGGATTTACATATTTATACGATCCTGGAAACATCATGAACATCATAAAAAGAAAGATGTCGCGACGGAACCAACCTGAGAAACTACATGGCATGCATACTAAACCAACCCGTATAGGCTTATTCTTCGTCATCATCGGAATCGTCGTCAGCTTCCTCTAGCCACTAGAGATAAATTCACATCAGTAACGCTATGCAAAGGGAAAAGTGAATTAAAACTACCTTCAAGAACGGCTCACTAGCTTTCCTAACCTTTTTACTGGTCTCCTTATCGGTATACTTCTTACTGACATGTGTACCCCATTGCGTAACAACTTCCTCCTCAAGAAGGTCAAGCTGATAAAGGGCCATAAGAATCTTGGGCACAGCAGGGAGCAGATCAGGATGAGATAATCCAACGAGTCGTTCAACGCCCCCAAGCAGGGCTTTCTGGTGCTTCTCAGAGCTGACTGTCTATAGTGGGTGTATGCCACATCAACGATTGGAAACGTGTATTTGATAATAGCGTACCTTGGCAAATAATGGACCATACTTCGGTATCTCGTTTAGCACATCGTCAGTGAAAAGGGCTTGGGCCAGGACCAAAACCGACTTGTGCTTCTTCTCGATACCCAAGTCCTCCGCTTTCTTGTATACAGCGACTAAAAAGGTTTTAGTATCTCCTTCATGACTGTCTCGGTTTTCTTCGACCCATTTTCCAAGCTGGCCGTATGGACTATTTGCGTCGTCGTCGCTGCCCTCATCGTCGCCACCAAGAGAGACGCCGGACATGCCCCCTTCTAGAGCTTTGATGCGCTGTTTGACAGCCTCCGGCGATGTGTCAGCAGACCAGTCCTCTTTGGCTAAGGTCGTTTCGTTGTTAAGGTCCTTCGCCTCGGCCTTGATTTTCTTAGTCAACTCGTCGTCACTTTCCTCGCCATTCTCAGCGGGAGAAGCTTCAGCATCAGGAGAGTCTCCGCCGCCGCCGCCAACGCCTGCGGCGGCATCACCCGTACCCGTCTTCTTTTTCCCCTTTTTGACCTTTACCGGAGGATTCTTCAATATGAATGTGGTGAGTTTGTGACGCATATCGACGCCAGTGCGTTCACCGCAGGCTTTGCAGTCGCGGATGATGTCCTCGCTACGACCTTGTTTTAGGATGATGAGCTCCGTTTCCGGGTTCTTGCAAGACTTGCATAAGACGAATTTGTCAATGAAGCCGTCAAGCAATTCCCGAAGGCGGTTAGCATCATGAGCGCCGTTGACGATGTAGCGTTCATTCTTTTCATCAAACGAGGTCTGCGCACCAAGTTCGCAGCCGAAGAATTTGGTAGGATAGGCAGGAGGACGGCTCAACGCACGAGCTACGTCGGCCATGTTAGGAATGACGGTTTTAATGCCATTCCCTTTGCCTTCAATTTTGGTGGTGAGCAGAGGCATACTGTATAGTGTAATTTTCATTAGATGCTACCAGAGGAAGGGAATAATAAAGAGATACTTACCGGTAGCGATAGAATTTGTCGTCGACATCACGACGGATGTTTACTATGCCTGAAGCCATACTGGGCAGAAACTATGTGCTTTAACGCTGGGAAAGAGGCAAAGTAAGATATAAAGGAATGAAAGGCAGAGAGCGTTGCATCGGATGCTCACAAAACTGGGTGATTTACACGAAAACAATCTCTTATGTCTGGATATACCGATTGGAGGCCGAAGCATGAATCCTCTGCACAGACAGAAGATACGCGAAGTGGAAATCGGGAAGTAAGAGGGCGAAATCGTGAAACGATTTTACTTCAAAATGTGCAAAAAAGAACAACGGCAGGGCAGAGAAAGGCAGAGATGGTGGTTGCGGTATGAAAACGATTCGTCACAGCGGCTCAAAAAATTATTCAGTGACGGCTCAAAACCTCGGCCCGGACCTTCGTCGTTCCTAACAGTTCCGTGCTATTCAAATCTAACCAACGCGATACATTTTAGAGGTTACACGAAATGTGTTTTTGGCCGAGACTGTTTCTCCCCATCAATCCATATATCCACCAGCTCGTCGTAAAAGGCGTAATATCCACTAATTGCAACGCATTCCACATTGGGGTTTCGGTACCACCAAACGACATTCTCTGCTTTCCTATCCGGCCCTGTCTGGACGTGGTAGTAACTCGCAACGCCCTGCAAAAGCGAGCAGTCAGCAGTCAGAACGTAATTTGAAAGCTGCAGAAAGTCCGGACCTTGTATGGACAAGGGGTTTGAAGGTCCGAAGCAGTCAGAAGCTCCAGTTTACAGTCCGTCTGCGGAATATAAGTGCGAACCGGTAGGTTGGTCTCGAACAAGAGTCGAGGTTTGTGCGTGTTAGCTACTTCTACTCCATGGACTTCCACACGAACATGTCGAGAAGACTGAAGCACATCGACACGCTATAGTCGTTATCAGGATCAGTATTCATTTTCGCCTCAGTGCAGGACATTCAGTTCCTAACCTTGTATGGGTCCTTGGGATGAACGAAAACTTGCTCATCCTCTTCGAACCACCTCTCCATCGAATTGTACCCAATCTTGAACAGACCAGTCAATTCTCCATTCGAATCACCATAAACGATCACCGCCCCAGGTGCCCTTTTATCTCCAACTACAATATCGTATTTGGTTGCTCCATCCGGAAGACTTTGCTTGCTGTCGTCATCCAGGAACTTTGAAGGCAGCTCGTTGTTTGGAAAATAGTATTGTGGGTACCATTGGTGTTCCCATCTGCGCGCAGCAATAATCGGTTCATGTTCGATTACGATAAGGAACGGTACCTACACCAACTTCGCCTTACGGGTATCGACGATGAAAAATCCTCCAAGAAATGCTCTGACTCGTTTCAGACAATCTTCGATGTGAATTTTAGTCAAGTCAGGAGGTACGGAGACAGATGCAGAGGACATTTTTGCGCCGCAGATAAGCTTAGAGTAAAGGATGGCTATATAGAGGGTAGGTAAGTACCAGGTGACCTTTACTAAGTCTGACCACGATTTGACTAAAGGACGAAAGGATGTATCCCGTCGTGCTCCGGTCAGTTGGATTTTCACCAGACCACAATTTTTGGCCGCAGAGAAGAGGTCGTCAACCACAATGTCTTCTGCTGAGAGCTGTGGTGATTATACGTCACTTCGCATCTCTTCACCTCCAATTCAAGAGAATCCTTTTCAAGAGCGTAATCCCGAGCGTGATGCATTATTTGCGCTTGGAGAATGTCCCAATGGGTATCATCTAGATCCTCTAATCCCCAAATTGCAATAATCCATGTCATCCCCATTACTCTCTCCCATAATTCTCTAACATTCTTCAAAATCTGCTCGCGGGGAAACTCGTCACTGTCACCCACTTCGCTCGATGCAGACAAACCATCAACAGACGGGGCCCGATCTCTGAGTTTTGTTCGCCGTAATCGCTCAACAAGGTCATCTTCTGCATCCATTTCCCAGCCACGGGCCTCCTTCCGTGCGCTTTCTATCGCCTCTCGGAATTGCCCTTTCCGTAGAACGAGGAATTCAGCGAAACGAAAGGCAGTGGAGGCAATTTCGTCCATCAACCCCGAAGCATCTCCATCATGCTTTGTCTCTGCCCAACACTTGAAGTTTCGCAGCAGCGATGCGCGCGCGCCTTCGAATCCGCTATACCATTTGGCAGTGCGACTATATTTCCAGATGACCACATCCTTGTTGGTAAAACCTCGGAAGTACCAAGGGGGCAATGGCGACTCCGGCACTGGACCAGACTCTGGTGCGAAGGCAACGGGAACACCCAATGACCCAAAGGAAATGGTGTTAACAATGGTGGAAGCCGGTATTACCCCATACACAAGGATTTCTTGAGGATGGTTTGTCCATTCCGACGCATAAGCATCGTGAGTCTGGTTCGTCAAATGTAATAATTCCATTCCGTAAAATACCATTCTCCTCTCTGATGCATTTCCAGGCAGTGATCTATCAAATTCCAACAATTTACGGAGGTCAATAACTGTCACTCTGACATCTTTCAATGTCGAGCTTCGTTTGATTGCTTCCCCAATTGCCCACGTCCATAGTGGGGTTGTTGAAATCCACGGACAGTTCGTATATGGGTTTTGAACCTTAAAGAAGTTGCGGATATGCGCTTTTATAGCATATTGAACTTTGAACGCATCAAAATTCAAGGGAAGCTCCCGGTTCAGTCGGTTATCGACTATGCTTCTGGACGACTCCCCAACATACTCGCGAGCTATGAAGTCATTGGAAAGGGTATGTTTCACATGCGCAAGTTCGTCGTGGACACGGAATACGAATGGAGTTGCGTTGAGCAGATCCTCATATCGATGTAGAGGAACATCCCTAAGGTCTGGGAATTCCAAGCGCCTAGCGAGGTCCACTGTGTATGCAAAACCTTCTTTCATAGCCGTTGGTGCCCTGGTGGGTAAATCTGTTGGCCTTCAACTTTAGTGTCAGTACATAGACTTCATATTGGCGACTCACTCTACTGACAAGCCCCTCTTGGAGGAGTGAGAGGAGTGAAGGTGGCCTTGAAGTGGGAGACCGCTTATGGAATGGTCATGGATAACTAGTTGAAGTTATTTATGCTGTGGGGGGTGTCAGTCGAGTCAATACTACTACTCGTATAACTCTGTACTATCTGAGCACTTGACATGACAGTTCATTCAATGGCTGCACATTTAATAGTGTTTGGGGAGTCCATTGCTTATTCATTGGTCACTGTAGACAGGCGTATCAAGGCGTATCAAGGCACCAAACCTGTACACAAGCCTATATTCGGTGATCCTATAAAATATCATTATTCATTCCCCAGTCATTTCTTGGACAGACTTGGACTACCTTGGCAATAGACTCAATTGCTAAATCCAACCACTGGACTCTGGAATACCCGCCTCTTCACACCTTCTACCCAAGCCCTCTATAAAACCATCAAAAAGAATATCTGTTGCCCCGGAATCTGGACCCTGAACCAACAAGTTCAAAGTGGGTATTCCTAGCTCTGGGTACCATTTCATCTGCAAAACATGGATGTTCGCCAGAGCAGTCCCCTGAAGTGCCGGTTGCTCCGGTATCCACTTCTTCCGTTGGTTCCCATCCCCAGGTCCCTCTGTTCTTGCCTGAGCAGGAGTCACCGACCTCCCCGTCTCCTCCCCCTCCTTCCCCCACTCTGCCCCCTCGCTTTGGATCCACCTCCAACTTAGCCATCGACCTTACTGGTGACGATGATGAGTTGTACGAAACGGAGGAGTCTCGTGTGGGTCAGGTTTCTGTGATGAGGGAAGTTGTTGACCTGGCAGCGGGTCAGGGTATCGTTAAGGAGGAATTGTTGTAGTGCCTTCCTGTTCCTCATGTAGTGTTCTTGTCGACCTATCCCTTTTTGTACTTGTCTTCTACCTTAAGCTTGTCTTTTTTCCTTTTTTGTTTTGCCTTTTTTGTTAATTAATGGAAACATCCTTTATACTGTGTGAAAAATCAATAAGAGTGAAATTGTGGTGCACCTAGGTCGCATGAACCTTCCGATTAATGTTCGCCAGAGCAAGGATACTGGCTGGAGAGCGCTGTCAGCTGCTCTCCAGCTATTAGCCGAAAATCCAGGTTTTACAAGATGTTATCGACAAGATCTTGGATTCGATCACTACACAGCCAGACCTTCGGATGGGCGTGGGCTGATTGATGTCAGATAACCCGGGGACAAAATTTAACTTGATACCCAGGTTCAAAAATTATGTCCCAGGTTTAAATCTATGTAAATAGCACTGGTTATATCTCTTGTTTTAAACCTCGCTTCATTGAACATCTCGATGTCCCTGAGCTACCTCCAAACTGATGTCATTGTGAGGAAATCACCGGCCCGACAATTGGTCAACTGCCCGGTTACAGTTGTTGATCAATATTTGGTGCTAGTTTGCTTTTTGCTTTCATCCTTCATGTCGTCGTTGTTAGCTTGCCTCACAATTCTGGCTTCAAGTCTCAAACTACATATTCAAGATGTGCATTGGCAAGATTTACCCTTCAAGCTTCAAGTCTCAAAGCTCAAAATTCAACCTGCATTTGGTCTTCTAAGTCTGATATGCCTGCCCTCAACAAGCCAAACATACATTAAAAATCTGACAAATAAATGTCCTGCCCAATCCGGTTCGCAAGGGTCAATATTTCAACATTGCAAGTCATTTCATTCAATTCATCGAGTGAGCTGTTTTTGGCTGGTCTCCATTCCTCTCACAAGCTCTAAAGGTGAGTACATCCAAGGCAGGTGTGTCTTAACTTTTTTGTAAATGCTTGATAGGATATGTTTCCATAAATGTTTGGTATTCATATATAGATGTAGTTCAAAATAAACTTTTTTGATACAATAAAAAAATAAACAATATCGAAGGGATCAGAATGGAATAACCGACGAGTGGAATGCTATGATTAGGTAAGATACTACCCAGCCTCAAATAATTTGAGCCCAGGTTTCAAATGATACCGGGGTTAAAGTTACGGAAACTGCACCGAGCTTCAATTTTTTGAGCCCTAGCAGGCCCTAGCCTCAAATACTGCCGAGTTAACTGCGGTTTAATAGAACTGCGTGCCTGTGTAGAGAACACAGTGATAATCCCAGCGGTGACAGCGGCAAGATCAACAAAGACAGCAACAGGCTATGTACAAACACTTTGCAGACATTGCGACATGTTGGAGAATTGAAAAGAGACCTGTAGTGTTGGGACCATAGAATGTGGATTGTAGAGCAGCTGCCCAAGAGCCTGGGGAAGTGGCATAAGTAACTGAGTTCAAGCATTAAGTTATTCAACATCCAGCTTCACCTACCTGCAACCAGGCCCGTCTTTCCAAACCTAAACATACCAAGCATACCAATGAATGATTTGGAGAGTATAGGCTCAATCCCAATGATGAGCACCACAGATGCCCCAGCAATAATATATGGATGCTCATTTTGGAATTTGTCAAATTCCTGAATAGCTTTGCAAACCTCACCAGGAAGCTGTTTCATTTGAACCATGACAAATTCCTTCATAGATTTCAGGGTTTCCCCAACCTGGCTGAGGTCACTCTGAATGAAATGTTCAAGATCTGTTTTTGCATGCTCAATGAATTCTTCAATGTCATTCAGACTCCGGAGAAGAAATCTCAATCTTAGGCAAGGCTATATCAATATCTGGGACTCATGAGCTTGATGACAAGGAAGGATATATGGATAGCTTCTCGGAATTGAATATTCTGAATATGGGTTTGAATGTCTCCTTGGTAAATGGCATCATTGGTGTTCACTTAATGTTGCATAAGTTCTGGCGAGGTATGGTAGGAATTTGCAAGGTACCATTCATGGCTGCATCTACAGAAATTTTGATCAAGCAACCTCAGGCCGGCGGATATTTTTCTCAAACTTGTCCCTCTATAGAAGAGAACCATACATCACAGTTATTGTTGTCAAATTCCACTGCTGCCTCATTGATCAAGGCAGTAGATGGGTCGGCCGCCCAGCCAGTCAAAGATAGAGCAAGTAATAGTTGAGAAAGGATGAGCACAGAAAGCATTGCAGATAGTGGGCAGTATAAAGAGATCTAAGGTCAAAATTGAACTCGATGATATTGGAGTTGTACACACCGCGTCGTTCGAAGTCCCCGGCCATGCCACCTTAAGGAAAACTTTGAGCAGCGCGGTGTGCATCGAAAGGGAAGTACAAGAAGACGAGTGACTTGCAGTTAATGATAAACTTCAAGGCAGTATAGTACATAGCTTTGACCACGGTCCACCGTAACTTCGGGCCGAGCGTCTATCACAAGTCATTTGACGCCGCACCGCCTCGACACAAGAGTTCGCTCGCTTTTCTTTTTTCTCAAGAACTTGCTTGTCACCCCCCTTGTTTCACTCCTCCTGCCTGTTCTATTTCTTTCTACTTCCCCACTAGTGCCCATCACAGGTAGGCATATTAATTTTCCCAGTATTTTGATAAATTTTCATCGGCTGCAACGCCAATTACTTTTAGTACCATTGTTTCGGGCCCCAGGAGTGTGGTACCTCTTACAATGTCCAACCCCAGCGATCAACAAGATGCCTCCGATTCCAAACTCTCGAGCCGGGAATCTTCTCCGACCATAACCCAACTGGTCGCCGTAATTATCTGTTCTTGCCATTTCCCAATCTTCTCCTCAAATTTTTTACAGGATGCAGGCGCCGCCAAGCAAGTCCCATTGAGTCCCAGTCCGAGTCTCGGCCCCGACATAGAACAAAATGCTGGCACATCCTCCAGCGAACTAGAAGCTGCTCTCGACCCTTATCAACTACGAAATGGAATCAGCACGGACCAAGAGCTTTCGGCGCTGCGTCATCGTAAAAAGAAAGGCAAAGCGGTGGCCAAATTTCAGGATCAGCAGAATGAGGTGTGTCGCTTTAGCTTTTCTACGTCGTTTTTAATCTCATGGCAATTCATAGCTAATTAACTCGTTACTTACACCGATGCAAGAGCATACTGAGACCGCGCGCTTGGAAGCAGAGGATAATAGGCTCCCAGTACGTCCTTTGCCCCTTTCATAGTACAATTTATAGCTTTATTTTATATAGGTCAAAATTGCCATCTACGCAAGTATGGCTGCCAACCTTGGGCTTTGCGTCCTGCAGTGTACGTTTCTGTGCTATTTATTTCCACCAAACTCCGTCCTTATCACTCCTTGCCACATAGTATACGCTGCCATATCGTCCGGATCCTTTTCTCTATTAGGTGTGTGCTCATCAGGTTTTCCTCTGCTCAGCGCCTCACGACCCAACGTAGCCACTGGTATCGATTCGATATTCGACATTGGAAGCAATGTTCTACTTTGGTATCTCCACCGCAAAGCCACACGATTAGACGTCAACAAGTGGCCCGTCGGCGGTGCAAGATTGGAAAATATTGGGAATATTGTGTATGGATTCCTGTGAGCAATACTTCTTTGTTCTTGCGTTTTGCTGCTGTTCACATCAATCATATTTAGCATGGGCGCTGTCAACCTTGTCGTTATGGTCGAATCCGTGCGAGACCTCGTCACCCACAATTCCAACAGTGACACGAATACTTTCCATCTACCGTCGATTATTGCTGTTGCTGCCGCGCTAGGTGAATTTGATTACTCCACCTTACTCGTTTGTACTGTCAATATAACTGACTTTACTGCTTCACTTTCACATATACAGGTGTTAAGGTGTTATTGTTCTTCTACTGCCTTTCAATCCGGAAGAGATCCAGTCAAGTACATGTACTATGGGAAGACCACCGGAACGACATATTCCTCAATGGATTTGGTGTTCTCATGTCCGCAGGAGGTAGCAAGCTTCGTTGGTGTGCGTGATTTCCACTCATGATTTTGTTGAAACAAATCCTGATTTTGTCTGCTCATAGGGCTCGATCCCACCGGCGCCGTCATAGTGAGCGCTTTGACAATTTTTTCGATGTCAATACTTATGCTTTCATCTTCCTTTTCACAATCCCAGATCGGAGTAGGCATTCTTCTCACGTGGGGCCGCACCGTCTACCGCGAGTTCGAGCTCTTAGCAGGGAAATCAGCTCCGAACGACTTTTTAAAGCTGTTGACCTATAACGCGATGACATTTAGCGAGGATATCGAGAAGGTGGACACTGTCAGGGCATATCATGTACGGTTGCGTTCTTGTGGCTTTTATCAACACTCACCTTCTTCCTCAGAGCGGCTCTGTACGTCGCTTGTTATCTCTTCACGATAAAATGCTTCGGAATGCTGACACCCATACTGCGTCCAGCAATACTTCGTTGAAGTTGATATCGTCATGAATTCCAATACACCATTATGGAAAGCCCACGATGCGAGTCAATTGTTACAAGACCTTATAGAAGCTTTGCCCAATGTTGAGAGGGCTTTCGTCCATGTGGATCATGAAGCTACTCATACACCTGTACGTCCTTCACATTTCAATCCTTCAGCAGCCAATAATTGTTCTTCCGTTTACACCTCTTCGAAAATGATTTCTACGGACTGACATTAATGAAATATAGGAACATAGAAAGGTTGTCTATGGATGACAACTGGATCAACCCGAATCGGACTCAAAGAAGAAGACAATTCAGATATTGTTGACAGGTCGCTGTCCTTTCCTCGGCCAGTAGACAATCCTGCGATTTGAACTGCGCGAACTACCATACTAACCCGAATCCTTATCATTGAACATTGGGTCTTTGGATAGGAATACCAATCTATAATATATGTACTCTCCTACTTACATACGGCGTGGGTGCTCAAGAATCACATTTGCTTGCTCAGTCTGTTTACCTGCTGCTACTGCACTGAGCTTCCGGCCTGTCGGAAGTCGTGCTTGCCGTGTCACTGATAATTGTCGTTTGACTCGCACGTAGATCCTGAGCCGACTCTGTATTGGACAATGTTCCCTATACTCTTCAGTTCGAACGAGCCCAATGTAAACATGGATTCATTGGCCTCGGTACTGGCACTTGCACTGGGTGTGAAATAATAGATCTCGAAGTACTAGGAACCAGGACGGACTTGAAGCATGGATCTCATTTTGACTGACAATGACCACGATGCTCTGGTTGAGCTACGACAACAAGTTCAACATGGTACATAGATTGTGGGAATTCTGGCCAGCTATTCTTTTTTATTTCTTTCATCGCAGTTTCACGGACGTACGAAGATCTCTGATTCTCCTCTTGTTCTCTCTGCCATATATATGTACCATTCTAACGAGGTTATGTGGTCACCAGCTTTCTGTGTTAATTGACCATGGCATCCACCATCTTTCGTGCTACGCGCTACATTGGACAATATTTGAACTCCTTGACCACTTTCCGAGGCCTCAAATATATCAGCTCCTATCATACAGCTCAGGTGTGTTTGAAGCTTTTATCCACGTAACCCAAAATATTGGCCAATTCTTGCATGCAACAGGATAAACCGACGAACCTGAACTCTGGATCTGAGCACGCAGATCCATTGTCTTGTTCTGAGGATCACGACGCGACGATACCTTTTCCGACTTCAAAACTACGTGTATTCGATCTTCCTAAAGGCTTCAGACCCACCTTGCTACAACGGCCAGACTATATTGAAAAAGCTCTTGGGCCTTTAGTGGAAATTATTGATCAAGACTCCCCTGAGACGTTGTATCTGAGTATGGATGCGGAATGGAATATTCGAAGACGAACCGGGGTCTCAATTATCCAGCTTTGTCCTCATATCGATCCAACGGTAGTCTATATCATCGCAGTGCGTATCTTTCTAGATTAACACTCTAAGATGTTCAACCGTCCCTCTACTCCAGGTTCACCGACTTTCCTCCCTCCCCCCTTCGTTACTACGACTTCTAACGTCCGAACGCGTATGGAAAATTGGGTCACGCATCAAAGGCGACCTGACCCGCCTCCGAAAACAGTTTCCCACTCAACTGCATGACTCAATTCGTTTTTCCACCATCGACCTCAAAGAATATGCACTCGCCGGCAGATTTATACAGCCAAAACAAAGTGGAGCATTGGCTTCGCTATGTGAGACCGTTCTTGGGCAGCGCCTTCCTAAAGACCAAGATACACGTGCAAACAACAGCTGGGAATACCCGACTATCTCATCGACATTATTGCATTATGCCGCTTGTGACGTCTTGGCGTCACGAAGGATATTCGAGAAGATGTTGGGCGAGGAGGTAGACCGTTCGGTACCACCGGATGAAGTCAAGCTCGAATTGGAACAGGATGAAGTTAGAGAAATACAAGCGCAGGTAATAGAAACAGACGCTACTGCTGAATTGTGCCATTTGAGGGTTTGAAACCCGTTGTAATCGTAAACTCACGGTTGGTGGTGGCGTTTAGAATCATTGGGGATATTGCAGATGAAGGGGTAGGTAAAAACCAGTTGTCTCATTTGAATCCGCATGCCTTCAAATCTTTACTTTCCACTCAAATCCAAGTCCAGTGGCATATGCTTCGATTGAGCTCTTCTCTCTGTCCAGCCGGGCCGCCGAAGGGCCCCCGCGCGGGCTGCGTTCTATCTGATGCCCGTTGGTTCAGAATCATCGACGCACACTTTCTCCTGTCGCGAACCAAAATGCCGCTAATATGTGATGCTCTATTGCCCTCCGAATGGGAAATGATCTAACTGCCAAATTTGATGATGTTCATGTTCCATTATGCTCCCCGAACAAATTGCCTAGCTTGACCAGGCCCTCGAGGAGAATAATCAGTGATCAGAACAAAACCTCGACGATATGGAGGTCTCCCTCATAGAGGGACAGTTACCGGTCTACGAATTACCGAGTACAACAGTGCATCACAGAACTTGACCTTGTATTCTATGACGACCATCTATCACCAAGGGAAAACCTTGCAAATCAAATCACCAATTGTCTTTCTGTATCCTCTCATCTTCATAGCGCCGTCCGTTGCTCCCTGCCTGAAGCTGTGTATACTTGGTCGTCGCCTCCTGGAGCTGAGGCGTTGACGTTTACTGAAGTCCAATCACTGATCAACAGTTTCTGTTCGATGTTTTAGTCCCACGAAATCAAGACTTTACAGACTTCGCAACGAAAATCAAAATAATCATCGACGGACCCACACGGATCCAATACAGAACTAGCCTGTCCTCCCATCGATATCCCAGGATAGCCCTCAGCATATCACACCTCGTGAATGCTGACTATATTCGGGAGAACAATTGTTGGTCTCTTCGGATTCCGAATCGCCCGCCCGTACATGATGTGTTTCGCGTTAACCATTCATCTTTCACTGGCTCAGTGGCAAGGGCAGTGTTTGCGAGGTTGCCAAGCTACTATGACCTATTATAAAACCACGAGAATGCCTATTCTTCAGTCCTCCAGCAGTCTTTCTCTCTTTTCATTCTTCTTATTCATAGCCTTTACCTTCTTTGAGCCAGGAGCTCCGTACTCTCTTTCAACTTCCCGAGCATGTTTTTTTCATTTATTTTTCGTGTTCATTCATTCCTCTTCGTCGCGATGACCAGAATCAACGTCCTTTTTCTTCTTTCTGCTGCCTTGATGGCATCCGCTGCTCCACTCGAGAAGCGTATAGCTCAAACAATCGCAGACTCGACTACTGCTTGGGTTGCCGCTTGTGTATGTCGATCTTTCCATTTGATCTCCAGCTCTTGACGCTGACGATACAATGACTACTAGACCGCTGCAGGTGGAGCCGGACAATGTAGTACCATCTCTCAGACAGCATTCACGACTCTGTTGGCTGCCGGGGGTAACTGTGATCAGCAAAACGCTGCCGACTCCATGATCGACCTCGCGAAAACTTTGAACAATGACCCTGACATGATTACTCTGGCTCAGATTTTTGTCCAACAACCTCGTAACGCGGTATGCTGCTTCTTTCGTGATACATTTTCTTCGACCTGAACTTCGGTTTTATGTAGCCCGATAGTCTCCAGGTCCCATACTGTCAAACTGCTCCTAAAAACGCTGAGCTCAACGGATTGTTCCATTGTCAGTTCGCCAGCTCAGATTTTACCAAGTTCAGCGGGGATCAGACTGGAAACTTGCCTCTTGGACTTTCGGCGGTCAGTCCTCCTGGTTCTTGTCCTGCTTTGAATACCCCGGTGCCGGATGGTGTTCAGTTGAACACTCTAGTCACGAGTCCTGGAACTCCGTGAGTTATTCCCCTTCCCAAATCATACTTATAGTATTCTCATCTTCGTTTCAGTGAGGGAGGTAGCGCGGCTGGCGATTCTTCTTCTGCCCCTGCAGCTAACTCTACTAGTAACTCCTCTGCATCTGCTGCTGCTGCCATCGCACCGTCTACCTCCACTACTTCCGCCACTGTAGACAATGCCGGAACCGGAGCGGCACCCGCAACAGGAGCTTCCACCGTATCCGCTGCTGCTAATCCCGCGGCCTCCAGTACTGTTGCTGTAGACTCTAGCTCGGGGTCTGCATCTGGTTTCCAGCTCCAAAACGGCGAAGATGCGATCCAACTGAACTCTCAATTTGCTAGTCTCACTGCTACTTCGAGCTGCACTGATGGTCAACAGGCATGTGTTGGTGGTGGATTCGCGCAATGTGTCGGAGGGACTTTCCAGATTACCCAATGTGCGGGTGGAACCCAGTGCTTTGCTCTCCCTCTCGTGAACAACCCTGGAACTGTATGTTTTTCTTCTTCCGAACAATGATAGCTAAAAGAATATTAATGATTATCATTCTCCATTACAGTCCATCACATGCACCTCCCAAGCCGATGCTACTGCTCGTATCGCCGCCACTGGTGCTACTGGGTCTGCATAAACAAAGAGTGCATTGTGATTCCCATGATGTTGCAAAACGGCGCTGATGAGGACGGGAGGATGGAAATTTGATGATAATCTGCTGTGACATTATAGTACGTAGAAGTTGCAAATTGTGCCCTGTGTAAATAGATCATGAATGCTGCTCGTGTTCTGTGTCCCCTCTTCTGGAGTAAGATTAATTAACCTGGGGTAAGCAATCTCAGAATCAAAAATCCGATTTTACGACGTCCTTGCTCAACGCTTGTCAATGTCATGGGTCGATCCCTAAGTTCTCCGATTGGGACCTGTGCATGCTTTTGCCTGCTTTCGCGTGTTTCTTCTTACAGAGAGACTAGAACCGACAGAGAAAGTTCTCCCAGACCCAGACTCAAGGAACATGAAGAGAGTCTGGGCCTAGCCGTATAATATGCGAGGAAGGCTGAGGAGGGATGAAAATTCGATTGAAGCTGAACCTGTGAGGTTCACTCGAAGAGTTCAAATTGATCGTCACAGGAAACCCATCTGGGCCCGAGGTGACTGGGAATTACAAAGAATCAGCATTGCACCCCTGTCGGGTACGCTCGGATTTCTTCGCGAGACCTTCCGATCATCAGGGTCATTACCATTTTTGGCCGGTGCCGTAAATCGGCTTATCAAGGCTTCATCGGAATTTCTTGCAACCACACCGGCCACAGTTTATCAAAATTTATCTTTTTTCGCCCCAACACTCTTCCGATACTGTCACTTTGGACGTATATAAAGAAGTGTATGAATTTGGCTTGTTCAATTATTCCAAGATGCTTAATTTTCCTGCAGAACCTGACTCCCTCGACTTCGACACCATTGGTTCCACTGCTTTATCTACTCCTGCCTACTCTCCTGTCCCTAGTAGGACAGAGATTTCCCTTGATGCTAAGCGTCTTTCTCCTCATGGCCCTTCATGGGTCTATAAGACAAAACATATGTCCATTGATTTGGGAAGACGTTTATGGGGAACGAGCTCGCCCGCCTATGGTCTTCATGACAAAATTGAGGGTTCAATAAGACTTTCTGGGCCTCATCCTGAACTCATAGAAGACATCAGTGTCACGGTGAGCCCTGATTGTTACTCGTCATAAATTTTTCTGTTCTCAATCTCTTCTAGTTGGAAGGCAACTTGGTGACAACAGTCCTCGGTGACGGTGGCATCGCCAGAAGCAATACATTGTTCATGCATCACGCAATATTCCTTCCCTTATCCTCTCATCCAACTGAAGGAGACGAATATCCATTTTTTATCTCGATACCCTCGGAAATTACGCTTCAAGGGGTAACGGCACTGACGCCACCTTCTTTCTATCGTTTACACCTTGGTGTTACAGGAGAGATCTCATATTCATTGAAAGTTACAATGACCAGGCAAGCTAGTCGCATGTCGTTCAAACATGAGCCTACCGAAACGTGAGTCTGATCTGGGGTATCGTGAATGTCTGTTCTCTAACCTCCCGTCTCGTTATAGTCAAGCCATCTCCATCCTATATTTCCCTAAAACTCGCCCATCCGACCCTCCACTCGCGGATATTCCGAAACCTCTTTCAGACCGTGATCCACACTTTGAATCCCCCAGCGTGAATATTTCGGAGCATGTCGACACTTTCCCACTATCTCCTCGATGGTCAGCTGCATCGACTCATGCCAAACATCCCTTGACAGATCTCGAAGCTTCCAAACACTCCATCTTCGTATGTCAATTTCTTTCTCACAATCTTCATTTTCTCACTCAAACACGCGCCTTCTCCAAGTTCTCAATACCTGCGCCACAATCATTCGCTTCCGGAGAACCTATACCCTTTTTCCTGAGTCTCGTATTCCCCGATAGCCCCGCCCAAGCCGCATTGTATACCAAAACTATCACGGTCACACTCATGAAGCAACTCACTGTCCGTTCTGCCAAATCACCCTTACGGAAACTATTCTCCCGGTCTAAAAGTCGGGTTTCGTCTCCGAAATCTTCTAAAACCTCTACGCCTCTCCACTCACGGAGTGCTTCACCTATTCCTTTCGAAGACGACAGCGACGACGTTAGCTCACATTCCGACTCCAGTTCATCGTCGACCGCAAATCTTGATGCATATGGTCCTCCCGTAGTTCGACGATGGAAGTTGACCAGCGGTCATCTAGAAACACGTAGCGAGTATTCAGAGGGTGTATATTTGCTCCGAGGGTGGATCTCTGCCGGCGAGTTGGGCAGAGGGTGCTCATGGAGGGTCGGACAGATAGCCCGGTTGCAGTACTTTCTTGTGGTCGAGATTGCTTCACCCGCCTGGATGGAAGATCATATTCCTGCGTTCCATTTGGAAAAGGAGATAGAGATTACGACAGATTGTTGGGAGACAATGAACCGGGAGTTGCAGTCAATGGGTGGTGTACCCACCCCAGCGTTGGGCCTTGAACGTTGTCTATTGGAAAGAGAGTCTGATTATTATGAAGTCATATAGCGACAACGATTTCATTTCGTTATTTTGAAATCCTTTAAAAACGACTGTCGTCAGATGAAAACAGCTTGTATGCGCCAGTGCTATATTCTACTGACGATGACCACATTAAGGACGCCGTCGACTGAACTGTCTGCATCCACTGCTTCTCTTGTACTCCATGTCAATTTGCACGATGGAGGGTCCTACTAATTGGGAGACAAAGAAATAAATGGGAAGGGTTTACAAGTCTCATCAAATTTCAGCTTCAACCAGGCTTCGAGCTGAAGCTTCAACTCTTCCTCACTCAGACAGACTCGTATTCATGTTCAACTTGTCAAGGGATTCTTTATAGTTTTCAACCGATTCGAAATTACACTTTTCCTATAACCTGAATTCCAATTTCAAAGCTTCCTTTTCTCATCTACGCGTCGCGCGAGGGTCATGATCTCTACTTCAATAAACTGATAGCTCAGGCTTGCCGAACAAGAGTCAGGAGAAGTCAGGAGTAACTAATGATGTGGATTGGAGCTCTTCCTCGTCAGTTCATGTTTCATTTTTTCAAGACAAGCTCTTCTCAACGTACTTTCCCCAGAAAATATTGCCCTTCACACTAAATTCAACATCAACTCCCAAAGAACGTTCAACTGTACTATCGCAAGTTTTTCCCAATTTGTATGCATGGGTAGTCATTGCATAGATCGATGTCCACAATGAATCTCGAAGACTGAGCAGTACCCCTTTTTGCCTTGCATTTCAAATGAAACAAAGACCTATATTGCTAGGATTACGACTATGAGTTAATTTTGAATCGGGATGTCCAATCCTCAGGCTATAAATGCGCTGCATTTCCCCGCATTCGAATTAACGATCTCACAACGAGCACCTTGACATATTTGTACCCATCGCAAACGAAATTCCACTCTCAACTCGTTTCAACATGATGCGATTCTGCGCGTTAATCGTTCTACTCTTCACAACAGCATTGGCCAGATATATATCAGTGTCCGATGAACTCGACACCACCGAGTCTATCGTTTCACTGCTCTCTGCCTCCAACCATCATGGCGCGCCTTTTCCGCCCGGATCCTTTGGCTCACGTGCTGGGTGGTACTACGGTGACGACCCTTCTTCATCTTCAGTAGATGGTCTTCCGTGGTTAGGGGACAAGGTATATCAAATTTACGCTTGTAATACTTTCTTCCTGATCCGTGTCTGCCATAGGATTTATGTGCTGTGCTCAAGCAAAGGCCTGATGCTATTCACTGCCCCGTCACCAAACCGAAACCTACCAAAACCTATGGCAGACGATCAGCTACCGTTCCTGACTCCACCACTACTGCTTCATCGACTCCTACACCGTCATATGTCACTGTGTTTAGCGGTCTCAATGCATCTGTCGATGGCTCTGGTTACATAACATATGGTTTAGTCGATGATAACGCCGGTGTGTAGGAATGTTTTCAAAATATGTCAAAGCCCATGTGTTTTGGATTCTAGATTGTGAGACGTTTTGCGACACCGTCTCGAATTGCATCTTCATCAATTGTACGTTGTTCCATAATTTCCGCATAATCCATATGCCTACTTCTCAATCATATCAGCATACTACGATGTGAATGGAAAGGTAAATCACAATTCCGTTGAGAAATTAAATATATTAAACCTCCCCTCCTCCCTTCCCTTAGGATGAAAGTCCCAAGCTCACTTGCTCCCTGTACTCGGTGGTACATACTGCAGCTGACGCCACGAACACAGGTGGTCAGACAGAACCTGATGGATTTATGGATTATATTTTGGATAGTGCCGGTTATGCATTAAGTACAGCAACCTAACTTGGTGGAGAAATTTTCTTCGATATGTACATAGATATATCATTCGTTGTAACATTTCTTCTTGACATTTCTCAATTTACATACCAATACCCTTTACATGACCAAAATATTTCTCAACTTGTGTGTATCAACACTTATTTGTCAAAATCTATCTGCCACCGTCAATTGAAGCGGTTCCTGCTGTCTTTGTACATACGTACAAACAAATCAGTGATTTTCCCACAATACAAGTGCATTATATCTGCTTCAGCTTTTGACCTCTCGACAACCCTTGAACTACCATCTCAATCTTAATGTGGAGATTTGTATTATGCTAAATAGCAGGCTAGCATACTTGACTGACGATGAATAGTGCCATGTAAGTAGACCCAATAAGATCTGAGAAATAATTCGGAGACTTTTGACTTGAGAAATATATGATCTCATCATGTATTGACTCTTCCAGTCCCGAATATGAGCAAGGAAGGTGAGTGCCTCGGAACGAGGCCCTTTTCCAGTAAAGAATATGCGCAAAAGAATGAAAATATGATACACATTTTATGCTGCAATTTCATTAAATCGGCGGTAGTATTAATCACTGACATAAGTACAAATCACAAATTAATCTGGGATAACTGAACGAAATACATATTTATTTTTTGACGATGAATTACGGGGCGAACAAGTATGATGAAATGTTATCTACATCCGAGCGAATAGTATATATATATATATTCCGTGAAGAACCGAAAAAGTATGCAACACATTGTCGTGTTCAAAGTTTCATTCCAGGCGAAACTTTGAACACGACAATGTGTTGTTTGATTGTTGTCTACGGTTCGTTCAAAAACAACAATTCATAATAGCCCACCGCGAGGGTCGAACTCGCAGCCTTCAGATAAACTCAGGGACCCTCCCAAACGTAAAAGTCTGACGCTCTATCCGATTGAGCTAGGCGGGCCATATACGTTAAGTCCTAACTACTCATAATGTGCCAAAAAAATACAGTGACTAGACTCTTCTAAATACATTTTCCTACAGTCGCCTACTCTTCCCACCCCCCAAGCCCCAACTCCCTATCTCTCTTTGCCCTCTTCATCATCTTCCTCATATCCTCTGTCATCCCCAACCACTCCCCCATCCCACCAACCCTCTCTACAAGCTCCTCCTCCCACCTCTCTTCCATTTCTTCCCTCTCCTCTTTATCCTTCTTCTCCCACTCAATTTCCTTCCTTGTCTTCTTCCGAGGAGGCGGAGCAGGAGGAAGTGGCGGAGGTGTACGCCTATTCGGATGGAGAGGGGCAATACGGGAAAGGAACGAACGAGATGACTTGAGGTAGGGAGAGTATGCGGTTAGGCTAATGGGTGTATTGTTTCCTCCACCGCTCCTATTACCCCCTTTAGGCATTGGACTCTTGAATTGAGAATTCGGCATCGAGTTGACTCGTCGAATGAGATCAGACATTGGTGTTGACTTGCGTGCGGATTTGGGTGCGATGGTGTACCGAGAAGTTAACGACGGGTATTTGAGATCCTTTTGATCTGGAGCAAGTGTATCAGGTGTTGCTTGTATTGAAGAGCCGCTTGCCATATGCGTTCGAGAAATAGGTGTCTGTGGTATATCAGGTCGAGAAGGTAATATGTTCTCCTGCAACTTAAATCAGTATACGCTACGGAACCACTGTGAAAGAAAAACTCACTTTCAGGGATCCAATGTCTTCGGCAGCTGTAACGTGGCCCTCCTCTTCATCTCCACTGACCACTCTCTTCTTGGCGTTCGATTTCGGCTTTGTCTTCGGCTTTGTTGTTGTGATAGAAACCATGTCAAATGCATTCCTCCCTTGATCCTCCATATACATATCTGAGACCGCATCTTCATCTTCATCTTCAGACATCACCACCCTCCCTTTCTTCCCTTTCTTACCCTTCCTCAAACTCGATCTACTCGAAGTCGACTGGCCTATATCGACGTCCAGGTCCAGGCCACCGCTCAAGTCGACTACACCGTCAGCCGCGCCAAATGCGTCACGGGCTTCATCCTTGTCGTCACTCTTACGCATCTTCTTCCGCGTACCCTGTCCTAGGACCTCGTTCACATCATCGAAGTCATCTCCCTGTCCATCAGAAGCATCTCGGGCTCGTTTGCTTCCAGGGGAACTACGCTGAGGCTGAGCATAAGATTGAGTTGCAGGCGAGGCAATCGAAGTGTTCCGAGGAGGAACCGTTATCGTAGACATGAGCATTTCGTCAATTTCTCCGTCGTCCTCGATGAATTCGCGACTTTTTGACACAGCTTGAACCTCCTTCTCTTTTCCTTTTCCTTTAGCCTTGGTAGAGGACTTGGTAGACCCGCCCTTCTCTTTCGACGTCGCCGTTCTATCCTATGAGAAGTAATGAAAATCAACAAATGAGCATCTATGAAAGTACCCACCTTGTCGTTCGCCTTCGCCTTCGATTTTGATTTCTTCGCTTTACCTTTCGGCTCAGTACCTGTCCAGTCTTCGCTGTCGATCATGTACTCGTCTTCATCATCATTCACTTTCTTCTTTTTCGTCCGTGATTTCTTCGCTTCGGGTTGCACAACAGGGGAAAGAACAGGAGGAGGAGGCATCAAGACCGAGTCTATGACTCTTGTCGTGTGAATTTCTCTTGAGTTGGTATTGCTGAAATTGTTGCCAGGAATGTTGGGATTATTGTCCGGGAACGGAGATGAGGAAGGGTCTGCAAAGAACGGAGCAGGTGTAGGTGGTATGTTCGAATCTGTGAGATCTCTCTGAGCTCGGAGGACGAACGACTCCGAGACGGCGGAAGCAGAAGCAGATGAAGGAGGATTAGGCAGAGTTTCGATTGCAGGAATATCAAAGTTCTCTGAAGGAGTGGACTGCGGTGGTTCAGACGGGGGAAGCATTATTGAAGAAGCTCGAATTCCATTCCGAGCAAGAGTGGGGGAAGTGGCAACGACGGGCAAGGAGTATGATGACGAATGGTTGGGATTAGGATCTGGAGAATCGTATCGCATATGATTACTTGTTGTAGCAGCGGTGGGCAGAGAAGAAGACTTCTTCGTTGTATTCTTCTCTGCCGTCTTCTTGGATTTCTTGAGTTTATTTGCAGGAAGTAAAGCTAATTCATCGTCAGAAGATATTTCGAGAATATCTGATTGTGCATGTGCGCCTGAGGAACTGCTTGTATGATCTCCATCTTTGTTCCTTTTCCGCATCTTGGCACGATCAGCAATACTCAGTGTCATATCAAACATTTCAATATGACTGGTATTGCCGGTAAAAGCGTTGTTGGAGCTATTTCCTGAGGATATGGCGCTTGTATGGCCGATATTTCTCGTGAGAGGCTTTGGCTTGGGCCGAGGTCGCGAAGTAGTAGCGGTAGCGGTGGTGATGATAGTGGATGTGGCATGAGCACGCGAAGCAGTTGAAGAAAAGTTGGAGATAGAATCAATAGCAGTAGCTTTGCTGGTAGAAAATTCAGAAATTGTCGACACATTTGCCGAAGTCGATGCAGCAGAGGGAGTTGTGGTTTTTGGACCAACAAAGGGTGCTAACAAATATGAGAAGAATGAGTACCTGAGCTGGGAGATTCCAAACATAATATATATCGCACCAGGAGAAATTGGGCCAAATAGCTCATCTTCACCCTCACTGTCTGCTATAATCTCGTCGTACATCCTTGGAGAACCGCCAAATGGAGAAACAACGATCAACCGCGTCAAGTCGCGAGTCTATTCACGTGACTACGCGGCAGGTACAAATTGAATGACTAATCAAAGATGTTTTCCTCTTACTCCCGAATTCCGATATCCGACTATTTCCGACCTTGATTGTGGCTATTGGTTAACGCTCCGTTTGCTTCGCGTATGTATGCTCGATGTAAATTGTACCCATGAACATCTGCTAGGCAGTCTGGTCCCTTCCAGTGCCTCCGTGCCTCCCGAAAATTTGCCGGAGAAGTCAGAGGACAGCTGAGGAGAAAGCTCCGCATATGTATTTCCTTCTCGTCTTCTCGGATCTGGCCACGAAGATAGTCCGCTGTGTTCGCTGTAGTTTTTCGCCAGTTGAATGGCTGGGCTCATCCAAGGACAGGAGTCAGACTTATACATAGGCCATCCTTTCTGTTCTTTCGGATCACACAAACATGCGTACCTGGACTGCATGCTGGTTAAATCGTGTCGGGGTTCTCCAAAAAGTCCGCAGTGTCCAATCTCTTCTTCCACTTCATTCCTGTACTTTCCAGTTCTACCTGAACAATGGCAACCCCGTCCAACTCGGTCGATGAGCCAAGAACTAGCGATCGTTGTGCGTACCCAGATCGGCAATCTAACTTTCATAGCTAACTTCCCCCATGGACCGCAGTCAATGCATCCGATGCTGATGTTCTCATACGATCCTCCGATAATGTCGACTTTTTCCTGCACAAGAAAAATCTCGAATGTGCTACGGGAGGTTTTCCTCCTGCGGAGACACCCTCAGATCTTAACGAAGTCGTACGACTCTCCGAGACGGCAAACATATTAGAAATGCTGTTCACGTGTATCTATCCTTGCCCATTTCCTTCATTAGAGGAACTGGACTTTGATACATTCATGCTGCTCGTAGAAGCGACCGAAAAATATCAGTTCTTTGGTATGATTTGTGCGTGTAGGCTTCATATGAAGTACGTTGTATCTTCTATCGTTGGGTTCAAAAAGAAACATTTAATCTGAATGCTCGTTAGAGAAATCTTGTATCCTACAGATCCTGACTTCAATAGCAACTTCACCTTGAAGCAGGACCTGCACATCAAAAGGATACAACTTTTACAATTTGCCATCAAGCATGACGTTCGAGATCTTATTGAAGAGCTTCGAGCAATTCTGGTGAATGTTTCGTTATCGGATTTGGTGGAAATTCTCCCACCTCATATCTACATGCCTTGGGTAATTGCACAGTCTGCTGCGGAGTGAACGAGGTTTGACGATATTGCATTTCAGAGCCTCTATCGGGAACAAAAATTACTGGAGAGACTTAAAGGCAATGAAGAATTGTCTGTCTCAAAGCCAAAGAGACCTGAGATTCTTAATCTCAAACGTCGGAACCAGGTTATCATGATCAACTTTTGACATTCTTCCTTTGCATATCAGTGGTACATGTGTACATATAGATCGATATAATATACAGTTAGGCAGAAACGGTGTCGGAAACGAGATGAATCAATGAATGTCTCGCAGCATTCAATTGAAGGAAAAGACAGACGCGGTTGGTGAGACCGTCCCGGCTTAAGAGTGCAAATCCACCTGCAAGCCAGCCTCTTCAAGGGGAGAAAGATGAGTATGGATGAAATGGTCAACAATCAGATAAGAGTGTTGGTGATTCAACACTAGGGTCAATGCCTGCAAACCAGATATGCCTATTGGGTTCCCTTCTGAAGACCGAAGTATGGCGCATCGAGACTCGATCATCTCGCAAATGCTTGGACACAGCGACGCCTGAGTGATCTCATACGGTCGGAATTTACAACCGAGTTCCAATGAGGAGAGATGCGGCGCAATGCCTCCTTGGTCGTTCAATTTGAGATATTCCGTGAAGTCTCTTAGGACCTCGACAGATGAAATGTCAACACTCAAGGTGACAATGGTAGGATGTAGAGCAATGAAATCGAGCAGCGCCTGCTTGAGAGGACTAGACGTCATACGCACTCGTAAAGTTTGAAGTTTGCACTGCGAATCAGCAAGCATCGTAAAGAAAGGTCCGTCAATGGATTGTCGGCTGAAATCTATTTGCAAGTGCGTCAAAGATGGTAGACGAAGGAAGCTCCAGGACCGCGAAGATAACTGCGTATTAGGGATTTGCAGCTTTAAGAGGGAGGAATAGTGGAGTTCTTGGTCTATCTCCAGTGACTCCTCATCAACATCCTCAGCGAGCTCATAATTGAGCCTGACATATTCAACGGAGACACTTTGTAGTGTAGGTAATCGACGGACCAGCTGTGGGATAGATTCTCCGAACAGAAAAGTGACTGCTAACTCTGTAAGATGAGAAACGTCAATGCTACGGCCCGCCCACGAGAAAATGGAGCCCTGATAACTTTGTAGGCGGAGACAAGGCGAAAGCACTCCAAAGAATGTCGAGAGCCCATCTGACCAGGGGAGATGGCGTGGAATTTGGATGGATTCCAGAAGAGGAAAGCTTCCCAGTGCCAACTGGGCTGATCGTTCCGGTTCCAATGCAGCGCGTGCGCTCAACCTAGAAGCAGCGTATGAGAACCAGTCGTTGGAACCTCTCTTTGGGACAACCAAAGTGACACGGCGCCATCTGACTGAACTATCCAACAAGGTGTCAAATGCCTTCTCAACATTCCGTGAGAGAAGCCTATTGTCGAGATCTATATCATAGTAGAGATCCAAAGGATTATTCCTCGAGTATGAAAGATACATCAGGAAGAGTTGAAAGGACGACGGGTGAGAATGGAACAGTTGAGACGATGTCACCTCAATGGACGACCATAGATCCGGGGATGATTGTATGATTGTCCGCCAGGAGGAACAAACCCAGGTGAGCCTAAGAGTTGGACAAAACACAGAGCCTTCCTCTAAGCAGAGAGAATAGTCGCTTCCACCCTGTTTGCAGCACCAAGCAAAGATCTCGTTCAAAGCCTCTAGTGGCAAGTTCCGTATGGGGGAACTAATCAAAGATTGTGCATCGTCAAAACGGCTCCGGAGATTGTCTCGCGCTTTTTTTATTTTGGAGAGTTGACGCTCCATCTCCGTTATTGTCTTGTCGTATCCACGAAGACTCCTCGAAGCATCTGCAACAAACGTACTAATTTGCGCTAATCTCTCGGAGGGAACAGATAGACGACCAAATCCATTTCGAAGCCAAGTTGAGATTGACTCATGTAGACCAGGATCTACAAAGGGGGTATTGAAGTAGTTCAAGTTAGAATTACAGCTGGCACATAGCAGAGGTGCGGAAATATCCATCAAGTACTTGAGCTCAGAGCTCTTTGGATGATAATAATCAATTACTTCTACTTGAGCGTGAGAAACATTTTGTCCCGTCCTCAGCCTGCAACGACCAGCTACGACACCATGGACAAGATCCAGGAAAGCTTCACCTTTACTGTCGGAAAGCTCGGTATGTGCGATCACTCATGACATGCTCTTTCTTACTGTTGATTCTCAGATGCTGGCATGGCTGTGAGTTCAGCTCGTAGTCATTCATACCTCTAAGCCTTATTATAACTATTGATAGATCCTCTTAGGCGAACGCGCCCACCTAATCGAATTTCCCTCCATACTATTGCCTCCAGGAGCCACTGCAGGCTCAATAGTCAATATTGCTGTTCATCAGAACCATGCAGAGGAGAAACGAAGAGATGGGGAGTTTTGGGCATTGCAGAAGGAGATTTCGGATGCATATGGTGTAGAAATCCCTGAGGCTCCAAAACTACAGGTCCGTCTTGGTCCAAATACTGTTTTTACTAGACTTTAAGTTAATACAGCTCCGGAATGTCACTCAAACGTCGGTTACACTCGAATGGCCTTCAATAAGCCTAGCAACAGCGAAGTTGCGCTCACTGGACATATATCGTAATGGCCAAAGGCTCGCAGCAATCCCTTCCCCGATGACCAACACGTCAACAAAACTATCCGGGCTAGATATGCAGACGGAATACTCCTTCCAACTCATCCTCCGCACCACCTCCGGCACGTTCCCCTCGAACGTTATTCGAGTCCGCACGCACAGTATTGAAGACACTTCCGGAATTTCTGTGTGCTTTGGTAATTGCCAGGATGAAGTGTTGCTGGAGAATGCCAAGATGGCACTGAGAGAGATGAACGCAAAGTGGAGCGACAAAATACAGATTGATACTACTCATTTTGTGTGTACTACTCCAGCCGCCACGCCGAATGGTGCTCAGGCTAGCGGTAATTCCACTGGTGCGCCAGGCGTCGAATATCAACGCGCGCTGCAGTTGAGCATACCCGTTGTCACTCCTCACTGGATCCTCGCATGTCATTCAGAAAAAAGGTTTGTTGCATTCACTAAATCAATATTGTGTTTTCAAATAATCTATTCACCTTAGGATGGTCGCTATCGGCGTATACTACCTCGGAGCCGAACCATCTGCCTCCACACACTCCTTCCGCCCACAATCCATGTCTCAAGCTTCTCATTCTACGTCTTCTCTTGCCGCACGCACCAACCGTGCATCTTTGCCTGCACCGGCGCGTAAATCGCCTACCTCTCCAAATATGCCCGCCACTCCTGAGACCCACTCTGCGTTTGTCAACCAACCAAATACTCTTGGCTCACCCATCCCTGAGGAGGACGCCTCTTCGAACGCGGAATCGACATCCCCTTCATCACGTGAATCATCTGCCTCCTCTTCACAAGATGATTCTGGTACATCAACGCCCACAGCTACCAAACGGAAAAGTCGTAGTGGGACAATGAATCGTGACTTCCGTTTCCCTCCCTCAAATGCAACCCCTGAAGCGGCGGAAGTTGTCCCTGCACGAAAGTCCCCCCCTCCGGCGTTGCCTGTCCACCAACAAGGTCTAACAGATGACGAGGGGGAGAAAACTGCCAAAATGATTACGCCCTCGGCAATCGAGGTGCCCCCTCCTCCACCTGTGGAAAAGGAAAGGTCAACTGGAAGCTTGGGTTCTCACCAATCGAATGACGAAGGAGACGACGAAGTCGGAGATACGGTCGAGGTCGATTTGAATTAGAACTAACATTCACCGTTGGAGGTTCTCATCGTGGTCGCCATTCCACTGGTTCCTTTGGGGTTCTTTTTCCCTCTCTATACCTTGTTGGTTCTTGCACTTTAGTAAACTAATTTATCGTAAAACGCAGATGGGATACGTTCGGTGTGTAAACTGTTAACGATTGATTGCAGACTGTATAAGGAAGCGTCGACTCCTTCAGTGTTTGAACGTTCGTCCTGTTGTCCGATGAAACGTGTATGAAGTGTATTCAATATTCATGCTTCATATTCCATACATTCTAAGCATTACATAGTATACATACGGTTGGTGATAAACATATACGAATAGATAGAGCATATAAATGATTCAAAGTCTCCATCTCCAATTTTAGTTGAGCATAAGAGCGAGTAGGAGCAATTATTCAATGTCCCCTGATTTTATATCTCACCACGTCACCTTCGATAAAAGCTAAAGCTGGATTTTAAAAAATCCCAGCGAGACATTTGGGGCATCTGTATTTCCCACCTTGAGATATAAAGTTCAGGGACTTCATATACTCACTATAAATATGAGATGAATGTACGTACCGTACAACAAGATTCCCTCTTCCGACCTTCTTAGCCCCGAACCAGATTGGCATTCCAGCGCCGCACACGATTTGAGATCCATTAAGAGAGACCCGAGCTCTGTTCACCGGACGAGGAATTCTAATGCACAAAAGCTTCCCGTCGATGCCAGGAAAACAGAGTCGGCCATCCTGATTGTTCAAATTCTCTGACCACGGAATCTTTGTATCCACAAGGAGATCGTCACCCGCACGGACAAAGCGATCATGTGCAGCTTGTTCAACCACAAATACAACATCTTGAAACATCCCAGGGCTACGTTCGTGTCCAACGCCTCGAAAGGCGATCTGAGCACCAGGCTGAGAACCAGGGGGAACGTCGACATCAAGGACGACGTTTTTCTTCTCCCCTGATAGATAACGTCGAGTGATACGAATTGGGCAGATTCGACCTTGAAAAAGCTCCTCGAGTGTCAAGGTTAGCGAATATCTCCACTCTTTGGAGGTGCCCACGCCAATCGAGGCAAAAGGGGGATTGTACGCAGGATGAAGATGAAGATTGTCGGTTGGCGCCATTTTGAAGGATGTGATTTGACTCATTGGAATATGCTCGCTACTGCAGTCAAGAGTCAGTGGTTCATATAACCGTCAATTATTCGACAAGAAACGTACAAACTCGAAGCATCCGTTGATCTGCGAGGCAAATGAGGCAGCTTGGTTTGCAATGGGCTATCAGTCAATGGTCCGGAGAAGATAGGAAGCGGTTCCCCGGGGATTCGAAAATGATGAGACTCGAGCACGTTTGAGATAGATTGTTGTGGAGGAGCCCGAGGATAAGAGGGTGAATTCCCATGAGCCATATTTGGCAGAGCATCACAGCTCGTAGATGCATGCCGCATGCTGAATCGAGAAGTAGAAGGGGCAGTAGTCACAGATTCGAAGCTTGATTGACGGGATGAAGAAGATAATGACCCTAAAGTTGCGGAAGATTCTCTAGTGCGAGACGCGCTGTATTCTGTACTTGTCCGAGTTTGAAATTGAGGCCTGATTTGATTCAAGTCGTGGACCGACACGTTGGCAAGCTCAAAATGACGCTCGCGCATAATGATGCGGTACGCGTTGTTGATCTGTCAGAAGAAAAAAGAGCGCCGATAAGGATATACATTCTCGAAGAAATACTAAGCACTGACCTCCACAAACTTTGCAGTCGCAAGGTTCTTATCATCCATGTGGCGATCTGGATGCCATGATAGTGCCTACAGAACAGGTAATCTGTCTGTAAGGAGAAGGGGAATTATTCCAGCATTTAGATGTCATTCACTAATTTTTTGTAAGCGGCCTTGATTTCGTCCCGAGTAGCATCGTCGCTGACACCCAGAACCTCATGCCAATGATCTCTACGAGGCTTCGACTTGAAGGGCATTCTGAAGCAGTGAAGAATCCGAATAAAACCTGTGCGAAGTGGAAGGGAATGCAAGTAACACGGCTTAAATAACCATCCAGAAAGTATTGACAAGTAACAAGTGTATCTTAATCTCCCATGATTCTTACCAAAAAACCCGAGGGGTGCATAGAATGCCTCTTCAAGCTTTTTAGATCATCAAGCGGCGAAGTAGATCATGAAAAGTCATTAAACGGATGTCCGCTGGCGTTCTGAACTCGTGTATTGCACGAAGCGGAAATTGCAGCGTAGGATGCAGATATAGAATGAGGTACTGGTGTGTGCAATCTGAATGGCGTAGATATTGACTTCAAGGATACCTGGATAATTCCAACCAGCTGAGTAGAGATGGTGGGCGGTCTTAGAGCCTCAGCAGGCAAAAACTGGTAGACTAAGAAAGTCACGCGTGGGAATAGGATTATAATTGATTCGGCAGCGGAAAGCACATAGTTACATACAGGTTACATAGGCTTCAATTCCCTTCTTCCCGCCGAAATCCTCTTTCTTTCAAGTGCAAAGTTTCATCCTATTTTCAATGTATAAGGTCCCGAATTCTATCTTATGCACTAGCGGCAGATACCTGGATATTGGCTATCATCGACTGTTAGTTTCTTAGATCCGTCATTCCGCTCAACGGTGAAGCCTGAAGCTTGAAGGGTTCTGTTCGCGATGGTCCTTTTAGAACGCGATCAATGTATCTGCCAGTACAGGTACAAGTGGCCCAGAATGTATCCTTCTTCTTTAACAATCTGCGTTGACAAGGGTTTCCTGTCAAACATTCCGGAAGGCCAGTCCGAGCGGAGAGGACCGAGAGAGCTATGTTAATCGGATCGTTGGGTCGATATGAGTTGAAGAATGACGAATAATGTTGTAGGCAGGGCTTCCTGGGTTGTTCTGCCTCGGGTTCTATGAGTTCTCGAATTGCTCTGCAACAGCGGCAGACAGTCTAGTACATAGTCATTTTGAGATAGCCGGCTGTGTATAAAATAACCTGCGAGATTATCTTGCAGAAGCACCCCAAAACATGGATAGCTATCATGCATCATGCACATGAATCGTGCGTTATGATTATCTCTATTCGTAGGAACCGATCATTCAAGTAAATATTACCACACCCTCCACGAATTCACTTTTCTTATTGATTTATCCTCCATCCTTCACTACACCTACAACTCAGAATGCTCACCATCTATGATTTAAGTTGTATGTACTTGCTTTGCCGATATCTCCACCCGGCAAAATTTCTGATATGACCAATAAGCGATATCGGTCGGATGCGTCTTAAGTACCAGGTTTTACCCCCTTTTTTAAAGACGGGCTTGCTGCAAGAGATCATTTCGAGTGGTTCAAGGATAAAATTAACGGGCTGACCGTTCATATTTGAACTATTCACAACCGTAGCACTTGGCAAAGGCATAGAAACCAGCAAAGATATCAGACCGACAAACAGCTCGAATTTGGACGCAAAATAAATCTAGTCGACGTCTAGGCAAAGAGGTATAACCTGGCATTGTGCTGCGTAACAATAACATTATATGCATTGACATACATCCACCTCGGTTAGCGTCGATGGTGCTGCATGCATAGCGTCCGATGAAGTCCGCCTGAGAATATAGACGATGTGACCTGAAGGTCAGCCTCAACAAGCATATGCGCTCGTCGTGAAAGTAATGACACCGCGTCATAGCGAATGCAGCCTTGCAGATCGCATTCTATGATCTGTCGGGATACATATTTATGATCTTCCAACCTTTCTACCGATGTTCAGTGAGCCATCTGAAACACAATCAGCTGGATATAAGTGGCTATGTAAAGGATAACAAAGGAAATATACGCCCGGTAGTTGCAGGAATTATTCGCTCGTGGAAGCCTGAGCCCGAGGTATTGAATACAAGGTAGTCCCGAGCTAGTCTTGCATGAATTTACGAGGACGCCAGACGCTTCATGGTGTTTCAAAGGTGACCGGTGATGCCACACTGGAACTTTTAGCGTAAAACTATGGCGCGACGCTGACACTGCGCCACTGCCGACTGGCCCAGGAGCATGAATTGTTTGTGAGGTAGATCAGATTCACTTAAGCTAAGGCTTGCGTTTGACTCAGCGGCCCTACTATAGGAGTGCATGGGATGTAGGTGTAGTAATGAAAAAACTTAGGTAGCCTGCATAGACCTGGCACGACCTGTATACGACCTGTATTCACTTGTCACCCTTTACCCTGGACCATATTCTGACTCTCACCGTTTCTGCAAGACGCTCTTTACATGACCATAGCAGGTTCGCTATAGGATGGACACTATCGAAATATTCTTGACGTTAGTTTTCGCGCTCGAATTCCCTCTCTCGCAGGCGAACAACGGAAGGTTATACAATCAAGTGATTGTGTGTATTGACAAGAGTTGTTACCGACGAAGAGAAAGCTAAAGGACAACTGCAGAGAAGCGCAACCAGAGCGCAACGTCACTCCAGACCGAACTCAAGTATTGGATTGAATTACGATTAATATGGGTAAGAAACTCGTTGTCGTCGATTTGATCATAACGTCATTCACCTTGGAGGAGTTTTCAGACATACCAACCCAAAATATCACTTTATGGCATTGTCGGGACTCACAAGCAGACTTGCAGCTACTCGCTGGCAAATGAGATGCGTTGAGAGACATTTCTGTAAAATTTTGCGCGCGCTAGTATCGAAGAGTGTGAAGGATGTCGAGCAGCGTGAATCATCGCTTACACCATCACGTTCCAAACATGAGGACAGGGATGAGGTCGGGAGAAACGAACAACACAATTGTGATACACCAGGATACACATCAGTACTGGGAGTTTCCTTCAATTTTCTTGAGTATTTCTGCCGCAAGGTTCCTCCCCGTCTGCTCGCTTGGATGAAGCTCGTCCCACCACATGTAAGAATCACGCTCGGCCAGAGTACAGTCCCCACTAAAGATCGTTAATATGCCTCAACGGATACGATAAAACGATGTTCGAAACGTACATTCCGCATTTTGTGTAATCGTCCGGATCTGGGCATTGGTGACAATGGCCGGTGACATTAGCTGGTATGCTCCCATTGAAATATTGAGTAGGGTTGTTGTACATTTTTTCGAAAAATTCGTACGTATTGAACCATTCGACACGACCGTCGCCTGCCCATTCCGCATTGAGAACGTTGATACCGTCGCTAAGCATTCGATTTAGGCTGTGTACTAAATTATACATGCCCTTGTTCCAAGCATCCCCATCATGTACTTCAGGATAATAGATGGTTGGTGCAGAGGAATTGGAATATAAGCCGGTGAGTTGAAGAGGAATCAGTGAGTTAAGGATGAAATTTCGCGCTCCTAGTAGATGCATTGTCCTAATGGAATCTAGCTGGCAATCAACAACGTCTGGCAAAGAGACATTGGCGGCCTGGTCTGCGGTGAGGAATGAACCGATGCCCACGTCGTTGGTACCAATGAACTGCACCACAACGAAAGACGAGGGATCCAATAAAAGTTTTTGCTGAGAAGCATTGCCGGCGTCAATGTGATCCTGAATGAACCACGCCTGCTGCCCCGAGGATACGTCAGGTTCTCCATACAGCGGTGTCAAATTGTTTGAGCAGACTGCTCCGCCGACTGCATAATTCCAGATAGTGTAATTGCCATATAAACCGAGATACCATGGCCATTGGACACCTCCATCAGCTGCAGTGTCATTCTGCAAAACACGCTGGTCAACGTTACGTATAACGGTAAAATAAAACGAGGCTCAGACAGGGGGAAACACTTCTTGATAATCTTTACCAGGGTACGTGCCATTCGAAATGCTATGTTGGCGGGACTGGTCTATATAAATAACAATATGAGAACTGGTTGACGTATGCAGAAAATTTGAGCGCACCAGTGTAGGAATCACCAAATAGAACAACGTCCGTTATGCGTGCTAGAGCAACAGACACGTCATTCAAAACTAGAGCGAGGATGATACCGGCGATGATGGTCAACATTACATCGTAGGACAGAGGATTTTATCAGCTTTCTATCATTGACTCTCAGTGAAGCGGGCCGAACATAAGGACGAGAATATCAATTTGAAGTGACCACCTGAGCTAGATACATCTGGCGAGCAGCTCCAAGTCTATTAAAACATCGATTCTAGATTTGCAAGTATCATCTTGACTTACACACCTGCTCAAGTATGTTCTACCAGTGTCAGTGGAATTCACAAAAGGATTTATGCCGAATATTTGCCGAATCCACAGCGAGCTCAAAACATTGAGTGGATAAATAGTGAATGACTAAAGGGTTGGACTGCGATGATGGAGTTAGTACATGGCGATCGTCAGGGAGAAGTTATACGGAGCCTATACTGTTAGCTAGAGACGGTGGCTGATTAATATAGATATTATTCATTGCCTGAATCAAGCATCGAACGGGACATCATCTGTAAAATCCTACTTCATAGCCTTCCTCATTTTCTATGGAAACAAGTCAGTGTCTATACGAGGACATGCAGGTGAAGGCATTTACCTCTTCCATGACATCTATATCATTCGTCTCAATTCTCATAATCTTTTTCCCTGTCTGTTCTTCAATTTGTTGCATTTGCTGCCAAGTCTTCCGATCATGTACAAAGTTGACTGAAATCCCTTTCCGTCCGAACCGACCTGTTCGTCCTATACGATGGATGTACGTCTCGACGTCGGGTCGGACATCATCTGGGCGAGAATTACTTCGCTCATTCATGAGGGGAAGGTCATAGTTGACAACCATGTTGACTTGCAAGATGTCGATACCCCGGGCAATGACGTTGGTTGTAATGAGGACCTGTGAATTGAATGCACAAGTAAGAAGAAGAACATACGATATCACTGATGCATACCTTTTCCTTGCCCTCTCTGAACCTATCAATAATTTGATCACGCTCAGTCGCGTCCTTTGCCCCATGCAACGATGCGACATGATGTCCCTCCGCCGTCATCCTGGCGCTAATTCGATCAGCTGTGTGTCGGTGTTGGCAGAAGATGATACTCTGTCCGATGGTAAGTAGTGTATACAGCGTGACCAGAATATCGTATTTATGCTCCTCGTCCCTACAATCCATGTAAAATTGCCGAATAGAGTCAACACTGAGTTCTTCTCTTTGTAATTCAATCTTATTTGCATTTGGAGCGAATTTGGATGCAAAAGCACGGACGTGATCGGGGAAAGTGGCGGAGAAGAGAATAATTTGGACTTGAGATTTAGGGAGCAGACTGTAGGATCCCGATTAATAAACGTGGTGGTTCGATGACCGGTACGTACTTCTTTACTCGTAGAGTTTGATCGCCCAGTCCATCTTGATCAAGCATGTTGTCTGCTTCATCCAACACAAATACTCTGACACCACTGGCGTCTATAACCTTCCTTCGTAAAAGGTCAATCATCGTTCCGGGCGTGCCAACGATAATTTGTGCGGTAATCCTGGTGGCATTTCTGGGTAAATTCTCCTTGATGGCGTATTCTGTTTGCACGGAAGTAAATTTGCCCATGGCAATGACTACGGACATGATTTGTCGCGCGAGTTCACGAGAAGGAGCTAAACACAGAGCCTGGCTCACAAATGAGGCAAACGATGAATCGGAAATATAATGGAAAAGTCATACTTGTGGTTTGTTCAAATTGAAGTCTACCCGACTGAGCATTGTCAGCACAAACGCGGCAGTCTTTCCAGTTCCTGATTGAGACTGCCCAATCATGTTAGTGGGTCTGATCATGGATCAGCAAGTGAATTCATATTGTACGCTCGCAGCGAATCTCACGGGTTGGAGAGAAGTAGGGGTAAAGCGCGTTCCTGGATCTTGGAAGGTTTGGAGAAACCCATGTCGTATATTCCCTTGAGCAAATCCTGATGGCTATCCGAATTTCAGAACGAACGGGTTTTATACAAAGTTCGCGACGCACAGCCCAAGTTCTTCAAAGGTCTTGACACTGTACAGCGGAGACGAAGAATCTGCTTGTTGATCTGCTAATGTAACCTGCGGATGGGGATATCCTACGCTGATTATGGTTGAAGGTTTTTCATCTGCTTACTGAAACTTCGAAAGTCGAGTTAATTAGATCGGTGTTGACGGCTGCTTCACTGTCAGAGAGCGATTAATTGAGAGTTGCAGACATCGTACATTCAGTGGGTGCCTCTGCCTTTTCTTCATCTTCAAGTTTAGCTTCGGGGTTGGCTTCTGGTTTGGCTTCAGCTTCAGCCGCAGGAACTGCAACTGGCGCTGAGTATGACTAATAAGCACGGGTCAAAGATGATTCAAGATCGTAGAGAACCTGGGGTATAAAAGCCATCTGCATCTTTCTCCATGTTGGTTGTATAAGAAAAGGAAGTTTTTAATCTAATCTAATCAGTTACCATTTTTGTTTTGTTACTCGCGCCTTTACGACGCGCCTCGTGTTCGCCATGGATTCTTTTTTTTCTTGACCTCACGCTCACCGAACCCCAGAACGTTTTGTTCCGGGATGTACTGCCTTGACGAAAACACTGTTATATGAAAGAAGTTCAGCTAATACGCTTCTCCTGTATTTTAACAACTTTCAAGCTTTCAAGTTCAAGTTCAAGCCTAACTAGCCTGAAATGCAGCTTTTCCCGAGAGCCGCGATATTCTGTGGGGTTTTGTCCCTCAGCCGGGCATATGATCTCGTACGAGAGTACTCTGGTATAACCTTTTTCGATGATTGGGATTTTTTTGGGAGCTGGGATAACCTAACGCTCGGTAAGCGCTCTTGACATCCCCTGGCCTCAACTATAATTTGTATCTCAGGCGACGTCTACTGGCTCGATGAATCGGATGCATTCTCTCAAGGTCTTGCCTATGTGAACAGTGTTGGAAATGCCGTCATCAAAGTCGACAATATGCATTCCGTACAGTCTCCCCAGAAGAGAAATTCGGTTCGAATAACGACGAAGGACTCGTATGCGGTGGGAAGCCTTTGGATTTTTGATCTGGTCCATATCCCTTATGGGTGCTCTGTAAGCTTTGCGCACCCTCTGGGAATTTGCAGGATTCATGCATACGATTTCAGGTATGGCCGGCTGTGTGGTCGCTTGGTGGCCCAACATGGCCAGAAGGCGGTGAGATTGAGTAAGTGAAGTGGATGTAAATGCGTCTTGAGTATTCACGTTTGAATATTTCAGCATCATGGAAGCCGTAAACCTTATGCCCAGTAACCAGATGGCTCTTCATACTACCACTGGCTGTTTTCACAATAACACTCCCCCAAACCAGCTGGGAGCAACACTGGTTACCGATTGCTCCACTGCAGCGGGATGTACTGTTGGTGAACTCCAACCGAATAGTTACGGAAGCGGTTTCGCGGATATGGGCGGAGGGGTGTTTGCTACGCAGTTTGACGTTGCTGGGTTAGTGTAGCACTTCGACTCTGATATGGATGAACTGACCACATTTATAACCCAGTATATTGTTCGTATGATTTTCTTCGCATTCATATCCCGAAGATAATATACTAAAAGAACTTCTGACTTCCGTTCAGTATATGGTTTTGGAGCGTAAGTATAACAGTATCCCAGTCGTTGATTACTCACTTCCCTCCAGCGTCCTAACGTTCCTTCGTCAATAAATCAATCCAACTCAACGTCTGGCATCGACATTTCTCAGTGGGGTCCTCCTTCCGCCAGTTATCTCGCCGCAGGGCAGTGTAATATCACGGAATTCTTTACGCCTCAGCAGCTGATTCTGGATATTACTTTGTGCGGAAATTGGTGAGAGTAGTAAAGCTTCTCGTTAAGTGTACTCATTAACTTGATTTGCAAAGGGCTGGCCTGCCAGAAGTGTATTTTCCCTCCTGTGGGAATCAAGGATCGACAGGAATATGTGTAAGCTCAATTACTGATCGCTAGAGTTTTGTCTATTGCTCACCTTCCGCGTCCAACAGTACAACGACAATGTGGTCGGTGATGGGTCAAACTATGACGATGCCTACTTTGAGATACCTTATATTCGCGCCTACACTACCGGTGGCGTAGCACCTACGCCTACCGCTTCTCCCTTTGAAATTGTTTCTAAGGTTGACATCAGTACTTATCCAGGTTATGGGAGTGTTACTATACCTATGTCGGCAATCACTGCAACGGACACATTATTGCATCCAAGTCCCATGTTCGTCCCCGGAAATGGAGTATCTGCACGTGTTCCAAGACTAGAGATGGGATGCGCGGGATGGTGGTTAGTGTCAATTGTGGTGATTATGTTTATCAGGCTACTTTGATGAGAGAACGAAGTGCTACTCTGAACAATGAACGATCCTTATTCCGAACTGCTGGTTTAATGATAATGATATTCTTAGAACAGCTATATATTCTGGACAGATAGACACGTATATCTAGTATACATACTGTTTCATCTCCTACTACATACACTCTATTTGAGAGTTTGATCAATCATATTTTTTATACACACTTTGGACGTGCTATTACTTGACTGACTCTCGATTATCTTCACAGTTCTCTTTCGCCCCCTTCCTGGCCTGTTCTTCTTTGTGAATCCATCTGGTTTCATTCAGATTCATCATCTAAGTGCGTCGTTTGTTGCACCGTAGTACTTATATGGCTATTGTACCGTAATCCAATGCAAGATCGACGAAGATCACATGGGCGAATCGAAGCCTAGGTTACTTGCAGCTCCAAACAGTCTAGACAATTCTTGTAGCCTGTTCGTCCAAGTGCACGAAAGAAGATCAGGGGGGAAGAGATAGTGAAGAAGTCGTCAGCTCCTGTTTTTCCCGTGCAATTCCAAGATGCTCACCTGTTCATTCCCAACATCCCATACCCACCCGCTGACTTTCGTCCCACGCATGATGAGTGGGTGTGTTCGGAGGAAGTGGACTTCAGATTTCAGGGAAGCTAGCAGTGGATCTTCTTGTTGTTCAATCGGCTTTTTTACGCTCATGTCGCTGAACATGATACTTGCAGTTTTAGATGAAGACGAAACGGGTGTTGCTGATGAGGATTCCGATGAGATAACATCAGGCCATTCCAAGAAATCCATCTCGTCTATCATTGATCCAACCGTTTCCTCAGCACCCTCCTTTGAACTTTCGGTGATCAGACTCCTCAGGTCAGGTTTTGAGAACGTAGCCATCCCACATCCGGTATGGTGATAAACTGCGATTTCACGGGTACCAAGGAGACGTTGGGAAATGATGAGCGAACGAAGAGCATCTCGCCTGAGAGGCAAGAAACGTCAGCAGACAGGTAGAGAAAGAACGAAGGGTAGACCGACGCCATTCCACCAGCATTCCGGATGATATGAGCTTCGCCCATCTTGATGCCTAGTTGTGTGAAGGGACTTTTGGTCAGAGTTTGTAGAACATGGATTTGTTTGGGCAATGTTGTTGAGTAAGATTGTATTATGTCGTGGTGGGAGTGCGCGGCCAGAGATGTATTACACAAAAGAGGAGAAAGAGGGGCCGCAGAGGGAGAAGGGAACAAGTTGTTTTGATTGGTATTGTTGAAAAAACTTCGAGGTAGAGGGTAAGGCTCACTTGATTCGTGCATCCATGCAAGTTACTGTAATTAACGTCAGCTACCCAGTAAACAAAAATTAAAGTAGTACAACGCCATAGAAGTTTTTTTTCAAAGTTCAATAACAGGATCCTACCTATAGCCAATCTCTTTGTCGGGGGAAGTGCAATCGGAGGCTTACTGCCCACTTTACTGTTCTCTATGCTGGTGTTGCTCGAGCAATGCCTTACTAACCCAACTCCCGTAAATAGTCCTGACGAGCTAGCAGTGCTGAGCATATTGCTGTTGCATGCGTAGAGCGAGTATGCGAGGTGTCGGAGGGGCATACTATCACTTGTCAGAGCTTTTTTATCACAGGTTTCGTTGAAACCAGGCAAGCTCACATCTAAGCGCCCGAGGCGCATTACACGTGGGGATCGCCCTAATCTAGGGTCTGACACGATTTACCTTCCACCGGAAAAGATTTTTGCTTGCCTCCTGCTTGCCTCTTAGTACATTGTAGCTAGAGTGTCATGAAAGGACCAATACACATCCTTCACGTATAGTGAGTGTTGGAGCCACGTGCATTGTTCGTGATCACGTAACAGTTTCCTGGGCTCCGAGAGACTCTAAGCCTCTGATGGGAAGCTCAAAATGAATATTCCTCCCCCGGACTACAATAACAACCAGCGGGATTTTATTTTATGACTCGAAAAGAGGGAGAGGTTCAAGGTTACACCTGGGTCACACAGATATCTTACGGGTCGCGTGCGTGGTTTTCTCTTAGGAGTTTTTCCAGTATACCGCCCCAATCAGTGCGAAACAAAAATCACGTTTCGGCAGGGAGGTGGCTATGTATCGCTTCTAAATCCTTGTTGCCCACACCCACTGACTCGTTTTCCAGTTGAGGTAGATTTGCTGGCCAAGTCTATCACAGTTTGTTCACTCTGGTATGATCTTACCTTGTTGTCGTGTTGACCCACTTAACTTTGGTGCGACGTAGCTTCCTCTCGCATCGGACAATTCATTCAAGTTGCTAGTGCTCTTCATCAATATCCGCTCCCCGTATCTTTGAACACGCTCTTCTTCGGTTCGCTTTGCAACCATTCGGTATGGCTCCACAATGTTCATGAGTCACCTTGCTTGCAAGGTCTATTGCACTCCGGAAGTTAAGTTGTTTTGTGCAGGCACGTTTTGGTTGTGCTTGGCCTCATGCTTTTGCCAAATGTTTACAAACATCCTGAGCTCTGTGCTTGCTTTGCGGTGCACACAAGGTGCGCCGCATTCTTTCCTCAATACTCAGATTAATCAAACAAATTTCCACAAGGCTTTTGAAGTGTGTATATCCTTGCACCTTATGTGCCTTGTTTTTTTTCGCTTGATACTTGAATTAAAATCTACACCTTGACAAAGACACTCAGATGATACTCAGACCACCCTACACTTTTGGTATACATGAATCCTGCATCATTCCCTAGTTCCTGCCATACCAGTTCTAGTATCAATTTAACTGAAATTTATCCTTTCCCAAGCAAGGTGCAGTCCACAACAGTGGAGCCTAGTTTCAAATATCTTAATCATGAGAATGTTATAGTGCGCACTTCATCATGCTATCTAGTTCATCTTTATCGGTGTTGCAACTACTGTGGACATGTGTCTTTCTTGTATACCTGCTCAATATTGCTGCAGTCACTATTCCAGTGGGCTCTCCTATTCCATCTGACAGTCCAACTCTCATCAAAGAAGGTAAGAATGTTGCCACTCATTTCATACTAGTCAGCTCATCAAGGGTACCGTAAAATATAGAAATCAGAATATGGGTTATTCGCAATGAGAAGAACTTGAAAACATCAAAGGTGTACATGTACATTGGCGACCAAGGCTTTGGTCTTGGCAATGTACTGCCACTTCCAACCTGCTCCGACAATGGCCATTCTTTAGAGCACCTTGGCGACGCTTACTTTGCTAACACACAAGACAGGAACAAAGCTTTGAATGAGTTGAGGACTGTTGAGGAGTCTCGATCATGTTGCAGAGACCACGTCACTACGATATTACCGCTACCTCATGCCGATTTTGAAGTGCCTCTCATGGTACACAACTGGTTTGCGGGACCCCATTCTGCATTGAACAATGATGTGTATACACTCTGGACATTAAGGATTCAAGTGATTGAGCAGCATATAACCAAGCTTGATGCGGATCAACACAAGCTGCGTTTGGCAGGGTTAAAAAAAATTGGAGGAGGGCCTAGTACTGGAAATCCCCCACAGTGATATGTATGTGCATAGAGGAAAAATTTGACCGATCTGTATCCCGAAATATGTCCTCCTGCGAAAAATTTCTTCCCTTGTGAATTCTGGCTCACGAGACTATTGAATACTCTCCCTCCTCGGGACCTCTTTAGAGATCTACCGAAAAGCTTCCTTCGCCATGTAATGCTAAATCCTTTTCCTGGAAGCATGAATATTTCTGCATCAATCCCGAGAATCGTAGTTTGCACTGGTATATGTCAGAACTTTTGACAATTGTATGCGTCATTTACGTGCAGGGCAGTGCTCCTGAAAATAACGAAGTAGCGCCGGTGAGCAGCAGGGCCCGCTACCAGTCAATGTGTGTCTGTGTGAGCACTAAGTACAAGATGGACTGAACACAGATGCAGGGATGAGTAGTAAGAGGTAGTGTTTGTAGAGGTCTGTACTACAATGGGACCACACCTTGATTGGTGATGGCTAATGTACTTGTATTGTAGATAGAAAAAGCGGCGCGCATGGGGCGCGCCGCATGTAGATGCATCTGCCCAACCCAGAGTCTCCAGCTGTCTCCACAGTAGTACTGCAGTAGTATAATCAACTTGAAAAGTGAATGACCAAAAAAAACTGGGTCTACTAAACCCTTCAACCTCTACAGAGGTAGTGGGAATTATTCACTGGAAGTGATAGTTTTTACTGTAAGACGAAGGTTGTCAAGAGAGAAACACCCAGTTTTTGTCACCAGAAGATGATGGTTGTCGAGAGCAAGCACAAAAAGTGACTAATCAACTGACAGTAAAAAGATCGCTAAAAGGGGATATATTACTAAAAAATGATGACTAGGATGGATAATTTGGAAAAATTAGGGTCTACTAAACCCTTCAACCTCTAAAGAGGTAGCGGGAATTTGTTTCACAGGACACTACGACTTAGTCTGTATCCTTCTCCTTTCCCTTCCAACCAAAAATCGCTGCAGGAACTGGATTTGCTGGCCATATCTATTTCCGTACGCTTTGCCATTATCATTCTTCGTCGCTCTTATCTTAACGTGTTTTCTCTCATGCCTCAAGTCAACTTTGTTGGTGTAGTCGACATCTCCATTGAAATTCGCTCGTTCGAGTTACTGTCCAACCTTCATATTTTCTCTTCACCGTGTACGTGCCATGTCTTTTGTTAAGATGTGGTCAATTGACTTTTGTGCATAGACAAGAACGCACCTCGATTTGTATGGCTCTGCAGTTTTAATTATTGTTAACAATACTAAATTCGGCCCAAGCAAAGTACGGCGACTCGTGCTCTCAGTGTTCATCATGTTATCAGGTTCATCTTCATCGTTGTCACGACTACCTTGGGCAGGCCTCTTCCTTGTATACTTGCTCAATATCGCTGCAATTGCCAGTCCAGTGAACTCTCCCGTTTCATCTCACAATTCGATTTCTATCATTAAGGAAGGTACGAACATTCATGCTGGATTTTAAATTGGATAATGAAGCTAATCAGGTTTCTGCGACATACACAGAAGTCAAATTATGGGTCATTCGGGATAAAGCATCAAGGAAAACAATGAAGGCATACATATACATTGGTGAACAGGGCTTTGGCCTTGGTGATGTGCCTCCACTATCAGATTCAGTTCCACCGAAGAAGAAGTTTAACATCGGCAAACCGCCTCAGGATCCAACAGAGCTCCTCGGTCCCGCTTTCTTTGCCAACACACAAGACAGAGACAGGACTTTGGACGAGTTGCGCACTCTCAATCAAAATTATGGCAAAATTGAAGAACGCTATTATTCCTACCTCACCGAAATCTTGAGGCGTCTCGCGTGGCATCAGACTGGTTTGCTGGATCCCATGTTTGCATTCGACGATGAATTGTTGCAGAAGTGGAATGATAGGGTGGACAAAATCGTGAAAAAGATAAATGAGAAAAAGGAGAAAAAGCGAAAAGATGCGCAGGCGCAGGGAAAGTCGAATTGAACGAAAAGAACACGACGCTGAAATGGAAGAACCTAATTCCCCGGTAGCAGAACTTGACTATTGATGTGTAATTGAAGTTTGCATTCGGAAAAGTCATTGAAGACTCTCTAGCGCTGCATCTCGTGTTTCAGAGCCACAGTCAATGAAGAGTGTATGATAAGTAAGGAAATGCGTCTCACCTGGTGAGAGGCTACAAAGAAAAATCGACGGTTGATGAAGCGATGACCTAATACGGAAAGTGCGGGCGGGAACGCAGCCTTGAGTTTATGTAAAGCTTTACACTGTACACCATTAAAGTTCTCGTCAGACATAAACGATTCCTCGCAAGCAGCGGACGACCCGCCCATTGCAGAATTCTTTGACTCACGTGGCTCTGCAAATCTCGCTGTCTTCACAACATTGCTCACTTTCGTGGACCGATAGGATAGGACGCGAAGACTAGGATTGGAACTGGAAGTAGACCCATAGTGATTTATACGTGGTCAGAATTCATCAGCACTCGCACTCAGTAGGCCAACAAGTCCATTCCAATATCGCTTTACGAATACGAACTACCCACCGACAACACAGTATTTCGACATGGATCATTTATCTTCTACATTAACAACTCTCAAAGACCAAGCTAAAGATGCTCTCTGGGCTCTTTCAGCCGGCTGGTCAAGCTGTGTAATGTGCCAGCAGGAAGCGAAGGTAAAGATCAATGGAAGGACTTGTGAGTTGTCACGAATAACATCCTTAAACGTTATTGACTTCTTTCCTTACTCGTCCTCTCTTCTATCTCATAACATACCCGCTAAATCGTCGTCCTGGGGTGTTCAACTTAAATGGAATTCACTGAATGAACGAAATCAAAACAAAGTCAAAATAATCAAAGTCCTCGGCGAGGGAGGTTTCTCGTTTGTTTATCTCGCACAAGATGAAGGAAGTGGTGTGAGTTTCATTGTCATGTCCTATAGTATGCTACCTTCCGTATCCAAAGTCCAATCTCCCAGAAATCTCTCAGGAAACCACTGTGATATAAATATGATACTCACGCCATTTCCTACTTTAGCGTCAATTCGCCCTCAAAAAAATCCGCTGTCCAACCGGCAACGATGGCGTCAAAGAGGCCATGCGGGAGGTCGAGGCATACAGACGGTTCCGGCACCCGAATATCATACGTATATTAGACTCGGCGGTGGTCCAGGACGAAGATGGAGAAGGGAAAGTTGTATATTTATTTTTGCCGCTGTATCAGGTGAGTATCGACATTCAGTCTACCGGTCGCTCTGGTCAAATCACTGAATCAACGTCATTTGAACAGCGAGGCAACATCCAAGACCTCATCAACGCCCACCTTATCAACCACTCTCACTTTTCCGAACGAGAGATGATCAAGCTGTTTAAAGGGACGTGTGAAGCCGTTCGTGCGATGCATGAATGGAGACCTGCCAAAGGGGCGAAGAAGGGCAATCCTACAAATGAAGCTAGGTCGAATGCTCACCAGAACGGGTCAAGCTCCAACCAAAGACAAGGAAGATCCAATGGAAACGCGCCGCAGGTCCAGTCGAATAGCTCACAGTCAAGAGCACAAACCAATGCGGACGGTGACGATGAAGATGATGATCATAGATTCCCCGAACCAGAAGGTGATGCTGAAGGAGGATACTCTTATGGTCCCTCATCTAGGGGTACCGGTAAGCCCTCAAGAAGTGGCTCGGGGTCGGTACCGTTGATTGACCGTGATCGGGGTGAGGAGGAAGGGTTGATGGGAAGCCAAGCAGATGATAGAGGCGGAGAAGCGTTGTTTGATGGGGATGAGGATGTTGCTGGCATAGATGGCGAAGGCGGAGCCGGTGAGCGGGGGGAGATCGTTCCGTACGCTCATAGGGATATCAAACCTGGGTGAGCACCTTTTGTTCCTCTCCAATTTTCTGATTAGTTTCGTACTTGTCTCCTTAATCTCCCCTACCTCTTCTTTACCTCTTCTATCTCCAATGGCCCTCTATGGACTCCGTTTCCTCTTCTGTTCATGTCGTCGTCCTTGCCTCATTCTAATCCTCCTTTACTTTTTGCAGGAACGTCATGATATCCGATGAAGGTCGACCTATCCTCATGGACTTTGGATCTGCAATGCGAGCACGGATAAAGATAGAAAATCGTTCCATGGCGCTATATCAGCAGGTCAGCCTCTCTGTTCTCTTCGATTTTTTTGTATGCGGTTTACTTACGCTGCAGCCTTTGCTCTTCGTCAAAACCAGGACATCGCCGCTGAACAATCGACAATGGCGTACCGTGCTCCGGAGCTCTTCGACGTTAAAACGGGGACGATGTTAGATGAGAAGGTTGATATCTGGGTAAGCACCTATCATCATCGTAACCACCCGTTCTCACAACTCATGTTTTACAGTCCCTCGGTTGTCTCCTCTTCGCCATGGCTTACTCTCACTCTCCCTTCGAAAACACCCAAACGACAGAACAAGGTGGGTCTATCGCTATGGCTGTCCTCAATGCACAGTATAAGCACCCGAGAGGGAGCGAAGGGAGGTATTCGAATGGGCTGAAAGAGATGATTGATAGTATGCTCAAGGTGGATCCGGAGGAGAGACCGGGGATTGAGGAGGTATTGGGGATGTGTGAGAGTGTTGAGAGAAGGTTGAGGTAGTGGAGGAGTGATACCGATGGGGGCAAAAGTGTGTTTAGAGGTGGGAGTGATCCCTGTAGGTTAATTCTAATGTTTTAGACGTGTTGCGCCGTGAATATGGGTCTATGCGTTCTTTAATGATTTCTGTTATCTAATTTCAATCGATACAAAGTAAGTAGCTATGCTTCTTGTCTTACGAGTCGCCTTCGATGTGCCCGCCTAGCTCAATCGGATAGAGCGTCAGACTCTTAAGACGGGAGATGGGTGTATCTGAAGGCTGCGAGTTCGACCCTCGCGGTGGGCTAAGTGGAATGACATGGGGTGAATGTTCTGCATCCTTTAATTAGTCCATTGAACTGTTTTTGCCTTCTTTTGTCTTTTCTCTCTTTAATTTCCAGGATTTTATGTACATAGTGAGAGTCAGGTCGGAGTTTTGAAACCATATGGTCTGAACAGGCCCAGCAAGTCAGCTACAATAGATCTCCACAAACTGTACTGCGTAGTACACTGTGAGTGTGCAAATTATCCAAAAATGATTCGAGGCTTTTGGTACTGAATAGCAGGTGCGGATTCAATTGTACCCTCCCGAAATCACTTGCAACTTGTTGCAAGGCTGGACTCGTTTTTTTCGGCTCAACACTGGATGCAGGCGATGAAATGAGAAGGTACATATTCTTTGGAGTACTATGTATGTAGCCTAAGTTACATAGAATCTACATTGCACATCCCTCCTTGACCCCGAGTCACTGTCAACGCCCAGCGCCGCTTGCTCATCGCTTGCTTCAACAGCGCTCAAATTCAGACCGAATCATGATCAGACTGAATTATCTTGACAAATGTACACGCAGCGCTCCCTAGCGCTCCGTAGAAGACGGGTATCACAAGGGGATACTGGGTTCAACAAGGTTCGGACGCGTTGGACACAAATGCGATTTCTCGAGGTAAGCAGGAGGTAAGTATGGCAATCGGAGCGATTGGTCCGTCCGCAAGGAGAAACAGATTCCCGGATTTACACGAGTTCACTGGGGTCGACCTTTTGAATGATCTTGTGTCAACGTAGCACGTAAAATCATCATCACCTTCAGTTTTCACTTGTGTTCACTCAAAAATATCGTCAACAAAAATATAGCAACAACACTCTGTCCTGACTCCGCTGGTTGAAGCGCGAGTCAAAGAACTTGAGCAACTCGGAAATCACATTTTATGTTTTGGATCGTGTTATATAATTTTACCATGATTGTCGATTTTAATCAGAGTCGGGAAGCGTGATAAGTGGAAGAAATAGAAAACCCTTCATGGTTGCTTCATCTTGAGTTCCTACTTCCCTATAATCCAAGCCTTCAACCCAATTGAGGAAGACCACTCCTCGCCTTGGGAGTCTCGTTGGGTATCTTCAGGACTCCGTCTTCAGAGTTGGATCGCGGAATTGCAGGTAACTGACTTCGTTTGTTTCTGTTTTCTTCACCACATGCATAGAATCAGGTAATGCGGGAAGAGCTTTTATTTATTTCTGCGAATAAATTGTTTTTTGGACTCGGGGGAGATTCGAATATCAACTGCGGGAAGGACTTTAGTAGAGTGTTACGCGTAGCCATGTAAATTTTCGAAGGTCGTGCATCAAGTTCACACCTTACAAGTGATCGCCAGATGCAAGCCATTATGCACGACAATGATCGCTATTCGGAAACTCCTGAGAAAGAGGCAGACGGATCCATGTACTGCCCTTGGATGATTGGGGTATAAAGGTTGTCGAACTTCAAGCAGATTCTCGAGCTTCTGGCAAGTCTCCCTCAGCACTTCTACAACACACAACTCCCTTTGCCGGTCAAAGGAATTTGTCTTCGTCGTCACTCGATAACAACATCGTCTCTATCTTGCTCCTAGCTCGAGTCCATCGCGAGCTCATCTACTTCCACTACTCACAACTTTAAATTTGACTTAACCCGTCAGTCGCCATGCGTTTCAATCTTGCTTGCTTTGCCCTTGGGCTCTTCACTGCTGTATCCGCGATTCCCGTTGCTGTGAGTATTACTCAACATCGCATTGTTTCCAGAAGTTGACAGAATTTCAGGTGCAGAACAACAACGGCGCTGTGGAAGCTCGTGCCCCATCCTCTAATAATGAGTTCGACCTCCGCGAACTCGGTGGAGCCATAGGAGTTAACGTTTACCACGCCCGTGGTACCCAAATCTTCAATTCTCGTGGTGAAGAGATCGACGCTCGAGAGACCTTCGGCTTTACCTCTGCTGATCTCGAGTCGCGCGAAGCCTTCGCCGCCGCTATCTCCTCCATCTCCAGCAGGGCTCCCAACAAAGTAACCATCAAGGTAACATTCACCAATGATCTTAGTTCAGACTCCAACAACCCCGATCGCGCCAAAGCTCAATCCGATGCAAAGGCAGCTGTTCAGTCACTGCTTAACGCTGCTGCAAAGGAGTTGTCTTTGGAAGGAAAAACTTTGGACGTCATCTTTTTGAACGACTACCACTCCAGTCGTGGAGAAACCACGGAGCATGTCACGTTCACCTTTGACGAGACTATTTGTGCGGGAACTTGTACGGGACATGCGTTCGGATCTGGAAAAGGAGAAATTTTCAAGCACGATCACTCCAAGATTTTCAGTAAGAAGGTACGTCTCTGTTTATCTTATTGTCTTGACGTTGTTAGTCTGATGGCTGCCTTGCTTTTTCTTCCTGCAGTAAACATCTTAGTAGTGTAGTAGCCCTTCAGCTACGTGGTAGTTACCCATTCAGAGTAGAGTAGAGTTTGAGTATAGTGGGGACATCGAATGAAACGAGGATTTGTGCTATCATTGACTTGTGGATTCAGATATCTAAGCAGCCGCCAACTTGTAACAGCAGGCAAGCGATGTAGAGGTGACTTTGAACTCGTGTGATTTCTTTCCTTCTGTGTTGTGCAAATGTGGATAATTGAGCCCTGTTGCCGTACTTGAGAGGCAAAACTGGCACGGATTAAACTTAGATTTATGACTGAAGAATACAACTACGCACGTTGTGCACTGGCATAATTTCTTATCTGAAGAATTGACATCTTAGTAAACGCAATGTATGTCGATCGTAGACTCTGAAAAGTTGTTCGATACAGAGAGGCTCTGTGAGGAGACCAATTAACATGGCGCGCGTCCGATCAAGTAAAAGATCAAAATCACCGTCAAGATCAAAATCTATCATCAACCATCATGAAGTCATTAGCGGAAACTGAAAGCTGACAACCGTCAGTAAAATGCGTACTTGAAACGATTGTTCTTCCCGACCTTGTAAAAGATGTATGGACTCTGTGCCAAGTACTGGCTATGTATGCGGTACATTGCTCGCTGTAAAATCCCGAATACAGGTGCAAGACTGTGTAAAATCCGGAGTTCATCAGAGGACTCTGTAAGTAAGAGACTCCGATAGAATTTGTGTGAAGCTAAAACGAGGGATAAGAATCTCAAGCAGTTGCCGTACATCTGGTCCCGCTTGGACCCTAGGTGTTCCGTGGAGTCAACCCTAGTCAACCAGGAGTCAACCAGCAACGTCGACGATATAGCTTACTTTGGCCTATCCTCCTGATAGCCCAAGTGCATACCACCAATGTTCCTCAATCCTATGTCTATTGTCGTTGTTCAATCATTTGCAAAATGAGATGAGATCAGCAGCTGAAAATTCCTCGGCGGTTTGTAAAAAAAGACACACACATGTTGAATTTCTCTGAATTCGCAGAGATGCATACAATCTGCTGAGGGTACGAGTAGATCTTCTGTGTGAAATATATCAGTAGTGTATTGAGCAGTCCCGGCACGAGTAGGAACAGAACGCTCTTCCATCCATTGAATCAAGGCAAGCACTCTACTCCACAACATGTAAACAAAAAATGAATGGACTCACTGAGACGACTCACTGCGGTTGTAAATCTGGTCCGCGAGCTCTAGACGTGTCAATTAGAGTATAAAAGGTGCCAGAGTTTCGGAGGATGGTTCCTCAGCTTCTGGCAAGTCTCTCTTAGCACCTACACCACTCCCTTTGCCGGCCAAAGGAATTATCAGTGTTTCTTCGTCTTCACTCGACACGACAACCGAAAAAAATCTCTAATCTTGCTCCTCCCTCGCTCGAGTTCCATCGCGAGGCCTTCACCTACTTCTACTCACTAAATTTAAACTTGACCTAACCCGTCGTTCGCCATGCGTTTCAATATTGCTTGCTTATTCCTTGGGCTTTTCACCGTCGCTTCTGCGGTACCAGTTGCAGTACGTGTTTTCGAAAAGAAATATGCGATGACAATATTCACTAACCGTGTTCTGGTTTTCTAGGTACAAAGCAACAACAACGGTGCTGCCGTCGAAGCTCGCGCTCCTTCGTCCACTGATAGTGGTTATGACCTCCGCGAGCTCGGAGGAGCCGTAGGCGTTAACGTCTACCACGCCCGGGGCACCCAGATCTTCAATTCCCGCGGCGAAGAGATCGACGCTCGCGAGACTTTCGGCTTAACGTCCGCCGACCTAAAATCTCGCGAAGCCTTCGTCGCTGCCCTCTCCGACCTCTCCCGGCGAGCGAAAAACAAGGTAACGATCCAGGTTACCTTCACCGGTGATCTCTCCTCCGAATCAAACAACCCCACCCGCGCCAAAACGCAGTCTGCTGCCAAAGCGGCTGTGCAGAGTCTGCTCAACGCTGCAGCGAAGAGCCTGGATCTGGAGGGGAAGACGATCGATGTTGTTTTCCTGAATGACTTCCATGAAAGTCGGGGAGAAACCATTAGTCATGTTACGTTTGAGTTTGAGGAGACGGTTTGTGAAGGGACATGTACGGGACATGCCTTTGGAGGATCTAAAGGGGAGATTTTCAATCACAATCACGAGAAGATTTACAGCAGGCGTAGCAAGGGCAAGGTATGTGCTTAGTTTTATTTCCACTTTTATCCAGTCTGATCCATCTTTTGCTCCATTCTTACAGAAGTAAATGTCGATTCCGTCGCATTGCTTTGCCATTTGGTACTTATCCACCTAAGTAGATAGTAGTTCTTTGAGCATAGTTAGAGTTGTCGAATGAAACAGGAATTCTGTGCTTGATTAATCTGTTTCCTTCAACCTGCGTCAGCGACTCTGATTGAATCTTCGCCTCGACGATTTCAGTGTCTTTGCCTACTTGGCAGTTTGAAAGTCAAGGAAACAGGACAAACTAGAGTCTTCGAACGGACACGTGATGCGGTATTCACTGCTCTCACTGGTACCGCATCGACACGCGTACGTCGAAGCCTCGCAGTACTAGTCCTAGTGACACCTTACTAGTTCTTCTTATCTCACTACTTCATTTACCCATTTAACTAAAAAAACCTCACGAGTTCATGGAATCCAAGTTTTGAATATGGAATATAGATTTCCGGTCAATCAATTCGAGGCAAACAGCATTCGGCCGACGTACATCACAAGTCATTGAAGAAGACGGAACACTATCCAGATAGTCCCACATCCATGGATTGAATTTATTAGGTCTATTGCCTTGCTAATGCATCGAGCGTCCAGTGATCTTAATGATTCCTAAATCAGTCCTATATCTTCTTCATCATGATCATCTCACGCGCCTCCCCTTTTCATCTTCCTCTTCTTCTTCTTCCTCGAACGTTCCTCGCCCAATCCAAATTCCAATCCCAATTCCATTCCAGAGTCCAAAGTAGACACCAACCGAGTCGTTGGGGCATCATCAAGATTACTCGAGCTTCTTTCTACTGCTTTTTTTTCTTTGTTAGCTTCGTATCGATATCTTTGGGAGTGTGTTGATGCTTTGGCCTTTTCGGCTTGGGTGGAATGGCTGACGCGACAGTGGTGTTCGTCCGTGTCGGTGACGATTTTTGAGGTTTGACTTTGGCTACCGCTCCCTCTCTCTCATATCCGTTGATGTCCCCCTGATTCGACAAAACTATATCCCTTTTCCCATTATTCTCTTTCTTCTTCTTCTTCTTCTTCACTATCACATTTGACTCGCTCCTCCGCGTCGCCGCTTGCTTCTTCTTCCCCTCTTCCCCAACATCCGCGTCACCTGCCACAGATTTGCCCGCAGAGGACAACGATGGCGATTTGAGAGCAGCCTTGCCCTTCACATGCGTCACAGCGGCGTCCGGTTTGGATTTGGATTTGGATTGAGTTTGAGATTTTGGCCTCGCACCATTTTCCTTCTCGAGACCTCCTGTATTATTGTTCTGGGCATTGTCAACTGCGTCCACACGACTGGCAGCGACAGGATCCTTTATTGTCGGAGATGATTTCGAGGATGTAGTAGTAGTAGTAGTAGTGACAGTTCTTTGATGTCGACGAGGAGTGTTTTTTGAGGAAAACGAACTTGTCGAGGGAGTTGTTTTAAGAGTAGAAGAGACCTTTGACGCGACTTGTAGCTTCTCCTGTTTCCAAATCGCGTGTCGTTCGCGTATTTTTTGAATCTTTTGTTGACGGGCTTGCTGTGGAATGAAACGATTGATTAGTTTCCATGAGCTGTGTTTGGGAAAGTTTTGTAAACACAAAACAGGAAGTGAACCAAGGACGCTCAGCGCTCAGCGAGCTCAGGACATTACTTATAACGAACGATGTCGATGAGTGATAGATTATAATTACTGCTCACCTTTTTCAAAGCACGTTTTGAAATCGTCGGAGGTTTCTCTTCTTCGGATTCCGAGTCGTCTTTAATTTTCATATCTACATCCTCGGTTTCCTCTTCATCGACATCATTAGAATCTCCCTCCTCCACCTCCTCAACTTCCTCGCTCTCCTCAATTTCATCCCCATTCTCTTCACTTCCTGACTCTTCATCATCAGACTCTTCCGAATCCGAATCCACCCCACCCATCCCCAAAGCCTCCTTCACCTCTTCATCAAGCCCCAATGCTTCTTCTTCTTCTTGCCGTTTTCGTTTTCTCTCAATGCGTTTGAACATTAGTTTTTTGTGTTCGACTTTGGATATATTTCCTTTCGTTGGAAGAGGAGTAGGAAGGAGAAGGAAGGGGGAGGAGCTTTTGTAATCACGAGATTGCATATGTTACCCACCAAACCTGACAACAAAAAAAAAAAGCTGATAATTATCAATGACATTGCTGTCAATCTATAGCCCACCGCGAGGGTCGAACTCGCAGCCTTCAGATGCCCAGTCAAGCATTTCGAAACGAAATCGAATAAGAGTCTGACGCTCTATCCGATTGAGCTAGGCGGGCAATATCTAAGCCATCCCTGATGCAATTGGTATGCAGTTAGTTGTCTTCTGGGGTTGTAAAGTAAAAAATACATCATTCAAGAAATATTCTGTAGATATATACGAGATGTCCTTAAACTTTGACCTTATCCTCCCGGTGGTAAGGCCTCAAGTCTGTGTAGATATATAGAGATGGGAAGGATACATGTACGATTAATTTCAAACCCTTTATGTAGCTCGTTGAAGATTCCTCGGAGCCTATTTGTACTCTCTCACATCCTGTTAGAAGGAGAGCGGCGCTCAGCATCAAAAAGCAACGACGCCAACCAGAAAAATACTCACAATAACGCCAACGTCAAATCTCCATGGATCCTCGCATTAATCTCTACCGCCACATCAAGGTCCAATTCCAATTTGAGCTTAATAACATGATCATCGTGTGTATCCAGATCCATACCCCTCAACTCATCATACGAAGGCAGCCCCGTCCAATTTTCCTTCTGCACCAAAGTCCCATCAGGGTTCGTTATGGGTTTTCCCCAATGGTCTAGAGGCTTGACCATGATACCGGGGTTATCACCGTAAGGCCAGGTATCGACACCGGCCAAGGAAGAAGAGGAACGAGACCAGTCGCCGAGGGAAAGTCCGGAGACGGAACTAGCGGTGCTGACGTTGCTCCCAGCATCAGAAGCAGCATATGCAGGGCTGAAATCCCTCACACCCTTGGGTCGTTGGAGGACCCGACCGGAGGTCCCAACGCCCTCGCCTTCTTCGTCTTCGTGGGGCCAGTCGTTGACACCATGCGGAGGCTCCAATCGACCTGGTTTATCCCCATGAGGCCATTTATCGACGCCGAACCCTTTAGTGCCTTTCTTTCCACGACGACGACGCTTTTTCTTCTCCTTTTCACCTTTGCCGTCTTTGTCGTCTTTGTCACCGTTACCGTCGTCGTCGAACGACTCTGGTTCCCGAGTCTGCTTGTTACCTTTAGCGTTGTTGTAGACAGCGTTATCGCCTTCACCATCTTCTTCGTCAACGTCAGGAAGCTCGGGCTCTGGATTATCAGCTGTCGGTGTGGGAGCGCGGTTTTCTTCGTCCGAGCCGCCCGAAGCAGAAGAAAGGCTTCGAGGGGTACGGCTTCGACCTCGGGGAGTACGCGGAGGACGAGAGTCTCGTGACACGGAAGGAGAAGAGGTACGAGAGGCGGCTTTGGAAGGCGGCTTGGAGCCGTGGGATGCCTGAGAGGCGGGTCGAGAAGGGGGTTTGTTAGATGCCTGGGAAGCAGGACGGGACTTGGTTTGTTGCTTCGGTTCGTCCTGAGAAGCAGAACGAGACTGGTCTTCGTTCTGGGTTCTCGGTTCGTCCTGCTGGGTTGGTTCGGCCTGCGAGTGAGATCGGTTGGACGCCTGGGAAGTGGGTCGGGACTGGTTTGGTTTGGACTCGACGTCGGGGTTGGAAGCGCGGGAAGCAGGACGAGATCGAGACTGAGACTGTTTCTCGTTCTCTGGTTGACTCATTTTACTAGGATAGTGGGGATCAACAGAATGAAGCGAGGTGGACTGGAGCAGACCCACTGAAAAAAAGAGATAGCATATAACCTCTGTCGTCACTAATCGTCATAACTCCACCGAAAGTATGAGCTCATCGTTATTATTCCATGCCAGGCACGCCCCACACTGCGCAGGAATGAGCTCAAAGAGACGCCCATGAGCGCCTATGTATGTGTTACGTTGCGCCGACGGTCTGCCTTCCTTCAAGCTTTCTTCTAACCTCCACAGTGGGTGACTTCCCGCTGCAATTATTCTGCAGTTAACCTGCAGTTACACTGCGGGGATTAGCCGATTTTCTGGCGACCGAAAGGTTGATTTTATAGTGAGGTTTGGTACAAAACTATTCGGCTTACCGGACGCCGAAAATTCTGAATATTTTCTCCTAAACCCAGTCCATGTTATGGGCCCGATATAGTACAGTTTATATGAAAAACATACCATTAACATCCATAATCTTATTTTTAGAAAATGCAAGCTGATTTTTCATTCTTTTCGGGGACCGTTTATTCTCAATCACTCCAGTGAAAGCTTTTGAATAATATATGGCAAAAATTCTGAGCTTAATTTGGATAGTCACCTAATAACCTACCCCAAAAAATTCAGAATTTATACACACAAATGGCCTCACGCAAAGCATGCGCTTTTTCAAAATAAGCTCGCCCAGCTTATGGTGACCCGATGTCGGGATGTCGGGACGTCGAGACATCGCCGACATCACTATATCAGGACGTCCGGATGTTGTTGGCGTCGGGATGTCGGGACAGGTGACGTAGTTGATGTCGGGATGCGTAACTTGTGTAGGATCTCATGGAGCAAGGTTTTATTTATGATTTTTATTTCTACATTATATATACAGGAGCAGCAAGGAACTTGATGATTTGAGGGCTTGAATCAATAATCTTCAGAGATCTCCAATGGTTCTTGATGATTGAGCAATGCGGGCGATTCGAAAGCTATACACATGAGCTATACACATAGTAATCACTGTCAGTGAGTTGACGATTATATACATAAGAAAGACATATCTCGTGAACCACGGGTCAATGGCTTTTGTTCAAATTTGGAAGGCACGTCTGTTGGCTATGCTGTGTAGAGTATATATACGAGTGTACATAGTGAATATTCATAACTATCGAAAGTCTGCAAAGAGAGTCGTAAGTTAACGAATCCGAGAGCATTCAAAAATGAACGTACCTTTACGAAGATCCAGCGCGCACAAGCACTGGCCGAATCTTCCTTCGCCAAACTCGTCTCCGTTTTCCAAGGAAGATGAATTTTTCGATGTGACGCCTACCACCTTATCGTAGAAGTGAGATAATGTTATACTAAGGAAGAAATACATACATTGTGTGCACTGGATGCGAGGTCTTTCGAAGCACTTAAACTCCAGTAGAATGTGAGCTAGAGATTCTTGAGAGAGATCAGCATGTTCAGATGAGAAGGCTCAAAAGATTACCGGATCTCCTCCTTCTCGGAACGCGCAAAGGTGGCAGCCAAACTCTGTCAGGGCACGGGCACTGACGATCCCATTCGGCTCTTCGCCGATCGTAATTGTCGGTCATCCCAATTTTCCAACAATGACCGTATTCAATGAAGGCGTATAGAAATCCTGGCCCATCTGCCAACGATACGCCGCGTGCTCTTCGTGAAGCGTACAGGGCACGTAGTTCTTTAGCGGATCGCGATCGTTGGCTAGTCATGATGTATTTTGGAGACGTTGAGTATTTTGGAGACGTTGAACAGAAAGCCGAGCGACGCTGGTGACGGGGTTGGGAGATGAGGAGTCCTAACTAGGAGGCCAAATTCGGGAGCTGAAGAGCGATGCAGGATCCCGCAAGAGGCAGAGACGCGGGGGGTCACTGGAGAAAGAGAAGCGTGACGGGAAGATATAGGAATGGAAAAAGGCGCGGGAAACAGAGGCGCTGAGAGACCGGATACTGACGACGCGCTCTCAGCATCAGTCACCCCCAGAGTAAGCTTCATCTGCGGTGGTGGCTCAGGCTACGAGCCTGAGTTTTTGTCAGACTTCTCGCTGGGGCTGTATCCAGAAGTGTCTTCGCAAGTCCTAGTGGAAACAGGTCAGGCGAGCCTGGTGCATCCGCTGACTTCTGGCTCAGCACTGAAGATGATTCTGTGGAATATCCTGGCTATGGTCAGCCTGCTTCAGCTCCTCAAGCAATTCGCAATCTCGGTGGTCCTTCCAGTCTAGAAACCGCTTTCCGGCGCGGCGCGTCAAAATCAGAGACCTTGGTCGAGCTCAAACTTCCGCCCGACGACTCCTTTGTGCATCCAGTTCCTGGCGAAGTAGTCGCGAACGATGTATCGTTATCAAAGTAACGCGACGAAAGAAGAAAGGGACCGTAATGCCTGAATTGAATGAACTAGGCCAGCATGAACTTGGAAACGCTGTTTCCAACTGTAGCATCAACTCTAGGTCCTCCAGAAATGAATATATACCCGCAGCTTGTTGAAGAAGGCATCGATACTGCGAAAAACACGAAGCCATCTTCAAATCAAGCACTTCGAAGTAATCTCCGATTATTCCCTCCGCCGATATTTAGTCGCCAAGGCATTGCTCAAAGCTATAAGTTGGTCCACCGCAGTACTTGTACCTTGCGCTGAAGAACACTGACAGTATCATGTAGTTCAAAGGGAATCCAGCTTCTATTGTATCAACTGTCGTCAACGAAGAAACCGGAGAGAAGAGACGAATGATCAACAGGATGCGTTGGAAAGGCTATGATCCCGCTACTATTGCGTTCTCGGATCCCACCGTGAGTGTTGCTCAGTGGCAATACTTTCCACGGATCAACGAAATTGTCTTTCAGGCTCCTGACAAACCTCCGACGAATGTAGGAGCAGTGCGGGAGCAAGTGGATAAAAATATCCTGAGGATCCTGAGGGACGTTTGTAAGCTTCTTGTGCCTTCATTTCTCCAGGGGGCGTTGATCATTTTCGAGAACTGGCAGGAGACGTACTGAACTTTGGACTGGCCAAAGAAGCGTCAGTCTCATATCCGGCCTATGCCAACTCGGTTCATTTGCTCACCGTCGCTGACGATGTTGCTGTCCCTCGTTCTCGTATCACACTTGTTGGACGACCCGGGCTTGTTGACCTTGGACCAACTGTGAGTTCAGAAAATAACTGAGTGACGGGAAAGAGAGCCCAATAAATTTTCCACCAAAGGACAGAATGAAATGCATCGATCAGGGGGTCCAGTTTTCGCACTCAATTCATAGGGACAAGGAAAGAGGCAATATGACATTCGGAGGGGATCAGCGATGAGACAATTTAGTCCTAGGCAGAAAAACCTTCCTAGCGTTCGACCCAACACAGTTGAAAATTTAGAAGCTGCATGTTGATTGGTTCGATGTCTCCGACTTTCTTCAGGCGGAAATTGTTCTCGAGGACCTCTGAAATTCCGGCGTGGTTGTAAAGCTGAGATCTTGGCCGCTACTGAGTTTGACTCTGTAGGCCTAAGTGTTATGTACCAAGTTGTTGACGGCGATAAATAAGTAATGTTTAAGACGGAGCCAATGTCACATGACTGATAAGTGGCGTTCCTATTAACTACCATCTTGACCATGTCATGTTCGAGTACAACTCGGGCTTAGACACGACTCTACGACCTCCAACTCCTCATGTCAAACTCTGGACGCACCTGAATAATTACCAGCATGATCATGTCATGTTCGAGTACAACTCGGGCTTAGACACGACTCTACGACCTCCAACTCCTCATGTCAAACTCTGGACGCACCTGAATAATTACCAGCATGACCATGTCATGTTCGAGTACAACTCGGACTTAGACACGACTCTACGAAGCTCTACGACCTCCAACTCCTCATGTCAAACTCTGGACGCACCCTCACACTTACCGCTGGATCAATGGAATTGTGTCATTTGGTTTAGATATCAGCGCAACGTTTTGCCTAATTCTATGAACTGTGGAATCAACGCCCAGAAGATGTCTCGCCGCCGCAGCACCACTCGAGACCCTCTAACTATATCTAGTCTGAAACAATTCAATCGTTTCTTTACATTTTCTTCCATCGATTAGAACTGATACACATCGCGCTTCTATAAGTATATCGAGAATTGCTCATGCATCGCATCCCCAGAATCTAACTCTCTACAACCACGATACGACGATTCGCTTACAGAAGACTGTTTGACCTTTCTCACTCGTGTTTGCTCAGGGCGAAACCAATCATTAACAATTCGCAATGGATTCAAGCAAACACAAAGCACTTACGGTTGAGGTATGATCAGTGTTCTGTTGGTCGAGCTGCACTCTCATGAGCCTCATCAGAAAGCGACCACCACTGCAGTTATAATCCAGGGAAGTTCTCATAAGAAAGACGAGACAGTTGACTGTCGAGACACCATGGTATGACTTGATCATTTCAAAACACAATTCAAGTCTCATTGTTTGGCTTCGGGATATTTTGAAGATCGCACACATCGATAAGGTTCGTTATGACTTATTCAATGACATCCTTGTTGTCTTAAGTTGGGTATATACTTCAGATCTTTCCGCTATTGGCTATGGGATTTGAAGCTAGCGATGAAGAATCTCAAATGGTCTCTTATGTGTACAATAGACTTTCGTGGCGTAGCCCTCAGATCATTCAGATCCTCGATAAACTGGACCAGCTGATTCACAGCAAATATTCATAATGAAATGTATCTGTAATAGGGTGTATTATTTGACCAAATATCAAACTTCTTGTGCAACAAGAATATGACGTTTTCGCTCCAAAACGACCTTAAAAATGAAATAAACTTGAATGTTGAGGTAGGAACTTTCGCGAAAGCTGGAGCAAGTGAATTCAACTACGTCGCAACCACAGCTAACCACAGTTACCTGCTGTCAATTCAAGCATGAAGGTTGATTTACATACTTCTTCCTTTTCTCCTCCTGCTCAGTGAAGCTCTTCACTTATGATCCCAAATAAATCTACATCAGGTGGACATTCATCCAAAAACATAATGCCCCACTGCAGATGCAAAAGGTAATCGTTTTCATTTCATACTACAAAGACGAACTAATACACCCTAATGTGCTATCAATAATCGTCCGATTGTCAGTCCTTGTCAGTCTGGATTTAGAGCAGATAAATTAAATTTGTTTTGAATAAGTGTCAATGTCTCATTATCAGGCAGATACGCATGCCCATTTGCGATCTCATTTGATACATACAATACATCTACTTGTACAATAGACCTGCACTAACATCACTCTGGACCTTGCGCCCTGGGGTATCCTCGGTCCTTCAATGTCCTAAACAAGAATGAGATAGGATCTAATTTCCTAAATGATGATACGCACTTCAAAAGGTCTGCAGGAAAAATAAGTTTGATGGGCTTTCGCGGACGAACAAATTCGTTAACAAATCCACTTCCACCTTTAGCCCATCCAGGTTCCTGTTCTTCAAGCCATTGAGCATCATAAAAGTTCGCAGGTAGACCAGAGACGTATTTCGTCTTCGAACTTCGATCGTTTCTATCGATGCGGATTCGGGGAGGAGCCCCTCGTGTATATCCGAATCTGGTTGCTTCAGTGGTGCATCGACCTTCAAGATGGCAGTAGTCCAACAACCTGAGTAAATTCATGAGTTCGACGCTTCGCCATTTCGGCCCCTTGATGATGTATTGCACTTGCGGTTTCTTCATGCCAGGATCCTCTTCGTCAGAGGACATTCCTGCGACACCTAGCTCATCGAAGAACAAGAGGAAGGACTCAAGCGAGTGGAAGGTGATGATAACCTCCCTTCGACGATGGAACAGCTTTTAAGGTGTGAGTTTGTGTGTTTAGGCAGTAGGTAGTGACTCACAGTATTTTTCCGCTGCCACCTTTTGGAAAACAGAGAGCGAGGATTTTTGTTGTCCTCCTGCATTTTCTGTCTTTCCATCCAAGATGCATGAAGTGTTTTGAGTCGTAAAAGGAAAGCTTCGCGGATACCATCACGAGTCTGAACATCGGGTGTGGCAATCAGCTTCCTCTTCTCAAGAATTTCTACAAAGACATATGAAGCACCCTTGTTCCATGCCGATTTGGGACCACCCGCGATCCAGTATCGAAAATCGTCGACTGAGCAAGGGCGTGCAAGAGGATTTGTTTTGAACAGCAGAGTAAATTCATCAGCCTCGTCCTGGGAGACTGTCTCCTTGAGCTGATCCTGGCCTTCCATTATTTCATTCAACCATTTCCGCATCGTTTCCTATAACGAGGACCTTTGGATAAGCTGAAACACATAATGCAAGTAAGTACATACCTTGATTTTCAGTTCTTCAGCAGGTCGATGCTTGACCCCTCCTGAGCGAGCAGGCTGCTTTTTCCTAGCATAACGGAAGAAGGGATTGTCATTTGAATCTCCTTCGTCGTCCCCATCCTCGCCATCGCCATTGCCGTTGTTGCGATTCGTGGCGCTTCCCGCAGCTCCACCGTCACTAGGCTTTGCCGCAGAGTCACGGTCGTTAGAGGGCTGGGGTCCTTGATTACTTCCGGATCCATGTCTCTGACTATCTCCCTCGTCCTGATGACCCGGTGACCCTTTGTGTTTGCTCTTTGCAGATAACATATCCAACGTCTCCCCAATTCGGCCGAGTATCTCTGTGTTCTGCGCAAGGTGGGATACTACCTTGTCTATCTTGTGGTCTTGTTTCTGCAATACCTGGTCTTGTTTCCGAAGTATCTCTGCGGTTGAATTTTGCAAATGGTGATACAGTTCCCCCATCGTCTTCGTTTGATGATTGAGCAGAGCTTGTAACTAAATGGATACAATTTATTATCATGCACATAAGTACATTGAACACTCACATAGTCTACGGGCCCCTGGCTATTAGATTGGGTATTTGACTGCGCTCCGGTGTGAGAAGTGGGCTGGGCTCCAGGAGTTTTGTCATTCGACTGGGAGGGACCAGGCTCAGGATCATGCACTCTCCTTCTTTTGCCTTTCTGGATAGTGGGTGACGGTGGTTGCTAGCAGATGTATGAGTGATCTTGTTCCTGAGATAAAAATATGAGTTTGATTACACACCTGCATTATCGGTTGATTTCTGGGGCCTGGGGGGGCTCTCGGAGTCATATCTGGAGGGGCCCTGGGAGTAGCATTGATATCGTCCATCTGGAAATCTTCAGACCGTGGAGGTGGAGTCTGCGGAGGTGGGGTCTGCGGAGGTGGGGTCTGCGGAGGTGGGGTCTGCGGAGGTGGGGTCTGCAGAGGTGGGGTCTGAGGCGGATGTGGTGATTGAGTATGGAAGTGGGCCTGTGGAACCTGGGGTGCCATTTGAGGCATCGTTTGTGGGTTCAGTGGTGCAAGCGGCATCGGATCGTCCTCTCCAGCATCCGGGCTCTGAGGCACACTATCGTATGAATCCATGGTCCTAGAAGAATCAGAATCGCTCGAACGGTCGATGTCAACAGTGTTGGTCGAAAGACTAAAGAGGGCGGGAAGTCGCATCTCCATGACCAAAGAAAGTGGACGATATTTTCTGAGATTCCTGTGGGAGAATCAAGCTAGCAATCAATCATTCATTCATGGTGCATGAAGCACGAGTTGAACGTATGTACATGTCGTGAGGCGCGATATGCGCGAAAATTGCTGGACATCGCTTAACGATTATCGGAAAAATCAACTTGGTTTAGGGTGCTGGATGGTGTGGGCAAAGATCCGGGGGGTTGTCGTCTGTCGTGCTAGTCCCTATTTGGCTCGTGAAGGTCTGTAACCGCTTATGTCCAGTTTAGAACCAGGACAAGCTAGAGAGGCAGATAGGAAGAAAGTTCGAGTTAAACGAGACAGATTACGCCATCTTTTCACCGTTCGGGCCGATTATTCAAAGTTACCAAAAAAGGAAACGGGGCTTTGATTCTGAGTATCGTAAAGTATTTTACACTTACAGCACTCATTTTACACAGACAGCTTCCAGTATTAAGAGTGGAGGGCAAAAATCAGATTTTACATGGCTTGTATAGTATACTATCTATTCCTACGACTTCGGATGCGGGCAATAGTTGCGATGAATGAAACCTAAGCATGAATGAGTAAACATGGTGCTTAATGAGGGAGGAGTTTGAATACCTCTTTCCCGAGCTTTTGGAGTATCTCTAAAATTTTTGCGGTCTGGGCGAGGAGAGGTGCGAACGCCTGGGCATATTCCTGAATACGACAACAATATTAGTGGCTGGACATGATTCAGATTGAGGCGATACACACCTGCGTTTCTCGAGAGGGAGTACGCTGACAATATACTAACGCCTTGAATAACTTCGAGTTCGTCTGGGAACGAGCTTGCAAAATATGAGTGGCAAGATCCTCCAGGGCATCGTAAAGCAGGCGGCAGGTTGCATCCGCATCTGGAAGCACCAACGTAAGATTGGCCAAAGGTTCTGAGTGCTTGCCAATGATGATCTAGGTAGAATTCAATGAACGAGCGATGCCATTGTCGTTGCGAATTACCTGTCCCATGAGCTTTAGTAGCACTAATTGAAGAACGCGGATTTCGGGTTGCAGTGAGAATGATTGCGGCTTTTGTGCAAGATATACAGTTAGTTCGAGAGGAGCAGCATTGAATTCGATGACATACAGTGTGCTCGAGACTTCCTGTGCGCACAAGGTTCACATATACACGTTTCTGGACTTCGATTGCAGAATTCAGCTTGACAAAGAGAGTCCGGTACTTCTGGTCGAATGAGTGCAAGGCCGCTGTAATTGTGCTCATCAGATCATCGATTGGCTCCATGTCGAAAATCGATAGAGTAGTTCGAGCTCTGAAAAAGAAGAGTTAGCTTTTATAGCGAGAAAATACGTACGGTACAACATCAGATTCAATTGTAGAGCAGAGTTGAATCATTGTCGCGTCATGAATGGACGCTTTGAGGAGCTCAAAGACTTATTCATATTCGCCATTACCTCTGTCCGGTTTGGAACCAGGACGAGGTGGCTAAGTTGGTTGATCAAAGGGATAAGAAAGTAAGTAATCAAGTCGAAAGCCGACCGGCGCTTATCAGTATCGTCATCACATTCGGGCCGATTTATTTGTTTACCTTTCACCAGTCACCACCACCGAGTCAAACTCCGTGGGCGGTCAATCTCGATGGGACTGCGTATCCCTTTCACTCTTTCAAGCACATTTGTCTCAATCTGTCCCAATGGGATCAATATCTTCTTCCCTTCTTCTTTCCTTCAAACATTTTCACTTCAATGGGCCGCTTCCGCAATATGCTCAAGGTGCCACACAGTTTCATAGTTCCCAGCTCAAAGAGACCTCATAAGAACTTACGCTCCTATCTCTTTTCCCCATAATGTCTTTCTCAGTCGTACGCTGTGTATCTTGCGAAGACGCCGAGATAAATCAATTGCAGCGGCGAATGGCAGCTGCTTCAGACGAGGCTCACAATCTTCGAATCGAGCTTGATGCTTTGACAGAGCGCCTCAAACTACGCGATGAGGTAAATATCCTTTTACCGATTGATTGCGTCTATATCTAACTTCTTGTTAGACAGAGCTTCGTTCGCGTCTGGCCAAACAGAAAGCTCTGTACGTGCAGACGGTCGCTACACTGAAGGAAACCATGGAGGATAATAGGCTGCTGCAAGCGGAACTTTTGCGTTTGCGAGAAACTAGGAAGTGACTAGTACGTTGTCGAAACTCCTTCGATTTATCGCAATCCTCAGTCTGTCTCAATCTTCTTAGACTGATGAATCAGAAGCGCACGGTATTCCTGTCACTGACGTACGAGAGTATGCAGATATATTTCGAATTCTCATAATCGCTGCCTGTTTGTATCAGAAGATTTTTCGCCATCGGCGCATGTATACCATATTCGAACTCTATCATGCTCAGAACCTGATTTATTCAACTTTATTATTTCAACATGATGAATTCGTTTGAGAGCTTGTGATCAACCTGAAAGCATGCGCATGCATATCAACATGCATGATTAGAGATCTCTCGAGAGAACATTTCTGGCGCCATCTGACCATCGCACGGGTCCCCACGCTCCCGAGGCACGGGTCATCATAGGCCCTCGTGCTGAGATCAGAATATAAGGGTGCGTAGTTCGCCATTAATTCTGGACCCTGTTCATTCTCATTTTGATCGTTAATTACAGATTACAGATATCTGAACCCTGTCTATGGTGTAACGCCTCGTTTTTGGCATGTGTTCCCTCATTGGGGATGGCTGAAAGGAAAGAATTCTAGACATTTCCACTAGTAATAGTACTCCAGCAATTACTTGCCTCAGGAAACTGACCTGCTGGAGCAATGAACCCTTCCTATATTCAGATGGGTGTAATAAACTCGCCGACTGATACCGTCAATGCATTATCCTTTACGATCGATGGACGTTATTTGGCCAGCGCCAGCGACGACAAAACGGTGCGGGTTCATGATATAGAACGTGGGTTGTCAAAAGTTTGGGAACACAAAGGCGCCTACCCCTACACTGCTGTCGCATGGAAAAACAACATCCTATTTATCGGTGATGAGGGAGGGGTAGTTATGTGCTCTTATCCCACCTTGGTGAGTTCTATTTGCGGTGGTCCAATTTCTATCTGAACGCGAACCGTAGAAGTGGCCACATCGACGAACAAATGAGGTCATACACGAAGCCTCTTCACCTGTCGCGGTTATGGAAATCAACGAGAGTGGTGATCGCCTCCTTGTCTGTTCGGGTGCCGACGTTTTACTTTTTAAGAAACACAGTAGGCTTTTACCTTGATTGCTTGTATCCTTCTCCATGAAAGTCATAGGTTCCGGAGTATGGCGATATACAGACCGCCTGCCACGCCCTGCATTTGGTGAGACTGAGAATTTTGTCCGACCTCCGATTCTGGCGACAGGCGTGCATTTCCTCAAGAATGATAACGAATGTCTCATTGGATACTATCACCATGGGTTTTGGTGAGGGAACACTTTAAACTCAATGCGGACCTACTAGTAATATTATGTATTGTAGGAAGTGCGACATCAAAGCTTGGGAGACCACTTGTATCTGGGGTCCAGACGAGAAAATGTACATTCTCTCCTTCTCAAAGGCAGTCAATAGCTCAGGACTTTTGTAGAGGAACTTCAGCTAAATCCCCAGACTCGACTTCATTGGTGGCGACAAATGTACGCAGTGGTCTGGATTGGTTCAGGAATACGTCTCAAGACTTCAAGAAAATCAGCACTTCGTCTGAAGTCCAAGAACTCAAGTCCAATATACCTCTTCTCACTCTCTTTATCAACGAAGGTCATGCGGCGATAATGGGTACAACAAAGGGATACGCGGTGATATTTGATGCAAAACACGGGAGAAGAATCCAGACTTTGAAGCACGGAACGGGTGAGTCTGGCAAAAATGCATGAATTTCTTGCCAATCTCCTCGCTTTTAGACCAGTCGTGGGTTACAGCCTTGGTGAGTGTTCCCTGCTGCTTCTGTCAATCCTTCATTTATTCATCTCCAGGCTTATGTCGAATCTGTACCACGTCGTCGTCGAATGATAGCCACTGGAGATGGTAATTGTGGGCAGCATACACAAATCCTACTGTGGATTGAAGACAAGGACACTCCCGCCAAGGTTCCTAGCAAGTTGTGGGTTGCTCTACCGAGACTTGTAGGGTGCGTTCCTAGTATACATGACCACGTTAATAAACAGTATACAGGTCGCCGCAACTGTAACCGTTTCCCGTATGATTCTCGTAGCAATGGGTATAACCTTCGCCTTATTGCTGTTATTCCCCTCACAATGGTCAGTGGACGATGTTTCGAAGATGCTAGGATCTCCTTCCTCCGCACCTTCCTCTTCCTCCGCACCTTCCTCTTCCTCCGCACCTTCCCCTTTCCCGTTACCCGGTGGACACTCACTTCGGAAGACAAGATTCAAACAGATACTAGGCAATTTGGAAGAGCTGATCCTGGTATGCGTCTGTTGAATCATTGGAATTCGCAAACTAATTCAGTTCGGTCTTAACAGTTATGAAGCAAGGGCTGTAGTATTACTTCTAGGGTAGTTGTTTGTAATCCTCGCATATTCACCGCGGATGCACGGTGTTATTCAAACACGATAAATGTTCAACGAATGAAGTTAGTAAAGCAAGTATAATTGCAAGAACGGATGTCTGTCAATATGTCTGCAGACCCTGACCATCCGACGTCCCTTACATTCATGAGTGCATTACCCTTGACTGATCGAAGAAAATATTATTCGGCTTTTATCCTGAGTACACTCCTGATAGTCACAAGTATACTGTTTGGCAATACACCATGCTCTACTTATACCTCCATCGTACCCACTGTTCCTCCATCACATGTTCATGATCACTCCCAAAATAATTCCATCTCTACCTCCTGCTCATCAACCCTGTCTTCGAAGGTGCTGCCTGTTCGAATAGTGTCCAATTCATCCAAATCAACTGCTTGCTCATCCTTCTGAAACTCATCATCCTTAACCCAAGGAGCAGCCCGAACCACGTACGCGTACATTAAACAGATCTGCATTTTGGCTTGATAAGACAATTGACTGTAGAAAACTGCAACTTCAACTTACCAGCTCGACGATAGTTTCGATGATTAGCGCCAAACCAAGGAACAAGCAAAAGGCAAGTCCCATTATGATGGTCAGCGTCCCCGCGTTATCCTCTAAGAAGCTGGAGAGCTCGGGAGAAGGCGGCGGCGGGTCGGTCAAGGTACCGTCGGTAATATAGAATGTAAGGATGATTTCGCGAAAAATTACGCGTGCAAGTGATGTGCTGTTTGGGGTAGCCATAGGTTAAGAGGAGTAGATACAGAAAATATGTGGGGGTTTCAGTTTCCGAGTCTTTAAACAGCTCAAGTTAGAACATTCCATTGATCGATGATCCGGGAGTGATAAGCCTGTGTGTTGGCCGGGTGTTGGACCGTGGGGAATACGACAAGCACAAGCCATAATACCAATGGGGAAAATCGATTCCGACCTAGTTCGAAATTAAAAGAGGAGTTATGACTCGGTTTTTATGTTTCAAGCTTCATTCAGGCGTACATTCACAATCCTCACCTTGAGCATGAGGTCGTATGACAATGTTCATGATCATGACCTAGAACATGCTGAATTAACATTTGGTATGATCATCATCTTGAGGGACTCAGATAGATTTCTAGATAATAATGGAAGAAGTCTTTTTGGAGCCGGATCTCCATGGTACAGCGATGTCGTTTCTTGTAAAGGAATATTTTCAATTTGAGCAAATCTATGGTTCCAATTTCATTCGAACTTCACTGTTTATTGATGGCTTCTTTATTCAGTGCTATTCAGTGGCACTGATCGTCCACGACTTCCTCAAAGGGAACTAACGAAGTCTGTGATGGAGATCTGGCGATCGGATCGGCTGTTATTCGATCAAGATCTAAGTGGTTGGACAAGGTAGACGCTGGGTATAATTACTCCTAGCTGAATGTATCCAAAGTCGAAATATATTTCACCTGGAGAAGCAGGGAGAAGCAGAGGATTTAGGAATGCATTGAGAGAGAAAGCAAAGGGGAAGGGAAACTTGCATTATCAATCCAGGGTCGAGCGAGTGGTTTAGGAACATGCTTTTTGATCCCTTTCATCCATTGATCCCTTTCATCCATTTCTGTCAAGCTGTGGACGTGTTTTTGTCCAAGGTCAAGTTTGACTCGAGCTTGAGGCTTCTTTCCGGGTGAAATTTAACATAAGGCGAAGATAAGTCATAGTCCGGAGCATTTTTTACAAGTAATTTCTATGTATGGGGTTTGAAAATTCAAAACGAGGTGCGCTTAGAAGAAAGCCGTTTCGTAGAAGGAAAAACCTGCGAAGAAAAAAATATCAAAATCTTCTGGATATAATCTCGTGTTCAGAGCATGTTTCACCTATAAATGAGAGAAAATACGACGCTTTTCCTCAGATCGAATCCTCATCAGCTTCCATCATCAACACCAGAAATTTTCCCAATGTCTTCTACTCGAGCTGCCAGATCTTCGAGGAGTGCGAGCCGCTCCTCTACTAGTCGCAGTCGTCAGCGTTCGGCTTCCATCCATACATCGTGGGGGCCGTTGCTAAACGGTAATATTATGCCATGGCGAGAAGAGGATAGGGTAGGCTTCGCAACCTGATACTGTTGTGCTAGCTATAGTCATTGACATTGACTTATCAGATCAATGGAAAGACATTGGGATTATTCTTCGGACGTGATAATGCAATCCCTGAACAGAAACGTTTTGATTCCATTAATTCTCGCGAAGATAACAACCGTTTCATTGAAGTGCAACGAGCCTTCAAGTTCGATTATTATGCCGACTTCTACCAGACGAAGGTGATTGTCGGAAGTCGCAAATATTATGTCGCAGGAACCTTCAATCGAGAATCAGGGGAAGTGAATACGTCTCTGGAGTCTTATGGCTACGACAAAGATTTCGCAGGGGACGTTGCTATCTTCTTTCATTCGAAGTACGATCCGGAGAGGTTCCTCGACTATCTTCCGCGGTACACCGATGCGAATGAAAGAGAGATCGCGATTCGTCGTGTGATCACTGCGTGAGTGAATTCAATTGCCTTCGTTTTTTGCTCGAACTCAACGATTGGTGTGGTGTAGCTTCTGCAAGAACGTCAAAGATCATGTCGAGAAGGGTAAAGCCCTCAGACGTGTGGTCAGAGGGTAGGTGAATTCGCGGCCCAGCCTTCACTCTATCTGCTTCTCTCGCGTACGTCCCGGAGGCCTACGTCTCAATTTCCTTCATCATGTCTACTCTTTGCCTCTTTTCCCTCTTGCTCGCTTGAGTATCACATAATATGTTTCGTGAATTGTGAGTCTCGTTTGAGTTTATCACACTTTACCTTTATAACCGCTGCCAAAAGACTATTCCTTCATTTTATGCCCAATCCATGCTTCGTCCGCCTATGTCTACCTCATTATTTGTCTCAGTCTTCTACCATATAAACCGAACAGTGTACTTGACTTTCATCCCATTCATCTTCTACGCATTCACGGCGTTAATGCCCTTGTGTTTCCTTGACACACATTGTTTTCGATACACGATTTGTGTTCTTGGACTGGTTCCGTAGTGATCACTATCGCATTTGCCTTTTATTTACCTTGCAAGATGAATTGGTTCCGGTTTTCAACCTGGAACAATTCGTGTGAGATTGTGAGTACGAATGAGTACGAATAGATCTATGGCTGTAGCCTGTAGGTCTTGCATGCACAAATAATGACCGGACCACGTGAAGATGTTAATTTTCTTAGCCACGTGATAATATATACTTCTGGTAGCCTCTAATACGTCGCGATCCAGCTCTCGACTACTGCTTCCTTCTGGTTTAACTGGATACGAGGCTTGCCTACGCTCTAGATCCTCACCGAAGCTCTCATCAGATTTCATACTAAGACATTCAGTCGGGCACTAGTCGAGGCTGGTCTTGATTAGGAACAGAACTTGTGGGCCATGAATTTTTCTGTGCAAAATATGAATCGTAAGTACAAATGAACTGCTGTTTATCATCTTTTCCCTCAATTTCAACCCAGTAGTAAAATGCCGTCTTGCGACCATCGAAGCGACAGAAGGGACAGAGGGACCTACTTTACATGCAGTAATTGATACCGACGTTTTTACTTGTCTGTGCCGCAAACCGTTCAATTTTCCCGAAATTCCTCCTCGACATCAACCTGTGAATCTTAGTCCAAACGCAACGAAGTTGCCCGATTTTTATAAGCCCCGCTGGATTGCGTCCTCACTTCCTTTCCTGGGATTTGCTCCGAGCAGTAATCCCTTCAAATTTCGTTTCCTCAAATGCCTTGACTACTCTGTTGATAGCGTACCTATCGTGAAGGATCCTAGCGGCTTCTACGTTCTTAGATCGTCAGAAGCAGCGGACTGGGACTCTTTGGAGAAAAATATGCGCGCGTTCCTTCGCGCGTGTATGAGAGTAAACTCGTTAGCAATTCCTGAAGATTTTCGACTTTGGCCTTATCCAAACAACTATGGATATCGTTTACGGTGGAAGACGGAGATGGATGCGCGCCATGCAGCCATGCGCTCTCGTCTAGCATTCATCCCTCTAATTGCATGCACATCCTTCTTTCTTCACTTGCTCTATCATCTGGAAAGTCAATGGGTTGACCTTGTCATTGCTGCCCTTGAACACAATGACAGATTGCCTAGCGTTAGTCCTTTCCTCAGCAAAAGGCAACAGGAGTATGAAAAACTACGTCGAGGACCCTTTCCGACAAAATGGCAATGGAAAGAGCAGCTGCAGCAGCAAACGTCAATAAGCTCAGAGTGGCTAGAATATTTTCATCAGATCCTGGATCTTCCAATGGTCGGAGCATTTGTAGATGTCCATAATTCCGGCTGCCTTCCCTGGATCCCGGTCTTCCTCAAAGCGAAGATGCCCCTGATGTTGTACTGGGGTTCTCTTAATAACTGGTCAATCCCCCCTACGCTAGATCATCTGATTTCCACACCCAATTCCTCCATCATCAACACTCTAATTTCGGAGCAAAGGCCGTATCCACCACCTCCATTGCCGATAGAAGAACAGATACCCCGCGAAATCCTTACCAACAAACCCCGATTACGCTTGCCTCGTCTTGATGGTGGAAGCCTTCCTCGTCCAAATGAGAGCCTTTTTGATTTCATCCAGCGTAGAGAAGTTCATAGACTCAAAGTCATTGCATCTGAGTCTCCCGTTGAACGTCAATCTCGTCTACAACGTGAAGAAAATGCTACGAAGGATCGGCCTCCGGGTAGAAAAGGTGCTCGCGTCTACTACTGGGACTTGGTCGAGGGGACCAGGGTCCGGACCCCAGTGGGAAGGAGCAATTACGAGGATATATGGGAGAGGTATGGCTCACACCAAAGGCGTTATGATTCCGTCGCTGATGAATGGGAGGTCTGCACTGACTTCGACCCTAATGACGCTCCCGATGATTACGATTTAGACTCCGACGATGATTCGGACTATTTCATTACCGTGCGTGCTCATATAAACGAGGAAACACATCACAATGATGGAACCGTGTCCTCTCAAGCTTATCTTACTCGCCTTCAATCCCCGAATAATTTACCGCATTCTTTGATAGAGTTCAACGAGGCCATCGAAGATGTTGCTTACCACAGGTTCGGGTTTCTCAAGCAGCCTTTCGCAGAAAATCGTGACATTGTACTCAAATCGCAAGTTTGGAAAAAGGTCTTGGGCCTTTTTGGTTGTGGACGTCGTCACGCAGCGCTTGAAGTTGACATTCATATTAAACTACAGCTGTGTCGCTTCATATCTGCATTGTCAGATGCAGCGGATCTCCGACATGCACCTGAGGTGTATGACTTATCTTTTAGGAGTCTCATGCAGCCTCTAATTCCGTTCGAAGTTGATACCCTGACTTCATATAATGGTCGTTACTACTTAATACAAGCAAAAGACGCCAAAGATAATGAAGAATATGTAATTGCCTTCCGCAGCGCCGCTACCGTCATGGAACTCGCACGTCGGGAGTGGGGTCCTCGAACTGAGGATATCATCAAGTGTCTGATCGAAGAAGGTATTTCCTTCAACACACTCATGGCGAGCCACACTCCTTGTAGATCCCTTTACATGCCTTTTCGTAGACCTGCAATGCTAGGCTTCCGCCCGGTTGGATTTGTACCAACATTACAAGACTATCGCTCTTATGAGCTTATTCGTAATGATTTCTTGCGTTCAGCCAGAGGGCGCTCAGCGCTCCTAGCTGGAGGTATTATTGCCAGATTAGCTCGAGGCATTGTCAACGTGAATGACGTCTACGATGGCCCGACTGGTCATGCTCTACATGAAGGCGAGCAAGCATTATGTGTCTGGGAAGCGGGTCAAGCTTGTGCATTTTGGGATGACCAACTAACTGGTGAGGAGATGGATCTAATTTGTGGATCATACGAGGTTGCAACAGGTACGTACGCTTTTCCTTCGAATTCGAATTCAATTCAGAAGCCCATGCATAACCCCTAGGTTTCGTTTCAAAGGAGGGTAAACAACAGATGGCGATAAAGTCTTGGTGGCCTCGTTCAGGTTCCTGGAGATCTTGTGGTCTCAATTGTGGATATTGGTCGAGAGATGCAGAAGATTGGTTCCGAAACCGTTTGGACCAAATCCTAAAATCTACGGTGCCATTGACCCTGATGACTAGTCAAGAATGGCACGGGAGATTGAAGTTTCAAAGGGCCCATAGTCTTTCGAACAAAAATGATGGTTTAGCTGCAGAGTATCTCAAGACCAAGTGTAATTTACCGATTTGATACAAACAGCAATTTTAGTGGTAATCAAACAATGTGGTATTCAAACAATTCGTGGTCAGCAACGTTATGGATATGATAGATAGAGGTTTTATGACAATCAGAAAGTAATTAGATTGCAGAAAATATCATAGAGAGATGACAAAATGATTGTGATGATTATGATGTAATCTACAACCTGAAGATTAAAGACAATGCTACATTTGCGAAGTCTCCAATCACGCAGAGTATCCACCACAAAATGGAAGTACATATGAAAGCACCAATAAAGACGATTGTGTCTATAGCAAATGGTAGAAGTCCAGACCTCTTTACAATGTCAAGGATTGCAGATGGATTTATAGCGAAATCTTACCTGATATCTGCCCTGGACAAAAACAAGCAGCCCCACACTCAGAGCCAGATGCCCACAGCATACCAGCGGTTGATCATGAAACATGATTCCAATCTTCCAAAGTGCTCGAACCAGAAAGAGCAAGTAACCGATACAACCTGCTGTGAACAGGATTTTGGGAAGATCCAGATCAAGTAGCTGAATGTATCGATGAGCTTAGAGCATAACCCAGGAATTATCAGTATACTCACAATCAAATCTCGAAGAGCGTGGAAGAGTTTGAGTCCAGGACCAAATTCGTCTTCTTTCCGTCTGCATTGATCAGTGTCGTTATCTGTTGGATTACAGACCTCCTTTGATGCACGCATAACAGACGCCAGTGCATCTGAAAGTGGAAGTGGACTAGTGGAGTTCTGCCAAGACGGTACTATGTAAGTACCACCGAAAATAACGATGGAAATTAACAATGACCTACGTCGAGTTCGTCGTCTTCAAATTTGCGTCGGTTTTCTCCTTGATCACCCTCGTTCGATGAAGGCGATACAGGGATGTCTAGCACTGGAAATGCAGAATTCTGTGAAAACGGTCACTAAGTATTAACCGAGCAAATAGAATCAAGTGCCCACTGTAATGAAGTGCCTTTGTGTCTCGGCAATATCTATTGCGATATCATCCCCGCTTGCGTCCTTTGAATGTATTGTGGTCCCCTTAGACAAGTTCGTTCATAGACTATCAGGAGATTACACGAGTCAGAGTCGAAGAACTCACTGCAATCGCTACAGACTCGTCTAATTTTTGATAACTGCTAGGTTGAAGTTCGAATACCCCGGGACTCTGCTAAAATTGAGAATATGAGATCGAACGCCATGACTATCGGCCAATGGTTACGCCCGCACAGTTGGTTCATGAGATATCACGGTTTCAACTGCAGGATCCTCCGACCGTTGAAAGACATTGGTAGGACCAGAATGCAGGGTAGAGCTAGAAGGGATCTGCGAACGGATGCGTCACATATATAGGACCTCATATCGAGAGGGATTGGACTCACAATTCTCATGCTTTGTGTAGCAGTATCGTCGCTATCTTCCAATTCGTATCCACCATCCATCAATTCATTACTACTACTATCTTTCATCTCATTCTCGATATAAACCCGTCTGGCTTCTTTGGAAAAATCTGTTCGCAGCTGCTAAAAAAGAATCAAATCCAGGTAAAATGCCATGTATTAATGCTATTGATGCACGCACGTCTGCTTCAATGGCAACAGATTCTGCATCCATGGATCTGTACCATCCGTCACAGTCAGGAAGGAGAACTGGCGGATCTGCAGTCAAATTAACATTCTGATCATGAGAGGAACTCATCGAGAGCAGTGGCCGCGTGTATACCACTCGCTCAAAACTCAATGACATTATAAGCTAGCGCTGTCGGTAAGAACACGCTTGATCAAACGTCGTAGATGTGATCACGTAGATGTCAGTTCGAACGAATATAAGTTATCTTCGAATTCGAGTCTCAAGCACTGAGTTGTACTCCTGTGTTTGAACTTTAGACGATTATCATACGTATATGAAGATATGATCAATGGTCCCGGTCAACCTGGAAGACAATATACCATGTGACCAGTGATATAGTGATATGCTCCATATGGTTTATCGGAAGTCACGATCAAATAAATTTAGAATTTTCCCATGACTCAGACAGCTACTCGTCTCTTCTCCATCATACTACGTGCAGGCGATCCCTCAGAGTCAAACTCAGTAGGAAAGCTTATGTAGGACTTCTTCCGAACTCCAGCGTCCAGTCATTTCCCACTACTCGCCGACTCTGCTGCGTCTTCAATTGAACGCGACACGGATCTCTTTAGACTTCGTGACCGATAGGTTGTCAAGGTGCTATTGAGGATCCAGCTTGGCTTTCCCGCTGCAGTCAACTTCAACGACCGTTCGGCAACTTTAGGATGTGCCACCTGCTCATCGTTCAGATCCACGGATTGCCATCCAAGGCCCCTTCCATCCCGATTGAACCATACCCAAATTTGATATCCCCCGTCCTTGATACTCCTATGAATGTATATAGTCCCTAGCATTCTTGGAATTGGCGTTTCGGGAAGTGGTACATCCAAGTCAGCTGGTGATTGGCTGTAATACCAGGCGGTCTCTCCTTCGCTGACACGCCTAAATTTTGGCTAGACGTCTATGCTGTGAATTGTGACATTTTCACGTATAGATTTGTATCAAGAGGACTGTAATTGAGACCCAGATTGACAGTCAAAGTCAATACTGAATCAGTCTAATAAGTTGAAGGGACCATATACCCATACTACCACAAGTTGGTTAGTTTACCCATCCCCGATACTACCTACGGATAGCAGTCTACCTGTTTGTCAAGCAGGATTATACCAGACTCGGACTACATCCGAAGGATGACCATTCACGTATGACATACCAAGGGTATTCTTATTGGACCTTACACTGGCAGGAGTTTGGAAGAACTTACTCAAGTGACCATGAACCGAGGATTGACTCGAAATGACTTTCTAGAACTCAGGAATTATCAAATACTCCTTCTAGAACAAGATCATGCATTAATCTAAAGGACTGCGATTTAGTCTAATAGACCAATCAAGTTGCATGGTTGAGGAAAATGACTAGAAGAATGATCGAAGTACTGCGAGGCTCCGAAGACATATCAAATGAATGTCAAAGAGTCCTGACGTAGAAAATATTGAAGAATGCAATTAAATGAATACTATGTGTAACTCCCTTGATTGAGTATAGGCACAATGGGTGTCTATTGAAAGAGAGAAGCAATTAGTTTAATCCAGATGGATCAGATTGATGGGATTAGAATCGAGGAGAGCTGATTTGCCTCCGGACGAGGTGACAAACGATCAAATACCTACCTATGTTTGGAGGTATACTAGAATCTTGGAACCAATATGGACCAAATAAGGACATGTAGATTCAAATTAAATGGTATCTGACTGAGTGTAGAAGTTTCCTTGCGGTTCCGAACGTTTATTGTATTAAATTAATTGTACTATGCGACTCTATATTCTGTAGGTATAAATAGCGATCCGATGTATCTGGAATACAAGTGATTTTGGGACGACGTTGCAGTGCTAATCCGTAAAAAAGGAAAGACACACTCCCGCCAGACTGAAACCTCTTCGCTAGCAGCCATTCGGGCCCGGCACTTGTGAGTATAGGAACGTCGTGTTCTGCTCCTTGTGACTGCGAGAAGTCTATCCAGTTGTTGGGTATTCTTCGAACTTAGGATCAGTCGTTGGTCTTAAGGGCAAATCACGCTGTGTGGTTGTGCCAGCACATAGTTCTAGCCCTCTGTAGGGGTCTGTGTGTTTCGGTTTTAATTTACTTTGATTCAAACCCCCAATTCTTGATATACCCAAATCAATACAAACCAAAGCACAAATTGTGCTGAATCTACCTTGATCAAAGGAATATATCGAATCCTTAGAACGATTCAAATTGATTGATCAAAGCTTCGTACTTAGCTCTCAAAGCTTTGCGGAACCTTTGCCAACGCTACCCCTTGCTATTAAATAAATTTGATAGCAGTGAACTCGCATATTGTGTATTAGATTGGTTGGTTGGAGTGCCCATTAGATTCCTTCCTTTCTCTTTCACACAAAAACGAGGCAAGCTCGTTATCTGGAGCCCACCGCGAGGGGTGGTTTTTGAAGCTACAATTAGCTTGATAAATTAAATTGAACGTTTGTTCGGATTATATTCGATTATTTGGTAGAAGTGTGTTGATCTTTGTGATACCATTTCTGTGAACTGTCAACATTAGTTCATCAGGAAAACCGCGTACTTCGAAGAATTCGGAGAAAGCAGGAGTATTGACACCGGAAGAATATCGTAAAGCAGGAGTTGTATTTGGGAGATCTACGTTCGGCACATCAGCTCGAACATCCCTATTAAATCCTACGAACGAATCCAGTCGTCCATCCTCTTCTCAAATAACGACAGAAGAATCGCGTGGAAGTTCTGTTTCTAGAGGAACAGGATCATCTATATCTCGAGGAAGACTTACATCTTTGCCGAGGAATTTGAAGAAATCTAAGCTCGATCCGAAAAGGAAGAGAAAAGAAATTAATCCGATTGATATTGAAGAAGATATAATTGAATTGATCGCTCCAGAGTCAATTTCAACATCTTCTACGTCGATTGAATCAACTAGATTGATAGATACGTTACATCAGACTATCTCTCAAACAAGTAATACGATTGAACCAGTCAAAATGACTACCAATAATTATGGAATGCCTGCGTTGTCAGCTGAAGCTAAGGCTGAGATTGATAAAGCCAGTGCGAAACTTCCAAGAAAGTATAAGACAGCACCATTATTCGATATAACTGATCCAAGTCAAATGATCCCATGGTTCGAAGCTACTGAAAGCATATTTGAACATGGAGGAATTACATCTGACGAGGCTAAAGTAAGATTAGCTTTAGAATGGACGTCTTATAAAACGAGACAAGCATTAAGAGTCTTTGATTCGGTGAAAAAACCGAATTGGGATCAATTTAAAAAGGATCTAAAGAATATGTTTCCGCAATCTGTAGGAGACGAAAGAGGATCTAGATTATTGCTTGAACAATTGGTCCATCAATTTAATCCAATTGATGCAGGTGAACAGGAGAAGATGAGAATCTTCAGACTCCTCTTCGATGCTGAAATGAAAAAGCTGATGGATGAACCGAAAATGATCACAAACAGTGATGCAGTAAGATTGTTCTTGGCACCTATGACTCCCGAAGTAAGGAGAGGCGTGCTAGAAACAGTTGTGAAAGATGTATCAGTTACTTCTATGTCAGATAGACGAAAGGAAGACCCTTTCAAGATTGACGAAGTAATGAATGCGGCCGAGAAGTATATGATTGGGAGTTCATTTGATAACTACTATCAAACACTTTCCATTGCTTCTTCGAGCCCACCAATTAATAACCCTAATTCGTTTAGTAGGGGACACATTAATTTACCGTTTGCTGCAGATGTTCCCAAGACAGATAGGAACTATCTTCAGGCATTGAAACCCAAAGTAGAAGACGAATTTAAGGATCTTCTGGGAATTAAATTAGAAAGTTTGATTCCAAGGGAATTGACGGAAGAACAACAGCAGATGGTTGCGTTGAATAAAGACCTCATGGAGGCAAACATGAAAGAAATTAGAACTGTGAAGTCATTACAGTCGCACTTCAAAGAAGGAGCAGACATTATGACACAGTTAACAGCAGTAATGGCACAGATGGCCAAAGAAAATGCTAAAGGAATGATTAATTCGATACCACCGAGTGGTCCCTCGAATCAATCTAATAGATTTGAAAGAAATACGACACCGAGAAGTTCGAATGGAACTCAGTGGGCATGTTTCTTGTGCAAGTCGACAGATCATTTTATGAATGAATGTCCACACTTGCTGGAATTTACGAAAAGAGGTTGGATGATGCCTGAAGGAGGTGACTCGAAGCGTTACAAATTAAGGGACAACGCTAGAATGCCTCGAGATGATCCAAATGTACCTCGTTACAAGAAAATTGAACAAATGGCGAAAGACTTGGGATGGGATCGTGCTGAATCCTATTTTGCAAACATGGAAGATGACGAAGATGATAAAGTCATGGACCAGCAGATGAATCCTAACGTCAATCTAGCTGTTTGGATGACAAGAATAGAAGAACTATCAGATAGACTTGGGAATTTAGAAGCACACCGAGAAGATGATGTCCGTGTGTTCAACCAAGATAGTTCAAATGGAAAAAAATAAGTACTCCAATGAAGGAGCAGGATCGGTCCATGAGAACTTTAAGATCCAATGCTGTAGCTCCGGAGGAAAGTGAGAAAGCAAAACGAAATCAATTTAATGAAAATACGAAAAGATTAGTATTTGATGGGGTGCATATACCCAAGAAACCAGGTTTAATACCAGGGAAATTGGTTGAAACGACCAATGGAAATCAGAAAACAGTGAGATTTGAGGCTCCAAAGTCCATAGATCGGCCTTTGAAGAAGCCTTCAGTCACGATCGAAGATGTTAATGAATCTGATGACGAGGATGCTATTAAATTAATTCCTTCGTCAAGACCAACGAATCAAATTAATAACGAACATAGACCATATGATCATGTTCAACCTAGGACGTATCGTCCTATTCAAATTAATACACCGACGAAGGTACCGAGAGACCAGACGAATCAAATTGATAGTCATGGATATACTCCAGCCTATAAAATTAGGAATGAAGTCTCGAGACCAGGTGTAGAAGAAGATATAGCAAAGAAGATATTCGATGCTAAAGTTGATTTGAGTACCGAAGAATTAGCAGCTTTATCACCTG